AGCTACATCACAGTCCCACAGCTATCTCTCACTGTTCACATCCCCTACGCAAAATGAGCTCTGTCTACACATCCACATCAAATACTTAAAATACTGCACAGACAACTTAGTGTTTCTGAGTTAACTTCTTCCCACACAAAAACTACTGGTCCTACGAACAATTTAGACGCTATCTGTGTAGGCTTAGAAGCCTTGGAACAGACTGACATTTTCCAGCTTTGATATTTCACAAGTTATGAGTTGCTTCTTTGGCCTGAAAAAGCCTCCCAAGTCCAAGAAAAGCTACTTAAAGATGGCAGGATATGCATTTACTGTTAATATAACTGTTTAACGAAAGCGTGTGAACACGACCCAGCGCTACTGTGCCAAGGTGGCTGTCGCAGACAGCCATGCAAACATGAGGACCCCACCTTCGAGATTCCGAAGTTGCCAAACCGAGCTCAGGCATCTACAAGCAGCCAAGAGACAGGGCTGAATGGGGTTTTAAGAGCCACTGATTTTAGTGACAAAGAAGGCCAGTGCCAGTTCTAAAACTAAACTCTCACCGGGACGACTGTCTTCTGCAAACTTCACAGAACCCTTTTGCGTCCCGGAATGATGCCTTGAGCTGCAGAGAAAAGAAGAGAGGACAGCCAGGCATGCCCACCCTCCGGCCCCGGAGGCTCTGGGCCGATCGCTCAACCTACCTGGTAGGTGGAGGAGCTGGAGTCAGGCTGGGTGCCTAGTCGGGCCACCGAGTCCCCATGATAGGCGCGCGACCGAGACACAGCGGCCCGAGCACAGGGCCGCAGAGTTGACCTCAGCACGCCCCACATGGTGGTGGGGAGCTAAGAGCTAGGAGAGCGAGTAGGAGTCGTTTCTCCCCCCGGCAGATGTGCAGCTCGGGGCAGTTGCGCTCCGCCCGAGTCCTTGCAACACCAGTCCTGGTCCACCAGCTCCCGGGCCAGCCCCGCGCACGTGCCACAGCAGGCCACCTCCCATTGGTCGGTGCCGCGCGCCACGCCTCTCGACCCCTCCAATGAAGAACAGAAGAGCAGCTCCGCGAGGCCGGGTTCCATCGCGAGCCCAGCAGCACTGGGCTGAGAACAGAGAGCCACTGCAATCTGGGACAGTGGCTGCTATGACTCTGTGGGTGATGCGGTGATGTGCTTCTGTCACACGCCCCTAGACCCTCCACTGCACAGCACGTCTGATCGCTTTTAGAATGTGAAAGACTGGAGACACCAGTATTGGGATCTTCAGGAAGAGACCCTCAGCACACCCTTAAGGATTAAAGACACTAAGAAAGTGCCTTCTTAGTTTTTTGTTTATTTTCATTCACACACTTATTGAACACTTACACGCTATTACAGCAGGCTTGCTTAGAGGAGCAAAGTAAAGTGTCAGGAGCATCAGAAGGATGGACAAGCTAGAGAGAGGGTCGGTCGGCTATGGGCTGGGAGTGAATTTGGAACCACACTTAAAGGCGCTTGATGAGAGAACAGCACAAGTGACTACGGAGTGACAGATCGGGTAGGAATACCACACAACTGAGATGGAAATCAGGCAGGGCCGCTCGCTCTCTCTCTCTTTGGGGCTATGGACTTCACTAATTGGCAGCTTTATGAAAGAAGCCTGGCCCATAGAAAACTATGTAAACCGATAGATAAGACTTGCCAGTTTCGGTAGCTCACTAAGAGTCCCAGTTAGCTAAAAACTGAAGGGGTTTGGAGGGAAAAGGGATGGGTTCCAGAAGTAGCTAACTAGCTACTTAGCACTCTGTTGAGGAAGAGCACAGTCTCAAAACAAGAGAAATAGCTGTCACGGCTCCACGTTTTATTACACCCTGCAGCAAATAGCAGAAGCACCAGTATTGTTGCATCCTTTGCCGCAAATTTGAAGGAAGTATGTGGTGGTTTATGTCACAGCTGTGCAATTTAGTATCCTTTGAGGTAGTGTCTCTGTCTGTGCTGCTGGAAAGACGGTCTTAAACCAGCTCCTTGTAGGCATAGTGGTCCACGCCTTTAATCCCAGCATTCCAGAGGCAGAGGCAGGCGGATCCCTGAGAGTTAGAGGGCAGTCAAGGACTACTTAGTGAGATCCTGTCTCAAAAACATCAACAACAAAATAAGCTACCTCAAACTAGATTATTTATATACACAGAAATTTATCTGGAGAATGTGATGTCCACAACAAGGATCTCAGCAAGTATAACGCCTCCAGAGAGCCAAGTCTTCTAAAATGATGCCTTGAAGTTGCATCATCTAGAGCCCCACAAAAAAAACAGAGGGGTGGAAAGGGAAAAAACACCCTTCCTCAAGCCCTTCATAAGGACATCTAAGTCCCACTCATGAGAGCAGAGTCCTTGTGATTCAATCACCTGCTGAGAGACTATGCTTCTAAATAATCTAGAACTGAAAATTTCACCTGGTTGGTAGCATGAGTCTGGGGGACTCAGCAACCTATTGAGTTGATACTGGGGATGTTTACAAGCCAGTCTAGGCAACAGATTGAGACACGGTCTAAAATGAAGTGCTTGAACATGAATCTTGGAGACACAATTGTCACACAAATAGTGTTGGGCCGGTGGTGTAGCTAAATGATATAATGCTTGCCTAGAATGCAAAAGGTTCTGAGCGTCAACACACACACACACACACACACACACACACACACACACACACACACACACACACACACGAGAGGGAGGAAGATGAACAATGAACATGCCTACTGTATTAAACGGTGATACATTGAAGGAGTGACACTTTTTGTGTATGTGTGTGTATGGTGAGTGATGTATGTGCACGAGTGTGCAGGTGCACACAGGGAAGCCAGAGAAAGTCAGGTGTCCTGCTGTCACGCCCCCTTATTCCTTTGAGACCAAGTCTTTAGCTGAACTTGGAGCCAGAGGCTTGTGGCTAGGAAGCCTGTGGTCCTGTCACCCCTGCATGCATGCTGTAACCCCCAGGAACCAAACTTAGGTCCTCATACCTGTGCATCAAGTGCTATTATCCACAGAGCCCTCTACAGCCCAGCATTGATAAGGTTTTTAAAATCTAAGGAAACCAGGGCATATAAGTCAAATCAAAGTGAGGTTTGCCACAGAAAATATGACATAAGTATTCTACCTTGCTCTAAGCTGACACCCCAAGCCTTGCAGTGCAGAAGAAAACAACCTAAAGATTTGCATAGCATACAAGCCACATTAAAAACAAACAAACAAAAGAAAAAGAGTAGTTGACCTAGCATTGAGACCAAAAAGGTTCTAGTAATTCCAGCACTCAAGAGGTAAACCACTAGGGTCAGAAGCTCAGGGAAATTCCAGGCCTGAAATACACAAAACTGTCCAAAAACCATATTTTTAATTTCCTACTTAATTAAAATATGCATCACTTGCTCCTCGCACCCCTCCCATGGGCTCCCACCCCTCTTCCACTCCCTCTCAAATTCGTGTCTTATTCTTTACATGTACATAAATACATAAATGCAAACTGATGAGTGTGCTTAATGATACATGTTTGTAGGAAGGACTGAATATTTGGGATTAACTATAGGGATTTTAAGATTTATTTTTAATTATGTGTATGGATCAGTGACTGTAAATGAGTATGAAAACACAAGTGCAGTTGCCCAGAGGCCAGAAAAAAAGGCCTCAAAAAAAAAAAAAAAGTTCTCCTAAAGCTGGTCACACGAGGTGATGCTGGGAGCCAAACTCGGCAAGAGTAGTGCTTCTAGGAACTGAGCGATCTCCCATCCTGGATTTGTTTTCAGACACTGCTGTAGTTTGCTTGCCTGTCCTGATCAGTCTGTTATTAAGGAAGTCAGCCAGAACTCAAGGCAGGAACTCAAGCAGACAGTGGAAACACAGCCTTCCTGACTTGCCCAGCTTGCGTTTCACTTAACTCAGAGCGGCCTGCCCGGGGCTGGCACTGCACACAGTGATTAATCAAGAAAATATATACCCCCACACACACACTCATCTACAGGCCAATTTTTGGGAGGTATTTTCTCAGTTGAAGTTGCTTCTTCCAAAACAACTACGGCTTGTGTCGAGTTGGGGCGGGGCCGGGGGGGAGGTCAGCACAGATAGGATCTTGCTATGTCCAGGCTGAACTCAAACCCTCACTCAGCACCACACACATCTATGCAAGTTTTCACAAAAGTAGATATTAGAGGATATAGTTAATGCCTATGCCATCATAAGGAAAATAAAAATTTCTATTTCACCATATCTCTAAAAGTGAACAGACAAGTCTCTCTGTCTCTGTCTCTGTCTCTGTCTCTCTCTCTCCCTCTGATGATGGGACAAAATCCATGACAACTTTTTTTTTTTGGTTTTATGAGACAGGGTTTCTCTATATTGTTTTGGAGGCTGTCGGTCCAGCCTGGCCTCGAACTCACAGAGATCCGCCTGCCTCTGCCTCCCGAGTACTGGGACATGTACAACTTTTATGTATCTGAAGAAATGGCCAAACTAACAACTGATACTTGTCAATAAACACTTCAAAACTCCTGGTTTTTTGTTTTTTTAATCTCATGGCACTAAATCTTTAATTTCTCTCCTTACAGAGAAAACAAACTATGTGTGTTAGCAAGGGAGAAGCAAAAGATCTTGAGTTATTATATGTAAAAATCCATCAAAGAACAAATAAAAGAATAAACAAAACCTCAAATACTCAGGAAAGCCTATTTGCAAATTAAAAAAAGAACCTTCATAAGAAGCATCAAGAATTCTTCCTACTATACTATGTGCATTTTCTTTTTTTCACCTCTCCTCTCTCTCTCCTCTCCTTCCCTCTCTCTGTCTCTCTCCCCTCTTCCCCCTCTCTCAGATAGGGGTTCACTATATAGCCCAGTCAAACTCACACTCCTCTGCCCCTGCTTATGGGTTCTAGGATTTACAGATTTGAGCCACCACACCTGGCAATACTATATTTTTATAAAGTACAGATGATAACTGGAAACAGAAACTAATTAACTGAACACAAATATCTTGTTTGAAAAGGACAAAACAAAAATGATATAAAATAACTTTTATTTACATAATTTTTATCTACAGAATATAGAACTGCTTTCTTTAGAACAAGAAAATTTACAAATGACAGATATTGCTTCTTTTATCAAAAACTCCTTCAAGCAAGGCAGTATACATGGTCACTTGCATTTAGAAGAATGTGGTGGTTAACAGTGGATGTTAATTTTTATCTATGCCTTAATCATTTATCAACATAGACTTTTAACCCATGACTGGCCACCTGTTAAGATTTAAGTGATCAGGAGGAAAACTCAGGAAAAGGTACAGATCTTTAATCACATCTCCTTGAAGATTTATACAGCAAATTCCTGGCAACATCTTTACACCATCGCAGACCTTTCCCCCTTAAAGCTAAGACCCTGATTATGTTTCTTTTCCCAACACCTGCTTTGAGGCTGCAGCAGCAGGGCAATTTGTTGACTTGACTTGATTCTTTATACAACAAATGCTCTTCTATTCTTTACACAATAAATTACATCTTTCATAAAATCACTTTATTACAGGCGAACAAGAGACAGATGTTAAAAAAATAAATATTATACAGGGATAAATAATAGTTTAGTTGCGGTGATCTAACCCAAGTTAACAGTAAGAAACAACCTTTACAGAATATGAAATTTTTAAATTTACAAAAACAACACTGAAATAACAATGTGAATTACCCCCATGATTTTGTGACATTAATCACATGAATAGATGCATACTTTTGAGAATTTCCATTTAATTTATAGATCTTTCTTTATAACAGAGGTTAAACCACATATTTTACTTTAAGCCACAGAATGAGAAATATGCTCACAGTAAATGTCAGTGAATTAGCATCACTCTAGACTTACTGAGTCCTAGCCTCTTTCATTTAGAAACTTGAAAAGTGATCCATCATTTTATCAATATACAAAGATGAAACTTCCCTAGATGTGAAAAGATTTTTTTCAATTGAAGTACTGATCATTTCATAATACACTCAATAGTTTCTTTAATCTTAGGCACATTTGACAACTTCTATGACAAATAACTCCTAAATATAGACATCAGCACCATCAGACAAGAACCACTGTAGTCTAGGACTGGGAAAGCTCAGTTGGTAGAGGACTTGCCTAGCATGCGGGAAGCCGTGGGTTCTACTCCAGCACAGCATAAAAATGGTCATGGTGGTGCACTCCTGTAACCCCAGACCTGGAGTGAAGACTAGGGATGAAAGTTCAGAACACCCTCATCTACAAAGCTCAAGGCCAGTCTGGGACATGAAACCCTGTCTTCAAGGGGGAAAGGGAAACTTAGCCTACTGTGCGGGGCCTAAGTAAAAGTCCAGGCAGTCCTGCCCCTCACTCAGCACCCTTCTGCCAGTCACACAAACCAGAAGAACTGCACAGATGCCACTAGCATCCCTCAGTCTACAGCTCTAAAAAATACCTGTGGAAAAAGAGCTATGAGTTCTTTGAGGAGTTTAATTTGAAACAAGGAAAATCTGTTAGGAGAAGTAAGACACTTATATAAATGACTAAAGTCTCAAAGCTAAAAAAACACCTAAGTCCATACATAATGACGACAATCACAGTTTTACAAAGTTGTCCTGTCATATTTTCTACTTTAGCATCAGAATCATGTTCTGGGTTAAAAGCCTCCACATACTGTGAGCAAAATTTAGTAGGGGGGAAACAAATCTATCACTAGTTTTGTTGTTGTTGTTTTTTAAAGGAGCGTGTGTGTCTGTGTGAGTAGAAGATTGTTTTACACTGTCTCCTATGCTAAATTTTTTCTTCCAATGAAAATCCTGAGATAATAGAATAAAAAAGGAAAAAAATGCACAGTACAAATTCAATATACTAAAGTATGAGAAAATTATTCAAAATATAGACACTACCTAAACATTTTTGGTTATGACATTTTAAAACAGCTTTAAAAGTAAAGCAGAAAAGGAGACAACTTATTTGTTAATGTTTTCATTGGCCAAATCTGATAAGTGAAAATAATTAAATCGGGATATACTTTTAAATAAAAAATTTAAAAATAAATAATCTCTTTGATGTTCTGTCTTTATAAATAGCAAGCTTAAATACTAGATCTTCAATTACAACTAATGCTACATCACCATGAATTAGAAAAATACACATTTTTCAGCCAAATGGCTGATAATAGAAAAGTTTTAACTTTACCATACCAAAGTGGAGTTTCACAATTTGTTTTCATATACTTACAGGCAATTGAACAGACCTTCATCACCCTCAAAACAAAACAAACAAAAAGTCCCAAAACAAACAAAACCACCTTTACAAAAAGAAGGTCACTAATGTTAGATACAATCAGGCTCCAAGAATGTCAGCACTATGATTTATACAGATGTGGATCCACACAGTCCAGGTGCTCAGCACAGGGTGAATCAAATGTAAACAAGTTAAAATGTCTGTCAGAGAGAAAAGTCTTAATTGCTTGGTATTTCAGAATGAAATGTTTTCCACTGATTATAAAAGTTGCAAATTAAGCTCAATAAATATTCAAATTGACCTAATAAAAACAGGCAGTGGTGTTCTTCTAAACACTGCTTATTAACATCAGCGACTCTGGAAGTCTCAAACTTACTACAAAAATGGAAAGGAAAAGGGAAGAAAGTAAAACCCAGAAGAGTGCTTTATTCTGTTTCGTCCACTTCGATGAAGATGTCACTGAAGACAAACTCTGAGACTGTGGTCGCCTCCTCTTCAGATGCCTGTTTTGGTCCATTTTTACACTTTTCTTTTAGTGGTGGCTGATCAGAAGAAGCCTAGGAAGAGCATAAACTAGAATGTAACACAGTGCTTATACACTTTTCTTTTAGTGGGGGCTGATAGAAGCCTAGGAAGAGCATAAACTAGAATGTAACAGTGTTTACACGGCAAGTGAGGGCTGGGGCTGGGGAGGAGTGGTGCAGTGCTTGCCTATCTGGCATGCAGCCCTGGGCTCAATCCCTAGCCAACAAAGGGGAGAAAAGTGAACGCTTAACATTTAATAATAAGTAACATTTGTAGCATAATCAAGGAGGGAAGGGGGAGACATCTCAGTGGTTAGAGCATTTACTGCCTAAGAACAAGGATGACTATGGATGGATACCCAGAACCCACATAAATGCTAGGTAGGCACAATGGCCTGAGATCAACCTTAGTCTTCTACATATGTGTGCCCACATACAGGTGAAAACACATACACATGAGAAAAAAAAATTAAAGGAGGATAAATTTTTAATACCCATTATTAAGTATATTGTACTGTTTCACCTCATCCCGATTCTCAGGAAAACAAATGTGAACATACAGAACAAAAATCACTGTTAAATATGCACCTAAACAATTTAATTGCTAGAGTAAGAAGAGAAGATCACGTCATAGATTAGCATATTCATAAATCCATTTAAAAATACCATTAAGACTGGCACATGAACCACACACACAGTTTTTTCCTCGTGTGAGAGAGAGAGAGAGAGAGAGAGAGAGAGAGAGAGAGAGAGAGAGAAGACAGACAGACAGACAGACAGACAGACAGACAGACAGACAGATTTATGTGCATCAAGACTGATTGACTGATTTGGTTTTTCAAGACAGGGTTTCTCTGTGTGGCCCTGGCTGTTCTGGAACTCACTCTGTAGACCAGGCTGGCCTCAAGCTCAGAGATCTGCCTCTGCCTCCTGAGTGCTGATATTAAAAGTGTGTGCTGCTGCACAGTTTTAATTTTTTTTTTTAGTAACTTGTACATATGTGTGTATGCCTGCAGGAACTAGTTTCAGAACAGTTAAGGCTACATATTGAGATCCTGTCTCCAAAAAATAATAAAGTTTTATAAAAATGAGGAAAGTCGAGGTATTCAATAAATATTGACTACTGACTATATAATCATGTGTTGGAAAGTTAAACCTATACACAAAAAAATTCTAATGAAGCAATGGCTCAAATGTAAAAATATTAAAACAAAACCTACTGTAACAAGTCATAACAAGACATTTTCACCACCTAAATTGAGGAGAGGGCTTTCTCCTGAAATGATTTAAAAATCAAAAGGCAAAAAGGTTCTGACAAATTCACCTACATAAAACTAAAAAATTTGTGCATGATAAAAGCAAAAGTAAACAAAATATTAACATATATGGCATATAGAAAAACACTGCAGCCAACAGCACAAAATGTACCCTTCCCTTAATAGTCTTAACACCTCTACAAATCACTATGCATAAAATATGTATTATATATAATTATAATATATATGTTCATATATAGATTAGCTTTTCTTTTTTGTTGTCGTTTTTTTGTTTGTTTGTTTGTTTTGTTTTTTGAGACAGGGTTTCTCTGTGTAGCCCTGGCTGTCCTGGAACTCCCTCTGTAGACCAGGCAGGCTTTAAACTCACAGAGATCTGCCTGCCTCTGCCTCCCGAGTGCTGGGACTAAAGGTGTGCGCCACCAATGCCTGACTACAGATAAGTTTTTCTAAAAAGTGAAATACCAGAAAACAATATGAATGACTCACATAGAAGTTAAATCTCAGACAATAAGAGTATTGCTAATAAAGGCTAGAGAGAAGGCTCAGTGGTTAAAAGCACTGACTGCTTTTTCAGAGGACCAGGGTTTGATTCCCAGGACCCACATGGCAGCTCACAACTGTCTGTAACTCTAAGATCTGACACCCTCGCATACCTCACACAGACACGCAGGCCTATAGAGAATGAACTGGCATGGTGTTACACTTCTATAATCTTAAACCCTTGGATTCCAGGTAAAGGCCATCTGGGGCTACAAAACAAGATCCTGATCTCAATCCAAAAAAAAAAAAAAAGTGTGTGCTGGGGTGGGGTCAGAGGGTGCATTGGTAGTGTAACAGCTGATAACACAGTAACTGGAATGAACCCTTACAGATAGAGTAGGCAGTATCATTCATCATTCCTTTTGACCAAGCATTTCTAACTGTATCTATTACAGAACAAATATTTGTAGAACTCACTGTAAAACCCAGTATTCTATACTGTTCTACTAATAACTACAGAGTCTACAGAGGAACAAGTAAAAGGAGCATAACTAGGCAAACCTAAATGCCTAATATAGAATTAGAATTACTAAGCAGTACAACCCAATAATGAAATACCACATGGTCCTCACAGGCAGACCAGAGTGTGGTGGCACAAGCCTGCACTCCCACATTTAGAAGACTGACTCAAGAGGATTAAGCTTAGTTCTTGAGATTTCTGTCTCAAAAAAAAAAAAAAAAAAACCAACGATGAGGATACTTTTTGACATTCATCACTAAAATAAACATGTTTATATGCAGACATACACAAGTGTTCACATCACCTCTGCTTACAATAGAAAAAAACTTAAAACAAGTCTTTAATCCCAGCAGGCGGACAGAACTCTGAGTTTAAGGATAGTCTGGTCTTCATAGTGAGATCCAGGCCAGTCGTAAAAACACCAGTTCAAATAAAAACAAACAAAAAGACAATGTGGCACATCCACACCACAGAACACTATTTTGCAGCAAAGTAACAAGCTACCAGCGCCAGAAATAGAGAAAGCACAATTTCTGACCAGGCCAGTCTGAGCTACACAGTGAATTAAACAAGACAATTCAAGCTATATAATGAAATGCCATCTCAAAATAATGAATAAAAATAAAAGTAAAACAAGCTTGATGGGGGACGTCCTTCTATATGCTGTGAATTATGTATATCTTATTGACCGCACCCAAATGTTTGTCAAGAATTTCCGAGCAAAACCTGACAAAAACTTAAAAAGAGATTCTGAACACAAAAGAACAGAATCAAGCATGGGTTCTTGGGAGCAGCATTTCCTCAGGTGGGCTGTGTGCTAGAGGCAGGCAGAGGCACGTGACTCCTTTAAGAGAGGCTTCTTGATTCAGCACTAGTGACAAAAAACTGCAAGGCTCTTTTACACTTAAATGGAGTTTATGAGCAGCCAGCAGCATGCTTCTTGGTGGTGACACGGACCTAGAACTCAGCAGAGTTGTGGCAATAAGCATGGCTCCCACCAGTACCTCTGTCGTGAAGCTAGACTCTCAGGAAAGGAAGGAATGTGGCAGGGCCAGCTGCAGCTGTAATCCTAGCCATGCAGTTTAGCACATTAAAGATTCATGTGGTCAGAAAAGGTTAGAGATATATAGTAAAGATTGATTCAGAAGAAGAAAAATGTCTAAATGGTTTACAGTGTGTTTAAAAGTATACATAGGCGCCGGGCAGTGGTGGCGCACGCCTTTAATCCCAGCACACGGGAGGCAGAGGCAGACGGATCTCTGTGAGTTCGAGGCTAGGCTGGACTGACAGCCTCCAAAATAATACAGAGAAACCATGTCTCGTAAAAAAACAACAACAACAAAAAAGTATACATAGGCTTGAGAGAGAAAAGGGAAAGGATAAAAGTCCTTAAAAAGAAAGAAAGCAGTTGGGTGTGGTGGTGCACGCCTTTAATCCCAGCACTTAAGAGGCAGATTGATCTTTGTGATTCCAAGGTGAGTTCCAGGACAGCCAAAGATACACAAAGAAACCCTATCCCCCCAAAAAACAAAAAACAAAATAAAATAAAACAAATAGAGCAATAAAAAAGGCCATGTGAAGATGGAAAACACACAGAGAGTCTGGATACTGTATGTTATTGTGCTGTCTTTGAATTGTTTGAGTGCTGAGGAGGGAGCAACAGCTGCTAACAGGCATTTGATTATAAACGCTGCTGGATTAACCCAATCTATATATTGTGAAAATGTCTTGACTTCAAAATTTAAGTCTAAGGACAAGTTACTTTGGAAACTGTCCAAACTGGACAAGCAGGTTACAAAGAAAAGTGACCGCCGAACTTGCCAAGGGACAGGATGGTACTTCAAGGCTCCTGCTTCATCAAGAAGTGTACCAGGCATTTTGGGACTATAGGCTGAAGGGGGATGCCCCAAAGTTACAGAGGAACTTCGGGTGACTGTCCAGACAGCGAGATATCTCTGTCAATTCTAGAGTTTATATATTATCCTTTTGGGGTCTTTGATGGAATTGAAGACACATAGTTATGGCTAGGCTTTCCTTAGTTTTGATAAAAGATACATGACATATAAAATTTTTTACTCATAAAGACAGGCTAGATGATAAAATATTTTCTTTAAATTCTGCCAAATGTTCATCAACTAAATATTGCTAACTATACTTCTTGCTTAATAACTGTTTTGTTATATATAATTTTGTTATGTTAAAGTTAAAACCTTCCTTTTTATTTAGACAGAAAAGAAGAGATGATGAGGGATGTCCTTCTGTATGCTATGAATACATGTTTCTCTTATTGATTGATGAATAAAGCTGTTTTGGCTAATGGACAGTATTTAGCCAGGCATGAAATCCAAACAGAGACAGAAAGGTAGTAGGCAGAGTCAGGGATATGCCATGTAGCTGCAGAGGAAGCAAGAAACCCTGGCATCAGCAGTAAGCCAAGACCACATGGAGACACACAGAGTAATAGAAATGGGTTAATAATTAAGAGAGAGCTAACTAACAAGAAGCCTCAGCTATCAACCAGTTTATAATTAATCTTAAGTCTCTGTGTGTTTATTTGGGACCAAACAGCTGCAGGACCATATGGGACAGAAACTCCATCTAAACAAACTAACAGAAAAATCAACAAATCATTGTATATAAAACTATCTGAATGAATATTCAGGACGCTATGCTGGGCGGGGGGACCTAATCTTAAGTGTGTAATTCAATTCATGTAACATTTCTGAGATGCAGACTAAACGAGTAGACTGTTAAGGAGGGAGTGGAGTGGGAGGAAGCAGCCCTGTCTGAAACATGGACAACTCAAAGGGTCTTGGTAGCTATCCTAAACCCTGTCTGGGCCAAAGTCAAAGTTGGAACACCAGTTCGCAAAATGTGAGCACTAAGGAAAACTGGGTAAGAGGTGGACAGAATTTTTTTGTATATACCTTGCAACTGCAACAAAATTACAATGATCTCAAAATGAAAATTTTGAAAGAAAGCAAACTTTGAGAAAGAGAAAGCTCCTTATCATTTCACTAAGGACTGGAATTTCTTATTGTTTGTTTATTTGCACAAAGGCCAGATAGAAAATAGAACGTCATTTATATAAAAGGGGGGATCTGGATATGATAGCAAAAGCTGGTAATACCACTACCACAAAGCTGTGGAAAGGGAATATTCCAATACTAAATTCTTTTTTAATATGTAGATTTTAAAACAAAGAAAATACTCATATTTTTATTTTGAAAACAAAAAAACTCAGCCACCTTGAATTTTGCCTCACATTATACACCAAAGTCAATAGCCATACACAAAGTAAAATCTTCAAAACTGATTATTAAAATTTTCATATAAAAACCTTTTAATAAAGTCTTCCATGTTTTGCTGTCACAACCTACCCCAGGCTGGCCTTGAACCTACAACCCTCCTACTTTGGCCTCCCTTGTGCTTGTTATAGGTATAAACTAACACATTCATCCAGCTGGAGAAAAATTCCTAGTCAAAGGCTCTTAGAGAGCAATAAATAAATAAACAAACAAACGAACGAACTGATGATACAACTGAGAAAATTCTAGTAAATATATTTTTTAAAACCCAAGTCACAATTCCAGCACTCGGGAGGCAGAGGCCGGCGGATCTCTGTGAGTTCGAGGCCAGGCTGGACCGACAGCCTCCAAAACAATACAGAGAAACCCTGTCTCGTAAAAACAAAACAAAACAAAAACCAAAAAACAACAACAAAAAAAACCCAAGTCACTAGTAATTAAGGAAATAAAAATTCAAACAACGTAGTAACATCACCCCCATCATTTTTAACAAAAAAATGAGAAGAATTATTTTGAGATTAATATATAACGATGGCAATGCTATCATTACTCTGGCACCATCACATTGCTAACAGACAAGCATTCTGTAAGACACCCTGACAATGATGCAAATGCTCATGAAATAGCTCATTGGTAAAGCATTTTCCTAGAATGCATGAAGCCCCAAGTTAAAACCCCATCACTGTAGGAGAATTAGTAATAACACTATTTTAGCAGTGATAAGTCAGTATGTAGAAGTCACAGGTTTTAAACACTTTAGGGGAACTAGTAACAACACTATTTTAGCAGCAACAATCAAGTATGTAGAGGGCACAGCTTTCTTCATCCTAGTCCTTGCCATCAGACAGCTTCAGAGAATATAGACACAACATACAAACAATTACACCGCTTTGAAATTTTGCATGCCAGAACACTTTTCCTAAGACAAATAAAACTATAAACAGTGCTTCATTTTGCTTCCACAGATCAGCAGAGTCTTTGGATTGAAGAGATGGCAATTAAGTAGTCCATGTATGGCTAGCTTAATACCTCATACTACATGAGCTGCATTTTTGTGATAAATGGAAGTTGTACTAAAATAATCCCTGACACATAACTAAAAATAAGCTGCTACATCTCCCTAGTTGAGATGATCTATATCTCACAATGAAATACAACAGTTCTCACATACCTGAGTGGCTGAACTTCCAGTAGTATCAGTACTACTTGGAGATGGGAGGGGATCAGAAGATTCATTTTCTTTCTGGTTTGCATTAACTAGATTAGATTTTTTCAAATTTCGTCGTGATACAGGTATATGAGGTTTTAGGCGTTTCTTACTATGGGTTTGAGTCACTTCATCAGAGTCCAAACTATTTTTGGGACATATTAAAGACAAAAATCCCAAAGGTCTTCTGCCAGGTCTAGAAATGAAAATGCAAAGATATTCAACAAATCTGCACACCTACATATGTACACAGACACTCTTTCTCTCTCTCTCTCTCCCTCCCTCTCTTCCTCCCTCCCTTCTCCCCATCTCTCTCACCCATCTACCCTGGTTTTGTTGTTGATTTACAGAAGGTCTTTCTATATGTAATTAAGATCTTCCTGCCTCAGCCTCTGTAATGCTACAGGCACATATTACCACACTCAGCAAGGCACATTCCTGTATCAGGTGGTGGTGGCACACACCTTTAATCCCAGCACTTGGGAGGTGGAAGCAGAAGCAGATGAGTTTAAGGCCAGCAAGGTCTATAGAGCAAGTTCTAAGACAGCTAGAGCTACACAGAGAAACTCTGTCTCAAAAAACAAAAACAAACACACAAACCAAAAAAATGAAAGGAAAAAAAAAAGACACATTCTTGACATAACTTTATTTCTATTAATGCTAAAGTGGTACACTTTACTACTTACTAGTGACACTATACTATGACATGTATCTGTGACAGATTCAAGGTTGTCCAAGCTTAAAAACACATGCAAATCACCTGGGGATGTTATCAAACTGGAACTCTGAATTTGAAACAGGTGCAGCCTGAGTCAAATGACATCCACAGTGCAAACTCTGACTAAGTTTTAGGATGCACATAGCATCCATGGCACAGCCATTTCTGTGCTGCAAATGGAACAGGGCAGCTACAACAGAAACCACATGGCCACTGAAGCCTAAGCATGTCCTGTAGGAACTTGTTCTGATGCAGTTTATTAGCCTACCCGCACTTCTGCTTCTCAACTTGTTTTAAACCTGGTAATACTCTCTTACCCTTTTCAAATATCAGTAAGCCCTAAAGGTCAGAAAAGATATTAATGAGTCTTACTTTCTGCATTTAAAGATATCAATAATAATAATAGCAATAAAAATAATAATAGATGAAATAAGCCCTTTTTTTTGTTGTTTTAAACAGGGTTTCTTTATGTAGCCCTAGACCAGGCTGGCTTCAACTCAAGACATCTGTATGCCTCTGCTGCCTCTCAGGTGCTGGACCTAAAGGAGTGAGCTGCTACTGCCAAGCTAACGCTTGCTTGTTTGAAGAAGGGGTCTCGATGTATAGCTCTGGCTGTTCTCGAACTTGTTGTGTAGACCAGACTGGCCTCAAACTCAGAGATCTGCCTGCCTCTGTCTCCCAAGTGAAGGGATTAAAGATGTGCACCATCAAGCCCAGGTTGAAATTAAGGACATGCATGTCTTTTCCACTTAGTGGAGGATAGTGCCAATTATCCTCAAGTTACCAAGTTAAAGTTTCTGATGCAGTTGACAAGCCAGCAATTACTAATTACCCTAAAGGTATTAGGAAAACAATGTGGCAGCAGCAGATACTGGACCTAAAGAGAAACCCATATTAAAAGACATAAAAATGCCATATTATTTAGAAATTGAATAAAACAACTTCCAACTCTGTTGTCTCATCTCATCAACACATTTATGCTTCATACAACACAATATGTAATGACTGTGAACAATGACTGAGCACACTAGAAAAGAAGTGTAATATGTTCTAAGGTTGCTGTCTGAGACAGCTTCAGTAAAGCTAAGCTCTGGTCATACAGAATGCATATCTACAATTATTTGTGCATGTGCTGAACATCTTCCCTTCATATAACTGATGGAGACTATATTTACAAAGCAAATAGGCACTGGGTTTTATGCTTTGTTTATGCATGTTACATATGGTTTCTACTCATCCGGGGACAGGGGAATAGTCACTAAAGAATTTCTAACAATACCTGGTCAGAGGGGGTTTTGAAGACGATGTCATGCTATCCCTTTGTTCAGAACTGGAAACAGGACCAGTTTTCTCTTCTTTATCAGACACCATCTCATCCTGAGGCAACTGAGTCATGGTCTTTTCCACACATGCATCTTTTATTTCATTAGGAGATCTCACTCCTGCATTCTGAAAAGTTGGTTCATTGTGTTCCTTTTGAGGTTTGGGGGTTGTGGGTGTACTCTCTGAGGCAGGGAAAATGCCTTGTCCCACGCAAGACTCCTCTTCAGAGAAAAACAGAAAGAGAATGTACATATTGAAATATTAAAAAGCAGTCAATTAAATTGGAGTATCTGAAGGAAAAACCTTATGGTGTTCTATAAACAAATATAGCTCAGCAAAAACAATCTATATTATAATCAGTGGCGTGGACTATTAGGAATTACCAGTTAAAGTAAGGCATGGAGGTGTAAATCTATAATCCCAGCACTCAAAAGGCTAAAACAACTGCTGCATGAGTTGGAGGACAGTCTAAGCTACACAGAGTTCTAGGATGGCCTGTCCTATAGAGTGACACACTATATTTAAAAGAGAAGAAAAGGAGAAAAAAAAGTCAAAGAAAAATCATTTGGGGAAATGGAGGTTGCCAAGGTAGTGGATCAACAACAGCCTCCATGTGACATCAGGATTGACCAGTCAGGAAAACAAGGTATAAACTCTATCCCCAGGAAAAAAACAGCAAGAATATTAGCAAGCAGGAAAGATATCATAGGAGAGCTGAAAAGCATGCAGTAAAAGAAAGGCTAAGCAACAAGAACAAGGAACCGAGGCCAGCATCTAGGAGGCAGAGGCAGGCCCATCTGTGAGGTCAGCCAGCCTGCTGTATGCACTGAGTTCCAGGCCAGCCAGGGCTACATATTGAATCTCTGGGTGTGGTGACACATGTCAGAATCCCAGCAGTTGGGAGGCAAAGGCAGAAAAAAATGCCACAAGTTCAAGAAAAGTCAGGAATAGACAATGAAATCCTGTCTTAAAAAACAAAACAAACAAGACCCAGAATTATCTGCCCCACCAATGTGCGAATTGCCAAAAACACAAGAAACATTAAAAGGCAAGTTGCATGACTCCCCCTGCACTGGGAAAATGTATGATGAAGAACTCAAGTCTACTAGTAAAAATGATCCCTGATTTCAAAGACACAAACAAGTAAATAAATGAAGTACAGAAATCAATCCAGAACCCAGAGGAGATTCAGAAACAAAGACATGAAAGCAAGCATGGAAACTGAGATTTTTGAGGGATGGGAATAGAGGCAGGGGAAGAGCAGGGATAGGCAGAATGAAGAACACAAATAAAAATGTTAGAAATCAAAAAGTGAACTAAATTAAAACCACAGTGGAAGCCAGGTGGTGGTGGTACCCACCTTTAACACCAGTACTTGGAAGGCAGAGGCAGAGGTAGGAGGATCTCCAAGAGTTCAAGGTTAGCCTGGCCTACACATTGAGTGCCAGGAGAGGCTCCAGGGTTCAGAGAGAAACCCTGTCTTGAAAAACCAAAGGGGGGAATAAAGTTACAGTGGAAAGCATTAACAATAGACCAGACCATCCCTCTCCCAAAGATACTACTAGTAAAAATATACATGCAACCGTAGTAATAGAAATTGCATTAACATAAATTCAAACATGTAATGCAATGGAATAAAGAAATAGAAATACATATATAACTACAGACACCTGATTTTCAACAAAGGAACTAAAACATTGGAGAAAAGACAGCCTAGTCTTTTCAACGAATAGTGCTGAGAAAACTGGTTACTGTCACACAGAATGAAGCTAGTTAGCTATCTCTTATCCTGTATAAAGCTCAATTTAAAATGTATCAAAGATCTTACTGTAAGTCTGAATTACCTGGAGTGAAACATAAGAAAAATACTTCAAAGCACAAGCACAGATAAGGGATTTTTAAACAATATTATTTCTCTTCAAATTTAGTTATCTTAGGCTTATCATGTACCTTTTTACCCATGGTAATGGCTCTTTAAAAATTACTGCCAGTGGCATAGTAGAGAGTAAAAAGAGAGGTTCAGTGACAGGAGATATTAGATAAAAAGGAGTAAGGCTTTACTTCAAGCTCAAAATGCATCAGAAATAATCAGAGGTACTTAGTAAATATATTTAAATTGATCTCACTCACCTGCTTTCTCAAAAACATTTAATTCCTTTGAACATACCTGTTTCAAGAAAACATATAAAAAGTTTTAGAACTCCATCTATTAAATCAAATTAAAATTCTATCCCTTCCATCATGCTATAGTAAAAGCTCTAGAGTCAGGCAGAATTATACCACTAATTAAACATTTGCAAAAAAGATGCACTGTTGATAAACTACTCTAGAGCACAGAGGAAAAATAAAAATTGTCAAATATCTTATATCTCAGGCATAATATTGATACCAACTGCCAAATTTCAAAATATATCAAATGAAACAATTTTTCATGTTTATGGTGCTGAGTATCCAAGTCAGGTCTCACACAAGCTAAGGAAGTGCTGCTCTACTTAATGAGGTACATTTCTGACCCTCAACTCAAACACCTTTAAAACGATCCAATCAACAAACTAATACATCATGGCCAATTAGTAGTCTGTTTCAAAAATGTAAAGATGATTCAACATGATAAAAGACTACTTTATAACTTTACAAAGTCAAGAGGAGAAAAATTATATTTATTTATATAACTATTCATTCTTTAGGGAAAAGGTTAAAAAAAAGAAAAAAGGACTCAGGGTTTTATAATGTTTCCCAAACTGACTTTCAAACTGTTGGACTCAAACAAACAAAGTATATCATATGCTACTTTGGGTTGAAAACAGTGAAGGAGAAGCTGACTGTGGTAGCAATTATCTATAACCCTGTCCTGGAAGGCAGAGGCAAAATAATCTTCAGTTTGAGTCTAGCATGGGCTACATAACCAAATCTTTTATCTCAAAATAAAGAAGAGAAAGACAGGGAGGAGCTTTGCATGCACAATATTTTATTGTTAAAATAAAAACAAAGCTTATAAAACAAACTAGAAAATAAGGCTAGCAGACATTTTCCTCTTTTCTTTTTTTAAATCTTACTATTCTTATGAATATGAATATCTTGTCTGCATAATATGAGTGTCTGATGCCCTTGGAGGTCAGAAGAGAGGATCAGAGCCATTGGGACAGGAGTTACAGATAGTTGTGAATGGTCATGTGGGTGCTGGGAATCAAACCCAGGTGCTTTTAACTGATGAGCCCACTCTTGAGTCCATACACTTAATATATTGATAGCAATGTACATATTTCACTTGTATTTTACAGTTTTAAATGAATGGGGAGGGAGTTCGTGTGGGCAGAGGTAGAAGACAACCTCTGGTGTCTTCCTCGGGAATATTAATCACCTTTCTGGAGACAAGTCACTTATCGGCCAGCTGCTTACCAGTAAGCCTAGATGCTTAACTCTATGGCTCCACTGTTTGTCTGCCTAGCACTAGAATTATAAGCAGCAACCACACCTGGCATTTTCCCTTCAGTGATGGAAACTGAACACAGATCCTCATGCTTTAACTCAAGAACTGTGTCTACTGAGTGTTTACCTTGCCCCCACAGTTATCACTTTTGAAAGGAATAACAGGCAATCTAGATTTGCTATCGTAATTCACTAAAGGTAGTGGCTCACACTTTAATCCCAGTGATCAGGAGGCAGAGGCAGGTGGGTCTCTGTGAGTTCCACATTAGCAGTGTCTACAAGGCTACATGGTAAGACCCTGTCTCAAATAAAAAAAGCAACAAAACAAATACTTATAAACTATCGGTTTCCCAGTTACCTGATATTCTGTGCGTGTACTTCTAGGGATTGAACCCAGGGCACATTGAATGCAAAGCAAGTGTTCTACTGCTGAGCTATGCCTCTTGCTGAAATCGAGTTTTACAATACCATGTCTTTAAGAGAATGCTAACAAACCACTGAAGCCACTGAAACCATTCACTCTCTAATTTTAAAAATTGTTCACTAGAAAGCTTGGTAAGGGGGATAGGGAGAGATAGCTCAGTGGTTAAGAGCATTCGTTGTTCTTGCAAGGGACCTGGATTCAGTTCCTAACCTCCACATGGTGAATCACAACCACCTACAACTCCAGTTTCAGGGGATCCCATACCATCTTCTAGTCTCTGTGGCACGAGATACACACATGGTACACTTATATATATATGAAGGCAAAATACTCATACATACAAAATAAAATAACTAAGGCTAAAAAGAATTTCTTAAAAAACTAAAGTTATGGTGAGTAATATTAAAGTTAATTGTACTGCCCAAGCCACTGGTCCCTCACAGTGTACTCATTAAAGCATTTTTCCCTATAACAAAGCAAATTTAATCAGTGGGTCACAAATTGTGACACATAACTATAATCTAAATATTCTAGACCTTCGGGTCGAGACCCCTTTGAGGGGTTGGATGGTCCTTTCATAAGAATCACATATCAGATATTTACATTATGATTCACAACAGTAGTAAAATTACAATTATTAAGTAGCAAAGAAGTAATTTTGTGGTTAGGAGTCATGACATGAGAAAGTATATTAAGAGGTTATAGGAAGGTTGAGAACTACAGCTTTACACACTGAAGCAGGGGGTTGAGTCCAGTCTGTGAGACCCTATCACAAACAAACAATCACAGCATAAAGAACCTTACACACACACACACACACACACACACACACACACACACACACACACACACACACGAGTTTTGTGTCACTTCTGATAAAACCATACAATAGCCAGGGATCTAATACATGACTATACTCTCATCACCAGCAAAGCTGAGGCAAGACAATTATGATTTGAGGACAGCCTGGGCTACCCCAAGTTCCATATCAATCTGAGTTTCACAGTTAGACTCTGCCTTAGAAAACAAAACACCAAAATATTTGTCAACAGACCTGGGGTATAACTCAGTGGTAGAACACCTGTCTAACCTGTCTATCATGGAAGAACCAGACCCTAGATATAGTTCCCAGCAATGCAAAAATAAGCAATAGACAATAAACAAAAGAATCTCTCTGTTTTAGCTTCGCTTTCTACCTTCTAATTCAAAGCCCAATGTGCGACAATGTATAAAAAAGCAAAGTAAAGCAGAAAAAGTTATTTTTTTTAAAATCTGCATAAAAAGATAGTTTAAAATGTAAAAAAAAAAAACCTAAATACTTCTATCTCACTAACATTTACATAAATTTAAAAAACAGAATCTTTCAGATCCATTAAGAAAAATGTCATGACAGGTGTGGTGGCACAGGCTTTTAATCCCAGCACTGGGTGGGGGAGGGGGCAGAGGAGACAGATCCCTGGGCCAGCCTGGTCTAGAGATTGAGTTCCAAGACAGACAGGGCTACATAGAGAAGCCCTGTTTTTTTCTTTGGGTTTTTTTTTGGGGGGGGGGCAAGAAATAAAAAGATCAATAATACATTTAAAAACTAAGTAAAGAATATAAAAGTCATTTCACAGAAATAAGTAGTCTTGAGCACATTAAAAGATGCTTACTTTTACCAATAAACACAAAAAATTAAAAATATGGAATACCAGGACTGGTGAGATGGCTTAGTAGTTAAGAACACTAGCTGTTCTTCCAGAGGACCCGGGTTCAATTCCCAGTACCCACATGGAAGCTCACATGTCTATAATTCCAGTTCCAGAAGATCTCACACATGCATGCATACATACATACATACATACATACATACATACATACATACACCAATGCATGTGAAATAATAATTAATAAATAAAATTTAAAAAAGAATAAGGAATACCAATTTTTTTCCTATCAGATAAATAAGTGATACCTTCTTTGTCTACTACCAAGAACTGCTGGCCTTCAACTCTTCCTTTGAGAACATTTTTAAACTGATTTTTCACAGAGAAGTTACAGATTACAACCAATATCAGAAACGTAACAAAAACAAGAGGGTCTAGGAAACTAACAGTGAACAGACGGCATCTATGAGGAATGACTGGACTCCCTGAGGCAGTGGTAACTGAGCTAAGTCTGCGATGTTTCATACGGAAATGCTCCGCACAGATGGGAAACAAGTTAAATGCTCAGGACGTGACAGGTTTACAGAGCATTAAGGAACTAAAGAGGGCCGATGAGGCTAGACAGTGAGATGGAGACTAGCACAGAATGACCTTAGACAGAATGGAACACAGAGGGCCTTAGAAGATATGGTTGTACTCCTGAGAACAAAGGAAAGAGTAACACGTGATGAGGAAGATATTACTATTATTGTTGACACATCAGGAAATTCATTTAGAGCCCTGAAGGTGTCAATCTACAGTCCAGAGTCACTAGGTGGGGGTAGAGTGAAGATCCAAACTGACATGAAACTATTGGCGCATATATGCAAGTGCAAAAGTTCAGGGGCAGATGGAAAAGAAGAAACAGACCCTTGGCAATACGGCCAAGGCACTTGGTTGGTTAGTAATCTAAGCTCACCTCAGAGGCACACTCTTGACAATCAATTCCTGGAGTAACTGCAGACTTTTTGGCAGGAGGTACAAGAATGTTTTCATCAGGACCACAATGAACTCTCTTCCTGGATATAGGGTCCAATTTAGCAGGGAGCTTTTCAGAATCACTACTTCCAGATGATAAGCATATGGCATCTTCAACAACTGAAGTTGCTTGTAAATTCCCACTGCATAAGAACAATACATGCAAAACCAGTGAATCAGAATCTACTTAATGAAGTAATTATTCCAATAAGAGGTCTACTGAGTACAGGAATACAAGCTAGCAAATAATTGTCACAGCAACAAAAATAACAGTTTGGAGTGCATTCATACTTAAAGGCTCACAACTTCAATTCAACAATACTGAATTAAATCTACAGAACATATATAGTTTTTTCCTTGCCTGTAAATCTTCAATTCTCAAATAACTTTACAAGTTTCACAGGAAGAAAAGTAGTATATTAGATCATATCTCAAAAACAAACAAAACAAAATAAAACTGTATAGCAAATACAGTTTTTGGTTGTTTTTGCTTGTTTGTGGCTTTGAGACTGGATATTTCAGGTAGCTCTGGATGCTCTGGAACTCTATATACAGCCCAGGCAGGCCCATGCTTCTTTAGTGATGGGATAAAAGGTGTATGCCACCATACCTCTCCAAGTATATATGTTTAAATGACATCTTAAATATAAAAACATATTGTCTCCTCAAAGCTACTACAAAATTACTAAATAAGATTTCCACAACAGCCACCATCAATCAGTGAATGCCACAGTACTCAATGTTATAAAAGAAATAACACTGATGTGGAAAAGGAAAAGAAAGGCTCCAATAGAGTAATAGTGTCTTTCCTTACCCAACTCTCAACAACATAGATCAACTAGACAGACAAAATACCCACAAATATATTAAATTGTACTAAAATCAAATGGGTTTACACACAGAGATTTAATAATACACCCACACAAAAATTTGATTAAAGAAATTAGAAGGGAAAATAAAAATTACTAGAATCGGGGGATTTGGAAGATGGTTTGTCAGTAGAGTGCTACTGTAAGGACAAGGCCCTGAGTTCAATTCTTCAGAGCCCACATAAACAGCCAGGTGCAGTAGTGTGTGCCTGTGACCTCAGAGCTTTTATTTTTTGATGGGGGAAGGGGCAATAAGACATTGGCCAGTCAGGCTAACTAAATCAGTGAGACACCTGTCCAAAGAAAAATACAGGGTAAGGGGCTCCGCAGTTAGGAGTTCTTATTTCTTGACCAGGTATAATGGTACACTCCCTTAATACTAACGCACAGGATGCAGAAGCAGAGGCAGGTGGATCTCTATTGAGTTGAGATCAGCCTGATCTACACAAAGAGTTCCAAGACAGGCAAGGTTAAATAGACTCTATCTTAAAAAAAAAATCAATTAACCAAACAAACAAACAAAAGGCAAGAGGAGATGGAAGAGGAGGAAGAAGAGCCAGCCAGTGGTGCTGATAAGAAGCCCTAGATATTGGCTAGCTCTGTCTTAAGAATTAACCCATTACTAATATATATATATTTTCTATACGGTCTTATCTTACTGAGAAAGCCAGACTCATGTGTCCTCTCCTCCAGTGATCACATGGCGACTTCCTACTACATTTCACAGAATCCTCCTTCTCTCCTAGTCCCGCCTATCTTGCTTCCCTATTGGCCAACAGTGTCTTATTCATTAACTAGTAAGAGAGACATTCACAGAAGTACTTCCACCATCAATGGACCAACATCCTTGCTAAATACAATGCAGAAATCTTCATTAAATATTTGTAGAAATAATTACATAAGCACTCCTCTCTTGTAGCCCCTCACACTCTCTTGAGTTCTTTCTTACTTTTCCTTAAGCTATGTTTACTCAGCTGAAAACCAAAGTATCTTTTTAAAAAAGCATATATAATGATCAAGTGATCGAGTTGACTTCATTCCAAGGAGTGAGGACGGCTTAATATATACAAATCAATAAGAAGAGCGTATAATTCAGTCAAGAATAAATATGACATAATCACCTCAATAGATGAAGAATTAAGTCTCTGATAAAATTCAATATACCTTTATGATAAAAAAAAACCCTCAATAATTATGTATAGAAAGAGGATATTTGCTTTTAGTCCCAGCACTCAGGAGGCAAAGGCAGACAGATCTCTGTGAGTTCAAGGCCAGCCTGGTCTACAGAGCAAATATCCAGGACAGCTTCCAAAACAATGCAGAGAAACCCTGTCTCATTAAACGGGAGGGAGAGAGGGAGAGAGGGAGAGAGGAAGAGAGGGAGAGGGAGAGAGAGAGAGAGAGAGAGAGAGAGAGAGAGAGAGAGAGAGAGAGAGAGAGAGAGAGAGAGAGAGAGAGATTACAACACAATAAAAACTATGTGACAAATTCACAGATATATCTAATGCAATGAGAATGAAATTATTTAATATAAAATGAGACACAAGATAGAGATTTCCACTCTCTGATTACCATAATGCTTGAAATTCTACGAACAATTAAAAAAGATGAAAGAGACAGGAAAAAGAAAGGAAGTCAAATTACCCCTTTGTGCAAATGATTCTACACAAAAAAATTCTAAATATTCCACCCAAAGACTCTTAGAACAGGTAAATAAATGAAAAATGAAACAAAGCAGGATATTAAAACTATATAAAAATCAACAACATCTTTATATGCAAATAATAAACTCACTGAGACTAGAACCAGGAGAGAATCCCATTCACAAGAACTCAAAATCAAAACAAAACAAAAAACCCACAGCAGGTAAAAGTCTTTAGTGATTGAAATAACAAACAATGAAGAAACTGAAAACACTAGAAGATGAAATGACCTTCCAGGTTCATAGATGGGGGTGGGGGTAAAAATTGCTAAATCAGCTGTACTGGTTAAAGCAATTCCCTTCATTAAATTTTTGTCAAATTGACACAAGCCAGAGTCATTTGAGAAAAGGTACTTCAATGGAGAAAATACCTCACTAAGACTGGCCTATAGGAGCACTTTCTTGATTAATGATTGATGATGGAGGGCCCAGGCCACTGGGGTGGTATCAGCTCTAGACCAATGCCTCTGCAGAAAGCAAACTAAGAAAGTCAGGAGGCAGAATTCCTCCATGGCCTCTGCTTCAGTTCCTGTCTCCAGTTCCTGTTCTGACTTCCCTCAATGATGGACCATAATTTGTAAGGTAAAAAATAAATCCTTTCCTCCCTCCAAGTTGCTTTTGATCAGGGCTTTATCAAAGCAACCCACGGAGTCAATGCAATTCCCTTCAGAATCCTAAAGACATTCATTCTTACAGAACTAGAAAATACAAAACAAAAAGTCATACAGAAGCACAAGAACCTGAATAGCCAAAGCATCCTGAGAAAAAGAAGCAATGCTTCGAGTATCAAAATATCCGTCTTCAAACATACTAAAGAACTACAGTAACAGAAGCAGCAGGGCAGTGACAGTGAAAAAACAACCAGGTCAAAAGAACAGGAAAAAAGGAAAATAAATCCATATACCTACAGTTAATTCTTAGCACAGTTGCCCAAATAAGACACTGTAGGACAGTGTCAATAAACAGTGGTAGGAAACATACGTTCACATACAGATTTAAACCTAGAATTGCTGGGGGCTGGAGAGATAGCTCTGCGATTAAAAGCATGTGATGTTCTTGCAGAGGAACTTGGTTCAGTCTCAGCACCTACATGGTAGTTCACAAGCAACTAACTGGTAACTCCAGTTCCAGGGGATCTTTTGGCCTCCAAGGGAATCAGGTGCATACACATACATGCAAGCAAAATATTCAAACATATACAATCAATCTAAAACCAAACCAAAATAAAAACCCTCAAAAACCAAACACAAAAAAAAACCCTTGAACCCTTTGTCTTACCCTGCACACACACACAAAAAAAAAACAACTCCAGATGAATCAAATATCTTAACATAAAACTTGAAACTTTAAAAATACTAGACAGAAACACAAGAGAAACATGTTGCTCCAGTAGTTCAGCAAACAAAGTATCAATGAACAGATGGAATTAAACTTCTGAAACGAGAGAAACAAAGTAGAAAGAACCTACACAAATGCAGGATATTATTTACAGCACATTATCGCAATAGGATTAAAGAAGAAACACACAATCAATTTTTTTTTTAACTGATTTCTGATTTCTGTGCTGGGGAAGAGGACAACTTGTATGAGTTCTCTTCTTCTACCATGTGGGTTCTGGGGATCAAACTCAGGTCATCAGGCTTGCAAACAAGTGGCTTTACCTGCTGTTATCTTGCCAGCCCATATACAGAATTTCATTTAAGTCTGGTATGTATTACACACCTATAATCCCAGTACTCAGGAGGCCAAAGCAGGAAGACTGAAAGCTAAACCCAAGCCAGGCTTCACAGGCAAACTCATACACATGCATGGCTAGATGTGTCATATTGAAACCCTTTCTTTGCACAACCAATATACACTAACTTAAAAACCAGATTAAAAATGGACAACTGACGGCGAGGAGGTGATGTACGCCTTTATTCCCAGGGGGGTGGGGATAGGGGAGTGAGGGACAGAGGTAGGTGAATGTCTGTGAGTTAGAGACCAGCCTCGTCTACAAGAGCTCGTTCCAGGATAGCCTCCAAAGCCACAGAGAAACACTATCTCAAAAAACCAAGGAAAACAGAAAGAAAAGAGGACAACTGATCTCAATTTCTCAAAAACACAACTGTTTAACATAAAAAAACACAATATCAAAATTCTATCTTATCCCAATCTGAATAGTTATTATTGAACAAAACAAAAAGCAAAAAACCAAATGCTGGCAATGATGTGGAAAAAAAGGAACCGTTACACATCACTGAATATAACATCAGTGAAGCCATTACAGAAAACAGGATGGAGGTTTAGCAAAAATCTAAAGAAAGGATCATCTACCTTATGATCCACATATATGCAGATATGAAGGAAATGAAGTCAGCATGCAAAAAGAAACACCCAAACACCCATGTTTATTGTGATACTATTAATAGCAGCCAAGTTATAGAAACCACAGCATCAGATTAAATGCCTACCCACAGATGAGCAGACAGAGAAATGTTATGGGCATAGACATACATGTACACACACAGACACATACACACACACACAAAGTGTTTGCTATTCAACTAAAAGAAAAACTAAAATTTGCCACTACAAGACAATGAACAGAAATGGAATACTGTGCTATGTGAAATAACCCATAAACAGAAAAACAATCACATTTTCTCTCATATGTAGACATTTAAAACAGACAAAAAAACAGAGACAAATAAATTCTGCAAAAGCAGCAGGACTTTAGGGCAAATGACAGAGAAGGGCAGTACGGAAAGTGTAAGAGGGTAGAACAAAGAACAGACAAGGTCTAACCACCATATTCACACATGGAAATGTCACAAAGAACAGCGTTAATTTGTGCTATTTAACAGTTGTGATTTTATAAAAAGAAATGGTAGTGTATAGTTAACCTGTTTAATGCTTGATTTGCAAAGTACCTTTCCTCTTGGTAAAACAACTTTTTTACCTCAGGTCACCTCTTTCCACTGTGTTCCCAGATGTCACCAGTATCGGTGCTGGCAGTAGAGAGCTTGGCATTAACTGCATGGAGGCATCAGTGAATCCTTCTGTTGCATTAGTTGGAATTTCTACCAAAGTTAAAATGAATGCTTGTTCATCTTCTCCATCTTGCTGTAGATTAGTAAATAGATTCACTGTCAAAGTTAAAAGTTAGAAATGAAAAGCTAAACCAAGAAGAAGCAGAAAATCATTATTTCATCTCTAAAAAGAGTCTCATGGCTTATAATGCCAAGACTAAATAAAAAACTAAAATACATCCTCCAACCCCAAAAGCACAGATAGGATATTTTACATGAAGCATTTATAATTTTGAATAATACTGGTAAAATCCACACTTGTATTTTTTGACTGCTATTCTCATTGGTTTATTTTTAAGTCTATTTTGTGGTTTTCCATAGTTACATAAAAGCCAGGTATAGTGGACCACACCTTGAATGCCAGCCCTGGAGGGGGGTTGGGGGGACAGCAGGAGTATCTCTGTGAGTTCAAGGCCAGCCTGATCTACTTAGCAAGCTCCAGGACTACACACTGAGAGACCCTGTCTCAATAAAAAATGTATACAACACATTATCTATGACAGTTGCTGAAAGCAGCTTTTCATACCTGTTACGTCTTGAGGACTGATCATATTTTCTTGTTGGACTTCAGGAGTATTAGACGGTGCAATCTGCCATTAAAAACATTGAAAAGAAACTGAAACTTGAGAAAGCCTGACAATTTAGCATATGGTAAAGCGACAGTGTCTCCAACTTACAGGCTTATCTTAAATGTACAATTCTAAGTGTTTTAAAGGTTTTTAGTTGTGTCAATGAACATCTGACTGACTTACATAAGCTTAAAATATCCTGATTAAATTGTCAGATGCAAGTATGTTGTATTTTTGAAGTGTCAGGGTAGGGATGTAACTGAGCTTAGTCCATTTCCCATTGCAGCAGACACCTGAGTAGGTAAAACCTCAATGGAGATAAACTACTCTCCTTGCCTCCACGGTGGTCCCGGCAGTGAAACAATGCAAACAACTGACTCAAGTAAGGCTCCTCAATGGACACCAAAGCTACTGGGAAACAAGAACTGCATCTCACTAGACAAACTTCTAGCATAAAGGAGAAAACACCGTCCTTATTTATGACCAAGAAGTCTCACAGACACCATGCTAGCCAAGTGATCAGAGAGTATCTCCACTAACAGGTCAAAGTGACGTCACGCCATACAGAAGAGTAACCCAGCCTTGCCTCAGTAGTGATCCAGTCCTAACCCTGTACAGTATGGTAATTGAGTCTGAATGCAGCGCTCACTGCCACTCCTTTGTAAGACCATATTTTTACGTATGCATGAATTCATGCATTTATAAAAGGCCTACTGAATTGGAAAGGAGAAAGTTTACTATGTAAACTGTTTTCTAGATGGAGAGAGAACCACACTATCCATTATCATACTCCATATTCCTTTACCTCTGGTGCCTGAAGCATGAGCATGCTGTTGCCTTTAGAGTTTTCTCTGAGGGGCTCTTCAGCAGGACTCTCACCAAGACCCTGACCTAAATCAAGTGTGTGGGTCCCAATCTCAGACGAAGCAACTGCAGCACCCAACATCTGAACCTCTCGCAAGTTCGTCTCTTGATCTTCACTTCTGAAATATTTCAGTCCATTATTTTAAGTCAGTCAACCAAACACGAAATTATTTTTAGAACTAGGTACTATCACTTAATGTGGTATTTTCAAATTTAAAAACATTAACTACAATAGAATTACTTTTCAGTAAAATGACCTGTGGTAGAAGCTAAGGCACAATACAAAATGAATGTCAGCACTCCTGCTCTTTTACCTTGCACTCAGGATTGCTTCTTGAGATGCAATGGCCCCTTCAACATCATGCACACATGGCAATTGGTGCTGCTCCCCAGTCTCTGCAGGCTCAAGGCTTTGATCTTCTAATTGTATTGCTTCAGAATCATTTTCTTCAGTTTCTTTGAAAACAAACAAAAAAGAAGGAAAATACATTTAAGATGTAGTTTAAAATAATACAGGTAAATCTCTATATTAGAAACATACACTCTCTTAAAAGATAGATTCATGACCCTTCCAAGTTTCTTACTTCAAATATCAGCTTATTCACATGGCAGAAGAATGGGGTTTTCCAAGCCTTTTGAAAAGTAAACATGACTAATGAAACCTGTATTGCACATATTTCATTCCTGGCTGCCAAATCAACTGCATCTCCTTTTATGGTAATAGCTCTATAGTATCACAATCAAAAGTAGTATAACTAAAGACTAACAGGACCCACCATCAAGACTGAATTCAATCCTCAGGTTCCACACATGAAGGAGAGAACTGACTCCCACAAGTTGTCATCTGATATTCACACATGCTCTATGGCACATGCACATGCACACACCCACACATTTGGACAGGCACACATGCATATACATACATTCACACACACGCATCCATACACATGCAATAATAATACATGATTTTAAAAGTAACTGCAAACCCAAACCCAAAAGGGGATAAGAAGTGAGCACAAAAGGGTATGTCTAATTGCACCATACCAGATGTCTTAGAGAGAGATCATTTGTGTGACAGTTGAGACAGCTCAGTGGATAACAACACTTACTACCAAGCCTGACAAACCTAGTTCAACCTCTGGAAAGGTTCTCCATTGTGGAAGAAGAGTACTCCAGCAAATTATCCCTTAAGTATCACACATGTACCATGGCATGTGTACAGGTATTCATGCTCAAACACACAAAATAAATGCAATAAAAAAGTTAAATGATAGCACAAAGGGGAAGGGAAACACTGCTAAATAAAAGGAGCAATGTGAGCCTAGGTGAGGGGTGGAGAGGGGTGAGGCAAATAGCCAACCATGTATGCACTTCTGGATACTGCTCGGGCCGGTTCAATTAACTAACAACCTGCATACATACACTGTGTCAGACATTGCTGGCTGAAATCAAATCAAATGTTAGCAACCTAAAACTAGGGAGGAATGATGCTAATTACCCAGGATTTGTTTGGTTTGGTTTGGTTTTTTGAGACAGGGTTTCTCTGTATAGCTTTGTAGTCCAGGCTGGCCTGGAACTCACAGAGAGCCACCTGCCTGCCTCTTGAGTGCTGGAATTAAAGATGAGCCGCCATCGCCAGGCTATCCAGGTTTTTATAACACAAATTCAATAATCTAGGAAGACTATAACTTCCACTGTTTTGCCTAAGGAATCAGGACTTTGGCAAGGAGACAGAAAAAGAAATGAAATTAGGAGTTAACATGTACATCACAATTAGGCCATTGAAAAAAATGAGGGAGCTTGAGAGATGGTTGAGTAGTTAAGAACATTCGTTGCTTTCACTGACAATTCAAGTTTGGTTACCAGTTCCCACACAACAGCTCACAACCATTTGTTATTACAGTTCCAGGGGATCTGACATACCCTTCTGGCTTCTGCAGGAACCAGGCACACATGCAAGGCACAGATTACACACAGACAAAACACTCATACACATAAAATAAAATTTAAAACAGCAACAAAAAACAGTTGTTGTGCAAGTCTGATGACCTGAGTTCAATCCATGGAATCCATGGTAGAAGGAGAAAGCCAAAACCTGTCCTCTGTCTTCCACATGTATACAGTGGTACGCATGCCCACACAATATGTAAAACTTAAAATGATTTAAAAGAGACATGTATCATTAGCTAAATTTATGATGAAGCACCGGATGAAGAGGTGTGAACGCAATGGACCTGTAGTGTTTGTTTACCATGTTTCAGTCCCTGAGTTCAATCTCCAGCACTACTTAAAAAATCATGATCCTGAAAGGAGACAGAAACTAAAATTCTTTGCAGTAGAGAGACTGAAAGGGGAGGATTCCATGTTCAAGGCCAGCCTGAGCTACACAGTGAGTTCCTGGACAGCTTGGGAAGAGGGGGGAGACAGACAAACTCTCATAGATTGCTGGTTAAAAACATAAAATGAAGCAGAAGCAAACATACACAATTAAGCACTGAACTGAACCCAAGGAACCCAGTGACAGAGAGAGAGGAGTGATGAGCAAATTGGCAAAGAATGGGCTGGCAAAACCAGCAGAGACAGCTGATCTGAACAGGGGAGAGCTCTTGGACCCCAGACCGACAGCGGGGAGGCCAGCATGGGACTGATCTGGACCCCCCCGAATGTGAGTGTCAGTGAGAAGGCCTGGGCAGCCTATGGGGTCCTGAGCAGTGGATCAGTGTCTATCCCTGGAATACAAACAGTCATCGTGTGCCCATAACACAAAGAGGAATGCTCTCTCAGCCTGGACTCTTAGGGGAGTGCCTGGACCCTACCCTGAGTGAAATGACAGACTCTAGATATCCCCTATGTGGAAGGAATTGGCAATAGGGTGGGAGGCTGGGGGGGATGGGGAGTGCGGGAGGAGGGGAGGGAGAGGGAGAGGGAACTGGGATTGACATGTAAAACAAGCTATTTAAAATTAAAATAAAAAATTTTTAAAAAACATAAAATGGTGTAACTACTTTTTAAAATTTAATTCCCACATGAAATATAAAAATCAGAGTAAAGGATCGTTATCTTCTTAAAAACAATTTAGTAGGTACAGCAAAGATTAAACACATAGGCTGAAGATATATATAGCTCAGTGATAGGGTGTATGCTTACCATGTGTAAAAACCTAAATTCAACCCCAAGCATGAGAGGAGAAAGGTTCAAAATAGAATTACTGAATGACCCAGAAATTGTACTTTGTAAACATAAACCCAAGAGACATGCAAACATATGTCCACCTGAAAATTCTTAGGAGCATTATTCATTATATCAAAAAGGCAGATATATCCCACATGCTCATCAGTAGATAATAAACAAAATATAGAACATTAATATAATGAAGTATTATTTGGCAATAAAAAGAAACAAGGGACTAGTGGGTAAAAGCTCTTACCAAGAAAATATGGCAACCTGCAAATGTGGGAGGAGAGGACCAACTCCATAAGGTGTCTTCCAGCTTCCACATACTCACCACACTTCCCACATACACACAGCAGCAAATTTTTAAAGGCATTTCATACAGGCTACCATAAAAATAAATTCTGACGACATTATGCTAATGGAAAACACCAGATTGAACTATATATTGCATGTTTCTATTCACATGACATGTCTAGAAAATGCAAATAAACAAAAACAAATGTAAATCTAGTGGTTGCTTAGGATTGGAGAGTAGCTACTGATGGTGGCAATTATACAGTTTGGTGACAGAATACCTCTGAACTGTAAACTTTAAATAGGTAAATTGTACTGTACATGAATCATGTTCCAATAAAACTGCAGTTTAAAATAAATAAACACAGAGGGAGAAGCAATAATATGAACAAAGGAGTCAAGACCATGATGGGGAAACCCACAGAATCAGCTAACCCTAACTAATGAGAGGTCACTGACTCCAGTCTGATAAATGGGGAACCTGCGTAAGACTGAACTAGACTCCCTGAATATAGGTGACAAAGGTGCAGCTGGGACAATATATGAGGTCACTGGCAGTGGGTCCAGGATCTACCACTAATGCACAAACTTACTTAGTGGAGCCCATACTAGATAGAGAAATATCTTGCTCAGCCTAGACACGGATGTGGAGGGTAGAAAGGTGCCTTGGTCCTGCCTCAATGAGATAATGGGACAGACTTAGTAGACTTCCTAGAGGAGGCCTTACCCTCTCCAGGGAGCACATAGGAGGTGAGGAGGGGGAACCACAAAAGACTGGGATTGGAATGGAAAAAGTAAATTAATTAAAAAAGTAAAAAAAAAAAAATGTAAGCAGCAAAAAGAGAAAAAGAAAACAAAAATAAACAATACTTTTTGTTTAGATAGTCTTAACATCCAGAGTGCTGGAATTACAGGTGTGTTCTCCCATTCACTCTCCCTCCCTCTCAAAATACATATGAACAAAATATTTACACAAATACATTTTTAAAATAAAATTTAAAACTATTTACTGTCAGAGGAGTCCCACGTTCCACAGTGAACATGTGCAGGTCAGAGAACTTTGTGGAATCAGTTCTCTCCTTCCACCCGTACACAGGTTCCGGAGATCAAACACAGGTCTACGGCTCATGTGGCAAGTGAGCTGTACACTCACACTGAGCCATCTATCTCCTAGGTCCCTAAAGTATCTTTTGTCATTGCAATTTGGTAAGAGAAAAATTAAACTAACCTCTTTGAACTCCCATTTCTGTCCCTTTGGTTACACAAACACTGGCAACTTCCTGATGACCATCCAGCCCACAAATTTCTAAGATCTTCTCAGAATTTGGCTCAGGTAAAATAAAATGACTCTCCATTCTCAAATGTTTGGTCATTGTAGACGCTGTATTCCTAGAAGAAAAGGGATGAGAGAAAGTTATCAGTTGTGTAAGAGTCCTTTTGTGGTGTCATGTGTAGTGCTAATACAGTTAATATTCCCACAATGCAGGTGCTATATTATATGTAATTGCTTGCTGTCTGTCTGTTTGGGCAGAGTATCAACAAGACAAGAGGCTCCCCTAAAACTCAAGCTATCTATCTCCTGCTTCAGCCTCCAGAAGGCTAAAATTATAGGCATCTGACAACATCTGGTAAATGTCCATTTCTGAATGCTAAAATTATAAAGTATTTAAGTTTACCAAGAGACTTAAGAAGAAAATGGAGACCATGTTTGTAAAACAGAATACATACAAAAATATTTCACTTAAGTTTCAAAGACACAGAAAACATATTGCTGTGATTTCATATGCAAACCAACAAACCATTGTTGGTATCAGTTTATAATTTTTAATTCACATACAATCATTACTAGACGCTAATAACTAAATTAACGGTACTGTTTAGTTGTATTTGCTAATTAAATATTAAAATAACCTGGTGGACACAGTGTTCTCCATTACTTCTTCCATCGTACCAGCTTCTTCTCCAGCACTTTGCTCCTTCGATACAATCTTGTTATCCTCAAGTGATGCAGGCAATATACTAATGACAGGTGAAGAAACTTCCTGATATTCATGAACAATTTTGTGATTTACATTATCTGGGCTAAAAGGAACATGACTTTTATCCTTTGAATGAACATCAGGAAATACACATACTCCTATTGCAGAAAAAAATAGGAAATTAAAAATGACAAAATATTAATAGCTACCTTAATAAAATTAATTTATCTTAACCTCTAAAGCCATCTCTCCAAACAAAATTAATTTTTCAGCATTCAATAACTATCTAATTTCAGTATTAAAGTTTGTTCTTTTAGGATCCAAATTTATTATCTCACACTTGACTCACAATATTTGACTTGTACTCAGCTTAATTAATCCTATTACTACAATTTTGACGTATTCTAAGTAAATGCTAGCCTTTTGTTACTTTCAATAACTATATACTCTACATAGATTTCAAGACAGAGCATCTTCATTTACTAGTCTTTGAAATGGAATTTTATGTACTAGAAATCTGTGACAGGCTCCAATATAATAGTCTGCCACTGAGAAAGAACACAAATTAGACTCCCCTGAAAAACGCATACTTATGAACTTACAAGTCTAACAACGAAAATGAATGGCAGATCATCCATTACCAGTCAAAACAATTACCAGTAATACAATTAGCTGTAGTTAAAGATTATAATGAATAAAGAGCACAGCTTCTGGGGCATGAGATTTAGCTCAGTAAAGAGTACTTGCCTAGCAAATACAAGGCCCCGGGTTCCATACCCCATACCACAAAAATAAAAATATTAAAGATTTATTTGGCATTTCCTTTGGCTCCTTCCACTACTAGAATAGTTTAGAATTAAAAAATCTCAGTATCTACAATTTGCTCCTTCATAGATTTATCAGAATTATGATCATCATCTGAAGTAGGAACCCCTTTGCTAAAGAAATATCTATAAAGTAATCAGTGGTCAGTGACCTCCATTATACAATGATATTCATGATGGTTACAGGTTATAGGTATACAGGTTGGATATATACTAGATAAATATTCCATGAATACACATCTCTCTCCTCTCCTCCCACTCCTTCTCCCTCAAGTTTTGGCTGGCCTGGAACTCACTAAGTAGACCAGGCTATCAGCAACTCACAGAGATCTGCCTGCCTCTGCATTCCAATGGCTAGGGATTAAAGACCACTAAAAGACCAGCCTAACTCATTCTTGTATTTTTTTAGTTATAACCCTAGCCTTTTAATAGCTTACCCAATCTCTCCAGCTCCAAAATATTCTTTTATTTTAAATAATTTATTTATTTTTATTTTATGTGCATTGGTGTTTATCCTGCATGTGTGTCTGTGTGAGGGTGTCAGATCCCCAGACAGCTATAAGCTGCCACATGGGTGCTGGGAATTGAACCGGGTCCCCTAGAAGAACAGCCAGTGTTCTTAACCACTGAGCCGTCTATCCAGCCCTAACCCCCAAATTATTCTTAATAAACCAACTGCATCATCTCAAAATTGTTGCCACTAAAGAGACTATCTTCCATTCTTACCATCACCCTGTTCAGTGATGATCTCTGATTGCAATACTATGTCTCCCATTGCAAGTAAAGTTATGGCAGCTTCCGTGCTTCCATCACTGGGACCTTGAGGAAATATGCCATCATTAAAATAGAAAAAGTGAATCCACCAGTCTCTTCACTTAAGAAAGACTTTATTCAGATACTCCTCTTCTAGTAAACAGTTTCAATAGCTTTCTTACCACCACCATCCTAATATTAGTGCCACACTGTTTGGGTCACATACTGCACATTTCGAGTCAGATCATCAATACTGACTGTTAATGCCTGAAAACACTTCCTTCACATTTAATAACTCTGTGCAGCTCCATCACTATTTCTTTACCTATCATTAACTCTAGGGTCACCTTCTAAAGTTAGGTTTTGAGAATCCCGTTGCCTATCAAGGTCACTGCTCTATACTTCAGCAAGCTGTCCTATTTACCTATTGCCACTGTTAATCACCACGCTACAGTGAACCAAATTGTTTTAATGAATTCTTTTAACAGTTACCTGGTTCTTCTTGGGTCTGTTCACTTATGACCATTTCCTAAAGAGAGGAAAAGATAAGTAACATCTTAAGTGTTTCCCCCAAATAAATGTTCTGGTGTTCTTTTTGTTTCAAGCATCACACTTTACAGGTCTTTCTGTGTTTTTAGTTGTAATAGTAACATTTTTTTAAAGATTTATTTATTTATTTAGCATATAGTATTCTGCCTGCATGTATGTCTGCAGGCCCGAAGAGGGCACCAGGTCTCATTATAGATGGTAGTGAGCCACCATGTGGTTGCTGGGAATTTAACTCAGGACCTTTGGAAGAGCAGTCAGTGCTCTTAACCTCTGAGCCATCTCTCCAGCCCCAATAGTAACATTTCTTAATTTATATTTGATCATAAAACTTCAGAAATAATAATTTAAAGGCTAAATTCTTTTACATCTCACTCCTGATTTCTCTCATCATTACTATATACATCTTAGATCCTTACAGTTATAACGCCTGAACTCATCTGCTACCAGTTTTTACCCAATAAAAACTAAAGTCTGGGAGAAGACACAAACTTTGTATACTGACTGGCTTAAAATATCACCAATTTTGCCAGGCGGTGGTGGCGCACGCCTTTAATCCCAGCACTCGGGAGGCAGAGGCAGGCGGATCTCTGTGAGTTCGAGGCCAGGCTGGACCGACAGCCTCCAAAACAATACAGAGAAACCCTGTCTCGTAAAGACCCCCCCCAAAAAAAATCACCAATTTTAATAAATGATGTACAGGAGACAGCTGTCCAGAGGCAGCATGAGGAGCTCCACGGACCTGCTGACCAGTAAGATTGCCAAACATTTATAGCCTCTGGCATATGTCAATTGATAATTCAGGTGTGTCGATGCATCCTCTGATGAAGATAATCCTGTCGAGCAAGGCTTACAGGACCACTGACTCTGAAAACTGGCCGCCTGTATCTGTAATTTCTCTCATGTGCCGCTTCATTTCTTCCCTAAGAACTGCTACGGGTGTTTTCTCACCGCTTGTGTGTATCTCATGAAAACACTCCATCTACTGAGCACACATATAGCTGTGGATAGTCAGGAAGATGATTTCTGCTTAATCTACATAACTGTGGTGAATAGAAACAATACTAGGACATTTTTCATTATTCAGACTGACAGAGGAAAGTAATAGTTTTCTCAGTCACAAACTCACACAGCTAACTTTAGACTTCAAAACAAATTCAAAGCAAACTGGTTGTCTCTGGAGGCGAAGTACTAAAAGACAAGTTCCCAGGAGTCTACCAAGGTCAGGTATGAAATAACTTTAGTGCCACTTTTTACTTGCAAAAAAGCCTGGCAGATAACATGAAGATAACTCCTTGTCTAGCAACTGAGACTTTCTGCACATACTCGCTGACACTTCAGCTCTGTCTGGGAAAGAGCTACATGCATAGTCAAGTGTTACTCATTGGCTGGTCAATGTGACATCCCTAGCCTGAGAAAAACTGTGACTCATCTTGCTATGAGAATGGGTAGGGCCCTGAAAAATGTAACAGATAATTGTCCAGAGTTTGACTGTGAGCAGAGCGGTGGTGTAGAGACAGAGGCTGTGTAGACTGATGAGCAACGCGGTGGGAAGACAGAGTAGAGCTAGAGATGTGGAGGCTGCGCAGAGTTAGTTAGAGAGAAGCTGCTAATCAGGAGGCTGTGAAGAGCTAATGTAGAGCAGTGAGGGAGTCTTTTCAGAGAGGAATTTTTTCAAGATGAAGTAAAGAGAAAGTTACCATTAGAAAGTATCTGTGTTTTCTTATTTTTTCCTCTCAGATAGAAAAAGTCTAGCCCTCATATATTTAAAATTTTGTCCTGAGCCCTCACTGCGTTCATAGATTCTTTTTTTTTCCCCAATACCCTGGTGCTGACTGAAGGCTGCCTTCCCCCCACACTCCAAGTTAGCCATATTAGCCCTAATTCAATGTGTCAAAAAAAGACACAAACATGTAGGAAGAATGTCAGAAGCCAAGGTTGGAATGCCAAGAAATTACAAAGCACTAGAAAATTCCAGAAAAGCAGAAAGAAAGGAAAGGGAGGTTTCTTCCTTAGAGCCACTAGAAAAACCTACTCAAAATACAAACGTGGTGCACATACATGCATGCAGGCTAAAACTAACATAGACTAAATAAAAGCAAACGTAATTTTGTTGGTTTTTAAATCCATCTCTACTATAGGATTTATAATAGTGTAGCTAGCTCTGTGCAGTTGCTGTAAAATGTATTTAGCAGAGACTTATGCCTCAGACTTTTGAGGTTAAAGTCTATGACAATAATTCACTAAACAAAACAAAAACTAAGTTTTACAATCAAATGTAAAATCCATGAAAATTCACAAGTTTCAACTGCTCCCATAAACAGTTCACTACATGAGAGGAAAAAAATGAAGTTATGGATATAATCCTGTCCTCTTTAGGAAGTAAACAAATGAAAGGAAAAACGTGAATATAGATGCTTACAAATGATGATGAATGCAAATCTTCGGGTTGCACATCCTGAGTTGTTGCATCCATGTTTGAAAGCTGATGTTCAACAACAGTTACACATCCCATGTCTGCAACATCCATGGTTATCTCAAGCTGTCATAAGAAGTATTATTATTTCAATTTGACAAATTACAAACATTAAAACATCTCACTTTCCACACAAATAATCAAAATTAAACATTAAAATGAAGAAATATTCCACAATTACACAACTTAAAAACTAGATCACAGTAATTCCTAGTGACTAACAACTTAGCAAAAGTAAAACACTACTTTTCTGAGAGGTCTGAGTCTACTACAAAAACTAATCAAAATCTCTACAGCTAATCTTTTGAGTAGCTGGCATTTCACTTCCCATTCCCAATTTCATCTATTTGCTAACATTTACATAATGCTTTCAAAAATACAAGCATATAAGCATAAAGATACAAAGTTATGTTAGGTATACTTGGTTCTGTCCTCAACAGACTCATTTAAGAAAAAACATGCTAACTATACACAAAATTAACTGCACAGTAGCATATAAATATTCTAGTAGAGAGGACTTAATATGCTTAAAACCACTGATCACGTTATTAGCCATGGTGAAGCAATCTTCCCACCCCACAGTTACATGAATCCGGACACCCACTCACTCTTCACTTGACAGTTGGCTAAAGGGATATAATTTTTTAAAGATGTATTTTATTTAGTTTGCATAGGGGTCAATACAGATCACATCTGTGAGTCTGAAGAGGCCAATAGAAGGTGCTGGATCCCTCTGAGCTAGAGTTAGGTGTCTGCTGGACATGGAAGCTGAGATCTGTACTATGGTCCTCATGATTGGTAACAGCTGAGCCATCTCTTCAGTCTAAAGGAAATACAATTTAAACTGTTCCTATCCAACTATCAAAACTGTTAGCATGAAAGTCTCAGTATAATCCAGAGTCCATGTCTACAAGGCCCTAAAAATTTGATTGCCAGAACAGCGGGAAAGATAGTGTGCCATTGAAGAAGATACTCTATTAAGAGACATAACCCAGAGCCTGATTATTGAAGTTAATTTCCCTAGCAATTTGCCTTCACCCAAGTGGTGGTGGAAGCAGGGAGATCATACTCTATACAGTATTAACCAGGTTATCCTTCCAAAAAAAACTTTTCTTTCGTATTTTCTTAGTGTATACTAAAACTTACATTCAGTATACTTACAATATTATTCAGTTTATTTTAAGAATTCTACTAACTCATTTACCTTTAGACATTTAACAAGTTATTATTAATCCTAAGTAAATTAAAGGTAGATTGTCCTTTCCATTAACAAAAATATCTACAGATTCAAGAATTACATCATTTCTTAACAGAAGTAGCACAGTATTCCTCCAACTGCTTTCTCTACCATCACTACTATCTTAACAAACACCTGATTCTGCTTCTACAGAATTGATTCAGATAGTCTGTCCAATAAACCAGCTAAGAAAGGAAACTTTAATGCTAAAGAGTTGGAATGTGAGGCCAGCAACAAGGAAGTAAAGTACCCACTTCATTCCTGCTCAAATTAGAATGGCTGCTGCTTTTTTGTTTGGTTTTTTTTTTTTTTTTTTTTTTTTTTGAGACAGGGTTTCTCTGTGTAGCCTTGGCTGTCCTGGAACCCGCTCTATAGACCTGGCTGACCTCAAACTCAGAAGAGATCCTCCTGCCTCTGGGATTAAAGGTGTGTACCACCACAAAAAACAAAACAAAAAAACAAACAACAAAAAAAAAAAAAAAACAGGAGTTGGGGCATATTCCAGCTGTAGAATGACTACTTAAAATGAGGGGCCAGGGAGTGGAAAGGAGAAAGGAAGGCAAGAGGAGTGAGAATGAGTGAAGAGAGGGGAAATAGATGGTGGTGGAGACAGGGAGAAACTGGAACCTTTGAACACTACTGGTGACAAAGTAAAATGATGCAGCTACTGTGGAAAACTCATTTTTTTTTTTGCTTTAAAGAAAAAACCTTAAATACAGAATTACCATGTATTCTAGCAAATCTCCTTCTGATTTTATCTCAAAAAGAACTAAGAGCAGAGAAGCAGGGACAGGGATGTGGTTCAGTTAGTAGAGATCATGCCAAATATGCAAAAGCCCTGGGTTCCATCTCCAGCACCACATATCTGTAATTCCAGATTAGAAATTAAAGGTCACCCTAGGCTAAATAGAAACAAGAGTTCCAGTTTTGCAAGGTTAGTTCTTTTGGATGGAGAGTAATGATAAAAACGAGATAGAAAGAATGAAGGACAGGAAGACGGAAGGAGGAGAAGGGGAGAGAATAGAAGGGGAGGGGGAGGGAAAGAGGAAGGGAGAGATGTGGGGGTCTGAGGATATGGCTCTGTTGTACAGTGCTTGCTTGCCTCATAGACATGAAGCTGTAGGTTCTATCTTCAACATTTCTTAAACCAGTTGTAGCAGCACGTGGCTGTAGTAATCCCAGCACTGGGAAGGTGGACACAGGAGGATCAGTAGTTCAAGACCATTCTTGACTATATAGCAAGTTTGCCAAAGTGCAATGTGAGATACATGAGAACCCCTCCTCAAAAAAAAAAAAAAAAGAGAAAAAGAAAAAACAAGAGAAGAAGGGAAGATTCTATGTTTTCTACCAACCATAACATAGAAAGCCTATTAGAGAGTTCATAGAAAAACATCTACTGAAACTTTTTTCAAATTAATCAAAAGGTAAATTGAGCAGTTTACACATACAAGTAGTTTAGAGTTTCTATCATAGTTAACTGAGTCCCTGGGAAGAGCATGGACTATGACAACTGAGTGATGGCCACACAGGCGACTTCTGCTTATTTCCTTAAGATAGTCACTAAGTCCCAAATAAACTACTTTTGACAGTAAATATTTAAAGGACTCTTAGGATCTTAACAATCACTAAGAAAAGAAATAAGCATCCATTAGAAGAGGTGAAAACGCCAAAATTGAAAAAAACGTAACAAAACAAAACACAAACTACCTCTTCCATTGTTTCCTCGATCTGAGCAGACACTGGTTCAGGGGATCTGAGACCAACAGGTACAAACACTGGTGCTTTGTTTAATTCTTCTGGGGCAAGATGACAGGTTTCTTCCTCATAGTCAGAATCAAAATCCTCAGCATCATCTTCATCCTCTTTCTGAGAAGCCCGAAGAGTCACCAACACAGACTTGGAAGCTCTAGGTTCCTTCTTAGCAGTCTTACCTCGAATTCGTTTCGATCCACGCCCTTTGGTCACATTTGGTTTCATCTTCCTATGTGCTCTTTTCCCACTGTGATCTATCTCACACTCAGATGCAGAAGAGGGAGTCGTTCTTCGATGCAGAGCAGTTTTGGAATAATTTGATTCTTTCAATAGTTGTGGATGGCTGGATGTTTAACCAAAATAACAGTTATAGTCATGTATGCACCAAGATACTCTCAATGAAAACCAAATTGTTAAGAGTAAAATCTCAGGTCCAACCTTTAAAATAAAGATCCTGGGCTAAGACTATAGCTCAGTGGCAGGGCACTTGCCCAGCATTTCACGAAGCCCTAACTCCCAGCACTGGTGATGATGATGATGATCACCTTTTATGATGCTAGAATTGAATGCAGGCCTCAAAAGTCCTACACAATGTGCTCATAAGCTATATCCCTAGCCCCACTCATTCTTTTAAAAACACACGCCATGAAGCCGGGCGTTGGTGGCGCACGCCTTTAATCTCAGCACTTGGGAGGCAGAGGCAGGCGGATCTCTGTGAGTTCGAGGCCAGCCTGGTCTATAGAGCTAGTTCCAGGACAGCCTCCAAAGCCACAGAGAAACCCTGTCTCGAAAAAACAAAACAAAACAAAACAAAACAAAAAAAAAAAACACACACACACACCATGAAAATAAGGAATTAACTACCATTTAGTATCTTATTCTGAGTGAATTCTTAGTTATGTATCTATAAATGCTGCACAGTAAGTTTTTAATATTGGCCTTGATAGGGTGATTGAGATAAACACAAAATTGGAAATAACTGGAAGACAAAATACATGGAACCAATCAATAATGAACATGAGATCAAAAAGTGATACTGGTTTATCTTACTGGATAAACAGATTAGGAAAATAATGCTGTTTTTCAAGAACTTAGATTCCTTCCCACTTTCTTGAATTACAAAACTACCCTTCGTTATGGTTTACAGCCAAGCGAGAATTAGCATTTTAGTTGCTGAGATAATGCACACTATCTTTTGTTAGGAAAAAAAGATGTACATTGCTACAAATTTAATTAAACAATAGGCTGTAAATAAAGAACAGTACACTAAGGTAGAAGTTCTTTAAGGAATAGTGTTTTTATTTCCTAGCCTGAGTCTCTAAAATAAAACTTTACCTAATTTGTTTACTAAGCCCGTGTTCTTCAAGCCCCAAAGACAATGCAGGATGGTCTTCCAGAGTCTCGGCCCTAGCACCTCCTGCTGGTGCAGCTCTCAGCTGAGCATCATTTCTGTCAGAGCCCGACTCTTCAGGAACTACACAGTCTTTTCCTTCTGAAACCTCCAGAGGTGTCAGAATCTCCGTCTTTTCCTTAAAGAAAAAACACAAGCAAACAAACAAAACACCTTAATAGTACCATGGAAACAATCTTTATCACCACAGTTTAGCAGTCTGGCGTAGTCCTCTAAACTTACAAAGCCACGGGTGATCAATTTTCGCATCTGTACAAGCTTGTAACATCACTGGCTTTTCACGGAAATATGTGCAGCACAAAGGCAAGAGATTTCGCCATGGCTCTCCTTCACAACCCTGACACAGCAGACTCACTGACAACACTACTTTCCCCACTCTTACTTTTAGAGAAAGCTGGATGGCCAAGTCTCCCTTCGGCAGCACATGGTCTTCTGGTTCTGGGGCTGTGCTCTGCTCTGTTGTGTCTTTTTCTACACTTGGTTGCTCTTTTTTATGGTGCGCTCCTCCTAAATTTGGTTTAACCCTTTGGAATCTCCTTCTTATCAGCTGTGCTGGACTAGGCACATGAGGTTTGTTTTCAGGCCTAGAATGAAACACAACTTATGGTTGAAGACCAGAAGTCTCCATCAATGCAACAACATTAAACAATTCTGGATTTAACCGATTCTAAGTTCAAACGATTATATAAACATTGCATTTTATATATGAAACAGAAAACATAAAAGCTTTATAACTTCCATTTTCTGTATAGCCTGGAAACAGTTTATAGTATTACTACTCTTTCTTTACTTTCATTCACTAGTCCTAGTCTGATTTCATATAACTTAAATTTTCAGAGAAAAAACAAAGCACTCCAAACTTGCCACAGTAGCTAAACAGATTTTATACCAGCACTTTAAACAAAAGCTTCAACTGAGCTACAACCCATGAACAAACACACAATAGTCTTGCTTGGCAGCAAGTCTATCTTATCACATTCCTGAAAGCTCCTGGAAAGGTCTTAGTGACAGGCAGTGGCTTAAGGTTCTTAGTGTAACCCATCTCAGACAAAAACAAGGTTTAAACATTCAAAGAAAGCCAAAGCTACCAAGGTAGCTAGAATAGCTACCTAAGGACTTCTGAAAGTATTTTAGTAATGGATAGGACCTAAATTAGGATGCTGAAAAAACTGATATAGATATAGGAATGTAGCAAAATGGCCAACAACTTGTTAGCACTGCAAGACACTGAGTTCAATCCCCAAGACACAGATATAAAGCAATTTACACACACACACACACACACACACACACACTTCTTATGCATTAGAAACCAATCCACAAAGTACAGAAAAAAGAGGTACCAATCCTACTAAGCATTCTGTTAGGGAAATTAGTAAGTACTAGCATGATTATGGTGATGGCTAATACATTACATGATCAGAAAAGGTATCTGGAAAAACTAATTAAACTATCATCCAGGACTGAGATGAGTAATAGACTCATTAGGTTCAATCTACAAGGAAAACTGTCATTATATGTGACTCTGAAAACATTTAAGTATAGGAAATGGCATGGTGGCTCAGTGGGTAAAGGAACTTGCCACTAGGTCTTGACAAGCTTCCGTTGCCAGAACCTATATGAAGGGAGAGAACCAACTCCTGAAAGCTGTTGTCTGATCATACACCCACAGTAGCACACGTGTCTCATGTCGCAAAACAATAAAATGTCAAAAACATTTAAGAATAAAATATTACTAAATTCAAAAAAGGCAACAAAATTATGGGCATACAAATAAGGAATAAGATCATTGTTTCTGTGGTTTGTTTTTTTGAAACAGGGTTTCTGTACATCATCCTGGACAGCCTTGAACTCAGAGGGCACTGTGTGTGCCTCCTGAGTGTGGAGATTAATGGCAGGTGCCACTGACCCAGCCCAGAATGAGGTGATTTAAACTGCATTTAAATACACCTGTTGGCACAAGCTTCATCCTAGCTACTAAAGCTCAAACAGAAAAATCACAAATTCATGGCTTGCCTGGCTTACAGGCAACTTTAAAGCCAGACTGGGTGGGTAACTTAGTAAAATTCATCTGAGATGAAATAAAAAAGGTCTAGGGTATCACTCAACAGTAGAACAATTGCTTGGCATGTAAAAGGCACTGGGTTCAATTAATAGCACCACAAAACACAAAAAACAAACTTCAGAATGCCGTTACATAAAACTAATCAGGCCAGGCGGTGGTGGCGCACGCCTTTAATCCCAGCACTCGGGAGGCAGAGGCAGGCGGACCTCTGTGAGTTCGAGGCCAGGCTGGACCGACAGCCTCCAAAACAATACAGAGAAACCCTGTCTCGTAAAAAAAACAAACAAAAAAAAAAAAACCACCAATCAGATAACAATCAGAAACTGTCTTTGACAAGGTGTATACTTGTCTCATGAAAACCAAACTCACCTTATCTGTTCATCTAAAATACTGGTTTTGTTAATACTTAAGTTTTCTGCAGGAACCACATGGCTGTGACTTTCATTCACTCTCAACTCTGAAACTCCGAAGGATACAGCTTTACCTTCACTTTCAATGTGAGAATTCACCTGCAAAAGCAAAAGTGGGTTAGTGTGATTAGTATGCATGCATGTTTTTTCAGGACAGGGTTTCTTTGTGTAACAACCCTGGCTGTCTTGGAACTCTCTTCTCTATACTAGGCTGGCCTCAAACTCAGAGATCCGCCTGCCTCTGTCTCCCAAGACCTGGGAATAATGGTGTGCCTTCTCAGTCCCTACTGCCATGTAATTTATTTTTTAACAGCAAAATACTTTAAAATATTCCAACAATAAAATGAGCATTCTGTTTCTGCTCGTTGGAATGCTGGGAACTGAACCCTGTAGATGAGTTACATTATCTAAGTCATCATGGCCTGAAGTGGGCATCCAGTGTGAATGTTAGGTAACCAAACAAGGCCGCCTAGTTCAGATCAAGAAGTGAAACGATTTATTACAGTCCCATTTGTACATATACTTTAAAAGCTCTAAGAGGGAGATGGGGTGAGGACTCAGTAGATAAGAGTGCCTGATCAACAAATACGAGGACCTAAGTTTGGATCCTCAGGACCTACATGAGAGAAGTGGCCAGCACTGCTGGGAAAAGGTGGACAGCAGAGTCCCCGGCACTCACTAGCTTAGCTACATCAACAAGCTCCAGGTACAGGGAAAGACCCTGTCTGAAAAAATAAAGGAAAATATCCTGTATTACCATTTGACCCATGCCTACATACACATGTGCATATACCTAAAAGATACGTACATTTATCACCTGCACACACCATCTCTGAGAGCCATCTGTTATAAAAGAATTTCAATTAACTGGCACCAGCTATGTCTGGGGGTGCAGCTCCACTGCACACTGCATACTCAGCTTGCATAAAGCTCTGGGTTGCATCCCCAGCACCAAAAGATTAACTGCTTTTTTTACAAGTATTTTGTTGTCCAAATGGGGATCACAATGACTTTTAATCTAGGTTTTATCTTAATACCCAGAGAAAAGAACACAAAAGCAAAGACATTTAGGGGCATTATACTACTTAGATTTCTTTTTTCTACTACCAAAAGACTTATTTAAAAAATTGATTAAGAGCCAGCAAAATGGCTCAGAGAATAAAAGCACAGGCATAACAACCTGACTCCAATCCTCAGAATTCACATGGTAAAAAGAGAATGGACTCCCACAAGCTGTCCTCAGACCTTGCTTATGTGCTCTGGCATGTGTACATACACATGTTCACACATGAACATACTCCCCACACACACATACAAATTAACTAAACAAGAAACTAGATAAAGCTGGACATAGCGGTATACTCCTACAATCACAGCATCTGGGAGGCAAAGGCAGGTGAATCAGAAACTCAAGGCCAGCCTCATCCACACACTGAATACAAAAGAAAAAGCAAGAAATTGGCTCAACAGAATAGAATGATGGTATATCTCTGTAATTACAGTACTCAAGAGGTTGAAGCAGGAGGATAAAGGCTAGTCTCAGCTAAATAATAAGACACTATCTAAAAGGATAATTAAGAAAGGTTCTTTAAAAGGTTAAATTGACATTCAAAACAGTACACTTTTATCTATGCAGAATGAATGATGTAACTGGATTCTTGCTAGAGACATTCATTATGGTACTATTAAGGGAAAGTTACAAAACTCTTCAGAATATGCTAAACAGCAAAAAGCTGGATTCGACAACAAGACTGTGAAAGGACGAGCCAAGGCTGAACTACCATTTGTTGTTTTAGTACACACTAATGATCAGTTCTCTCACCATCGCCAGGGATGCTTTTACGTCATCTTTCGGCAGTTCTGAGCCTTCATTCTTAGCCACGCCTTCAGCGTCACCTCTGTCTACTACTTGTCTCTGTCTGGCCTTTAGTACGTTTGGTCTTGGTCTTTGAAGTCGACCTCTCACTGGTAGAGTAATTTGGACACTTTGCTTTGTTTCTTGTGTGACCACGTTCATTTTCTGAGTTCTAGAAAAAAGGATAAGGAGGAAAAGTGAGAGCTTGACTTTAGATGACATCTATAAGAACATGTAACTTGAATTTCCTCCAATAAACACTCCTGAAAATATTTTTCCAAATCACTCAAGGAAAATATCTTCTCATCACAACAACATGTTAAAAATTTGGGGAGCCATAGGAAAAAGAAACACATTATTTCAGGTCTGGAGATGTGACCAAATGGAAGGAGGACAAGGCAGTGACAGCGATGCAAAACAAATAATGCTTTCTGATTCATGTCACTCTGTTTGTACACCTAAAAATGGTTAAAATGGTCCATGTTATCTGATGTACATATATTGCCAACTTTTTATACGGCAAGGAATTGTAACACACACACATATATGTATATATTTTAGTGTACTACCTATCTTCTGTAATGTTAAAAAGTTAACAATAAAGCATTAAAATGTTCAATCCCAAAAAAAAAAAAATGTTCAATCCCATCTAATTTTCAAAGGTAGATGGCCTGCCCTATGAATTAAACCAATTACTCTCTATAGCACATTTTTTAAATAGAGAAATGTTTCAAGGAAGAGTCTCTCTAATTTTAGATTTTTAAGGAAATGTCACTGTTTACCCAATAGGAACAACTAAGCCATTCTCCTGGTTTTGTGTTAGAGAATCCTCTTTAGGTTCACATGAATTGGGCGGTGAAGAATCCTTTTCAGTCTGTATGCATGGCAGTATCACAGCCTCCTCCTCAGGACCCGAGTTATCATTTTCTCTTGATGCCATTAGGGAAGGTACCTTCAAGAAGTTTAAAAAGAACAAAGAATTCACAAGCTATTAGTGTAAGAATAAACCTACCCCTTCTTTATAGATAACAAGAGGCAGTGTCAGCTTCCCTGCGTTTCTACTTTAGAAACACATGTTACAAAACCATGTAACCAAGTACATAAGTGTGCATAAACAAGGCGAGTTTCTGGGCAATCCTCTACATAGAAAGGATGAATAACTACTAGAAATAAGACTGTTTAATAGGAAATTAAATTTTGATTTCATTATTTTGGGAGGACACTAGTGGGCACTATGATCAGGTCCTCGTGCATGCAAGGCAAATATTCCATCACTGAACTGTTTCTGAATTTTCTCTCTCAGTGTTTCTGAATCAATCTCTCTGTTTCTCTGTCTCTCTCTGTCTCTGTCTCTCTCTGTCTCTGTCTCTCTGTCTGTGTGTGTGTGTGTCTGTCTCTGTCTCTCTCTCTCTGTCTGTCTCTCTCTCTCTCTCTCTCTCTCTCTCTCTCTCTCTCTCTCTCTCTCTCTCTCTCTCTCTCTCTCTCTCTCTCGATAGGCTCTCACTATATAGCTCTGGCTGGCCTGGAACTCAAGAGATCCACCTCTTTCTGCGTCCCCACACTGAGGTTAAAGACATGTGCCACCACATCTGGCTCTGGATTTTCCTTACAATGAAGAGACAGGGCTCACTCTGCTGCCTAACCCTGAGCTAGCCTTGACAAGCAGCTCTCCAGCTTTACCCTCCTAAATATACCACGCCTAAGTTTAGCCTTGTATATTCCAGTATATAACCACACTAAAAATGTTGTTCTTTGTACTGAGTCCAATAGATGTTAAAATATTATGTAAAGAGGAACTATCAGATACTAAGGGACGACAGCACTTGTGGCATGTAATACTCAAACATCTAAATGTGTAAATACTCATTAGACATTAGTGAAGGGAAAAGAAAGAGATATGTCCTAGCTGTAAGTGCGCTGGCTGCTCTTCCACAGTCTCAGGACCATCCATAACTCCAATCCCAGAGGATCTGAGGCCCTCCTCTGGCCTCTGTGGGCACTGTATACATGAGATTCACAGACATACACTGAGGCTAACAGCCCACACACATAAAATAAAATAGGAAAAGTAGTTTGACTATTGCAAAGTTAAGAGAAAGTACAAATATACAAAGACTGGCTCTAAACTGCAAAATATGAATTTAATTCTGAAAAGTATTTTAAAATACATTCAACTTAGCTAGGCCTGGTATGCAGATCTGTAATCCTAGTTTCTTGGGAAACAGGAAGATCACAAGTTCAATTTTTGCTTGGGTTCAAAGCCAGTCAGCCTAGGCAAACTTAAGTTAAGAAGGCTGAGAATACAGCTCAATGGAAGAAAGCTTTCCTAACATCTGTGAATCCCCAGGACTACAAGAAGAAAACAAAAACTAAAATCCAATTTGAATGTTAGCATTTCATTTTAGAGTTTTAATCTGTTATAAGTTAATGAAGTAAATAAATATCTACTCCAATTCATATCTAGCATTTCATTTTTCATGTTACCTTAATAACAATGAAATAAAGCACTATTATTCCCATTTTTCCTGAGGAACTTGGTACATCATTTAGCTATGATGACTTTTACCAGAATGTCAAGTAGAACCTAAAATGTCTTAGATGCCTTCCATGACACACATTTGCCCACACTTGCCTACCAAATATCCAATATTTTAACCTAACTATATGAAATAATGAGGCACACTAAGCATAGAACATTACTACCCACATTAAAAATTATATGAACTCAGGCCGGGCGTTGGTGGCACACACCTTTAATCCCAGCACTCGGGAGGCAGAGGCAGGCGGATCTCTGTGAGTTCGAGGCCAGCCTGGTCTATAAAGTGAGTTCCAGGACAGCCTCCAAAGCTACAAAGAAACCCTGTCTCGAGAAAAAAAAAATTATATGAACTCTCCAATAGCTGAACAACAAAAATCCACAAACAAAACCTCCCCCTTAATCAACACTCACATGTTGAGAAGAGGGAGAATCAGCTTGCTCGCTGTCCTGCTGTAACATGATGGTCACCATTTTGTCTGTTTCTGATTTCTTCCCAGGTACACCATGCTCTGCTTCTGCGGTTGCTCTCTTTAAAGCTGCTCTTGACAAGTTTGGTTTTGGTCTTTTGAATCGGCTTCTCAGAAAAGGAGCTGGTTTAACTTCAAGTGGCTTCTGTTCTTGAGGAAGAGATTTGCTTTTGGAACAAGGATTATCAAAGTCGGTTAGAATGAACTGAAGTATGAAAGTGAGCGGGACACAGGACAACCTTAGAGACTGGAAGTAAGCTTTTAACTGCTTGTGTTTTGTTTTTAGACAGGGTCTTTCTATGTAACCTAGGCTGGCTTGGAGCCTGCTCTATTAGGCCAGGCTGGCCTTCAATTTTCCTTCATCTTCCAGCCTCTACCTCACAAGTGTGAAGATTACAGGCATGCACCATTATATCTATATCTGTCTAATTCCATTCTTTAAGGGGAAAAAAAACGGAACTATTCATTAAACTCTGAAAAACATTGAGTTGTACAATCCAGGTACAAGCTTATCATATTTTTGCATGAAGAAAGCAATGGTCAAACCCATGCTGACTATGAGTATGTATTACATGAAATTTGTTAATAAACCTCACCATTGCCTACCAGAATGGCTCTAATCCTCTCTTCCAGTTGTCCATAAACTATCTTAAAACCTGTAACACTATCCAATTTATGTTATGGCTTCAAAGCTCACTTGCTTTCACATAATCTGCAAACAGAACCTCACATTATTTTTCTTTAAAGGCACATAGACCTACACTCTTAGTACCTTAAGTTGGTATCTGAAAACTGCTCTAGGACATCTGGAAGTCGTATCCCCGGATCTGTTTCATGTTGTCCAGAATTCGGTGAAGAAGACTCCACATGACTTAAGTGACTTGATACTTCCTTGTCAGCGTTTTCTTTTTCTTCCACAAATGTAGACATCACTGATGTTTTATTACTAATATTCTAAAGAATCATAATACATCATCATAAACAAATTCTATAAGCAATTTCATACACTTTAAACAAAAGCTTATTTCTAAAACAGTGATCTTTAAAACAGTTTGTTTTTAACTGCTAAATATAAAAATCACAAATATTAAAACTTAAAATTCAAGAATGCCTTCCCTTCATATTGTATATTATGACTATTCCAAACCACAGATAATATCTACACACACACACATATGCAAACAGGCGCACATATACACACAGAGAAATCCTCAAAATTGATGTTAAGAGTATGAACTACAAACAACAGGAAACTTTCACTAAAAAAATTTAAAATGGAGGCAGTAAGATGTCAGGATGAATAAAAATATATGCAGGTAGTTATGACCTAAAGAAATAATTTCAGCCTAAATTTATACTAAGGTTGGTACAAATTTAGTCCAATTTTTCTTAGATGAGTACCTTCAAACTGCCATTAGAATTAGTAACTTTTCCACAATTAGAAAAAATAATCTTTTAAAATTTTTAAGTGAATACACTTAGAGATTTTAAATATTTTTTAACTTAAGGGTAATGATAAATTATTTTGGTAACCTTGCTGAGAAATGTTTTTAAAACACTGTAAGACAGAGAAATACATACTTTTCTATCCAGTGAAGGCTCAGGGCTACTGTCGTCACTGCTGCTCTGATTTACATCTGCCGCGGGCTGCCTTGAGATATGCTCCTCAGGTTCACAGTCTCTTGGAGAAACATCTACTTCTGTTTTTTCTAAGACTGCCACCATTTCCTCCCCAACAATGATCTCTCCACAACCTGCCTCCCAAGAGTCAGAAATCTCCCCTGTCTGCTTCAGATCTTTGCTAGTTTCCTCCTCGCTGGCAGCCGTCTCTCCTGACTCCACGGCCATCACAGAAGTGACTCTTTCTCCAGTTCCCTGCAGGTCCAGCTCCTCTCCTTCCCTGGCGCTCCGCTCCACTCGTACCTCTTCTCTGTGTGTGCGGCTGAACATATCCACCTCACTAACCAGCTGCTCTGCTGGAGCGACCACCATGTTTCCTCTTTGGGAAGTTTCTCCTCCAATCTCTTTCAGGTGTGTTTCCATTTCACCCATGGTGTTGGCCTCCTCTGACTCTTTTACTGGTGCAGATATTTCTTGTCCTTCAGTTTCTTCTGAATGTGCCTCCCTTTCTTCAGTGCTATCAATCATATCTGGTGCAGATATTTCTCGTCCTTCAGTTTCTTCTGAATGTGCCTCCCTTTCTTCAGTGCTATCAATCATATCTGGTGTCCAGTCTCCTGTGGGCAACTCTTTTCCAGTTTCTTGCAAGCCCGTCTCTGTTTCACTAATTGGACTGACTTCCTTGAGGCCATTTTCCTGTGGAAAGATTTCTCTTCTTGCAGTTTCTTCCAGATTTGTATAAATTTCCTCTGTGGTATCAATCAGCTCTGGCACCTTCTCCATAGGAGAAATCTCATTTACACCTGTCTCTGTTTCCATAGGGATGTCAATTATTTCTGCTCCCATCTCCCCTGGGGAAGTATCTCTCCCAATTGTTTCCAAACCTATCTCCATTTCCATAGTGGCATCCGTCATTTCTGACATCTTCATATTAGAAGATATGTCATTTCTTCCAGTGTCTTCCAAATCTGATTCCAATTCCTTAGTGGAAGGAGTATCAGTAAGACCAGCAATAGTTACATTTGGAATCTTCTCCCTTGGTGAAGTGTCTGGTTTTACAGTGTCTTCCAAAGTTGCCATTATTTCTCCGGAAACAGGAGTCTCCTCTGGTGCCCCTTCTCTGGAGGCCAGTCTTTTTCTCCCTGTATTTGGCTTTGGTTTTGGTCTCTGAAATCGCGTCCTTAGAACTGGAGTTTGTTTCACTTGATTTGCTTTATTGCCCTCTTGAATACTTAAAAAAAAAGAGAGAGAGAGATACATTTAATACAGACTACCAGTTGAACAGATGACAGCTAAGAAATCCCTATAGAGACACTTGAAAAAAAAAATGACAGATTTGCCAAACAAGGTGGCACACATCTTTTATCTCAGAACCCAGGTAGAAGCTGGAGGATTTCTGTGACTACAGAGTGATTTCCAGAACAGCCAGGGTTATACAGAGAAAACCTGTCCCAAAAACTGAAAAAATAAATAAAAATTTAATGATATATAAGACCCAGAATGGTAGCACACACCATTAATCCCAGCACTCAGGAGGCAGAGGCAGGTTAATCTCTGAGTTTACACAGAGTGTTGCAGGATAGCCTGGTCTATTTAGAGAAAGTTCCACAATAGCCTGGCCTACACAGAGAGACACTGATTTCTGTTTTTGTTCTTTTAAAAAAGCATTTTAAGGGACTGAGGTTGTAGTTCAGTGGTAGAATACATACTGAACATGTACTAGGCCCTGAGTTTACTCACAACATCAAAAAAAGAAAAGAAAGTTAATCAAGTCCCAAGAATGTCTGTCTAGATAGAAAGGGAAAATAAGGGAGAAACAATCCAATTAGCTGAAATTATAATAGAATCTTACAACAATTATTTGTATCTATGTGTGTCTAGACACATGTGAGAATATTAGTAAGGTCAGTCAGAGCACCAGCTGATTGTGCTTGAATAGTGACCCCTCTGCAATTGTTACTTTATCCTAGGCAAACAATGGCTAGGAAAAACTCTGCAGAATTCTGCAATCATGCTAGCTCAAGCTGCATATGTTACTTTCACATCTGTATTCCTACTATCGTTTACCTAGACATACAGTCATGACAGACCTGATGACCTCAATAGCTAGATGGAATTACGACTCAAGTAAGAAAATGCCTTATGACTAAGAAAAGATCTACCCTTTATACTTTTATAAGGCAATTTACAATAAGGTTTCTAATACTATAGTTTAAGAGCACATGCTCTCAAGATAAAAGGAGAAAAAACATAATGTTTTTCTGAATTCTACTTAGCACATGATCAGCCATTTATATCAAGCACTTTGCTCTCCAGAGCAGCACTCTTGCTTAGTATTTTAGTCATCAGTATAAATGGCAAACCCAATAAAATATATAAAGGGAGCTATTAAGTAAGGTCAATAGTAGGAAGAAGTAGAGCACAGCTTTAGGCCCAATATTTGGAGGAGGCAAGTGGATCTCTGTGAGTTCAAACCCAGCCCGGTCTCCACAGCCTGTTCCAGGCCATCCAATAATACAACACATGGGGTGGGGGTGGGGGGACACAATACAGGACACCAAAACAACAGATGACAGAATGGGGAAGAAGAGGAGGGTCACTGAATTGTATGCTGAAATCAAGCTCATGGGCTGTGGATTACAAACCTGAGAACTGCCTAGGCTGCTTCACCAGACTCTGGAAAAGTCAGGAGCAGGAAGGAGAGAAGGGAGAGACAAGTAGAAAAAGGGAAACAGGAAAGGAGAAAAAAGTCACTAACCTTGGGTACAAGCTATCAAATGAAACACTAGATTTACTCAGCAGGTGGGCTGAACAAGTGCATACCCTTAGCTTTAAAAAGATTTGGGACAACAGATGGCTCAGAGGGTAAAAGAGCTTGCCCTACAAACTTGAGGATCAGCGTGTGATTCCCAGAACCCAAGACAGAAGGAGAAAGACTTGTGAAAGCTGCTCTCTAACTTCCACACACGCCATAGCATATGAATAACCATACTCGCAGACACATGTCTCTCTCTCTCTCCCTCTCTCTCTCTCTCCTTCTCTCCTCTCTCTCTCCCTCTCCCTCTCTCCTCTCTCTCTCCCTCTCCCTCTCTCCTCTCTCTCCCTCTCCCTCTCTCCTCTCTCTCTCTCTCTCTCTCCCTCTGTCTCTCCTTCTCTCTCCCTCTCTCTCTCTCTCTCCCTCTCCCTCTCCCTCTCTCTCTCCCTCTCCTCTCTCTCTCCCTCTCCTTCTCTCTCTCCCTCTCCTTCTCTCTCTCTCTCTCCCTCTCCCTCTCTCTCTCTCTCTCTCCCTCTCCTTCTCTCTCTCTCTCCCTCTCCCTCTCTCTCTCTCTCTCCCTCTCCTTCTCTCTCTCTCTCTCTCCCTCTCCCTCTCTCTCTCCTCTCTCTCTCCCTCTCCTTCTCTCTCTCTCCCTCTCTCCTCTCTCTCTCCCTCTCCTTCTCTCTCTCCCTCTCCCTCTCCCTCTCTCCTCTCTCTCTCCCTCTCCTTCTCTCTCTCTCTCTCTCTCTCACACACACACACACAGAATAAGTTTTTTAAAGTTTCATTGAAAATAGTTTGCAACAAAAGCAAAAAAAGAAACAAAGAAAATAGCTTACAAGAAGAGTATTTGAAGAAAAGACAGAGTACAGATGAATAGGATAAAAATAAACACTACAGCTGTATTTCCTGAATCTGACCAGATTCACAAGGCACACTCGCATGCGCACGCACGCACGCGCGCACACACACACACACACACACACACACACACACACACACACACACACGATAAATACTAAAAACTGATCAGTCTCACCCATAGACAAGGCAAGCTGCAGACAAGACTCTCAGATAAGTCCAGCCCCCCGGAAGAAGCAGAGATCCGGAAGAGCTGCTTGAAAAGCTCCATCCAATCGATGCACACTGTCTAACCTGCGGAGCTACCTGCAAACTATGTGGTGTACTCCACATCCCTAGCTTTTGTGAGTCATCACCTATGCTAGTGATAAAGCTGTCTCTGAGTAATTTCTGCTCCTGTACGCAATTCCTCACACTCCAGGAAGTAACCCCAGTAAAGCTCATCAGTTCACCAAGCTGGACATTGGTGCAACAATTTGGTCTGTCATGAGCTCCCTTTATTTGAGGTGATTAGATGCGAATGTGTTGTATCTCCCCAGTAAAAGTCTGTCACACAACAACAGCATAGAAGAATAACTATGATTCAGGAATACTAATTCAAAAATAGTTAATAGGAACTGAGACATTCCTAATACAAGTCTATGGTAACAGACATGTCAATTTGTATATATTTGTATATATGAATTAAAATGCCAACACTGCATTCTATAATTATAATTACTATGTCCATAAAAGTAATATATTTTTGAAAAGAGGTATTAATGAAACATTGCTCCCAGGAAAAGAACTTCAATGTTTACTTTTCTATGGGAAAGATGCTTGAATACAAGTATTAAGATTAACATCCAATGATACTTAGTAACAACAAAACTGTTAAAAAACCAATTTGGAAGGCTGGAGAGATAGCTCAGAGGTTAAGAGCACTGGCTGCTCTTTGGGAGGTCCTGAGTTCAATTTCCAGCAACCACATGGTGGCTCACAACTATCTGTAATGAGATCTGGTGCCCTCTTCTGGCCTGCAGGCATATATGGAGGTGCTGTACACATAATAAATAAATAAATAAAATCTTTAAAAAATTTTTGGAGTAACTAAACAGTATAAGTAATATCTGTCTAGAGCCACTACATCAAAGTTAAAAAAAAAAAAAAAACCAAAACACCAACAAAGGAAGGAAAGGAGAGGGGGGGGAGTAAAATGTGCACATTTCATTAGTAACCAATTTCTCCTGCTTGAAATGACTACTTCCATGTGATTTTGATAACAGAAGGCAGACCCTTAGAAATAAGACAGCCTTTCAAACTATCTTTAACTGAGGCACTTAGAGCTACCATGGCCTTTAATAAATAATAACATTAAGGACAAAATCAGTAATTTACTGTGTCATGTATGATTGGTTCTCTTCACTTCTGTAAGCAGCAGATAAGACAGAATATGTATGCTATAAAGATGGGGAGGAACCCTGAGAAGTAAAGGTTTATGTGAGGATTGGGTTGGGAGATGGAGGAAAAGAGAGAATGGTGCAGATTAAACAAAACTAAAAATGTATAAAAACCCACTTCTTTGTAAGCAAATTACACACATGCACACATACATGAAGAAGCAGCATGTGCACTCATGCCCCCACACACATATATTTTAAGGAATTTTAACACAGGCACTTTGTATGGGCACACAATGAATTCACAAGGACATGGGTTATTAAATGAAATATCTCAGTGCCAGATGTGGGACACTTCCTTACAAAGTTTTTCGTCAGGAAGGCTCCAGAGACCCTTCAAACAACAACAGCTATCACCATTGCTTTAGGTTGCTCAGCCTAACTAAACTGTAAGATCCTACCGCTAAAGGTACAATACACCCTCATTGAAGGACATAGAGAAATCAAATTGGAATTGACCTGAAAACCTCATCTCTGCTGGCTTCTTTTCATGGTGTGGGAAGACGCTATACAGGCACTGGGGAAAAGAAGTCATCAATGGTCTTACCCAGTGAACACTGACCTGCCAGGCAAGATATGCTCACTGGCACAACAGAGTCATAAAGGTGTGTGTGTGTGTGTGTGTGTGTGTGTGTGTGTGTGTGTGTGTGTGTGTGTGTGTGTGTGTGTTCACATGTGCCCGTGTGTGAGAACTAACCACTTTCTGATTGGATTTGAGACCTATACCACAGGAGGGAAGTCATGCTTGGTATTAGAATGTGCTCAAAAGTCTATCACTGGCCCTAGTTGGGAACCTTCTACTGTTGTTTTCCTAAATGGATTCAGTGTAAAACTGTCTTCTGAGTGCTTTTGTTTATAACACATCTATTAAAGCTGTTGTCAGCTTTGGTCAGAGAAGTTTCTTTCTGCAGTGGGCAGCAGGTAATTCGTAAATACCTGATCCAAGTGTTCAAAATAAATGACTGTTAAGTGCTAAGCCCAAAATGGGACACCTATATGAACTCCCTCAAGACTTAGGAAGCATCATGAAAGACAGGGTAGAAAGAATGTAAAAGCCAAAAGATGAGAAAGAGTGATGCAAAATATGTCATCTGGACACGGCATGGCCTTTGTCCTCAGGAACTCACTGCAGCTATGGTAACAAAATTAAGCTAACAGGACAAGTCAACGTTCCAGCAGGCAATACTAACTAGATTCACTGGTTACCAAAAGCAAACTAACAGAGAAAACTGGAAAGCACATAAGGATAAAAACAGAAGGGAGATATATATACAGTTGGGGAGGAGGCTGCAAAGGGACTGGGAAGAGGGAGTCAGGGGTAGATAAAAGATTGAGACGTATTGCAAACATATTTGAAATCATCAAAGAATACTGGGCCCTGAGATAGCTCAGCGAGTAAAGTTGCTTGCCACCAAGCCTGATGACCAGATCCCCTGGAAATACATCTATCGTGGAAGCAGCCTGACTGACAGGAACAAGCCAAGTGTGTGTGCACACACCTGTAATTCCATTAACCGGAAGGAAGATGGTGGAGGAACAGAAGTTTATGATCATTCTCAGCTACGTGAGCTTGAAAAGCTAACCTGAGCTACATCAAACTGTCTCAAATCACCCCCCCACACACACATACACACACACACACATATATTTAGTTGAAGTATACAACATTTTAAATATCCTGGACTGTTAGAGTAGTTGATCTAAGAATCATAAATATGCTTGCTCTTCATTCTGAGAAGCTGTCCCTTCTCTAATACAACTTGAACAGGACAGAGTACTCAGAGTAGGGAAGGGGGGAACTGCCAAGTATCTATACATAGATCAAAATTAGATAAAACACAGAAACTCAGAATTGTTTCCAAGGCTCATGGATGTTTAAAGGCCAGAAGTATCACATGGTAAATCAGTAAAGACACTGCCTTTACAGAGGGAAGTTGCGTCAGGCGTTGGTGGTGCACGCCTTTAATCCCAGCGCTCGGGAGGCAGAGGCAGGCGGATCTCTGTGAGTTCGAGGCTGGGCTGAACCGACAGCCTCCAAAACAATACAGAGAAACCCTGTCTTGTAAAACCAAAAAAAAAAAAAAAAAAAAACAGAGGCAAGTTGCTAAAGTCAGGTTGGATATTAGTTACAAATACCCAGAAACTGGGCTTGGTTTGGTGGTTTGTACCTAATAATCCAATTGCATGGGAGGTGGTAGCAGGAGGTCCAAGGAGAGCTGTCCCTGTCACACCACCAGCTTCAACACTCGAGAGAGCAGGCCCTGCACCTTCAGTGGGCAACACAATAGAGACAACACCATTGGTGGAAGTGTGGGTGTGCCAGGCCCAAAGTTGTGAGCATGAGAGAGCTATCCCCACTAGCGATCTGTCATGTGTCAGCATGACCTGGGGAAAGCTGGCCCTGAGGTCATAAGCATAAGAGAGCTGCCCATGTCCCCCACCATCTGCGACACTCGGAAGAGCAGGACCTGCACCTCAACTGGGCAGCACAATAGAGCCAATCGTTTTGGCAGAGGTGTGGGTGAGCCAGTTCCAATCTTGTGAGCATGGGGAACATTCCCATGACTCACCTGTCATGTGGCAGCATGGGCCTTTCTCCCCACTCCCACCCATCAACACCTGAGACAGGTAACACCTAGCTGGCTCTAAGGTCACTAAGAGTGAGAGAGCTAGCTCTGCCCCATCAGCTGCAACACTAGGAAGAGTGGCCCTGCACCTTACCTGCCCAACACAGTGGAACTGACCCTAAAGGTGTAGATGAGGGAGATCTGACCCTGAGGACATCAAAGCAGGACTAGTCCTACCCCTTGCTCATCACTGCAAGGGGTAAACTTGCTAGGACAATGCAGGAGAACTCACTCTGGTGGTGAGGGCAAGGGAGAACTGGTAGACTAACCAAACCTGCAACTGCCCAGGTCCAGAAACCAGGGTTACGTATTGGTCAACCCCAACATCCACCCCATCTGTGATCTGCTGGAACACATGAACAAACTAGTCTTGCAGACCCAAAGCTGCAGGATTTCCACAACACAGGGCAACATCAAGATAACTCAGAGGGGTTCCAGTTAGGACCCAGCACTTAGACAGTGTGGCAGAAACAAGAGACTTGGAACCAGACCAATGACTCTTTGCAATGAACCCGTGCAAGTAAAGACTCATGGGTAAAAGGGTGTACTGCATGACTCACTGTGTCAGACTACAGCTTCCACGACAAGATTAGAATTTTTTCCTGCTCTCTCTTTTGTTTCTTCTTTTAAATTTTATTTTATTTTGTGGGGAGGTTGTGGGCAGAGGGTGGATACGAGGGAAGGGAACTGAACAGGATGGAGATACATAATGTGACAGACACAAAGAATAAATAAAAAGGAGAAAATGTACAATAAATATTCAATACATATTTAATTAATTTTATATAATTATATCATCTTTAATTAATTTTATATAATTAAAAGGTATAATTTTATAACTTGAAAAACAACTGGTTTTTGTATTTTTGCATTTTATGTGAAATGCAATATTTTAAATACAAATTAAAGAAAGTATTTTTTGGTTAAAAAAAGGAAAAAGACCAAGGTCATTCTTGTTTACATACTGAGTTCACAGCCACCCTAGGCCCATAAGATCCTCTCAAAAAAGAGAACAAATAAACAAATAAATTCTAAAACTCAAAAAACTAATTTTCTGCTAAGACACTGTAACTAAAGAAGTATGGCTTAAATCTAGATAATATGAATACAAAACCAATTTGTCAGATAGCTACAAATAAATCTATTATCACCAATATGTAATAAGGAAGGTAGTTCTATAGGGCACAATAGTAGTCAAACAGTTGAAGGGAAGAAAAGAAATAATAAGGGGCTGGAGAGATGGCTCAGAGGTTAAGAGCACTGGCTGGTCTTCCAGAGGTCCTGAGTTTAATTCCCAGCAACCACATGGTGGCTCACAACCATCTGCAATTCAATCTGGTGCCCTCTTCTGGCGTGTAGACAGAACACTGTATATGTAAGAAATACATAAATCTTAAAAAAATAAAAAAGAACAATTTTGAAGCCGGGCGTTGGTGGCGCACGCCTTTAATCCCAGCACTCGGGAGGCAGAGGCAGGCGGATGTCTGTGAGTTCGAGGCCAGCCTGGTCTACAAGAGCTAGTTCCAGGACAGCCTCCAAAGCCACAGAGAAACCCTGTCTCGAAAAAAAAAAAAAAAAAAAAAAAAAAGCCCAAAAAAAAAAAAAAAAGAAATAATAAATAAAGCAAGAAATAAAGGAATTCCTAAAGTAAAAGAAACACAGCTTTACTTTCAAGTTAGATGCTATTAAAACAAGTCTAAGAAAATATATCATAGGCCAGACTTTAAATATAAATGTTAGAGACAGATACGTAGAAGTCCATGCTGTTATCTCTGCATCTACATGCTTCAAATATTACCAAATTATAAGCATCCTAGTAATTCTATCAATCTGGTTTGGGAAAATAATAAACAGGAACTTTGACTATAAAAAGTATGGGGTCTACATCTAACTGACCTAATACTAAAAAATCAAATATTACCAAAAAGTAGCATTTCTATGGGATCCAGACATCTCATTGATATGATTGTTAAGTGAAAAGGTTATTTCTATTAACTCAGATACTGGGTGGGGCACATGCTCCACCACAGGCACATGGAGTCAGAGGACAGCATGTGGGACCCACAGACCAAACGCGGGTTGTCAGACTTGACAGCAAGTGCCTCTTTACCTAGGGAGCCATCTCGCCAAGCCTGTACCTTCTCTGTTGTTGCTGTTTAAGATTTGTTTTTTTTAATTTATGTGTATGTGTGTTTATCTACACCACATGCATGCAGGTGCCCAACAAGGGTTGAGGGTATCAAATGCCTTAGAACTGGCATTGCAATCCAGTGGGGAGCTGTGTGGTATGATGCTGAGAACCAAACCTGGCCTTCTCTCTAGCACCTTAAATACTGTTAAACATAACATAAATGATATACAGATAGAGAGGCCGTTCACAGAGTTTGCTTCTGTGGGGTCACAGAGATGGCTCAGGAGGTAAAGTGCTTCCTTCTAAACCTGATGGCCTGAGTTCCATTCCCAGGTAACAAAGGCAGAGTGGAAGGAGAGAACTAACTCCCAAAGGTTGTCCACTGACCTGCATGGCATTCACGCACCTCATTTCTGTCTTAAAACACAGAATAAATAAATATAATCAATTTGATCAATTTATTTAATTCTAAAGTCCCGTTAAAAACTTCAAAACTATGTAACTGATAAAACAATGCTTACCTTGGACAGTCATCAAGAAACTTGGGCTCATCAGACTGCACATTTTCTAAAGGACCTTTTTCTTCAGGCTGTGATATGACTTCTTCACACTGGAGGTTATGAAGGGACACATTTTCCATTTGTTGAGGAATCTTAATAACAAAGTTTATAATATTTTAGATTTCAAAATAAAACACAAAACTTTTTACTGAGAAATCTATCTTTGCCAGGCATGGTGAAGCATGTTCTGGCACTTAAGAGGTGAATGCAGAAGACCACATTCCCAAACAAGCCTAGGCTACATAGGGATTTGAGAACAACCCAACTACAAAATATCCCTTCTCATTTGAGTATAAGTAAAATGGTAAAAAATATATCAAAATTATAAAATAACAGCCAAAACACACATTTTAATGTTTTTCCTTTAGCTATATTGAAAATCCCATAAGTCACATCCTTACCATGGCCCAAGTCCTATTCTTTTCTATCCCATCAGGAAGTAATGTTTCAGACTCATCTATTTCAGTCTGACTCCATCTCATTTGTCAGAATCCTCCCCAGTGCTAGTATTTCTAAATTCTTAGTGTTTAAGTATGTTAAAAACTGTAAAGAATGTAACAATAGACAGGACTAGGGATGTAGTTCAGGTAGGAAAAGTGCTTGCCTAGCATACACAAGGTCCTTGGTTCAATCCACAGCACCACATAAAAAATGGGCATGGTAGTACATGCCTACAATCTTAGCGTTTGGGTCAGAGCTCAAATTTATTCTGTTATACAATGAGCTGAAAACCAGCTGAGGCTACATGAGACTCTCCCTCGAATATAAAAAATAAAATTATAGCAGAAGGAACCCAAATCTTGAGTCACGCTAAGTCTTGACTTTCTTCTAAGGACTACATAAATAATCTAAAACTCCATGACCCATGGGATATAGTTCAATAGCAAGAGTGCTTTCTTAGCATGAAAGAGGCCTTAGGCTGGTCTTCTACATTTCTCTGTCTGTCCATCAGTCTCTGTCTCTGTCTCTGTCTGTCTGTCTCTTTCTCTCTCTCTTTCTTCTCTCTCTCTCCCTCTCTCTTACTCACTCACTCACTCATTCACACACACACTTCATTGTATGATTTTGGAATTATACTTGAAAGGAACACTTTCAATATTTTGTTTAAGCCAATGTTAAAATTCATATGTTTCCAAAAAGAGGCTGAGAATATGGCTCAAGGGTAGAGTGCTTGCCTAGCTGGGATCAATCTGATGCGCAGGGAAAAACCACGCCCAAATATGAGGTAAGATGAGAGCAAACCAAGAGCCATGTACAGTGCTCAAATATCTAAAATGACTTAACCATAAACAAAACTCCTTACTATGAGATTTTGGCCACAAATGTAATAAACAACACACACAAGCTTACTTTAAAAGAATGAAAGCTTTCATTAAGGCTTACATACTTGCTTAATAAATGTTATCAGAATCAACATACCACGACACAGGATTCATTTTTTTCTCTATCAACACCAGATTCATCTTCGTTCTTCTCTACATGGGCCCCAATTTCTTCCTGTGGTGTAGGAATCTCTTTTCTTTCTGCAGCTTTCTGTATATTTGGCCTTGGTCTTTGCATTCGGCCCCTCATTAGTCGTGCAGGTCTTGAGACCTTTGGTTGACCATCTTCTGGTATATAAGATTTTTCGCTCAAACTATAATCACAAAAAAATGAAATTACAGTAAAGTCACAAAGCTGTTTGGTTATATAAATAAGAAAATCATGTTAAATAGGAAGCATTTTTCAAGTATCTTCAAAAACATCTTGAAAAATATTCACTATACATCTATGGCCTACTCTTGCAAACAAACAATTCTGGAAGTCTAGTTATAAAAACCTCATGAACAGATACCACCTCATCCCGCTCCCAACAGGCAAATATGCTTCTGCCAATGTGTCTTCCCCATCACTGATGATGAACTAAAATCCCCCTGAAAATGTAACTGCAAAGCAGAACTCACTGTGACAGCTGATGGTAAGAACATTATATGCAATCGCCATCCTTCTCTGGACAATCCATATAAATACATAAAACATATCCCCCAGTAAGATCCCATGCATAATAATGAAAACACATGAGATAAAATAGATGACCACCCTGGCAAAGACACTGATCAACAGCTTAGCAAAATGTTCTTTGGTAAGCAGTGCTGTCGATGGTTACAGACATAATTATCATAGGCATCATAAAAAGTGAATCCTCAAAAAATAGGTGATGCTGAAGTCCTCAGGAGAATCAAGAGAAATGTTATCCTGTGCCTCATTTCCCATTAGTGTATCCATTAAAGCTGCTTAGTAGTTGTAAGTCTTTTAAAAAAGCATCAAAATCTCACTTGAAAAATGAAAACCTGTATCTATCCAACATGTGACATGATTATTTTTCTTTTAGGACATCATTATATAATGCCAGGAATCGGTGTCCACTTAAAGAACAGCATGCTATTAAAGAGCCCAGAATCTACACCTCACAACCATATTTGGAGATACCCTGTCTTATGTCCCTATCGAATAAAATATTTCTTTAGAAATCACTTGCTACAAATAGAATCATCCACAATCATATCTTAATCACTCATTTATTTGACAAAACTTATTAGAAAATATTAGTAAATTGAAGGAAGCACAAAATTGCTAACTCAGTATATATTCATGCAATCATTTAAAAAATTTTATTTTGGATGGTGGTGGCAAATGCCTCTAATCCCAGAACTTAAGAGACAGCTCTCTATGAGTGAGGCCAGTCTGGTCTACAGAGCAAGTTCCAGGACAGCTACAAAGAGAAACTCTGTCTCAAAAAAGGAAAATCTAAACTTCTTATTTACATACTTTTGAGACGGGGCTCCTGTACCGTAGGCTGACCTCCAATCACTCTGAGAAGAGGATAATCTTAAACGTCCAACTCTTTCATCTCTTTATCTCCAGTGCTGTCTTCACAAGCATATGCCACCACACCAGGCTTATTTGAGGCTCCAGAATGAACCCAGAGCTTCACACACACTAACCAGATACAGCCCTAGACCTACCCATACTATCATTTCTACCTATGACATCAAGCACACGGAGCACTGTTAAAAGTTCTTGCTGTCATCTATAATGAAAACAGACTTGAAGTACCCCAGTTGAAAATTCAGACTTTATTAAGAAGAAAACTAATAATTACAACCACTCCTGAAGGTCATTTCTTCTCAAGTACTTACTCAGACACAGTTTCAGCACCTAGGTTCTTCTCTCTTTCTATATTCTCTGTCCCAAAATTTTCAGATATATTCATTCTCTCCTTTTCCACGTGATTCTGTAAATATAAATTTTTACCTTAAAGCTACTTACAATAAAATATTCCATTGAATGGAAATTAAAACAAAGTAATCTTTTATATTTATACTTATAACTAAGCAATTTTCTAAAAATTCTAAATACAGATCAAAATATTATAAAGCACACGATCTATATACAGAAGGCCCTTGCCAACATGAAGAGTCTTTAAAATGTTCATATTCTTTGACCACAATATTATTTTATGTGTATGTTAAGGAATGAAGAGGCTAGATATGGTAGCATACACCTTTAATCCCAACACTAGGGAGGCAGAAACAGGCAGATCTCTCTGGGTTTATTTTAAACCCAGAGAGTTTTAGGCAAACCAAAGGTGTACTCTGAGACTGTGTCTCAAAAAAAAAAGAAAGAAAGAAAGAAAGAAAGAAAAGGAAAAAGAAAAAGAAAAAAGAAAAAAAAAGGAAAAAAATAAAATAACTGAGGGGTCCAAAGGAAAAGATGCTTGCCACTAATCCCTACAGCCTAATTTTAATCTCTAAAACCCACATAATTGAAAGAGAAAACCAACTCCTTGGCAAGCTATCCTGACCCCAGCCCACCCCACCTACACACACTAGGTAATTTTTTTTTAATTTAACAAAAGTAATTTAAACCATGTAAGTACTAGAATGTTCACAATATTGTGTAAAATGGACTACACTGTTAATGTAAGTTTTCCAAAAATGAAGCAATAGTTAAGTAAATGCAGTTAATAGTACATTGCCAAAGTGTTATTTAAAAATGTTTTCTAAAGAAGTTTAAATAGCACTGAAAAGAAGTTTACAAATTTTTAAATACCAAAGGATAAAAAATGAATAACTCCTGAAAGACTGTGAGATAGTGAATGTGTGGTTCACTGGGGAAGCTCTTGCCTCACACTCTAAAGCTTCTACCCTGACTGTTATTCTGACAGCAAGAGAAGGAAAACAGCAACTGGAAAGAAAAATGTGAAAAGATTAGGTGCATATAGATGATAAAATTGTAAGTCATTTTTGCTTTGATCCTTAAATCGATCAATACTTCCAAAATTTCTACATAAAATCTGGGCTAGCAGCCGGGCGTTGGTGGCGCACGCCTTTAATCCCAGCACTCGGGAGGCAGAGGCAGGCGGATCTCTGTGAGTTCGAGGCCAGCCTGGTCTACAAAGTGAGTTTCAGGACAGCCTCCAAAGCCACAGAGAAACCCTGTCTCGAAAAACCAGAAAAAAAAAAAAAAATCTGGGCTAGCATGATGGCTCAGTGGGGTCAAGGAACTTGCCACCAAACCTAATGACCTGAGTCTAATCTCCCAAACCACACAGTAGAGAGAACCTCGAGTACTCAAGTTGTCCTCTGCCCTCCATGTGTGCTGTGCCATAAGCATGCCACCCTCCTTTTAACAACAAAAGGACTACAGGAACTGAAGACATAGCTCAGCGGAAAGGCATTTGTCTGTCATGTGCAAGGTGTCCTGGGTTTGAGCCACAGAACTGCCAAAAAAAAAAAAAAAAAAAAAAGCATATAATAAAAAAGATATTTCACCAGAGTCAAGACAAAGGGCAGTGGTAGAGCACTTACCAGCACTCATGAGACTCTCAGTCCCATACACAACAGTTCAAATAAGAGAAGGGGGAAAAAAGAAAAACTGAAATAGCAATTAAAAGTTATTTTGGACACACTTAAAACAAATTTAAGACTATAACTCCCATAAATACAAATAAATAGGACCAATATTTAAAAGATTTATTATTTATCTATGTGCCTATGTATGAGTATGTGCAAGTGCCAGAAGTCAGATCGCCCTGGTGGAGGGATTTGAAGGTTGTGACTTACTGATGTGAAGGCTAGGAATGGAATTCAGATCTTATTAAAGAGCAACATGAGCTCTTAACTGCTGAGCCATCTTCCTAGTCTAGGATCATTTAGTTAATGCAAACCATAACATAGACTTTCTTTTACCAATGTATGCTAACAACCATAAAAATATTTGAATACTCTGAACAATAATCACAACACTAACAGAAAAAAATTTCTATTAGAAAGCCTTATTTGTCATATATAGTGGCACATCCCCTTAATTCCAACACCAGGAGTCAAAGGCAGATGGATCTTTTCAAGTTCCAGGCCAGCCTGATCTACACAATGATTTAAGACCCAACTCAAAAACTACAAAACCCTATTTACAAAATTATTTATGAATGAAACAAACAAACAACAACAAAACCCTGGAGCCAGAGAGATGAATCAGTAAGAAGGGTGCTTGGGGGCCAGCACTTAACTAAGCAGTTAAGAGTAATGGCTGCTATTCAGAGGACCTAGGTTCAATTCCCAGCACCCACATGGCTGCTCAAACTGTCTCTAACTCCAGTTCCAGAGGATCTGACATCCTCACACAGGCATACAGACAGACAAAACACCATAAAATAAATGAGTAATTTAAAAAGAGGGGTGTTATAATCCCATAATCCCAGCGTTGGGAGGGTAAAACAAAACAGAACCCCAGAACTCATCTGTCAGCCATTCTAGCCTCAAACCAAAAGCAACCCTAGCTGAAGAAGCAAAGTAGAAGGCTACTGAGAACCAACACCGAAGCTGACCTCTACACATATGTGCACACATATGTGCCCCACAGATGCATGCAACACAAACATGAAATCAAACATACAAGAAGTATTGTGTATAAACACTATGCAATTTAAAACATGACGTGGGGGGATGTAGGTCACTGGGGGAATGCATATTTAGCATAGGCAAGGCCTAGGTTCAATCCCTAACAGCACACAAAAAAGAAAAACAAAAACATCCAATTTATCATCACTGATACTTTTTCAAATGTTATAGCCCACACCCTAAACACCTAAAACAAAGACTAACAAAAACAAATCTAACTTTAAGTTTTTGTGTTTTACTATCAGCTAACAATAGTTTGAAATTACAAGATAAATATTTTATAAAAAATATTTTTATAGCTTCAATTTCCATTCAATCTCTTAAACCACACCTTTTCAGATGAAGTTTCTGAAGGAGAATTCTTGTTCCTTTCATCTTGTTTATCTTGTGAAGCAACTGTTTTTTTCCCAACTGCCCTTGACAGATTAGGTTTAGGTCTCTGGAATCGACTTCTTGCTTTGGGTTTAACAGCTTCTGTTTGTTCAGGCTCTCTTAAAAAAAAAAAAAAAAAAAATATATTATTTGAATTGCAACCAACATGTAGTTATGTTCAAATAAAACTCTAAAAAGCTGGAAAATAAGACAGTTGGAATTCAAAGAGTTTCTTAAAGTCCAGAAGATTAGCCTAGCAAAGGAAGCTGAGAGACTTACAAATGTTAAAAATACATCAACATCAGTATAGTTGTGCCAAGATGAATAAATATGTAAATGAAACAAAATAGAAAGTGATTCCAATCAGATATGACTTTAGAACATAATAAGATTGTCTCTCAAAATAGAAAAGTGGAAATGAGTAACACAGAATTCTTAAAAATAAATGTTATACTAGGTTTGAGGGTACACACCTTTAAACCCAGCACTCAGGAGGAAGAGACAGTGGATCTAAGTTTGAGGCCAGCCTGAAATACACAGCAAATTCTAGGACAGCAAAGACTATATAGGAAGACACTGTCTCAAATACAAAAGCAAAAAACTAAAAAATAAAAAAAATAAATAAACAGGGGCTGGAGAGATGGCTCAGAGGTTAAGAGAACTGACTGCTCTTCCAGAGGTCTTGAGTTCAATTCCCAGCAACCAAATGGTGGCTGACAACCATCTACAATTCAATCTGGTGTATATGTAATAAATAAATAAATCTTTAAAAAAATAAAATAAAATAAATATTACGTAAAACTTCTGATAGAAAACTGGCTATCCAAACAGAGTGCACTCCATGCCATGCTCTGTGCTGGCAAGATTCCACGTGGAACAAACATTTAAATGAAGACAGAAAAAACAAGAGGAAGCTATTTTACAAACTTTAGATGAGTAAATCTAAGATTTCATAAAAAGTGGAAAAAAATTAGAAATCAGATAACATAAAATAAAAGCCTTGGGGTTAAAGAGATGGTTCAGTGGATTAAGGCACTTGTCACCTAGAGTCCAATCCCTGGAGGGAGAGCACCAACTCCCACAAATTGTCCTCTGACCTTCGTATGCATACTCATATATAACATTTTCCGTGGTCCCTCCCATACTTTTATGTAAAAAGGATCTTTATTTTTCTAACTTTATAGTGTTTCATCATTTGAATGATTCCTAGTTTGTGTGGTTCTCTACTCATGGCCATATAGGTTGTTTTTACAAACAACACTTATGATCTTATGCTTCACTTTTATGCCAGTTTGAAAGTAAGTTTTTCAGTGAAGGTTTTAAAAATGGAAATGCAACTGTTTGCTGAGAGAGAGAGAGAGAGAGAGAGAGAGAGAGAGAGAGAGAGAGAGAGAGAGAGAGAGAGAGAGAGAGAGAGAGAGAGCATGCACGCGCCTCTTTTAAAATACTAAATGTCTATCTTTAGAACTAAAGCTTATAAAAAGTTGGAGCTACATACAGCTCAGCCTTCCAGTCTTAGATGTGCCCAGTATGTGTGATGTCCTGGGTTTAATCCCAAAAATCAAAAAAGGAAATGTTTAATAATTTTATAAAATGTCTAAAAAAATACTTACGGTGGTTTATTCTCTAGGTCAGTATTTCTTTCTTCTATACAAGTACTTCCATCATTATTTACTTCACAAGAGGCAGCACTCCCAACTTCTGACACAGGCAAATCTGCACCCCTTGATTCTGAGGACTCACTTGCTAGTGGCATGATGTCCTGTTGATTACTAAGGAAGGGAAAATGTATCAAAAGGAAACGAATACCTGAAATAAATTTTCATACCACTAAAAGATACTCTGTGTGTATGTGTGTGTGCACGTGCGTGCGTGCGTGCGTGCGTGTGTTTTGGCATGGTGTGAAACCTCTTCTCATCACTCAGGCACTTGTCCACCTTGTGTTTTTGAATGGAGGTTTTTCACTGACCTGGGGCCCACCAATTATCCTAGATAGGCTGGTGAGCAAGCCCAAGGGAATTAATTGTCTCATCTCTGCCTCCTACACTGGGATTATCAACATCTAACACTACACCTGGTTTCTTATTTGGGCGCTGAAAATTAAACTTGAACATCATGGCAGTCCATGACTATAATCCCAGCACCTGGGAATCTATCACAGGAAGATTTGTTTGTGTGTGTGCTTATTTGTTCTGGGTGCAGGAACTACTAGTAGAATCTGCTAGGTAGTCCAAGCTAACCTTAAATTTATGATATTCCTGCTTCAGCCTCCTCAGTGCTGGGATTTTAGGTGTATACTAGCACACCAAGCTGCAAGATAATATACAACGGTTTACACAAAGAAAATTAACCAAGAGGCTAGAGAAACAGCTCAGCAGTTAAGAGTACGAACTGCTCCTGGAGAGGACTCACATTCAGTTCTTAGCAACTATACCAGGCAGTCACAATCACCTATAACTCCAGTTCAAGGGAATTCAATACCTCTGTGAGCACCTGCACTCATGTACACATACGCACACAGACACATACATGCATACATAATTAGATAATAAAAAGAAATATATTTTAAAAGCTAATAAAGAGACAACAATCCTAGCTATGTACAAGTCTAACAAAACGGCTTGAAAATATATGAAGCAAAACAAACAGAAAAAGAAGTGCAAATCCAGTTGGAATCTTCAAAACTCCTCTCCCAGATAAAACCAGTAAAGAGGCAGGAAATACCATGTGGAAGGAACGGAGTCAGTTCTCATCTCCGTCTTTTCACTGGATGCTAACCCTGCGACATCGTCATCTGTGTTCTGTGGGAAGGAAGGTATCTGTTCCCTATTGCATTCACCTTCATTTTCCTCAGAAGGGCGTGTATCTAGGGATATAAAATATGTTATTCAAAAAAAAATAGCAAAGATATCAGCATCTTAAAGCATGAGGAATTTATATGTAACACTTTTTGTTTTCTACAGTTATGTTTTTTCTCTTTAGCTAAAACTAAGATGGCAAGACAGAACACGGCACTGAGCACACAGCCACTTAGCACCACTAGGAATGGCTGCGATCCACACAGTGGCATCTGTCATTCACACTACTGTGCACGCCCTTCTAGTAAAACAGAGCTTCCTAGGATGTATCTGGAACTTACTCTTGGGTATTTCTGCTACAGGAGGACTCGACTCAACGTGGACGTTTCCTAAGGCATTTGTTGCTTCCTGTTTATCAGCTTCATCTTGGTTCCTCCTCCTCCTCCTTCTCCTCCTCTTCTCTTGATTTTGGTCTTGCTCTAACGTGGCCTGTTCTAACTCCTGCCCTGACGAAGTTGGTGATTCCTCTTCAGCGACTGTCTGAGCATCTTTTAGAGATCTTTCTGGGTCTGAAACGTTACTATTTACAGACTCTTCTGGATCATCATTCACTTCTTCACTAGTTACCTTTTTTGCTAAAAACAAGAGAAATTATTATAACTTACAGAAAACCTATTGAAAGGGAAGATGATAAATACCCAAAAGCATACTCTGTCATGCTACTTTTGTGCAAAAACTGAAGATAGACTAAAAGAGGGAAAGAAGAAGTCAGTTATAACATTCATACTATAAAAGTCCATGAAGGTACGGGCTAGAGTACGGCTCGGTAGTAAAGCACATCCTACTCAGCATATACACAACCACTGGTTCAACTCCCAGCATTGCTACCCAGAACAAAAAAAGGATTCATACATGTAATTAACAATAATAAAGTAAGCTTGTATGTATTAATAAGATGGAATTCAAAGTATATTGTTAAACTTCACTTGGCAGAAATATTTACATATTTATGAGCTTACATTTTCATTTTAAAGAAAATTACATACACACCAGTATGTTCATAGGAAAGGACTTGGTGACAGTTATTCCTGGGAGTTCTGGAGAATTTGCTTTGAACTTACAGTAGGACAAAGAGTTCTAGAATTGTATCTTTTGTATCATTTCAGGTTGTTTGGCTGACTTTTTTAGACAAGGTCTGATGCATCCCAGGTTGCTTCAAACTATACTATATAACTGAAATTAGACACTAACTTAAGATCTTCCTGCCTGAAACAAGGATCTTTTTGTATCACTTTGTGGTGGTGGGGATCAAATCTAGGCAGTCTTCTGCATTCCTGGCAAGTACTAACAACATCCCCAGACTAAAACATTGGTTTTCCTTTGAAATATGTAAGTGTATACACACACTTACATCAAATGTCATAGAGCTGCAGTTATAGGCAGCTGTAAGCCATACCAACATGGATGTTGGGATCCAATGCCAGTGTAATTTAAAACCAACAAAGCATTCTTAACCTCTGAGCCTCTCTCCATCTCTTATCAGGCCTCTCCAAAAACTACAAATTCACACACACACACACACACACACACACACACACACAAAGAAATAAATAGTTAAGGGAGCTGGTACATGCCCTGGATAACTGGCAAAGCACTAATAATAATAATAACAACTATAGTAATAGTAATAATGATAATAATAATAATAACAGTGTGATAGTAATTCCCTCTAACTGTATACTATCTGAATAACCATCAACGATCTGAATAACATGTGAACTCTCACTGCCTAAGAAGCAATACTGTAAATTCATCACTAGATGAAATTGCACAATCAATACCTTTTACATTTTTCCGCGGTTTGGAGGCCTTTTCTTTTGAACTCTGACATTTAGTAGATTTTTGTTTTCTTTTTTCTTCTTCAGCAAGAACTTTCTGAAGCAAATGAGCAAAAAAATCGAAGTCAAAAGGGCGTTTTTCCTCTGTAAGAAAGGGGGAAAAATTAAGATTTTTTTTTAAAGCAGGAGCTCTCTAATTTTCAAAGTAGTACAACATCTTACACTATCCACTTTTTATTATACATCACAGGGCAATCCACTTTTCATTGCATGTCACAACCCAATAAGAAATGGTACAATGTTGTGAGCAGAATCAGGGCAACAGTTCAACATGATAACTTTTTAATCACGCTTTTTCATGTTTCCAATTTGCTTCAAATGCAACATAACCACTGAATGATCTACACTGAGTTCGGATTATAGCACCATTTGAGTTGTAAAAGGAGCATATTCAACAATTGCTTAGTTTGCTACTTCCTCACCTTCAAGGCTCTCCTCTTCATTGCAAACCTTCTTGAACCATTTTTGCAACAGTATATTCCTTAACAGTTCCTGGACCAAATGCACTGTTATTGTTGCAAATTGTCTCCACATACAACAAGACCCATTTTGAACAAGTAAAAAATAAAATAACACCACTTCAGAGGCAAGAGAGCTGGCTCAGCAGTTAAGAGCACTAGCTGCTTGTGTTGGCTAGTTTTACATCAACTTGAAAACAAAGCAGAGTCATCCAAAAGGAAGGAGACTCAACTAAGAAAATGCCTCCATAAGATCAGGCTGTAGGCAAGCCTATGTTCTTAATTAGTGATTGATATAGGAGAATCCAGCCCATGGTGGATGCTACCATCCCTGGGCTGGTGGTCCTAGGTTCTATAATAAAGCAGGCTGAGCCAGCCATGAAAAATAAGCTATTAAGCAGCATCCCTCATGCCCTCTGCATTAGCTCCTGCCTCCAAATTCCTGTTCCGACTTCCTTCCATTATGAACAGTAATGTGGAAGCATAAGCCAAATACACCCTTTCCTCCCAAAGTAGCTTTGATCATGGTATTTCATCACAGCAATAGTAACCAACTAAGACAATGCTCTTTGAGGGTTCATTTCTAAGCAACCACAGCCTAGTTCACAAGCATGTGTAACTCCAGTTCCAGGATACCCACTTCTGTCTGCTGCAGGCACTGCACACATATGCATTCAGGCATATATAAATAAAATCTTTAAAAATATTTGAAAGACTACCTGAATTTGCTTTTCGTCTAATGTGATTTCCACAGTATAAACAGGTAATAAGTCATTAGTACAAGATCATAATGCGAGAAATATGCATTAATATGATGCATAATAATCATATTTAAAAATGTAATCAATATAAAATAATTTCAACAATGAAAAAACCAAAATTATTTATGCACCAACCTAATAAAAGGATCAAACTATTTATACAACCAATAACATAGGTGAATCTCAAAAATAAAAGCAAAAGAAATTTATCACCAAGCATTGCATATTGCATGTTGTCCATGGTAACTCAAATGGAAACAGCAGTGTCCTTGGGCTGTCAAAGCAAAGCTTGACTGGAAAGCAAACAAAGGGTCTTCTAAGTTGATAAAACTATTCTATGCATAACTTAGGGTGCTGGTTATTAGGATTTATCCTTTGTTAAAATTCAAGTTACACTTTGAACTATCTATCACTTATTTTAAGTGGCAAAGATAGGGCCAGGAGATAATTCAGTGATAGAGCACATGCATTAGGTGACCCAAGAACCTTTTCAGCCCCCAAACATAAATGAAGATAACTAAGACATCCTCCAAATGCCTATGATTACAACATGCCCTCTTTTCATCACAACCACTTCACTGTGTATTCTTCAAAGCATCTATAACAGAAAGTAAACATAAAACAGTCCAATGAAACCAGAGATACTGCCACTGTCATCTGTGTAATAAAGACAGCAATCAGTAAAAAAAAAAAAAAGGAATGAATCTACAAACTTTACATCTAGACTCTGGAGAATGTACAGAAAGATCACAAAAATGACTCAGGAAGAGAGATACATGGTAAAATACTAATCTATTCTGATTCTCCACAACAATGAACCAGCACCCAAGCAATCCAAAAAGAATCTTTTAAGTGGGTCAAGAGGACTTAAATATAGGACCCTTTCCAAAAAACACAAAAACAAAGCCATGAAGAAAGCTGGAGAGATGGCTCAGAGGCTTAGTGCACTTTTTACTCTTGCAGAGGACACGGGTTCAGTTCTCAGCCCAGCACTCACATGGTAAATCACAAACATCCATAACTCCAATGCGAAATGATAAACTGCCCTCTGCTGACCTCCAAAGGCACCATACACACATGGCAAACATACATGTATACATACATTCACACACATGAATGTATATATGTATGTATGTATGTATGTATGTATATATATATATATCTTTTAAAAACCCACAGGAGCTGGGCGGTGGTGGCGCACGCCTTTAATCCCAGCACTCAGGAGGCAGAGGCAGGCGGATCTCTGAGTTCGAGGCCAGGCTGGACCGACAGCCTCCAAAACAATACAGAGAAACCCTGTCTCCTAACAACCAAAAAAAAAAAGGAAAGAAAATTTTAAAAACCCACAGGAGTTTTTCTTTAATTTTTTCATTTCCTACTACAAAGAACAAAAATCAGAAGGAAAAATAAAACTATGAAATCCATAAATTTTCTGATACTATATTAGGCCCAGTGGAAAGTTTCTCCAATTTTTAAATATGAAAGTTCCTCTATTCAAAATACTCTAGCTCTTCCAGGAGCCATTTCTGAAAATACTTTGAGTTGAAGACACAAGACTGGACATCAGACCCACTCACCTACCATGTTGCCTACTCCATAAAATAAATTCACACGCTATACAGTGGATATTCTCTAAATCATATGAATTATTTAGCCAGCCCTATGGCTGATTATTTCTTTAATTAAGAAATTTTACTTTACTTGAAAACAAAAAGTAAAAGGGCCAGGTATTGGTGGCGCACGCCTTTAATCCCAGCACTCGGGAGGCAGAGGCAGGTGGATCTCTGTGAGTTCCAGGCCAGCCTGGTCTACAGAGCGAGTTCCAGGACAAGCTCCAAAATAATACAAAGAAACCCTGATTAGAAAAACCAAAAGAAAAAAAAAGCCAGATATTTTACTTGAGCTGGGCCTTGCGGTGTACACACCTTTAATCCCAGAACTCAGGAGGCAGAGGTAGATGAGTCTCTGTGAATTTGAAGCCAGTCTAGCCTACATTCTGAGCTCCTGGCAAGCCAGCACTACAAGGGGCGGGGGAGGTTTGGAACTAAAGAAATGGCTTGGCAGTTAAAAAGTACTTGCTGCCCTTGAAGAAGGATGGGTTGAGTTCCCAGAAAACACCTGGCAGCTCACAACCACCTGATAACTCCTGTTCCAAGGAATGCAATACCTTCTTCTGTCCTCTGTGGACACCAGGTACACACAAGGCACAGACACATACATGCAGGCACTCGACACATACACACAAAATAAAATAAATCGTTTTTTTTTTTTTTTTTTTTTGGTTTTTCGAGACAGGGTTTCCCTGTGGCTTTGGAAGCTGTCCTGGAACTCACTAGGTAGACCAGGCTGGTCTCGAACTCACAGTGATCCGCCTGCCTCTGCCTCCCGAGTGATGGGATTAAGGGTGTGCGCCACCAACGCTCAGCAATAAAATAAATCTTAAAAAAAAAATTAGGCAGGCACAGTGATGTACACCTTTAATTCTAGCACTTGAGGGGCAGAAACAGGTGGATCTCTGTGAGTTTGAGTCTAGCCTGGTGATGGTGGGTATCCTTCTGCATATGTTTTTCTTATTGGTTGATGAATAAAGCACTGTTTGGCCAATAGAGGCAAGAAGATAGGCGGGTCAAGGAGAATTCTGGGAAAAGTAGGCAGAGAGGGTCCACCAAAAGGAGGCGTCATGTAGACCACAAAGTAGTAACAGGTCTGGGCATTCTCCAGTATGATAAGACCACATGGAAAATACTTAGAATAGAAATGGGTTAATAATTAAGACAGAGATAGTCAATAAGAAGCCCTAGACATCGGCTAACACTTTTATAATTAATGTAGTGTTCATGTGTTTTATTTGGGGCTAAAGTGGCAGCAGGACCAGGCTAGAAAGAAACCAGCGACAGCCTGGTCTATGTAGAGTTTTTCAAGACAGCCAGGGCTAAACAATAAGGTCCTATATCTCAGAAAGAATTGTTTTTTAGTTTTATCTAGAAGTAATTAAATTTGGCACTACAGCTAATTTAATGGTTAAATGAACACTGACACATTAATTATGAAATGCTGATACTTATTTGTTCATGAAATATATGTACCCACCAAAACATTTAAAAAACTATTTTAGCTTTTCCTCTCTTTGCTCTCTCCTCTTGCTCTTCTCATAACCCCCCTCTCTCTTGCTCTCCCCACTTTCTCTCTCTCTCTTCTTCCGCTCTCACTCTCCCCCTCCTCCCCTTTAATAAACTCCAGGTGGTTAATGTACCAAAAAAACTATTTTAAACAAATTTGCTGTTACTTATAGATCGCTTATAGTCTTCTTATAGACTTATAAACAGAAAAGAATAATAATTTTAATGACGGTATTACAAGCTAGATGGCTCCTGCCGCTCTTTTAAATCGGATCTAAATTTAAATGTTACCCATTCATAAAGAACTTCACTGAGGATCAATATAAGTATCAAGACCTAACTCCTTTTTCTTCATTCCAAGAACTCAGTCTCTACCTGATATGTACTTCTCAATAAGCCCCACCGGTTTAAAGTCAGGGCTCTCTGAGCAGTTTTCTCACCTGCCTTATTCGCCAACACATTTTCAAGAGGAGCCAGATCACAGCAGGTAGTCAATGCTATTGACACAAGGACTGGCTGACAACAAAAGGAATCTGCTAAGGACATCTATTTCCCATGAACTATCTCTTCAACGTAGTCCCCTTTCCATAAAAACCCACTCAGGGGCGAGTGAGACAACTCAGTTTATAAAAACACTTTCTACCAAGCCTGACACCCTAAATTTAGTGCAGAGGCACAGGATGGAAGGCAAAGACCAACTTCTATAAGATGTCCTCTGATACACATGCTTGTGCACATCCACACACGCATAGATACAAAATAAAACTTTGAAAAAGCCACTTTTCATTATCAATTATTGCATAAATTCATGGACTTACTGCCAGGAGATGGTGGCACACCTGAATGGAATCCCAGCACAATCCAGAAGCACAGGCAGATAGATGTCTGTGAATTTGAGGCCAGCCTGGTCTACAAAATGGGTTCCAAGACAGCCAGGGCTGTTACACAGAGAAACTCTGTCTCGAAAACAAAAACAAAAACAAAACAAAAAAACTCTGCTTACCTGCTTCTGGATATTTTGGCTAATTCTTTGATTACAGATTTGTAATCAGAATTAGCAAACTCATTCTGTTAAATAAAAATCTCAGACACAAGCCAGGATAGACCATGCCTTTAAATCCAGCACTTGGGAGGCAGATGGATCTCGGTGAGCAAGGCCAGCCTGGTCTACATAGTAAGTCCTAGAAGAGCCAGGAAAACACAGAGAAACCCTGTCCCAACAAAAACAAACAAACAAAAACCTCAGGCACAGTGGTGCATACCTATAACACCAGCACTTAGAGGCTGAGGTACAAGGATCAAAAGTTCAGACTAGGCTGGAATATACACCAAGACCTTATCTTTAAAAAAAAGAAAAAAGGGAAAGCTTTCACTCATTCTTATGCCATTATAAGGAATCTAAAACACTAGAGCCAAAGACAAAGCATTGGCCATTTTTCAACCTCTACAAATAATTTTTCGTGAAGGAATTCTTTAATACTTACGGAATGCTTTGTCTATTCTCCATCCATTTGTTTTTTCTTCACGTTTAAATTTATTCTGTTAACAACAAAAAGATCTAAAGTAATGTTCTGCCATTAAACAAGGATTATTTTTAATTAGTGAGCAATTAATATGAAATTCTACAAAGCACACTATCCAGTATTAAATGGTATATTTTTGCCAATAGACTAAGTTATTTAAAGCTTTAGTTTCTTTTTTTTTTTTTTTTTTACATACACAGTGTTCTGCCTAAATGCCAGAAGAGGGCACCAGATTTAATTGTAGATGGTTGTGAGCCACCATGTGGTTGCTGGGAATTGAGCTCAGGACCTCTGGAAGAGCAGCCAGTGCTTTTAACCTCTGAGCCATCTCTCCAGCCCAAAGCTTTAGTTCTTAAAACTGAGGATTGATGGCTAGAATAGATGGCTCAATGGGGAAGAGCACTGGCTGCTCTTCCAAGACTTGGGTTCATTATCTAGTAGCCACTTGAAGGCTCACAACCCTCTGTAACTTCAGTTCAAAGAATTAATGCCCTCTTCTTGCCTCCTTGGTTACTGTATGTGCGGACATACACACTGCAAATAAATATAATGTATAAACTTTTTTGTAATGAGGATGAAAGAGTCACACAAATCTTCATCCTGTCTTTATTATCAACAGCAGAAATAAGCAATGAAGGCTAGCTTTACAGTACAGAGAAAGTCGTCATGGGCCAAACTTGACAACTTCAGTTCAACATCCAGAACTGTTACAAAGGTGGAAAGATAGAGCCAGCTCCCACTGAGTGATCCTATTACTTGCATATACTCCCTGGGTATGTGTGGGCCTATATAAACACATATTCATAAACACACACATGTACACATGAGAAATAGATTGTAATTAAAGCCAGGCAACTGTGACTAAGCCAGGTGATGGTGGTACATGACTTTAGTCCCAGCACTCACTCAGGAGGCAAAGGTGGGCAAATCTCTTGACTTCGAGGCCAGCCTGGACTACAGAATGAGTGCCAGGACAGCCAGGGCTACCCAGAGAAACCCTGTCCTAAAAAGCCAGAAAAACAAACCTGTCTTGGGGGAAGGAGAGAACCAGAAAAAACAATAAACAAACAAACAAAAAATATTTGACTACCACACAAAATAGATAAAATGATGTATAGTCAATTAAGTTAACATTCACTTTATCCAACCAAAAATATTCCTAAGGTTAAACCTCTTATATTATTATTATTCCAAAGTGTTTTTAAGTGTAACAGAGGGAAGTCTATACAGAAATAACTAAGCAAAAAATTAAACCCCGTTTATCTCATTTACATATGGTACCTGATTCATCTGTACATAGTATATATCATATAAGATAGAATTTTTTTTTAAGACAAGGACCAATGTACTGAACTGCTGCCTCATGCTGACTATTCAACTAAAAGACAATCTTGAATTTCTAATCTTCCTGTCTCTACCTCTTAAGTTTTGGGGTTCCAGGCATGCAGTGACATGCCCCACATTTTACCTTTTCCATTCTGTGTGGGTGCTCAGAAATCAAACTCTGACCTTCATGCTTACAAGGCCAGGGCTTTACCGGCTGAGACATGCCTCAGAGCTTGTTTGCTAAGTTCATTTGTAGTCTTTTAGTGCAAGGTCTCATGCAGCCAAGGCTGGTCTTAAACTCATGATTCTTCTGCCACCCCTTAAGTACTACAACTATAGGCACACACCACCACATCTGGCTAATGACAAAGACTTTTTAGAGTTAGTAAGTCCTTAAAGAAAGATGAATCAGGAGGCTAAGTGATGAGGATCACAAATTGGAAGCCAACCTGGGTTACAAAACGAAACCCTGTCTCAAAAGAAAACAGATGAGTGATGAAGAAAAAAGAAAACAGATCAAAGAGGGTTATCATTATAGATCCTACAAATGCTAATGGTAATACAACAGTAACGTGTTATATATAGATATGAACTCCACAGCTTAGCATCAATACTGACACAAGAAATTTTTTATTTGTTTCTGTTTTCAAGACAGGGTTTCTCTGTGTATATTCCTGACTGTCCTGGAACTCTCTCTGTAGACCAGGCTAGCCTCAAACTCAGAGATCCACCTGCCTCTGCCTCCCGAGCACTGGGCTAAGCACTTTTCATATTACTCTAGAAATCTACGAGACACTTTACAATCATAAAGCTGCACTTACTCTAAGTGCTCTGATACATCTACCGTCTCTTTTCATTAACTAACTCTTAATTCCAGCATCTTATCAGCAGTCCTCAAATACATTTTAAGTCATAAAACTTCAGGAGATAGAACTACACTAAACTTGAGAAATTTTACAAGAATAAATGTCTCACACACACAACATAATAGAGAACATATCACTATGAATTAAGTTAAAAGAAAAAAAAACTTACTAATTTTTTGACCCTGACTAATCAAAAAATGTTTAGGTATACTTTACCTTAATTTCTATCCTTGCTCTGTGAGGAAAAAGCTGTCCAATCATAGAAAAGTCAGTTCCTACCATGCTGATGGCCAAAAAAAACATGTCTGTTTCTGTAAAAATAAAAGATTAAGTAAAAATTAATTTTCTGTTCAGACAAAATAACCTAAGAATATTAGTTAGAAGTAAGCTATACAATATTTAATTTTATTGAAAAGAAACTCAAAGAATCTTAAACACCCTAATACATTTAAGGAAAAAAAATCTCCATATATAAGTGTAGTGGTACATGCCATAATCCCAGAACTCAGGAGGCTATGGTAACAAGAACTGCTGAGTTCCAGGACTCCTGGTGTACATAGTGCAAGGTTCTAAGCCTAGACTCTGCCTCAAGCCTGGTGGGATAAGAACCAGTTTGAGAACCCATCTGACAGGACCAGATTTCCTGGTAGTGCCCTGCCCCATAAGACCTCTGACTTGGTCTGGACCCAAAAGGGACAACTATGAAAGTGAGGCAGGTGGCCCAGTAGACAACTAAAAGTTCCATACGCCTACTTCACAATGTCCCTAAAAGCTTGATCGTCACATGTACCTGCTGGGAGAAAGAGAGGACGACCCAACCAGGTAAAACCAAACTTGAGTATTTTGGAATATTAGATTTCCATAAGCTAATAAAACTTACAAAATTATTATTGGCAAAGTCATGGGAAAATAATACTTTTTATAAGCAAGTGGTAAAAATATAAATTGATGGGGCTTTTGTGTTTAGCCACCTATAGGAAATAAAATACTCAGTGACTAGTGAAAAAAAAATAAAAGAAAGAATTTAGGAAAATGTTCACTGGACCTAAGGAGCTGTGGTGTTCTTTACTATGTTGAGGAAGGGGAGGGAGAAAATGAGGGAAAATGTGACAAGCCTGACAGAACTTATCTTAAAAAAATAGAATTGGTAATAGTCAGAGAAGTACAGAATCCCCCCCCTTTTTTTTTGCCCTATATCCTGACATGCTTAACAATTTTTCAACAAACTATTTTTTTATGTTAAAATCCAGTAAGTTCCGCCATGAAGTATGTTTTGTTGCTGTTGTCTGTTTATTTTAGGTAAGATTCTTTATTGGGAGGGGTGTGTGTGTGTGTGTGTGAGTGTGTGTGTGTGTAAGACAAGCGTTTCTCTGGGCAGCCCTGGTTGTCCTGGCCCAAGTGCTGAGATTACAGGGGTACACCATCACCAGCGGAGGCTGGCCTCAGACTCATGGTCCGCCTGTCTAACCTTCTCAGTGCTTGCACTCTAGGCATGCACTTTCACTGGGGGATGCCTGTAGAAACGTGATTAGACACTGTTTTCAAGGAGAACATTACAGTGATTAGAAATACTGGAAACAGGATGCTCTCCTGGTGCAAATGGCTAGTGTATGATGCTTACACAGAAACACTGCTAAGTATTCACTTAAATGTTGTTTCTTTGCAGAATCTGAAAAAGCTGAAGAATCCAGGCAAATGATTTCTAGGGTAAAGTCAAACATATAGTAGGGGAAGGAGTAGGGGAACCAGTAAAATTAAATGGATAGAAGACAACATGACACTTTAATTTACTAGAAGTCATTCAAAAACATAAAACAGTTCATTATTTCAAAAAAGCAGCATACAACTTTTAAAGAGAATTAGTTACCTTTATTTGACCAAGGTTTTGAGTAATAGTTTTTCCTGAAGCTGGAATAAGTAGTTGTTGAGCCTCGCTCAAATATAGGATCATTTTCCTCAACAACACAGGGGCCTTTTGTTCTCAAAACTTCTACAGTTAGACTGAAAGAAAGACATTTTCAAATACAGTCACACTAAAAAGAAGCATGAAAAACAGTAGATAAGATTTAACTAGCTGTATTCTAAAATTTATCATAGCAGTAATATTGAAAATATATATTTGAAAAAATGATATTTAAATTTGAAATAAATATTCTGCAAACATTATTCATAAGGGGCAGAAATAAATGCCAACCTATTTTCATGACAGCACTTTCAAAATAACTTTAGACTACCTAAAAAATAAACAATGGTTCTATTGCCTTACTTGTTTTTTGTCTGCCTGTCTGTTTATCTGATTTTTAGACCAGGCTTTATGTAGTTCAAGGTAGCCTGGAACTTGCTATGTAGCTAAGGATAGCCTTGAATTCCTATTCATCTATCTCTGCTTCCCACATGCTGAGATTGTAGGCATGTACCATCACAACTGGTTTTGTTTTGTTGGTTTCTACATGCCTCCTGGGCTAATAACACTTTACCTATTAATGACATGTAAAATCACCATCATATATAAAAACTTATCAGTGTATTTGTTTATTATAGTCAAATTTAAATGTCATATACATTTTTATTAACTAAACTTCTGAAACCTTTCATTTCTCTTTATTAACTAATCCCTTATAAAATACACATTTTAGAGCTGGAGAGATAGGTCAGCAGTTACGAATTGCTTGATGCTCCTGATGACTTACTGTTATACCCAAAGATCAGCACAACTCTCAGCCCTCATCTGAGATACTTCTACTTGTCGTAGATAATGATTAGGAGAGACCCACAAGGCCAAAGCGCAGAGAATAAGAGACTACAAAATATTCAACCCTAAATGCAACATATGTAACACATACTCCTTCCATGCCTCAAGAGTCACTTGGAAGAAAGGGTGGAAAGCATGTAAGAGCCGGGATGACTACAAAGTGACACCTTCTGGACACACAGCAAGGTAACAGCTACACATATGAACTCACAGCAACTGTTACAGCATACACAAAACCTCTGCAAGCCCAAACTAGAGCAAATCCCAGCTTGGAGAGGGGAGTTGAACACAAAATCCCACCCTACCTGTGCAGCAAATAGCAATCAGCAGCTGCTGGTGAAGGAAGAGAGTTTTCTCTAAGACTATATCTCCTAATAAGTTAGCCATGCTCCAATGAAATACCATACATCCAAGAATATTTGGGTAGAACCTACTGGTCTTGAAGGGTTTTGAAAAAAAAAAAAAAAAGGCCACAAAGGAAGAAGTAGATCTGGAAATATGACCAAATCATGCTGTACAAAATTTGAAACTTTCAAAAGTATTGAAAAACAGTATGTTTGTGTGCTTGCTGCTCTTCCAATGGATTCAAATTCAGTTCCCAGCACCCACATCAGACAGCTTACAATCACATATAACTCAGATTCCAAGAGATTGCCCATTAGGACCATACACCAAAATATAAAATTAGAGTGAGGAGTGGTGGAATACAACTTTAATCCTAGCACTCAGGAGACAGAAAAAGATGGATCCCTGTGAAGTTCGAGACCAACCTGGTCTAAAAAGTGAGTTCCAGGCCAGCCAGGGCTACTCAATGAGACCATGCCTCAAAAACTCAAACAAATTGAAATTAGTGAATAATGTGATAAAACCTAAATACCAACTTCAAGACTGGGTCAATCCTAGAAACCAACCCTCAGTGGATAATAGCACACAGCTGATTCAGCAGCTAGACTAGATTAACAGCAAGGGGAGTAAAACAAAGTTAGGTTGACAGAAAATAGAGTGATACCATCTTTTGCAAAACATGCTAAAAGTATAAGTTAATTTAGTTTGCTTTTCTGTTTACAACATTCCTAATGTAAATCTATAAAGTGGGGTTAAACAGTTATACTGACAGATTAAGAAATGGAACCTCTCCTTAGACAAACATGTGTTCTCTGCCATCATCTCCCTCTCTCCCTCTCACCCCATCTCCTAACTCACCTTTCTTCATCTAAAATAATAGAACCATCTTCTGCCACTTTTACTCGAGGAACCAGCAGGGGCCCATCATCTGTCTCCTCTTCCCCTTCCTCATTATCGTCAGCATCATGAGTGCTCGGATTTTCTTGCCTACTAAACGTAAAGAAACATAGTCAATTAGCAACAAAGCACAAGTATTTCCTGAAAAGTATAAGTTCAAAACAAGTTATTAAAAAAGCTATTTCAGGGGCTGGAGAGACGGCTCAGAGGTTAAGAGCACTGGCTGCTCTTCCAGAGGTCCTGAGTTCAATTCCCAGCAACCACATGGTGGCTCACAGCCATCTATAATGAGACCTGGTGCCCTCTTCTGACATGCAGGCAGAACAGTGTGTATATAATAAATAAATCTTTAAAAAAAAAAAAAGCTATTTCAGATTTTCCCTAAAACTTAACTGGAAAAACACAAAAACAAAAACAAAAAGCATGACCTGCCAGGCATGGTGGTACACAATATAATCTTGGCACTAAGGAGGATGGCACCATCCATCAATATGGACTTTACATTAAGACCCTGACTCAAAATAAATAGACAGATGTGGATGGATTGATAGGCGCACGGTTAAGATACACAGAGGAGGGAGGAGTTATAAAGTTTTTCCAAATGTTATTTGGTAGTATTTGTTTGTTTTTGAGACAGGGCTTCACTGTGTAGCCCTGGTTGTCCTGGGACTACTTTGTAGGTCAGGCTGGCCTTGATCTCAGAAATCCACCTGACTCTGCCTCCTGAGTGCTGGGATTAAAAGTGTGCACCACTACCACCCAGCTATTTGGTAGCATTTAATAGGAAATGTTAAAGAAAAAAAAAAAGGAATCTTAAGCCGGGCATTGGTGGCGCACGCCTTTAATCCCAGCACTCGGGAGGCAGAGGCAGGCGAATCTCTGTGAGTTCGAGGCCAGCCTGGTCTACAGAGTGAGTTCCAGGACAGCCTCCAAAGCCACAGAGAAACCCTGTCTCAAAAAACCAAAAAAAAAAAAAAAAAAAAAAAAAGGAATCTTTACTCATTTAAAATAAACAAATGGTATCAGATGTGTAACTCATTGGTACATAGTATAGCTTGGGTTTGGAGCCAATAATAAAAGAAAATGAATAAATAAATGTTATTTTTCTATCTTAACAGAGTATTAAATAAACCACCACTACAACAGAATTAACAAAAACCCTTCCCACTACCTTCCAGACAACTTCAATTCAGAACAGTCTTACAAGGCTAGCAGTGTTATGTCACTTGAGAGTTAGAGAACCTTCACTCTGGATTGCAGAACAGAACTAAAAGCCAAGAAAAATTTTTGTCTATTTTTTCATTGAAAGCTATTTTTACTTTAATTTATTTGCTGTGTATAGGTGTTTTGTTTGCATGCTTGTTACACTCTGTGCCTAGTGCTGTGGAAGCCAGAACTGGGGTTACAGATGGCTATGAGTCACCGAATGGGGTGCTAGCAACTGAATCTAGGTTCCCTGAAACTCTTAACCGCTGAGCCATGTCTCCATTCCCTCATCTCTTAACTCATACAGAAACACATGAAAATTGCAGAGCAATGATACCATGGGATGTCTCGATTGATAAAAATACAGTATGATGTTTAAATTAGGCTTGTGATAAAAACATACAGAATCTATTTTTCTAGCTTTCTGAAAGATATATACTAGCATTATCTTTTTTTAGTTTTGCTTTATTTTCTTAGTCTCTGGGGTGGGATCTTGCTATGAAACCTTAGAGGAAGATACTGCTAGGGGGCCCTAGGGAACTGGGTCCTCACTATGTGGCCCAGGCTAGCCTCAGCCTCAGCCTCAGCTACTGGGATCACAAAGGTGCACCAGCCTGTCCAGCTCTTGGACTCAGTCAGCCCAAGGTTCAAAGCCCACCAGAACTTCCTGCTCCTATCTAATTATAACTTAGTTTGTCAAAAGATGAATCTGAATCTTAGTCTCCAATACAATGTCTGCTTAATATTTTATTGAAGTACACACAAATTATAAATCTGGAATGATATGTTTCAAAATAGGTGAGCTGAGGAGATGGCTTGGAGGGTTAAGGCACTTGCACTAAGTCTGACAACATGAGTTCAATCTGCAGGACACACACCGACTCCCATAAACTATCTTCTCACCTCCCTCCACATTCACCATAGCACGCATGTGCCCATACACACACACACACACACACACACACACACACACACACACACACACACAATAAATTCATGTAATTAAAAAAAAAGTGTCGTTTTTATTGGGGGAGGAGAAAGAACCAACCACAAAGACAGAAAGGAGCGAAGACTTCTTTCTGTCAATATTCCTTTTGTTCTTTTTGAATTTTTTACTACTTAAAGCTACTATTTTTTTTACAACAAACAACTCCATTTGCTGAGCATAGTGGTGCATGTCTTTAGCCCTAGCACTCAGAGTCACAGGATGATCTCGCTAAGTTCAGGGCCCAGTGTGACCTACACAGAAAGTTCTAGACTAGTCAAGGCTACATAGAGAGACCCTGTCTCAAAATTCTCAATTTAAACATCTCTAATAAAACTCATGAGGCCAGTAAGATGAGATGGCCCAGCTGGTAAAGAAAGCCACAGGTTGTCAACCCTGACAACCTGATTCCAATACATGGAACCCAAATGTTGGAAGAGAACTGACTCTCAGCTGTCCTATGACCTCCACAAGCTATGCCACTCACAGGTACACACAGGCATATATATACATGTATAAATGTAAATCATAATATTAGTCAATTACACATATATCACGCAAATACTGTAGATCTTTCATTCTGAATGGGGGAGTGGGGGGGAGGGTTCGGAGACACTGTCTCCCTATATAGTTGTGTGTGGCAACTGTGGGGGGGTAGAGAGACAGTCTCCCTATATAGTTGTGTGTGGCAATTTCCTCCAAAATGTAACCTATGTGAGTGAGAAGCCTAAGACATGGGATGTCCCAAGAGAAGCTTGTTAAGTGCAAAGGTTTCAGGAAGTCCCTAAAACTGACCTTTCCTCCCCAAATGTATACAAGCAGTAAAGACTGTTGAGAAACACTCAGGTAAGCCAAGTCGCCTAGGAGATGCAGACCAAGTGTGCTGTGGTGTCCAAAAGGCACTCTCCAACATGACGAACTGCCTCCATGCTGTGTACAGTGCCATGTTCCCAGCTCTCATGAGTCATCACCCAAGCTGGGTTGGGCCCTGGTGATGCAGCTGTCCTTGAAATAACTTATGCTCCTATAAGCAACCTCTCTCTCATATTACTGAAAACTAATACCCATAAAGCTCATTGGTTCACCAAATTGGACTTTGGTGGTATCCTTACAGGTATGTTGCAAGATCTGGGGCAAATGGGTATTTATTCACATCTCCCCAGGAATATTGGATTATATCAGTAGTCCAAGCTGGCCTTGAATTTGAGATCCTCCTGCCTCAGCTTCTCAAGGGCTGAGATTAGACACGAGTTACCATGCCCAGCTAGAGCTTCTATATTTTTCTTTCTTTTTTTGAGACTATTTTTAGGAATGAGTCTATTTTTAGGAACTAGTCAAATATAACTAAGGAAAAACAGAAAACTTCATTTGAGAGCTGGGGGTTAGTGGTGTTTGGTGGATAAAATACTTGCCCACAAGCATGAGAAATGAGTTTGCATTCTCAAAACTCATGCAAAAGACGGGCAGGCCTAGCAGCCAGCACTCACAGGGTTTTGGGTTGGTTTGGTTTTTGGTTTTGAATCAGGGTTTCTCTGTAACTTTGGAGGCTGTCCTTGAACTCGCTCTGTAGACCAGGCTGATCTCGAACTCACAGAGATCTGCCTGCCTCTGCCTCGAGTGCTGGGATTAAAGGCATGCGCCATCAACGCCCGGCTCTTACAGGGTTTTGGAGGCAAGCTGACCACATGGACAAGTCCAAAATCAGCAAGAGACCTTGCCTCAATAAATCAAGTGCAACTGAGGAAAACACACACGTGCCTATACAAGACACACATGCAGACATACACAAGCATGCCAAGCATGAGCACATGCAATAAAGAAAGGAAGACGGACGGAGGGGAAGGAAGGAAGGAAGGAAGGAAGGAAGGAAGGAAGGAAGGAAGGAAGGAAGGAAGGAAGGAAGGAAGGACATTAAATTTCATTTAAAAGTGTATCCAATGGCTGATTGTAACTCAGTGGTGAGGCACCTGTGTGTGGCCCACCAGAAATAACAGAAAAACACCTAATACAAAAGATTGAAAAAGAACAAGATAAGGTGCTCACTCTCTTGTTGGGGTGGAAGCCACAGACTTTTCGTTTTTCTTTTCTTGTTCCACTGAAGAACTGTTAAGTAGAAATAAAAGAATACTTTTTAACAAGTTGATATTTTATCAATTCTATCTATAGCAAGAAGAAAATTATCTTAGCTTCTGTTTTTAATACAATGTGGGACAACATTTCATTAACAATGCTCAGCAGTCATTTTTTCACTTGTGCCTAGGAAATGAGCTCCGTGAAGGCTGAAGATGAAGTTCATTCCCAGCACACACCCTAATCTAAACAAACAAACAAACAGGAAAAAGCTCATCAACTACCAATATCTGCTGGGCCCTAAATGAGAAATTTGTTAGCCTCTAATTCCTTAGTGAAGAGACAGTCTCAGTCCTGGGAAATGAAGCAAGCTAGTTATCAAACTCAAACTTGGGTTCTGGCCCTTCCTTCATTCAATGAGGCCAAGAAAGATCTGGTGAACACAATAGAAGTGTATACAGAAGAATACGCTAATTCCACATCCTATACCACCAAAAACACAACTAACAGATGTATAAGATTTCTGCCTTCTATCCCAGACTAACTTAAATAAAGAATTAAAGCTTTGTTCATGAAGAACTTGTTACTCAAATTGCATCATTACTAATGAAATAGGGCATAAAAACTATACATTCCTTTATATCACATTATAGTACATAAGAAATAGAAATTACACTCTATTTCAATAATTAAAACAATTAAAGAGCCCCTTTTAATCTTGGAAATAAAGGAATGGCATCATTATCATTCCAGAGAGTAGTCATAGAGTATAACTGTGAAAACTGCACATCGGAAGAGCATAGCTCAGACCTCAGCACCAAAGGAAAAAATTATCTACACTCATAGTTAGAAATTTTATTATTCTGGAAAACATGAAACTGTACCATGTCACTACATACCCAATGAAATAAAAGCATAAATAAATTTTACTTACGTCATTGGATTGCTATCTGGCAGGTAGTATATGAAGTCTCTCATAGTCATTTTCGAACGATCTGGTGGCCTCTGGCTTTCATTTGTAGCAAATTTGTTTTTCCATTGTTTCTATATACAGAGATTTTATATAAATAATTTCAGACACACTATTGTAACTATGATTAATGTTAAGAAATCATTTAACCTAAATATTGTATTATACAATATCCTTAGTAGCTTGTTTAAATGAAGCAGAATTAGAGGTTTTATTATAATGTAATTTGACTTGTGTGTATATACAAGTATATATTCTGGATGTGAGGCCAGAAAAGAGCAGAGTGTCACCCTCTTTCACTCTCTACTTATTCTTTTGAGGTAGGGGCTTCCATCTTAGCTAGAATGGAAGCCAGCAAGACCCAATGATCCTAGCCCCTCTCAGAGCTGAGATTACAGCAATCTGTGGGATGTCCAACTTGTTATATAGGTGCTGGGATCCAAACTCCAGTACTCGAGATCATAAAGCAAGCACTTTTACCAGTGAATCACCTCTACAATCCCTTATCTTAAAGGTATTTTAATCTGGGCTTTACATTAAGAGTTAAGAGAGAGAGGCACTCTGAAGACGGTTAAGATACACCTAAGAGAGCGCAGATATGGGTTTCTCACAGAGATACAAAAATACTAAGCTGCCCAACATCACACTGCTAGCAAGGGATGAAGCCTAAGTTTCTAACTCCAAACCAGCTTTACTATTGTTCCACTGTATACTGTCATCAATTAAAAGGGACACACACTCTACTATATATATATTCCTTATGGTTTTTTTTTTTGCCATAGTTCAATTTAAAACACTACCAATTCACATTATTAAATTATACTTATTTTAATTCAAATAAATATTCCACATCACTTAGACATTTTTATAGAAATTATTTTAATGACTATGTATATATCTACAAGTTCATTAAAAATATATTTTTTGCTCTCACCAAAACTACTGAAAAATATAAATGAATAAAATAATTTTAAAATAACCATCAAGACAAATGTGATGATACAATTGGATGGCTGGGTCAGTAGGATGGCCTGGACTACACAGTGACTTACACAGTGAACTAAAGGGCAAGACCCTATCCCACCCCCTAGCCAAAAACAAAACAAAAACTGAAAGCAGGTGGGTGGTGATTGCACACACCTTTAATCCCAGCACTCAGGAGTCAGAGGCAGGTGAATCTCTGAGTTGAGGCCAGCCTTGTCTACAGAGTTGAGTTCCAGGACAGCCAAACAAAGCTACATGCAGAGAAACCTTGTCTCAACCCCAACCCCCCAAAAAAACTGAAAATGAATAAATAGTAATAATAATAAAGTCTATCAGTTGAAAAAAAAGTAAGTTTACAAGGATACTTTTGTATTACAAAAGATGTTATGCTTACATATGAGTCATTATCTGGTATTATTCTCTCATTAATTTCAACACATGCTTCTTTTTCTTCTAAAGCTAGCCTGTTATACTAACCTGAATACAGAAATCCAGCAGGCAGCATCTAAATTTGAGTTTAGTCACTTACCTTCTCTTTCCTCAATTCTTCTTTCAACATTTCTCTCAGTTTCCGGGCTTTGTATATTCGGTATCTATCTGAGCATGGCTGTTTCTCTTTAGCTGGAGTAGGGTCTGGCTGTGGAGCATCGTGACTAACTGTAGATAAGGGATGACACTGTGAAGGAACACTAACAGTAGGCTTCGCAAGACTAGACGTGCTTGACGATGGCTTTCTTCTCTGTGGAACAGCAGAGGATGATTTGCTGGACTCTTCAACATTATTTTCATCACCAGCCTTTGCATCACTATTGAAATTAAAAAGAAAGAGTGGACATCGTGAGTCTTATGCTAGTTTTAAAACAGTAAGGTCTCATTAAACAGAAAAACAAATACATAAGACCACAAATGACTTTTCAGATTTATGTTCATTACAACGGAGTTGCAATAAAACACTTTAAAACTTCTTAGCTGAATGTGGGAGCTCATACTTCTGTGTCTAGCACCAGGGAAACTGAGGAAGGCAGACATAAGTCTGAAGCCAGTCTGGGTTACATAGTAAATTCCAACCAGCTTGAGCTACCCACCAGGTAAGACTATCTCAAAACAAAGCAGGACTGCTGAAAAGGTTAAGTGTACTTCTACTCTTCCACAGGACCACAATCAGTTTCTAGCACCGACATCAGGTGGCTCACAAACACCTGGAACTCTAGCTCCAAAGATCTGACACTTTCTGTCCTCCAAGAACACTTGAACACACGTGGCATTCACTCATACTCACACACACACTAAATCTTTAACAAAATAGTTTTTAGTGTATGTGAATTCTAAGGAAGGCTGTTTAAGTTAATGTTTTTCAAACTTTAGTCCCTAAACACAACAGAAAACATGCTGAGCACAATAACAGTAATAGTAAGAATAATAATAATAATAATAATAATATGCTGAATACAAAAAAGCAACAACTAAGTCATAGAACAAGGCTGAATCACCAATTTTAGTAACTAGATAGCTGAGAGGTTTGACATTTTTTGTTGTTATTGTTTTGCTGTATGTCTGTAATCCCAATACTCAGAAAGTGGAGGCAGAAGGGTCAGAAAAGTTTAAGAGCATCCTCAGCAATATTATGAGTTTGAGGCTGGCTAAGGTTACATGAGACCCTAGCTCAAAAAAAAAAAAAAGGATAAAAAAAAAGATGTAGTCACACTGACTACAGTATAAATTAGATATAAGTTGTTCAGAAATGGGGCTGGAGTCATGACTCAAGATTAAAGCACTAGCTCCTCTTCCAGAGAGCTTGGGTTCAATTCCCAGAACCCCTACGTGGTTCACAACTATCTGTAACTCCAGTTCCAGGGGATCTGACATCCTCTTCTAGTTTCCATGGGCACCAGGCATGGACAGACATACATGAAAGTAAAACACCCATACACACAAAATTTTTAGAAAGAAAAAGCCGGGCATAGTGGCATATACCTTTAGTTATATCACTAGGGTGGCAGAGGCAGGCAGATTTCTGAGTTCAAGCCTAGCTTGCTCTACAGAGTTTCAGGGTAGCCAGGAGTACACAGAGAAACACTGTCTCAAAAAGCAAAACAGAAGAAAGAAGGAAGAAAACCAGGAAGTAGCTGAATAGCATTAACATCTATTTCTAATAATACACTACAGCATAGTGGGATAACTACGGTTGACGACAATTTTTGTCATAAGATAGTTACAGAAAAGATCTGGAATGTTCTCAACATGAAGAAATAATAAACTTTTAAGGTGATACACCATACTGTGACATGTTCTAAATATATATTGAAATAACACATTGTACTCCATATGTAAGTGCTATTACTTTGTAGCCGTTAAAATTTTAACATTAAAAAGGGAGTATAGGCATTGGTGGCGTCTGCCTTTACAGGCAGAGGCAGGTGGATCTCTGTGAGTTTGAGGCCAGCCTGGTCTACAGAGCAAGTAAGTGCCAGGACAGGTTCCAAAGCAATACAGAGAAACCCTGTCTCGAAAAACAAAAACAAACAAACAAAAAAAAGGGGGGGATTATAGGGGCTAGAGAGATGGCTCATGGGTTAACAGTAATGGCTGCTCTTCCAGAGGACCCTGGTTCAATTGCCAGCACCCACATGACACCTCACAATTGTAGCTCCAGTTCCAGGGGATATGATACCTTCACAGACATACATGCACACAGGCAAAACACCAATGCACATTTTGACTGATTGATAGATAGATAGGTAGGTAGGTAGGTAGGTAGGTAGGTAGGTAGGTAGGTAGGATAGATGATAAATTTTAAAGGGGGATATAAATCAAGACTATAAAAAATTACTTTTATCATATTTTATTATTAGTTCTATATATAAATTGAAGCTACCTTAACCTATGGGATAGTTTCTCAAAAAGATTTTTTAATTTAAACTCTTTTATTAAGGCTGAAGATAGATAAAACCCAATGGTAGATTGATGGGGAAGTCCTGTGTATATGTCAATAAAGCACTGTTGGCCAATAGGAAGCAAGATAGTTGGGACTAGGAGTCCTGGAGGACTCTGGGAAGGAGAAACAAGAGAGTCATCATGTAGCCCGCCAGAGAAGATGTCTGTCCAGTAAGAGAAATACTTAGATGAGTTAAATACTTAAGTCAGAGCTATCCAGTAAGAAACAAGCAAGGCCAACAGCTTCATAATTAATACAGTGTCTTGTGTGTTATTTGGGGACTACAACACGGCAGAGCCTAGGTGACTGGTGGAGAAAAACCAAAGCAGCTGTCAAGGAAAAAGCTTCTCTCTACAGTAGATTGCTTGTCTAATATGCACAAAGCTCTGGGGTTCAGTTTCTAGCACTCTCTATCTAAAAACTATAGCCTTTAAATCAATATAGCATATATCAACCACCAACACTTTATATGTTAAATGCATAATCTGTTGGTTTCTACAACTAGAAAAAGAATGGTTTCATCAATGAGGACAATGGACTTGGGATGCAGCTAAGCTGGTAGACTTCGTGGTCAGCCTGCAAGTCCTGGCTCCCATCCCAGGCCCATAAACCCGGGCACAGTGGCACAAGTCTGTCACCTCAGCCTTCAGAGGTAAAACAGGACTAGATGTTTAAGGGCTTCTTCTCAGGAACGGTGAGTTCTAGGCCAACCTGAGCTGCGTGAAATTGTGTCTTTAAAAAAAAAGAAATAAAGAAAATTGCTAGGCATGGTGGCACATGCTTTTAATACCACTATTCAGGAGGCAGAAGCAATTGGATTTCTTTGTTCCAGGCATATCAAAGCTACATAGTGAAATCTGTCTAAAAAAAAATAAACAAAACAAAACACAAGTGTGAGAGAGTATGTGTGTGTGTGTGCATAATCTAGATGTCTTAGGACTGTGGCCTAAGGGCAATTTATAAAATAACAATTATAATGCATTCCTACATAGTTAATATAAATCTCCAAACCCTTTTGATAAGTGCCCAATATTGGTATTTTCATTCTAAGTAGAAACTTCCAAACAAATTCAAGTAAGAAACTTGGAAATTATGGTGAACAGTTGAAATATCAAAATAACACATAGCACCAACTCAGACCAACAGAAGAAATATTACTATGCAAACATAATTTCCACCATCTCCCTGTAATTCAATGTGATTAGTAGTTTACTGGCTTCTTCCTCTGTGTATTTAAAAGCTGCAGTCATCATATTAACCTGTCACATCACCTTTCCTTGTTTTGTTTTTTTCAAACAGCATCTTCACTGTGTAGCCCTGATTGTTCTAGAACTCACTATGTAGGCCAGGCTGGCCTCGAACTCACAGAGATCCACCTGCCTCTGCCTCTCCATTATTGCTAGGACTAAATGCATGTGACACTACACCTGACTCTCATTATCTTTTTGCAACTAGTAAATTTGGGGGTACTACTCTGCCATGTCATGTGCAAAACAATTTATATAATCACATCTGATCTCGCAATACTGCCCCAAAGGAGGTATCATTAACTACATCTAACAGAGGAATAAATTTTCCTGAGGACAACCTACTTTAAGTTGTTAAAGTAGGAGTCCTAAATCCAAACGTGGTGTTTGACGCTAAGGCGAGGCGTCATAATTCGCGAAACATAGTAACTATAAAGCAGTCCACGCTCAAACCAAAATAAGCAACCTGAGTCTCTTCCCTTTTGACAAATGCTGCAAGTGTGGCTCAGTGGCAGTGCGTTTGCCTAACACGCGTGAGGTGCTGGGTTCAATCACGTTACCGCGCGGAAGGAGAGAAAAAATTCAAGCAACACTGGTGCTCTCCTTTTAAAATAAATGTTCACAAAATGAAAGCCCCAAACTGCTTTCCGTGTAATGTACTCCAGGAGAATTACTTAAATTTCCAAGTGATACTGTGCCTATTCTTGACTTCAAATTGTGAAACCTGGGTTCTCATCCATGTAAAACATGGTCTTCTCGACAACAGCGACAGAATCAGTAGTCGCATCCTCTGATCAGGGAATTAAAGTGCAGTTAGGAGTGGTTTCATCAGCTCACACCAAAGGCTTGGTGCAGGCGAGGTACTGCTCCGTGGTAAAATCCAGCAGTTCGGCATCATGCTCGCTCTACAAGACCTCACCTGCTCCCGGGAGCCTTTTCCTGGGGCTCCGCTCCTCCGGAATCCACCGCAGGCACATCTGTAGGCTCCGCTGGCTTCGGAGCGGGCTCGGTGGCGGGCTCGGGAGGCCTGGGAGCCTCCGGTCCACGCTGGGGATTGGGAGCGGCGGAGCCCCGGGCGCCTCCACCAGGCCTGACATTCGGCTTCACGCTAAGGCGTGCCCTGCGGAACATGGCGGAGCCAGGGGACCGGCAGCGGCGGCTCCACCGCCGCGCTCAGCCCAGAGCCCCGGCCGCTGCCCGAGGGCTGGGGCCCTCGCCCTGCCACGCGGCCACAATCACCAGCCCAGCGCTGGCTACCGCAAGTTCGCGGCCCCTCCGCCTCCTCCGTTCTCCCGCCACCGCCTCCTCTTCATGACCCTGCCACACTAATAGCTAAGTTTCTCCTCCCCGCGTCCCGGCTCGCAAAAAGGCGCCGGAAACCATGACGTAGTCACACGGCGCCACTGATTGGCGTCACACTGCGGGCGCCGGGAACCATAGCAACTGAAACGCTCTGTAGCTTCGGTTGCCTGTGAGGCCGAGATTTTTTTTTTTTTTTTTTTTTTTTTACTTAAAGATAGATGTTCTTTCTTCTGTAAGATCTCGGGAGTTGCTGAAAGAGCGCGGAAACAGCTCTATCCTCCTGCTCAAACTTGTAAAACGCCCCCCGCCCCCACGCGCGGTGCTGGAGTTTGAACCCAGGACCAATACAGTGTACTCATGCCGCACGGTACCAAGGAACTTCACCCCCAGCCCACTTAACTGAATCTTTTATGGACCTTCTTGGTTTTGGGTTTTTTTGTTTTGTTTTGTTTTGTTTTTCGAGACAGGGTTTCTCTGTAGCTTTGTAGACCAGGCTGGCCTCGAACTCACAGAGATCCGCCTGCCTCTGCCTCCCAAGTGCTGAGATTAAAGGCGTGCGCCACCACCACCCGGCTTTTATGGACTCTTAAGGAGTTCTAGAGAAATCAAATTGTGCAGGTGAAAAACCTCAGCATCAAAGCGCCGGGCACTGAACCGAACCCTCTGCCCAAGAACCGGGGCCAGACCACTGGCTGCAAATGCAAGAGGTGATTTATTGAGTACACAGGCGCCTGCGGATGCTACTGCAACTCGGGTGCAGAGCATCCCGGGCTTTCAGGGAGTACAATATTTATAGAGTTTCAATGGTTACATAAGTAACAGGCATTTCATTGGCTCATCTTGGGGGCAGGGGTAGTTCCCACGGACTAAGTTTCCTGGTATTACTTTATGAAAGACCCAGGCATACTTCAGCAATTATTATCCGGGTCCCATGACTACTATGGTGATCATAGACACAACTGGGGGCAAGGGTAGTTGCCAAGGACTAGGTGTCCTGGTATTGTCATATGAAAGTTCCCAGCACGCTTCAGTAATTATTATCCGGGTCCCATGATTGCTATAGTGATCAGACACAATTGGGGGCCAGGGTAGTTGCCAAGGACTAGGTTTTCTAGTATTGTCATATGAAAGTTCCCAGCACGCTTCAGCAATTATTATCCGGGTCCCATGACTGCTATAGTGATCACAGACATCCTGTTTTGAGGGTGAAACACCTGGTCTGGGTTTCTTTCATTAGGCAACGGCCTGGCCTTGCTTTTCTTTTCCTAGGGGGTCCTGGGTAGGGGTCTTTCACAGGAATGCAGAGCCTGGTGGTGCATACCTACTATCCCAGCACTGGAATTGCACTAGAGAAAGCTTTCCCTGGAGCAGAGCTAAGCTGCTACGCTTATATTGACTTTGTGGTATGATATTCCTTGGCTCCCGACAGCCAGGATCCTTTCGTAGCCAAGCTCCAAGCTTACGGGAAGGTCAGTTCCTTCCAGGCCATCCTGGACTATCTTGCAAGACTTTATCTCAAAAAGACAATAAAATAAAAATAGTATGAGAGTATAGAAACTGTTTTACGTTTTTGAAACAGGGTCTCTTATAGCCAAGACTGACCTTCAATTGTTGGTCCTCCTGCCTCCACATGCTGAGTGCTGAAATTACAGTCATGCATGTGCTACCAAACCCTACTAGAAAGAAAAAAGTATGAGTATGGAGGGGTGTGCTATGTGTGGGTGCCCAGGGAAGCCAGAGTTACAGGTATTTCTCAGACTCCTGATACAGCTGCTGGGAATCCAAAAGGGCCCACTAGAAGAGCAGTAAATGAGTTTAACCATTGAGCCATCTCTGCTGAGAAATTTTTAATTGAGTAAAACAATTAAAATGTTTATGTGAAAAACTTGCAAATGATTACCTATTGAAAGAAAAGCTATGAAACACTTCATAGGAAGACATTCACTATACATGATTTTGTACACTTTAATGTGAACATATTGCCTATCAGAATTATTATATAAATTTTGCACATTAATGTGAGTATTCTTTTTGTTTGTTTGTTTTTGGAGACAGGGTTTCTTTGTATTGTTTTGCAGGCTGTCCTGGAACTCGCTCTGTAGACCAGACTGGTCTCCAACTCACAGAGATCCGCCTGCCTCTGCCTCCCAAGTGCTGGGATTAAAGGTATGTGCCACCAACGCCCAGCTGTAAGTATTCTTAATCTGCTTCCAGAAATAGCATCAGAACAATAAATAAGACATTCTGTGTTACAGAGAAGAAAATACAAAACAAATGAACAAGATAATTAAGAATTTTAAATGTGGGCTGGAGAGATGGCTCAGAGGTGAAGAGCACTGGCTACTCCAGAGGTCCTGAGTTCAATTCCCAGCAACTACAAGGTTGCTTACCACCATCCATAGTGAGATCTGGTGACCTCTTCTGGTGGGCATGCATGCATACCAGTAGAACACTGTATACATAATAATTTTTTTAATTAAATGTAATGAAAGAGATTTCACCATAAAAGAGGGAGCCATTATAAGTTGGAGGAGAGATCTGGCACTAGTGAGATCTTCACAGATCTACAAGAATGACATCAACTGGCACTAAGGCTACCTTAAATGCCCTCCCATGATGGTGAGAATCATGACTACCTTATATGCCATCCTAGAACTCTCATCCAATGGCTGATGGAGGCAAAGGCAGACACCCACAGCTGGGAACCGAATTGAATTCCTGGAACCCAGTTGCAAAGAGGAGTGATGACCAAAAGAATCAAGGTCAGGCTGGCGAAACCCACAGAGGCAGCTGACCTAAACAAGGGGGAACACATGGACCCCAAACTGGTGACTGAGAGAGCAGCATGGGACTGATCCAGACACCCTCTCACCAAACCTGGGTGGCAGAGAGGAGGCCTTGGCATCTGTGGGACCTTGGAAAGTAGAGCAGTATTTATTCTTGACATACAGAGAGACTCTGGGAACCCATACCACGTGGAGGGATGCTCTCTCAGCCTGGACACATCGGGGAGGACCTAGGCTCTGCCCGGGATTATGTGAGTGACAGACTCTGAAAATCCCTCATAAAAGCCCTTGCCCTCTCTGGGGAGCCGAGGGGGGATGGAGTGGGAGTGAGGGGTTGGGAGGGCTGGAGGGTGTGGGAGGAGGGGAGGGAGAGGGAACTGAGAGTGACATTGTAAAAAGTTAAAAAATATGAAAAAAAGATTTCAAGGGTGATATAATAAAAGTCCTGGGGTACTGGCAGTAAGGTCTTTATGATGGGAGGAAAAAATAGGCAGCCCTAAGGTTTACCCTATAGTAATGATGCAGTAATGGTCCAGTGATGCAAACCCATGACACAGAAAAACATAAAGCTCTATCCTCTTGAAATGAAGATTTTTAAGAGCTGAATGTGGTAGAAAGTGCCTTGCGCCCAATACTTGAGAAACAGAGACAAGAGGATCATACATTCAAGGTCATCCTCAGCTGTATATCAAATTCCAAGACAGGTCTAGGATACACAAAACCACACAGAGAGAGAAAGATGGAGAGCGAGAGAGAGAGAGAGAGAGAGAGAGAGAGAGAGAGAGAGAGAGAGAGAGAGAGAGAGAGAGAGCGAGCTCACAGAAGGGCAGGAAACCTGAAGGCTAAGAGTGCAATTCAGTACTGAGCATTTGCAAGGTAGGTCCTGGGATCAGGCAGCAGTACTAAAATATATGTTCAAAAAATTTCAAAATGCTAGAAATGATGGCACATGCTTGAATTCCCATCACTCAAGAAACTGAGAGGGAAATTGTATACGTTTGAGAATAAACTTCTGAATAGCCAATTCCAGGCCAGCTAAGGTTACACATCAAGACTTCATAAATAAATAAACATTTGTGAAAGAGCACCATGCCAAAGTTATCTTGTAGATACTGCTGGGACATAGAGCATTCCACAGCAAGTTCTTATGCAAGGTCTTTTTATAAATCCTGTGTTCTACCTAAGAATCCAAGATGTTGTCACAACTTTGTAGATAAGGAAATTAAAATTGTTTAGATTTAATTCCCTAATAGTAAAGGCATAAAACAAAAACTTAATTTATAAAGATTTTTCTTTTGATTTTTATAGATGTGTTTATTTATATGTATAAGTAACTTTGCTTGCATGTATACATGTGTGCCCAGTGCCTCGGGACGGGAAGATAGCATCAGATTCCCTGGTACTGTGGGTCCTGAACAACAATTGCTCTTTACTCCTGTCATCTCTCCAGCAACCCATATCCAAAATTTTACTATTAAATATATCTGGGCTGGACCGACAGCCTCGAAAACAATACAGAGAAACCCTGTCTCGTGAAAACATATATATATATATATATATATATCACAAGTGTCATCAGTCATTTTAAAATTCTACAATTTGGAGACTGGAGAGATTGTTCAGGAGTTAAGCACTTGCTGCTCCATCATTAGAACCAGAGTTTGTATCCCAGTTCCCATGTCAGGTAGTTCACAAATTTTGTTTGTGCTCTAACAAAGCTTGCCTGAAGATCAGAGAGTGGAGCTAGCCACTAGTTAACCATAGAGATCTGGAGGTGGGTACAGACAGACAGGAAATGGTAAGGCAGGGCAGACATAGGAACTCTACTTTTTCGACTGAGAAGTTAGTGAGGTAAGAGGAGGCTCTGGCTTGCTCCTTTGTCTTTCTGGTCTTTCAGCATTTACCCTGATATCTGGTCCAGGTCCAAGGGAGCCCTCCATTCTCACACTCATGTGTATACACGCATGGAGATACTAAACAATATTCTAGTTGTCTCTAGTGTTCTCCCCTCTTTCTAAGACAGGATAAGGGTTTCACTGTGTAGCATTGACTACCCTGGAACTGTGCCTGGTACGTAGAGCATGCTGCCCTCGAACTCAGACTCATCAAGAACTAAAGGCATGCTCCTGACCCTCTGGCAGAAACTCTCAACATATTCTGTGTGCACAGTGTACATCCTTGTAAACTCACAACTCAGAAAATATGATTTCAGACACAAATTCACACCAAGCACACATACATGTAAAAATAAGTTTTTATATATATGTATATATATATTCATACACACACACACACACACATCCTGAGTCAGGCTGGGCTAGCCCTGTAAGCTCAGAAGGTGGCTGTAAGAGCAGCTTGTGTGTGGACAAGATCAAATACACTTAAAACCCCTGGGATGAAAGGCATATACTACCATCACCCTGCAGCTTTTGTTTTGAGAGAGAGAGAGGGAGGGAGGGAGGGAGGGAGGGAGGGAGGGAGGGAGGGAGGGAGGGAGACTCTCACTATGTAGCCCAAGTGAGCCTCATATGTGCAGTCCTTTGGCCTCAGTCTTGCAAGTGCTAGGATTACACCCACACCCCACCACATTGGGTTCCTCCTTTCCTCTATGAATTTTGAGGTGTGGGAGTTCAGATCCAGGGCTGTGCATACTCTAAACAAGCGTCCACCACCGGACCATATCCTGATCCACAGATGATCTCTCACCTCTATGCAGCCAGGCCAGAGAGCCTCTCCTCCTCCCTGGGTATTCACGAAAGGGTTCACTGAGTACAAGCACACACCTGACCCTCAGCAGTTCTGAGCACAACAGGGTATGACTTGAGGAGTGTAAGGAGGGCGCAAGGTTCTCTGAGGTTGAACAATAAATAACAGGTAACACACTGAGAGCTGTTGTCTCAGTTAGAGCTCCTACTGCTGTGAAGACCCTGACCACAGCAACTCTTATAAGGAAAACATTTCACTGGAGTGGCTTACACTTCAGAGGTTTAGTTCATTATCATCATGGCAGGACATGGCGGCATGCAGGCAGACATGGTGCTGGAGAAGGAGATGAGAGCTCTACATCTTGCTCCTAAGGCAACAGGAAGTAAACAGTGATACTGGGCAAAGCTTGAGCATAGGAGACCTCAAAGCCCAACCCCACAGTGACACACTTCCTCCAACAAGACAAAGCTACTCCAACAAGGCCACACCTAATATCCCCACTCCCTTTGCGGGCCATTTTCTTTCAAACCACCACAGATACTCTACACTAGACCAAGTATTTCTCTCGTATGTGTGCAAGTATGTGCACATATGTGTGTGTTTTCATGTGTGTACATGTGCACATGGAGGTCAAGAGATAATCTTAGCTGTCACTCTTCAGGAGCTGTCCACGGTTTTTTAGGCAGGGTCTCTCACTGACGTGGAACGTGCCTACTCGGCTAGGGTGGCTGACCACTGAGGCCCAGGGACACACCTGACTCCCCCTGCCCAGTGCTGATTTAGCATGGTTTCTGGGGAGAAATCATATCCTTGCTTTACCAGATTTGTATTAATCCATTATCGGAGAAAGTAAAATTGCCTCCCCAGTTTATAGGAGGTAAAGAAGTTTTATACAGCAAGATAGTGTACCCTAGTTGACAAGACTATTTGGTAAAACTAGGCTTTCTTCTTTTCCTTCCTTCCCCTCCTCCTCCTCTATAGCTACACTTTCAATCCAGTCCTTCCATCTCGACACTTTGTTCCATGTCCTCTAAACTAGTTGACTCTATACGCTAATAGTAGTAAAAGTTTGGTGATATGTATGTTGTGGTACACCAGAACGTCATCTATACTTTTGTATACATTCAGAACATTCCATAAGGAACCCCTTTTAAGTACCCGCCAAATTTCGGGTGACCAGACCATCTCAGTTTGTAAAATTGTGCAGGTAAGAAAATAAGGCTCGGTTCAAGGAGTGGAACCTAGGGGCTGTCACTCATGCTAAGACAAGCCACACTCCCAAACCCTATGTGTTTGTTTCTCTGTATGTAGGCTTGGCTGTCCTGGAACTCCTTCTGTAGACCAGGCAGGCTTCTGACTCCCGAGTGCTGGGATTAAAGGCGTGTGCCACCAACGCCCGGCTAACATTAGGGCGTTTCTGACAGGTGAGGATGGTAAAGTCTAACTTCTGCCTGGCTGCTAGAAAATGAGTCCTGTCATCTTCCTGCCCTGGAAGGGGGAACAAAGAAAAGCTGACATTCTTTGTGGGAAAGTTGGGCGCATAGTGTTTTCTGCTTGTCATTAAAACCCGCTCAGCTCGGAGTGAGGAGGCGCGCGGAGGGGGAACTGGGTGTGTGTGTGTGGGGGGGGGGACCTCAGCTCTCCCGCCTCAGTTCACCGCGAGCGTGCGAGCCCGGGCGGGGCGCGGTCGCCGGTGGGCCAGCGGTCCCGGGTGCGCAGGCGCAGTGGCTCAGCGGCCACGCCGCGGCTGTTGTGGGTCGGTGGGCGGGGCGGCTGGCTGACAGAGCGAGGCGTCGCCGCACCGAGGGCCCGCGCGGGACAACCTTCCTCAGCGCCGGGCGGCGACGGCTGCCGAGCGTGCGAGCGGCCGTTGTTTCTCCGCGTCGCCGTCTCCCAGGCTGCGGCCGGCGGTCGGCATGGCCCGTGAGTGTGCGGACCGTTTGAGGGACGGCGCCCGGCGGCGCGGTGGGGGCAGCGGGAGCCGGCGGAGGGGAGGGCGGGACACGCGCACGCGCGCAGGGGCGGGGCGCTGGCTCCCGGGGGCGGGGGGGGGCGGGTGCCCGCCTCCCAGGTGTGGGTGCCTGAGCACCGCACCCACCGCGAATGAGTGCGAGCGCCCGCGGGACCTCTCTGCAGAGCTGTAGCGGGCTCCTGGGGTCGGAAAGCTGCTGAGCAGGCCGGGGTGCCCCCCAGCTCTTTTGTTTGGTCCTGGAAGGTGACGGTCCTTGAGCGTTGCTCTGCTGCCTTTAACAGGAGAACTGCCACCGGCTGAACTACCTGGGGGGGAGGGAGGCGGGGTGTCTGTCTGCCTGTCCATCTCCAGAACTTATTTGCGTGTGTACACAACCACTGGAATGGCTATTCTTTTTAAAAAATATTTACTTGTTTATTATTTTTATTTTACTTTGGTTTTTCAAAATTGGGGTTCTCTGTGTAGCCCTGGCTGTACTGAAACTTGCTCTGTAGACAGGGCTGGCCTAGAACGCTGAGATTCGCCTATTTCTGCCTCCCATGGAATTAAAAGCCGATAGTCGATACCTGTACTGGTGCGATAATATTCTTAAGTTCTTAAGTTCTTGAGTGTTTCCACTTAAGCTTCCTCCTTGTCAATGAGGGAATTCCTATGCGACACTCGCTTCTCACTAGTAAAAATTAATAAAACTTTAAGGCTCATAGTAAAAGACTCTTTAGTTATTAATAATTTTGAAGATGGGAAAAGAACATGACTGTTTATCGTTGTAGGAGGAAATCAAAGAGAACTTGCCCGCCAGAAAAATATGAAAAAAAACCAGGAAATTAGCAAAGGAAAAAGAAAAGAGGATAGCTTGACTACCTCTCAGAGAAAACAGAGGTGAGTATGAATGTGCAAGCCAGTGGTAGTTTGACTGCCATGTTTTTAGAGTGAATTAAGAACCTTCTTAAACCCTTGCTAGAACCGAGCCTCACCTACAGTAAGGGTTAACACTGTGGATCTGGGTATCTCAGAGTATACGAAAGTGCTCTGAAGTCATCGTCCCAACCTGTGGATGAAGAATGGCAAGCCCTGAAGCTGCCATGTTTGCAGATAATCTCTTGTAGCTCCTATGAACTGTAAGAACTCCACTAGCAGAAATAACAGGCAGCTCCATGTGTAAGTACTGTTAGATGAACAGGATACAGTATTTCCAAAGCAGGTAACTTGCCCCAAGGAGTCAGAATAACAAGTGGCTCAACTACAGAGATGAGTGTTCTGGAAATGCCAAGAGCCAAGTGTGGGCTTCTGGTGGTGCACTAGGGTTGGAGGAAATGTAGGGACATAGGACAGACACATAACCCAACGCTGCTCAGAGACCTACAGACCATGTCTCAAAAGCAGCGGGGAGGTGGGGGCAGGGTCTGCTGCCCAAGAAAAATCTTTAACGAGGTTGCAGATTACCATGTTTCCAAGGAGAGTACAGGGCCCAGAAGCATAGTTCCATGTTACATCACATGCTTTGCATAATTGAGCTACAGGTTCAATCGCCAGACCACAGAGATACGGCAAGAAATTAATTTCAAGTTACAAGTTCTGTCACCATATAGGATAACAAAACTGGGAACCAGAGCATATGAATATCATCCTCTTTGCAAGCCCCATGGGGACAAGAATCTGAAGATAAATCTTAGTGCCCGATGACTCACAAACCTGAGGACTTGGGTTTACTCCTTTGCTGGGGATTTAGTCTAGGACCTTTCTACTTAGCTCTGTCACTGAACTACATGCACTCCATATTCTAAAGTGAGATCTCATTGCTCATATGGAACTTGGAAGTTAGGTGTGCTTCAGTGTGACTTATTTCTGGTCTCAATCCTTTACATGGGGATCATCCTGGAAACTCCAATGGCTACTACAGCTAGTACTCTACACCCTCTTCTAATTGAATTGCTTTGAGTGAGACTGGCCATTGAAAATAAAAATACATTTCTCCAGGTTCAGTCCCAGCACTGAAAAAAAAAGTGCCATATGCTTGTTATCCTAGCACTTGGGAGGTGGGAGCAGAAAAATAAGAATCTCGAGATCATCTTCAGTTTGTATCAAGCTCAAGTTTAAAGCCAATCCATCTAGTGAGACGTGCTAGGGCTGAAGATAAACTCATCACCTGGTAGAGCCTTTGTCTAGCATACATAAGGCTCTGACTTTGATCCCTCCTCTTCCTCTCCTCCCCCACAAAGTACACTAAATAAGTTTTTTTTTTTTTGAGACAAGGTTTCTCTGTGGTTTTGGAGGCTGTCCTGGAACTAGCTCTTGTAGACCAGGCTGGCCTCGAACTCACAGAGATCCGCCTGCCTCTGCCTCCCGAGTGCTGGGATTAAAGGCATGTGCCACCACCGCCTGGCTTTAAATAAGTTTTATTATACCTATCTCTATATGTTAAACCATAGTTGAGACTTCTTTATCAATGAGATCGAATCCCTTAATGAAGGAGGCATGTAGGTCTTTGTGCTCACAGATAAGCACTAGGGAAACCAGGAATGTTAAACACACAGGGTGTCTCTTCAAAGGGAGAGAGAGATATATAACCTGTTTTCCACCCAGAAGGCTGGGAATGGACGATAGCCTGGTGACATTTGTGCTATGAATGTGGCTAGGACACAGTGGCTCCCCCAGGCCCTTAAGTTTGTCTCAGTCAATCTGTTGCTCTATCCTTCCCTGGACCCTTAATCTATAGAACCTACCTTTATGGAAAATGTCACTTGTACTTCACTGAGAGTTTTCATGTAGTCATGTCTTAAGCTTTGTTGTGCATGGAAGATTGTGAACTATCACTAAGAAACTTTTTCCAGTTTGTGTTGTGCATAAATAAACTACCCAGGTTTAGACTCTGAAAATTTGAACCAACACCAGCTCCTGAGTCCTCTTGATCCGGACGGCCTTCTTACCCCATGTGATCATTGCTCTGCTGGCCTTGGTGGTCACAGAGACTCCACGCCTTCAGTATCACTTTCTCTTGTTTTGTGACAGTTACTGTGTGTTTATATGTGTGTACATGCTTCAGGTACTTACAAGGGTACAAACAGTGTGAGTGTGGAGGTTGATAGCAAGTATCTTTCTTCCATCACTGTCCACCGTTTATTTCTGTCAGGGTCTCTCACTAAATATGAAGCTCACCAATTTGGCTAGGCTGATAGGCCAAATGAACTTGGGAGATCTGCCTGTCTAAGCCCTGCCCCGCCCCCTAGCACTGAAGTTTTAGACACACACCACCATGCCCTGCTGTTTTCATGGATTTGTGGGGGCTCTAAACTTGGATCCCCGTGCTTGTACAGCAGGAACTTTAATGACTGAGACATGCTCCCCAGCCCCAGTGACAGTTACTAATAAAACAATAAACTCACCTTGGAGTAAAAAGAGTATAGATCAGCGACCCTGAAATACTCTTATTGGAGAATCTGTTCTAGCTGTCTCAGAATCAGCATTGTTTCTAATACTCCCTTAAAATGTGCTAGATGTGTCATATCTCTACCATTATGACCCAAAAATGTGGTACTGGCACTAGTGTGAAGAATAGGAAAGTGAACTTCTAGTCTCATTATAGCCCACACTTGAACTTGTGATTCTTCTGCCTCAGCCTTGGAAATTCTGGGTGCCAGGCATTAGCCACCACCTCTAGCTTGTGTCTCTGACCTTGAGTGATATTACTAAGGTCATATAGCACAGAACTTGGTTTGAAGCAGAAAAATGTCTTTCATTGTTCTTAATTCCACTTAGTGAATTCTACTTAATTCATTCCTCTGTAGCTTTTCCTTCTCTTTTTATTGTATTTATAGACATGTCCTCTTACAGAAGTAGCCAATACTGAGTTAAAATTTAAAATTTTTTTTTGTTTGTTTTTGTTTTTCGAGACAGGGTTTCTCTGTGGCTTTGGAGGCTGTCCTGGAACTCGCTTGGTAGTCCAGGCTAGTCTCTAACTCACAGAGATCCGCCTGCCTCTGCCTCCCGAGTGCTGGGATTAAAGGCGTGCGCCACCAACGCCCGGCTTAAAATTTAAAATTCTAAATTAACAATATAGGAAAGATCCCTGATTTTGAAATTAGCCAGACCTTGATATTTGTGTGATTTGGGGCAAATTATTTAGTCCTGTGCCTGCTTATTTATACAGAATTTTAAAATGATTTATTTATTTTTATTTTGTGTGTATGAGTGTTTTTGCCTGCATGCTGATTATTTGATTTGGGGCTTTTAAAAAGCTACATGGTTATAATTCCAACACTAGGAAGTAGAGGCAAGAGGATCAAGAGTTGAAAAAATGCAAAGAATTATCACATTTATACTGTAGTCGTAGGTGTCTGTCCGGGTATATAGGGGACTTCCCAAATGCACTGAGGCAGTGCCAGGTGGGTTTCCTTGAGTTTGAGGTCAGCCTGGTCTACAGGATGAATTCAAGGGTAGCCATGGCTACATAGTGAGACTCTGTCTCCTCCCTCCCCCTCCTCCTCATCAGAATCAAAGAGCTATGAGATTATTTGCCCAAGGCCATGATAACAATAGCATGCTGTTCAAATGCCTTTCCAGTCTTTGCTTTCATTTGTTTACATTCATGAAAATGGAAAACTATGACTGTTTAATGTCTTCTTTTAATATACCAAAAAGCTTATATATAAGAAACAATTACTCGGGAGGCAGAGGCAGGCAGATGGCTGTGAGTTTGAGGCCAGCCTGGTCTACAGAGTGAGTTCCAGGACAGGCTCCAAAGCTACACAGAGAAACCCTGTCTCAGATTTTAAAGAAAAGAAAAAAAAACAATGGTAGTATGAAACCAGTTTTTGTGAAAACTTAATAGTTTTTTTCTCAATTACAGGGACTCTGAGATCATGCAACAAAAGCAGAAGATAGCCGATGAGAAGAAATCTATGCAGACAAGAGAAAAATGATGACGGGCCTTTTGGAAACCTGGGTGCTATTGTCAGTGGGGTGCATAAGAAGATCAAAATTTCTCAGAGTGACTAATGGTCACGTGTTATAACTTATCCTTATAAACTGTCTATTTTAAACTTTACTTTTCAGCCTTACTTAACATGACATTTTAAGACCATTCTTCAAAGAATAAAGTACTGAGCATGCATGTAACATATTGGTGAGTATTATTTTTATCAAGAGAACAATTATGTAATTTGCTAAACGGTAATGTATTAGTTACATTTGCATTGCTAGGACCACAGTACCTGACGAGGAGAAGTTGAGGGAGGACAGATTGGCTCATGGTCTCAGAGGACTTCATTCCTTCATAAAAAGCAGAGCAGAGCAGCTCAGTTCATGGCAGGAGCATAGCTGAGGCTGTGTGCATCACACCAGGGATCCACACCTGGACAACACTCAAAGTCCTATCCTTAATGCCCCCCTCCTCCACTAGGCCCCATCTCCCAAAGGTTCTGTAGCCTCCCAAAATAGGACCCCATCTGGGGAACAAGCATTCACACTGAACTCTGGGAGATACTTCAGATGGAAGCCACATTGGGTAATGTGATTCAGGAATATGATATATAAATCTAGAATCTTGGTCATACACATTGTTAGTGGTTTGATTTTTTATTTTCTGAAACAATTTCATTTTGTAGCTCAGGCTAGTCTTAAACACATAGCAGTCCTCCTCCCTTGCCTTCTGAGTTCTGGGATTCTGAGTGTGGCCACAATGCTAGCCTAAGTAGATCTTTACATTTTTGTCTACTATAAGTTTTCTTAAAATTCTAAATATTAGCCAGGCAGTGGTGGCACACATCTTTAATCCCAGCACTTGGGAGGCAGAGGCAGACGGATCTCTGAGTTTGAGACCAGCCTGGTCTACAAGATCGAGTTCCAGAGCAGGCTCCAAAACCACAGAGAAACCCTGTCTCGAAAAACCAGAAAAAAAAAACACCCTAAATATTTAGTGTGTGCTCGTGTGTTACAAAGGCATGTAGAGATCATAGAACAGCTTAGGGCAGTCATTTCTCATTTTCCACGATGGGACTCTAGGGAATTTTAACTCAGAGCTTAGTGGCCATCTGACTGTGCTCCCCCACCTTTTGTGTGAGCTGTGGGGGGTCAGTCCTTACCTTCTGCCTTGTGGCAGCGCCTCCTGTTTCTGCGTCCCCCTCCCATTTGCAGCATGAGTGCTGAGAGTGAGGATCCACAAGCCACACCCAGCGTTCTAACAAGGGTGACTGAAGTGGTGATTGAGCTGTTGAGATGGTCAGGCCTGTGCCTCCGCCTGCTGAGTCCTGGCCCTTAGCTTTCTGTTAGGGCTGGGGTAGCCGACATGAGAGAACTTGCCTTAGCTCAACTTCCAGCACCACACATAAACCGCAACCCAATTTAAGTTCTATTTACAGAACTTTTGCTTTGTAACCTGCTGCTTTGCTACAAGAATTTACACTAGTACAAATCAGAAGATTAACTAAATGGGTAGGAACCAAGTGAGAGGACGCAGCAAGAGTTCTACTTAAGATTTAGAAAATTTGTAAACGCATGTCAGCTGAATGTCTTCAAAACCTGGGCCTTGAGGAGCTGGAGGTGTGGCGCGGTCACAAATGCTCACCACACAAGCACGAGGACCTAGTTCAGATCTCTAGCATTCACACAAAAGGCTTGATATGCAAGTATGCGCCTATGATCCCTGTGTCTTATTATCCGGAGCACAGAGGAAGTCAGTCTGAAAGTTTATTAGGATGAATGGAAACAATGCTGGCACATGGGTGTAACAAAATCCTACCAGGAAAGCCAGACCCAAGAACTTACCAGACATGCCAGACCAAGGAAACAGTCGGCCTCCCTCACCTGGGACTCCTTGGAAAATGGATACCCAACACCCATCATCACCTACTAACTGCTGTGTGCAACCAACAAGCAGAGGATGCCCTTATTGCGCGTCTTTGTCGGGTTACCTGCCATTGCCATTATTTTATACTAAAACTATTGTTTAAAAAGGAAAACAGAGAAACCCTGTCTCATAAAAACCAAATAAATAAAAAATAAAAAGGAAAACAATCAGCCGGGCGGTGGTGGCACACACCTTTAATCCCAGCACTCGGGAGGCAGAAGCAGGCGGATCTCTGTGAGTTCGAGGCCATCCTGGTCTACAAAGCGAGTTCCAGGAGAGCCTTCAAAACCACAGAGAAACACTGTCTCGGAAAAAAAAAAAAAAAAAAAAAGGGAAAAACTTGACACAACCTGTAATCCCCAAACTCGGGAAGCAAAGTAAGTAAAGGCCAGCATGGGCTATGTAATGGGGGTTGGTGGAAGGAGGAACGTAAGTTGGAAGAAAATGAGAGAGCTAGGAGGAAGGGGAGAGAGAGGAGGAGACAGCTGTGACAGGAGTGACAGGAGCGAGGTCGTAGCATATTAACCAGTCACCTAACGCATGCTCAACGTCTCAGGCTGACTCCAGGCCGCGGTGCTCTTCCGCTCCCAGAAGCCCCTCGCGACGGAAGTCGTCACTGTGTGAGCGCAGGCAGCGTCCGCCGTAGCTCGCCATGGCGATGGGCAGCGGCGGTGCGATCTCGGAACAGGAGGATGCGGTGCTGTTCCGGCGTGGCACCGGCCAGGTGAGGTCGCGGGTGGCGGGGCTCGGCGACAGCGCCCAACGAGCTTGGCGCGCCGGCCGGCACCGAACCCGCGCGCGCTCGGGCCGCTTGCTGCCACCCCATCCGCAGCTCCTGGTGCTGCTCCGGCGCCCGGAGTGGCTGCGAGCCACGCTTTGGTTCTGTGTGACTGAGGGAGCAGAGACAAGGTGGCAGAAACAGTAACATTCGTTAGGAGTCATTGAAATGCTCCAAATTTAGGTCAAGATCCAGACGTTAGCAGCGAGTTTAGACTAAAATGGACTTTAGATAAAGTTTTGCAACTAGAAGGACCAGGTTTCGCAGGTAGCAGTCTGATAGGAAAATTTGAGAGAGAGAGAAGGGTAACCGAAGTTGCCCTGAGCAGCTGAAAAGTTGCTACGTGACTGCAGTGCACTAGGCGGGGAAGACGGGGATCAGAGCCAGGCTTCGTGGTGCATGCTTACTGTCGCAAGCACTTGGGAAATGGAGGCAGGAGGGTCAGGAGTTCAAGATCGTCCTCAGCGTGAACTCGAGGCCAGCCTATACTCCAGTGAGACTCTGTAAGAGTGGAATAAACGCTTTCAAATATGAGGGGGGAATCAGGGCCACTTTGTGGACCGGGCCTTTGACCATCCCACGTTCTTGTAGAGGCTGAGGCTAGTCTGAGAAACAGAACACTCTAAAAACGTTTGAAACACTAGGAGCTCAATCTTAGTGTGCTAAATGTGGTTTCTGCTTGGAGTGTAGGGTGGGGGAAGAGAATTCAAGGCAACATTTGGGATGCTGCATCCCCTTCTCTTGGCGGTTCATATCCTGAATGAAAACTGCCGTTTGACTTCATTGTAGCCCTGGTGGTCTGGTTCACTCCCTAAGCACACGGTTTCCTGTGCGTATTTGCCATCTAAATATCTTCTTCAAGTGGTGTGGTGGTACATGCCTGTAATCCCAGGGGTACATCTTATTTATTGAAGTTTCTGTTTTGTTGTTGGTTTGTTTTTTGAGACACGTCTCACTGTGTAGCCCTAGCAGACCTGGAACTCTCCATGTGGACCAGGCTGGCATAAAACTCAGAGACTGATCTAGTTCAGCCTCCCGTGTGCTGGAGTTAAAGGGTGTACCACCACACGTGGTTTGGAAGCTTGTTTTTGTTTTTTCGAGACAGGGTTTCTCTGTATTGTCTTGGAGCCTGTCCTGGAACTCGCTCTGTAGACCAGGCTGGTCTCGAACTCACAGAGATCCGCCTGCCTCTGCCTCCCGAGTGAGTGCTGGGATTAAAGGCGTGCCCCACCAACGCCCGGCCTCATATTGTATATCTTTAATTAAGACTATCTGTCCATAAATTATTTGTAATCTTTTTCACTTCAGAGTGATGATTCAGACATTTGGGATGATACAGCATTGATAAAAGCTTACGATAAAGCCGTGGCTTCCTTTAAGGTATGAAATGTTTAATCACTCTTTTGTTTCCGAATTTCATACAGGAAAAAAAATCTTAATAAATTGAGGCTTTCTTAGGTGATGGGACCTTGAGACCGTCTCATAGTGGTAACTCATGTTAGGCCGTGGTGGCTTTTTAACATCTTATCTCTCTATAGCATGTGAGTGTATTTCTATTACTGTTTTCATAGCATGCTCTGAAGAATGGCGACATCTGTGAAACTTCAGAGAAGCCAAAAGGCACAGCTAGGAGAAAACCTGCTAAGAAGAATAAAAATCAAAAGAAGAATGTCACAACTCCTTTGAAACAGGTTATTTATTTATTTGAACACCGTCTGGCCCAGCCTGAGGGAAAGGGTTGATGATGCTATTTGCTATTTAGAGTAAATGAGAGCTATAAGTTGAGTCATCAGTGTTGTTTTTTAAAGTTGATTTGTGCGTGCATATACGAGCAATGTAGGTAATTAAGTAGACAGGAGGGTTGGAATTACAGTTGGTGAGCTGGATTATGGTTTGTTCTCTTCAAAAGAAGTAAAGTGCACATGTCCGTGTCTTTCTTTTGTAGTGGAAAGCTGGTGACAAATGCTCTGCTGTTTGGTCAGAAGATGGCTGCATTTACCCAGCTACCATTACTTCCATTGACTTTAAAAGAGAAACCTGTGTTGTGGTTTATACCGGATATGGAAACAGAGAGGAGCAAAATCTATCTGATCTGCTTTCCCCAACCTGTGAAGTAGCTAATAATATAGAACAGAGCACTCAGGAGGTAAGGTCATGAAGATGTCCGTTCCCAAAGGGGGAGACTAAATAAGGACCCAGCATTAGAGTCAGTTGTCACTTTGCCCAACTAAGGCATCAAATAACGTTCTGATTCCTCCTCTTTCTCTTCTCATTGCCTTTTTGTTAAGAAAGAAGGCCAGGACCATATAATTGCTAAGCAACTGCTCTGTCTCTGTGTAACAGAAATGTTCTTTTTCTTTTTAAAGAATGAAAGTCAGGTTTCAACAGACGACAGTGAAAACTCCTCCAGATCTCTCAGAAGTAAACCACATGGCAAGTCCAAAGCTGCTCCGTGGAACTCGTTTCTCCCGCCCCCACCCCCAATGCCAGGGTCAGGATTGGGACCAGGAAAGGTAAGCGTTCTGTTCAGAAAATGATTTATGTAGGAAATATTCATCGTGAGACCCTAACTCTTTCATTCAGTAATTAACAGCTCTCCTATGAAACTTTTTCCAGGCCAGAATGTATAAAAAGGAAATACCTAGGGAAGTAAAAAGTTAGGAAGGAACTCGCTCTGTAGACCAGGCTGGACTCGAGCTCACAGAGATCCGCCTGCCTCTGCCTCCCGAGTGCTGGGATTAAAGGCGTGCGCCACCAACGCCCGGCCCTAGTATACTTTAAGTTAGAAAATGACTATTCTGAAGCTAGCTACAAGAGCTAGTTCCAGGACAGCCTCCAAAGCCACAGAGAAACCCTGTCTCAAAAAACCAAAAAAAAAAAAAAAAAAATGACTACTCTGTTAGTTTCCTAACACAATGTTATTCCTGTGTCACCTGTAGTAGATATGTGGGAAAAAGAGTCCTATTGTATCCATATGTAATATGGTCATGGTCTCAAGCAGATCTCCGTTTTTGTTGTTTGTCCTGTTTTATTTTTTGGTTTTTTTTTTCCTTTCCTTTTGTTGTTTTTTTCTGGAATCTGATGTCACACAGCTGAAGATGACCTTAAATGTCAGATCCTTGTGCCCCACTGCTCAGTGTTGTGGTATTATAGCATATGCCAGCCACAGCACCTGGTTTGTCTCAGATTATACTATAGTGTTAAAATGTAGACACCGGCTGGGTGTTGGTGGCGCACACCTTTAATCCCAGCACTCACTCGGGAGGCAGAGGCAGGAGGATCTCTGTGAGTTCGAGACCAGCCTGGTCTGCAGAGTGAGTTCCAGGACAGCCTCCAAAACAATACAGAGAAACCCTGTCTCGAAAACCCCCCCCCCCCCAAATGTAGACACTGTTTTTATGACTCTTGTGGTTGTAAGTTGTAGAAATCAACTTTAAAAATAATTTTATTATAGGCTGGGTTATGGCTGGAACCTTAACCAGCCAGTTCTTTGTACCAAGCAACTGTAGTTGTCCTCAGAGAGTATGGTCTGTTCACATGTGTGTATACTTAAGTGTTCGTGTGTGGGGGTACTTGTGCACGTAGGGGCCAGAACTACACAGAGCACCTTCATCCACTCCTTTTTCTGGGACAGAGTATGTCAGTGGACTTGGAGCTTGCTGACTCAGCTAGAATGGCTGGCCGGAGAACCCCGGGATCCTGCCTCCACCTCCCCAGTGCTTCGGCTATAGATGTATGATGCCATGTCTGGTTTGGCTGTGTGGATGCTAGGGACTTACACTCAGGTCTTCATGCAGGTGTGGCAAGTACTCTACCAGCTGAGCCATTTACCCCACATAGTAATTTGTTAAAATCAATTGTGACGTAACACTTTTCCTTAAGATCTTCTCTGAAAGCCGGGCGTTGGTGGCGCACGCCTTTAATCCCAGCACTCGGGAGGCAGAGGCAGGCGGATCTCTGTGAGTTCGAGACCAGCCTGGACTACCAAGCGAGTTCCAGGACAGCCTCCAAAGCCACAGAGAAACCCTGTCTCGAAAAAACCAAAAAAAAAGATCTTCTCTGAGAGATGAGCATAGTGACTTATCTGTCATCTCCAGCGCTGGGGAGGCTGCAGGAGAGGATTGCTGAGTTTGGAACCAACCTGCGCTACTTAGTGACACAGATTTAAAAAAAAAAAGCAAGACACAACTAGAGCCTAAGATGAAACAAGAGGGCAGCTCAGTGGGTGATGGCGCCTGCCACACGCCTGCTAACCTGAGCTCGGCTCACCGGATCCCTCTGAGAGCAAGGAGAGAAACAAATCACGCAAAGGTTGTCTCCAGGTTCCACATGAACACCATGGCGCATGCTCTCTCATGTATGATCACAGCTAAATGAATTGTTTTAGGAAATTACAAGAAAAAAACAACAAAAGATTTTCTATGATAATTTTCTAATTGAAGGTTATATTGTATTAGAATTTCTTGAATCTAAATGATCAAATCTAGTATATACCTTGTCTTTTTGTACTTTAAATTACCTTATATAAGTAATAGGACCTCCAGAACTTTTCTTTTTACATTTATTTATTTGGGTGGGACAACTTGTGAGAGTTGGTTCTCTTCCTCCAGCTTGGTCTTGGGAATCCCAACTCGGGCTGTCCTGTCAGACTTGGTGGTGCATACCTTTTATCTGCTTAGCCATTTTGTGGGCCTAGTACAGGATAGCTATAAAAATATATGTGATGGGGGATATAATTTTTTTTTTTTTTTGGTTTTTTTGACACAGGGTTTCTCTGGCTTTGGAGGCTGTCCTGGAACTAGCTCTTGTAGACCAGGTTGGCCTCAAATTCCGCCTGCCTCTGCCTCCCGAGGTGCTTGGATTAAAGGCGTGTGCCACCACTGCCCGGCTGGAAGGATATAATATTAAGATTAAATTATCTTGATAAATACATTGTCTCAGATTTGCTAGGCAGTTACAGATCTTTACTGTGATTTTATTTACTAAATGTTTAGAGAATAGAAATGGAAAAAAAAAAAACCACCGGGCGTTGGGGGCGCACGCCTTTAATCCCAGCACTCGGGAGGCAGAGGCAGACGGATCACTGTGAGTTCGAGACCAGCTTGGTCTACTGAGCGAGTTCCAGGACAGCCTCCAAAGCCACAGAGAAACCCTGTCTTGAAAAACCAAAAAAAAAAAAAAAAAAAAAAACCTAGAGCCTACCATTTAATTAAGAGTTGGTTGAATTTTTTTCAAATATGTGTATATATGAGTGTGTGCTCGTGTGGATTTGTGCGTGTGAATACAGGTGCTTTTAACTGCTGTGTCGTCTCTCCACTTCCCATTTTTATTACTTTGGTTTTGAATACTCTTCAGTGAAGAAGGAATTTTCCTTTAAAATACTAACTTCCTTTGAAATACTCTTCATAGGTAGGTCTAAGATTCAATGGCCCACCACCGCCACCGCCTCCCCCGCCCCCCTTCATGCCATGTTGGATGCCTCCGTTCCCTTCAGGACCACCAGTAAGTACAAGAGAATTTAGATTAAACGGCTTTTATATACAGTTTGGAGTGTTGCAGACTATAGGAAATTGGGCTGTGTTACCGTAAGCCACCCCCAAGGTTAGACTCTAACGGGTAAAAATTCAAAGCTCAGATTTTGTTTTGAAGCCTTTCTGTTGCCCAGTTCTCACATCTCCTCCATGCTGTGTTACGTGCTTCTCTCCTGTAGTGGTATCAGTATCCAATCTGAGGTGGTAGTTTCTGTTAGAAAGGACTGTGCCTCACTATACAGAAAAGACAGCCCTCCTGGAGGAGTGGGATGCTAGCTTCTGGTCCTGGGTTTCTCGTGGTAGATCTCTTGTCATTGCTTTGTGCTTGTTTTTGTTTTTGTTTTTTTTTAACTATTGCTTTTTATCCTAATGTAGGTTCCCCCTTGGTTTTTTTTTTTTTTTTCCTTTGTTTTTTCTTGTTTTTTTGAGATAGGATTTCTCTGTATAACAGCCCTGGCTGTCCCAAAACTTACTCTGTAGACCAGGCTGGCCTTGGACTCACAAAGGTCTGCCTATCTCTGCTTCCCTAGTGTATGCATTAAAGACATGCACCACCACCAACTAGCCCTAATGGAATTTTAATAGTAGATTTTTGTTTTGTTTTGTTTTAGATATTAACAATATTCAAAGGGATGCTCTTTGGGCAAACTGTATTTGGATGGGCATCAGGCAGATGCCCTGCCCCAAATTGGTCCTTACAATGGCCTTGAAAAATGCCATGTGGTTTGTGGAAAAACTAAGTTTCTACGTTTTGTCTCCTATGCATAGCTTCATAATGGAACAAAAATAGTCTAATCATGCTATTTTAATGTGAACTGTTTCTGATCTTTGTTAAATGTGTTGGTCTTTTATTATCATGGTTGGCTTTCTTCCAGTGCTAGATGTTTAAGAAATTAAATAGAAGTCATTATAGAAGTCATTTCATGGGGTATAGGAATAGGTGTAATTAATACCCACTAGTCTCTGTAAAATGAATCCCTGGATTTCAATATTTTCCTAATTGCATTCTTTCCATTTCCAGATAATTCCTCCACCCCCTCCCATATCCCCAGACTGTCTGGATGACACTGATGCCCTCGGAAGTATGTTGATCTCTTGGTACATGAGTGGCTATCATACAGGCTATTACATGGTAAGGATTCCCTGGGAATTTCTAGATGTGTGCTCTTTGCACCTGTACAGCTCTGTACCTGGAACCTGCTCCTGGCTGACTAAAATGCGATCCCTTTGTGGAAACTAAACGTTTAAGGTAGTTTTTGTAGTTTTAAGACTACCTTAGAGTTTAAAAATTGACAGTCTTTCATCATCCCTCCTGAGTATGGTTGTAATTTATTCCAAACTTTGGATTTGTTGTTTTGTTTCCCTCCTTTTTTTTTTTTTTTTTTTTTTTTTTTTTGGTTTTTCGAGACAGGGTTTCTCTGTGGCTTTGGAGGCTGTCCTGAAACTCGCTTGGTAGTCCAGGCTGGTCTCGAACTCACAGAGATCCGCCTGCCTCTGCCTCCCGAGTGCTGGGATTAAAGGCGTGCGCCACCAACGCCCGGCTTCCTAAAGTAGTTTTCAATTTCAGTTTTTCTGCTTAGGGATGATAAGTTTTATCTTTCATTGTAAGATTGGATCTTAGTGTGTTGCTCAGGCTGGCCTTGAACTCCTGGGTTCATACACTCTCCTTAGCCTACTAAGGAGCTGGGACTGCATGTGTGCACCATCATTCCTGGTGTATTTGCACTGCTGTGGATGGGTTCTTACATAGACTGGTGTAGCTGGATTTTCTGAGTGTAGGGATCATACCCTAGGCCTTGCACATGCTGGGCAAGCCCTACTACTGAGCTGATCCCAGCCGGTCATTTTTTGAAGTTCAGTGTTTCTGTTGGTAAGCTTAATCTACATTCTTGTGTGTTACCTTCCATTGTATAAATACAAAAGTGATCTGTTTATCCATTCTGCTGTTAGTGACTGTGTTGTCAATTTGGGGCCATAAAAATGATTCTGGGACTGGAGAAATGGGATAGCAGTTAAGAGCACTGGCTACTCTTCTAAGATCCCAGGTTGAATTCCCAGTACCCACATGGCTGCTCCCAGCAGTCTATAACTCAAGTTCCAGGGGATCCTGTGTCCTCTTCTAGCATGCCTGCATGGGGTGTACAAGCATACATGCAAGCAAAATACCCATACACATAAAAAAATAAAAATGTGTTACTATGAATATGCTATTTTTCTTAAAGTACACTTCTTAATTTATTCGTTTTATGTACATTGGTGTTTTGCCTGCATGTATGTCTGTGTGAGGGTGTTGGATCCCCTGGAACTGGAGTTGCAGACAGTTGTGAGCTGCCATGTGGGTGCTGGGAATTGAACCTCAGTCCTCTGGAAGAGCAGCCTGTGCTCTTAACCTCTGAGCCATGTCTCCAGCCCCTATTTTTCTTCTTTTTTTTTTTTTTCTTTCTTTCTTTTTTTTTTGGTTTTTCGAGACAGGGTTTCTCTGTATTGTTTTGGACCCTGCCCTGGAACTTGCTCTGTAGACCAGGCTGGCCTCGAACTCACAGAGATCCGCCTGCCTCTGCCTCTGCCTCCCGAGTGAGTGCTGGGATTAAAGGCGTGTGCCACCAACGCCTGGCCCCTCCTATTTTTCTTTTTAAATATTATTATTTAGTTATAATTACGTGGCTTAGAAGTTTTTTTTTTTTTTTAAAGACAGTGTCTCACTTTGTAACGTGGGCTGATCTTGAACTCACTACCTAAACCAAGCTGACCTCAAGCTCAGAGAGATCCCCCTGCCTCCACCTCCTGAGTTGGGATTAAAGCCTTGCACCACCACCCTCTCTCTCTTTTGGGGGGAGGCAGGAGTAAGTTTTCTCTGTATAGGTTGGCCTCTAGTCTCCTGGCTCTGTCTCTGGAACACTGCCCTGTTGAGTACTTTTTTATTCCGGTATTAAGAAGCAGTTGTTGAGTAGCAATGTTCCTCAGAGTATTTGCCCCAAATTCAGAGCTAGCTAGAGAAATGTTTTCCTTTTAGGAATATTATCTGTATATGTGCATTGACTAAATTTCATTAGATTAATTTGCTTATCTTAAAATATAAATGTATGACCTTCAGAGGTGTGTGTCGGGGGGCATGTGCTTTCCTGGCGTCCTGAGAGCTTTACCTTTGAGAAGAGTGGGCAATTGTGTAAGTCCAGGACAGTAGCCCAAGTCCTCTGCAGCTCCCTCTGACTTAGGTGAGCGATTCTTAGCCCTTGCCCAGTATGTCCCAAGCCACACTCTCCTGCACTGTCCGTGCTGCCTGAACGTGGAGGCCAATGCTCAACTCTCCCATTCTTCCTTGTAGAAATGAAAGTAGAAAAGAATGAGGAAGGGCGTGCAGTATTGGGAGTGGGCTCTGTGGTCTTCATTAGGAGCATAGCCCTTTCGGTACATCTCATGGCTGTTTGGATGTAAATGCAGATGCACATACATGCAGATACATGTAGATGGCATTGGAGTGAGGAAGGGGGGCATTGGGCTAGTCCGACCAGGAAAAACAACAAACGTTTGAGTACTCAGCTCTGGACCTAACGATTTCTCCAGTTTGTTCGTTAGCTTGTGTATGTGGGACTGCATCACACACTGTAGGACCTTGCACACGGGAGGCAAGCACTGTCCCACGGAGCTACCCCTCAGCTTTAGTGAGGGAGTGGGATGCACATGATTGAGGGCAGCAGTGAGTGTCACTGCTGGGAAAGGAGAAAAACTTAACTCCAACTCCGTGACATTTCAGTTTCTGTTTCTGTTGTTTGGGCTTGTTTATGGAGTGTGGGTCCTGCTGTTATAACATTTCCTTTTCTCTCTGTACAGGGCTTCAGACAAAATAAAAAAGAAGGAAAGTGCTCACATACAAATTAAGCAGTAAGTCTGTTATTGTAAAACTATACTAAAGACATTTTGTATTATTTTATTTTCTAAAATTGTGTGTGAGTATACCCGCCAGGTCTGTGTGGGTGCATGGAGGTCAGAAGAAGGTGTTGGATCCCCTGGAGCTTGAGTTGCATGTGGTTGTCATGGTGCTGGGAACTGAACTTGGTCATGTTGAATAGCATGCTGAGCCCCCTCTCCAGCATCCCTGAAGACATGCAAAACTTAGATTAGATATTGAACTCTCCCTACTTCATCAAATTCTCGTGGTGTCTAAGTGTCAGCTCCCAATATTTGGTGGTTGGTTTGGTTGTGTGGGTAAAGCATGCTTTTCTGAGAAAAGATTCTTAGGCTGGCCTTTAACTCCTGTTGTTCTGCCTCAGTCTTCATAGTGCGAGGGTTATGACAGGGAGTATCACACCTAGTTTAGAATCTGGTTTGGGGTGCGAAGATAATTGCAGCCATTGGCCAGTCAGGTTTGACTGACTTGGGGGGGGGGTGGCAGTAGGAATTGAACCTAAGGCCTCACGCTCATAGTAAGCAAACACTCTGCCACTGAGCCATATCACCATTGCTACATGCCTTTTAAAATTAGACTTCTGTGCATGTGGGAGTTTTGCCCATATGTATGTTTATGTACCATGTTCATACCTGTGCCCTTGAGGCTAGAAAAGGGCATTGGATCCCATGAAGCTAGAGTATACATAGGTGGTTATAAGTTGCCTGGGTCTTCTAACAAGAGCTTCAAGTGCTATTAACCCCTGAGCTATCCCTCCAGGAACCCCCCCCCCCACTTTGATAAATGATGTAGTATGCAATACACTGCATTGTCTGTTGTCTTAGTCACTGTTCTGTTGCTGTGAAGAGACACCATGACCAAGGCAGCTCTTATAAAGAAAGCATTTAACTGGGCGCTTGCTTAATCAATGTAGAGGGTTAGTCTGTGATCATTGTGGCATGGCCCTGGAATGGTAGCTGTTTTATATAGAGGTTTTTATTGTAACTTTCTAGAGGCCCTAATAATTTTAGTTCAATTTTAACTCTAGAGACACTTAAAATTATAGTTCCAAGTGACTAATTTCTAGTTTTACTATATTGACAAAATGCTTGTTACACTGTAGCAATCACTACTTTTTAATGAAAAGTTTAACACATGATTTGATAATTTGTAGTATGTTTTAAATTATAAAAGGACAAATCAAATACTAGTATTCCTAATATTGTTTAAGTTACTATTATATTTATATTAGTGTATTTTATTCTTTGCATTCTATATAAAAATAAAATTTAGGGGCTGACAAAATGCTTCAGAGGGCAAAGGTCTGATGACCTGAGTTCAGTTGTCTTTGGCCTCCACGTTCACATGCACACGCACGCACATGCAATTCTTCCCTTTTTTATATTTTTTGACTGTAGACTTTTTTCTTTCAAATTCAGGTTCAGCTCTCTCCCAAGGAGATGGTGTGTTGGTGTGCCATATGAACAGACGTCTCACGGTCACCTTATAGACTCTGGACTGAGTGGGGTCATCGCCAGTGTTTCCAGTGCTGGGGTCCATGCCTAGCTCACCAGTGGGGTGTGTTTAGAGCATGATCACTGTGAGGGCCTGAACGGTGGAAACGTGTGCATGGAAGTCAGTCTGCCAAAACTGGCTGAGCACAGCTGTAGAATTGTAACTTTCTTAGTATGTCGATTTTTATTACTTTATAAATAAAAGAAAGTCCTTTTTTGAAATCTTGACTTTGTGAATATTTTCCAGTGAAGTCTGTGTGAAAACCAAAAACAAAACAAAAGGCCCCCACCACCCTGCGTGTTCTTCACTGTTTTGAAACTCTTGTTTTGTAACCTGGCGTTCCTGTTATTTACAGTCCTCTGGACTCAGTCTCTCCCTCTCCCCCGATGTCCCGTACCTCATCATGAATACTGCTTAACCCAGGTGCCCTTGCCATTCCCCATCATGGCTTTGCGGGTCTGTGTGCACCTTCATTAGATTCTTGAGGTGCGGGTTGATGTCAAGCACTCAGGCTTCTCCCTGGTTCGTTCACCTCTGGAGGAAAAAGTTAGTGAATCAGCTCCATGGAGCTGGAGCCCATAGTAGAGCTGGCTGACATGTACAAGGCCCTGTGTTTCTTCTCCATTACCATGAAAACAATGGGAGTGCTGTTCCTTCCCTAAGTTTTGGCTAGGTTACCTAAACTAACTAAGCTTCCTATGTGCCTAGCATATTAGCCACCAAGTAAATATTACTAAGTTAATGAATAGTCAGGACCTAGTAAGTAGCTTTGCAGAATATGACTTGAGCTTTTAGAAGGGGAATATTACCTTCTATGACTTGGCTATTATGGATTTGGCATTGTCATAATTAATTGGTTAATTTGTAGGTTAAAATTAATTATTAATGTATCTGGTTAACTTCTAGCTAGATATTAGACATTAACATTAATTTTAATTCCCTTTATAACCCAATACATTTATTTGGATTGAGGTTATTCATTCTGGCAAATACTCAACTTCTTGTAAATGTTGGGAATTGCTCTTAGTGAAACACGGTGGTGTATGTTAGCACATAGTATAGTGCCAGGTACTTGAAAAGCTGTGGTAGTATGGTTCGTCATTGAAGACCAGCCTGGCCAATATAACGAGACCACATCTAATGCAGTAACGACAGAAAAGGCCGAACTAAAGAAAGTGAGGCAGTGGAGATGGACCAGTGGAGAAAGCAGCCCCGGGAGAGGATCACTGGTTTGCTGGCCATTAGTTTACCCCCAAACTCCCAAGTTCCAGGTTCTCAGGAAATAATGCAGGCAGTGACAATCACTAACGATGACCTTTGTGCACATGGACATGGACATATGCATACTGGTGTGTACCACACACTTTATCATTTGTCACACACACAATGGAAAACAGCCTGCTGGGGTGGTTGGAAAGATTAATTTTGGCTCAAGTTCTGGAGGGTCACAGGTGATGATTTTGTCTAGTGTGTATAGTATTGCAAGAGGCAAGCATGATTTGTGTGTGTGTGTGTGTGTGTGTGTGTGTGTGTGTTCACACTTGGCCTCACAGGAAGCCACTTGAATTTGATGGGAGATTCATCTTGATGATCTTATCCTAAATACCTTCCAAAGGCCCCAGCTATAAACAAAGTAGATTAAGTTCCTATTCCTGGTAGCTCACAGTGGGGGTTGCATTTTAACACATGAATATTTGAGAAATATTCAAACCATTTCCAAACCATGGCCTGAGAGAGCATCCTAGGAAAAGGCAACAGCCAAGGTCTTTGTATAAGAATGTGTGTGATTCGAGGACAAGGAGGAGGTCGGTGGCCAGAGGGAGAGAAGCAGAGATCAAGGAGATGGGGATGAGCAGGAGCCAAGGGTCAGGCCAGACACGGGCCACTGTGAGGTTGACAGCATTTCCCTGTAGCTGGGAGTCCAGTGGGGAATGGTGAGTGACAGAGGGAGAGCATGATCTGCCCTCCAGGAGGAGCCTCTGACTACATGGGGGAAATACACCATAGATTCCACGGAAGCGGGCTAACCATGTGGAATCCACTGTATTTTGTAAGTGGAATTGCCAGGATTTGTCAGAAGAGTGTATGTGGTATGAGAAGAGCTAAGAATAACTCCAAGGGTTTCCTTAAGCAACTGGAGGGGTCAAGTGGGAATAAAGAGATGAAAGTGTGCAGCAAGAGTATTTCAGTGAGGGGGAAGGTTAAGGGTTAGCTTTGGAGATGTGAAATTTGCAGTGCCCATTAGAGTTATATACATAGAGTCCAGGGCTAGAGCTGGGGATGGAGGAGGCAGTGTGGGCATGGGACTTATAGCCGTCAGCTGGATAGGGTGGTCCAGGGAGTGCACTTACACAGTCAGCAGAACTCAGATCCCCTCTGATAGAAGAGAAGAAGCAGAGGGTTGAGCTGCAGCTCTCTGGGGGAGGAGACCAGCAGTGATGCCCTAAGGGCAGATGAAGCAGGTGTTTCCTAGAGGCCTGTGATGAGCCTATCAGTACCTTGGATGCTGGTAACAGAACAGGTAAGATGAAGGCAGCAACGCAGTCACTGAATGTGGGGGTCGTTGGTGATGCTAAAACAGCCGCTCTTGTGGGGTGGAGGGGGCAAAAGCTTGGGGGAGAGGATGTAAGCACGAAAGAAAGAACACTTAGCGCGTGCAAAGAGCTCTTCCAACGGAAGAGTTTTACTATCTATTTTTTATGAATTTATAGTTACTGTTTTGTTTCAGCTGTGCTCCATGTGTTAATAGTATTTCCTTCTAGGGTCTCTGAGGGAGTTGAAGACTAGATAGGCATAATTTTCATTGTTTACCAGACTCAGAAAAGAAACTCTCTAAAGAGATGTAAAGTGTAAAAGGTTTAGAAACATTAAAAGATGATAATTTGATAATGCAAATTAGAATAGAAATTAAATTAGGTACAAGACTTTGAGCTCACCAAGATAGGATAGATAATGGGGTATTTTCTCTGCAAATGGACTAGACATACTTACTGCCTGTGTATATTGTATTTACTTACTATACTTATTGCATGTAGTTTTTCTTATGTTGTAGCCTTTTTATTAGACAAAAAGGGGATTGTGATATTTATGTTTTAATAAAGGTTGTTTTAATAAAACATAAAACTGACTTCCTAATTTTGTTTTGCTTTTTTAACCTTAAAAATGAAGCAGGCATTCTAAGGTACAGGCAATGTTCAGAAAAGCAGTTTATTTGAAGGAGCCAGGGAGTTGGGGTATGGAGTATGTAACGTTTTTGTTTTATGGGTATGGGTGTTTTGTCTGCATATATGTATGTACCTTATGTTTGCCTAGTATCCAGAGAGGCCAGAAAACGGTGTTGGATTTCCTGGAACTGGAGTTACAGATGGTTGTAAACTGCCATAGGGGTGATGGGAATTGAACCTGGGTCCTCTGCAAGAACCAAGACTGCTTTTAACAACTGAGCCGAGTCTTCTGAAGGGCAGCTGCTGCTCTTAACTGTGAGCCTTCTCTCCAGTGTTAACTTACTTAAATTTTACACTTTTTTCATAGGTATTTTTTGGCAGTGCTGGAGATTGTGCTTAGGGTCTCAGGAATACTACATAGGCATACACTTTTGAACCACACCTCAAGCCTGAATTTTTACCTTAAATATTAAAATAACAGGCAATTTATAAAACAAAATACAAAAGGGAGGAAATAATTAAGACTGCTTGCCTCAGTTCTCAGAGGTAACCAATGCTAATTATTATTATTTTTTAAATTTTTAGCCTTAGGAGTCTGTCCATGATTTATTGTAGGATAACTGAAAAATAAAAGGCATATATATTTAAGGTATATAGGTTTTCTATATACATTGTGTCAGAACATGGTCTAAGAATAGAGTCGAGTAAGAATTCTGAGCGCTTGTGAGCAAATTCCAAGAAAATAAGACAAGAGTGTAAATGGAGTTCTTAATTGGTCTAATTAATAAAAACTGAGTCAGATGTAGAGGAAAATACTGAGACCAGAGAGAAGAAGGAGTAAGCCGCCGCCACACCTTACCTCTTTAGCATCTCAGCAGACAGAAGAACAAGTTCCTGTTTCTCCCTGCTTATATCCTGTTTCTGCCCAGCTACCTCACTTCCTGTGTGTCTGTACAGACCTGCAAACCTCTATGCTTAACTAGTGGCAAGCTCCACTCTCTGACCTTCAGACAGGCTTTATTTGTACAAGCAAGATATCACCACACGAGAGTCTTGTGACCTCTGTTTCAAAACATGGAATTGTTTTTGGAACGTGTTTTCATTCTTCTCCCAGTTGTAGCAGATAGGAGTGAGTTTATTTCAGATTACTCATTATTGCTTGCTGGTGTTATTCAATTAAATGCTTAAACTATCCTTTATGTGCCTCTTTAGAGTGGTTCTTTTTTGTGTGTGTGTGTTTGTTTGTTTTTTTGAGACAGGGTTTCTCTGTACTGTTTTGGAGCCTATCCTGGAACTCGCTCTGTAGACCAGGCTGGCCTTGAACTCACAGACATCTGCCCAGCCTTAGAGTGGTTCTTAACCTTCCTAATGTTGCAGTTCTTTAATACAGTTCCTCATGTTGTGACCCCCAACAGTAAATTATTTTCATTGCTACTTCATAACTGTAGTTTTGCTACTGTTATGAACTGTAATGCAAACATCTGTGTTTTCCAATGGTCTTAGGTGACCGCTGTGAAAGCGTTGTTTGACCCCCAAAGGGTTCTCAAGCCCCCACAGGTTGAGAACGGCTGCTCTACAGCTGTTCTCAAAGACAGAAAATATCTTTGCCACGCGTGTGCAGCTTGTCTTTGTGACTGTATACAGCTTGAACTCAAGAGGACTTACCTCATGTGACCTCTCAACCCTCAGAGTGTAAGTTGTCTGATGCTCTGAATAAAGCCGGCTATTGCGTGAGACTTTAGTTCACCTCATTTACTGGCTCCATTCTCCCAGACCCCACCACCTCTAGAGCAGTAACAATTATGAAATGACAATTATCACAATCAAATTAATATACCCAGAAACCATTACAAGATTAAATCACACAAAACAGAGTGGATTCTCAAAAAAAAAAAAATACAAAGCTATCATAATATATGTAACTCCCAGAAACCTCTGGAATGAAAGCGCTTTTCTCTAAGACCAACGTCTTCCTCACATTGGCAATGGGTGAGAGACGGTGTGGCAAGCGTGGTCACACCAAGGCTGGTGAATGCACAAAAGCCCTGGAAAGAGTCATCTGCATCCTGAGATAAAGTGAGCTCCTGCTTCATCGTGGGTGGGACTGATTCATCCTCAAAGTGGCCATTTCTTTTTCTTCCTTTTTTTTTTTTTTTTGGTTTTTCGAGACAGGATTTCTGTGTAACTTTGGAGCATGACCTGGAACTAGCTCCACAGACCAGGCTGGCCTCGAACTCATGGAGATCCGCCTGCCTCTGCCTCCCGAGCGCTGGGATTAAAGGCGTGCGCCACCTCCTCCCAGCTAAACTGGCAGTATCTTACCTCCATCAAACCGCCTTCCATGTTATGGTTTTTACACAGATCATTGTTTCTTTCCCTGCCATTTCCTGTTGATCCTGGCAATGGAAGGTTCTTGGTATGAACTTGAGTGAGACTCTAGTCTTTAGACAGGAGGACCATACAAGGTTCCAAGGACTGTTAATCATAGCTCAGTGTGGGCTTGAAGGCTTTTAATAGACAGGAGTGTTGCTGGTGGTTCTCTTGTTCCACCTGGTCCAGACCCTCCTCCAATAAGTATTTCCACGTGGTCTTATCTTGTCGGAGAATATACTTGGTGTCTCCTCTGGTAGTCTCCCTCTGCCTACCCATCACAGAATTCCCCTCATGTCCTAGTCCCACTCATTGTGTCTATTGGCCAATAAGAGAAACATATATACAGAAGGATATCCCCCATCAAAGGAGGACCATACAAGGACTCATAGCTCCTAAGTTCAGTGATGGCATGCAGGATTTCAGTCACCAGCCTGACAGCTTAGGGATATTCTTGTATATGTAATAGTGAACGATTTGGTTCTGCACTAAGGTCTTGTTATGTAACCCAGTCTGGCCTCAACCTCTTGATCCTCCTGCCTCAGTCTCTTAAGTACTGGGATTACACCATGCTTGTCTAGAGTGAACTGTATTAGAAAGTTGGGTTTTCAGACCTGACATTAATCACCTGCATCCTTCACTTCTGAATGACAGGAGAGAAGGGCACTACCCACCTCCAGTGAACAATCAGGCGTTCAGACTGAGGGTGCCTTTCCTTCACAGCATTAATCACTTTCATGTCCTCTTCATCCAGGAGCCAACTGAGAATCCCCAGCCTGGTGAGGCTGGGCAGTCGGGACACACACTGACTCAGAGCCTTGACAGTGGTGGCCTGAACTTGGAAGCATTCTGGGAGATGCCTGGAAACATCTAGCTTTTTCAAGTTTGGCAGGTTGTCCAGGACTTGAAAGAAATTTCTGTACCCTTCCTCTGTGACCTTGTGATTCATTGAAAGATCTAAGTTCTCAAGTTTCTGGAAACCTCCACTGGTTGCTCCCTTGGCTGAAAAGAGAGCAAACCAAAATATTTAGGAAGACAAAATGCCAAGGACTTGAATAAAGCCTGCAAGGTTATTGTAACTCACCTCAGCATCCCTCCCCCCAACCCCAAGACCAGGTCCTACTACACAGCCCGGCTAGCCTAGAACTCACTTATGTAGATGAGGCTGGCCTAGAACTCACTTGTATAGATAAGGCTGGCCTATAACTCACTTACATAGATGAGGCTGGCCTAGAACTCATTTATGTAGATGAGGCTGGCCTAGAATTTGCATCTTATATAAGGTCTCCCTTTGCCTTCTAACATCTGGGTTAAAGGCATGCACTACAACACTTGTCTTTAAATATGATCTAGAGATCATTCTTTGAAAACCCTAGAGAGTTGCTTTGTTGATAGGGAACCACCTGGTCAAATTGTAAGGAGGAAACAGAAGCCAGGAAGTCTGGCACAGAATTTGGCTGTCTGGGCAATGTGGACTTCTTTGACTTCTTTCTCTTCTGGTCTCACAGGAGGACATGTCAAAGCAGGGCACAGCTGTGGAACAGGTTACAGCAGAGTGGATCGAGAAACTGTGGCAACAGTGTCTTCCCTTTTTGCAGAGAACGGAAGGTGACAGTCCTAAAAGCACGTCCTTTGACTGTGACTGCACTTCAGTTTGCCCCAGGGGCTTCCTGGTTACTTAGCACTCTGGAGGAAATGCAGGCTGGACAGGGTAAGGTCTCAACCCAAGTCCATGACTGGGAAAGCACTTTGGAGGAAATGCAGACTGGACAGGGTAAGGTCTCAACCCAAGTCCATGACTGGGAATGGAGACCTAGCAGGTTTTGCTCCAGTTTTAATAGTCAAAACTGTTCCCTATTCTATTCTGCTTATTCACGGTTTTAGACAGACTCTTAAACTATGTAGGTCTGACTGGCATGGAACTCACTGGCCTTGCACTTACACAGAGATCCTCTGCCTGCCTCTGCCTCCTGAGTGCTGGGATTACAGGTGTGCGCCACCACACCTGGAACTATCACTGTACAGAGCATTTATAAAGTGTCAGTGCTGAGTAGTCACAAGATAAAATCCAACATCTCTAAGAGAGCCCTGAAGCTCACCCCAGCAGGACCTTTCCTTTCCTCTCCAGTTTCTTCAAGGAATCCTGCTTCTCAAGCCAGACACTTCTGTGCTGACTTTAAGAGTTCTCCAAATGGACCCGTTTCTAGGACACAAGTGATCTCACTATTCAAATGCCCCGGCGCCTCCTCTCCTAGCAGTGCCTCCGCCATCTTGTAGAAGGTCTTAGCAGAATCTTCACTTCCACAGAGCCTCCCCGCCCCAACTCAGAGGGAACAATGAAGGAGAACTTGGCAGAGTAACAATTACCCCTAGTCATGCCGAACTCAGCTGCTGTTTTTGTTGGCTTGGTGGGCATTACTATTTCCAAATGCAGTTACTTTGGGGTTAGGACTACAGAATATGGACTTTGGGAAGACAAAATGAAGTTTATGTTGACTGCAACAAAATAAAGTTTCTAGCTCCAGTTGCTCTGTATGCCAAGCAGGAGGATCAGGAGTTCTGGGCCAGCCTGGGCTACAGAGTGAGCCTCTGTTAGAAAAAAAAAAAGGTAAATCTTAAAGTTGGGGAAAAAGACACCTCACCCTTAAGGACATCATATCATGAAAACACTCAGAACTGACACTAAACAAAAGAAATGATACCAGCCGGAAACCTTAGTGAAAGTAATTCCCAAACAGAATGTGTTAGGACAGTATTGGAAAGATGAAGGCAGAGCCTTCTCCATTCCATTAGAGTGGGAGAAAAGTCACGACTAGCTGACCCAGAGTAGAAGAAACGCTAACAGAGTCCTTCAGACAGAAGGAAAAGGGCCCTGGGGAATGGAAGCTTGGGAGGTGCAGGGCACCAGCAGCCATGAATCAACACATTGTAGCAGGCACAGAGGCAGGGACACCAGCGCTCAGGACACAGAGGCAGGGAGGTCACTGCAAGACTTTTACCAGTCTGGGCTACAACAACAGAAAACAAATGAATAAACAAATCTAGCTTGAGATCACTAAACCCTGAACTGTTTAAAATACTAATTGAAGTATTAAATGCATGTAGAAACTAAAATAAATTACATGCAGAAGGGTAGAAGGTGAATGTAATCTAAGTATTTTCAGTGTGTGTGTGTTTATGTGTGTGTGTATGTGTGTCCGTGTCCAAACATCACGGCAGGTATATGAAGGTCAGAGGACAATTTTGGACAGTCCATTCTGGTCTTTCACGTTGTGGGATCAAACTTAAGTCTTCAGGCTTGGCAGTAAGCCCTTTACCTGCTAAGCCATCTCGACAACCCAAATAAAAGGAACTTAAACATTCCAGGAACGTCTCCCTGACTCATAAGGTGGTAAAAGTATTCATTCATGTATTCATTTATATTATTCAAATTGTAAATTTATTATCCAAGGTAATACTGAAAAACGAACAATGTAGAGCTGGAACGATGCACGTCCACAGCAAGCCTTGGCATCTGGAGCAGAAGGAAGGCTATGGATTAAAAGCCAACCTGAATTACATAGTGAGTTTGAAACCAGCCTGGGTTACAGAATAGACCCTACCTAACCATCCCCTGGGGGGAAAGAGAATGTGAAATTAATAAGCTAATAAGTATAGGAAGCAAATAAGCAGAGAAAAAAACCACATATGTCCTATGGAAGAAATAAACCAACACCAAATAAAAATGCACAGAGGGCTGACTCACCCCTGCCATCTCAGCTGGGGGCGGGCGGGAAGGAGGAAGGTCCCAAGTTCAGGGCCATTGAGGGCTACATAGCAAGGTAAAGACTGGGCTGGACTGATAATCAATAGTCACTGACTACAAAAAAAGGTAAAAGGTCGACTATAGTTACAAGTATATTCGATGTGAATAAACGACTAATGAGTTGGATTTTTATGTTAAATTTTCTGTATGTGATCCTAGCACTCGGGAGGCAGAGGCAGGCGGATCTCTGAGTTCGAGGCCAGGCTGGACCGACAGCCTCCAAAACAATACAGAGAAACCCTGTCTCGTGAAAAAAAAATTCTGTATGTGTGTTGGAGTGTGTGTGTGTGATGCACATGTATGTGTGGGTGTTTGTGGATGCCAGAAGTTAGTCATCTCAGTTGCTTCCTTTTTGAGACCTGGTTCTTTCACTGAACCTGGAACTCAAAGACCCAATTGGATTGGCGGGCTAGTAAGTGCTGTGGAGTCTCCTGTCCACAGCCCTCTAGCGCCCCCTGCTGGGGTCGTGCTGCATATCACACTGAGCACTTCATGCCTGGACTGGAGGCGCCTTACAGACTTCGCCATCTCTGCAACCTCAGGTTTGCATCATTTATTATTTTGGCGATTGTGAGATTTTGATTAATTAGAGACGGGGTCTCCTGTAGTAAATACTGGCCCCTAGGTCACTATGTGGGCAAAGATCATGACCTTGGTAATGGTGGTCCTCTTGAGTGCTGGCATTACAGGTGTGCGCGTTCTGTTTGTATGTTGTGCTAGGGATCAAGCCCAGGGCTTCAGGCATGCTAGACAATCGCTCTACCAACAGAAATCCTTCCTAGGACAACTCATAGAAGCAAACGATGTAACTGTAGAAGAGACTCACTTTAAACACAGCTGCATAGATTTAAAGCAGGGAAAAGACATGGAGAGAGTCACCATATTAATGTACAGGAAGAGAGAGTAAGGCAGGAAGTACCACCACAGGTGAAGAGAGCTGGTCTGCCAGAAAGATCTCACAGCTCTGCATGTGCTGTGCACCTGAAGATGTAAAGGCAAACTAGAGCTGTAAGGAAGACAGACAAGGTGGCAGAGAGCGATAATTATTGCTTTAGGGATGGGACCTCGGCTTCTGGCATTGGTCTGTGTTCCAAAGCCCGTTTCATTGTACTCAGATAACAAAATCCCCAAGACCATGAACTCGAGACTCTTGCTCAGCTCTGTCCTGCAGATACATATTGTAAATATATACTAATAAAAAGAGCATCCTGCCAGGACCGTGAAACACCAAGTGTCATACAGGCTTGCCTGGACTGTGGTGTAGAGTAAAACACTGACCTAGCATGTGTGAGTGAGGACCAGCGCCCAGGAAACGAAAGCACAGCCTGGGTGGCTTCTATAGCTCCCCAGAGAGGCTACTGGCCTGCCCAGCCTGCCCAGGACGAACCCAAATCTGCAGAAGGGCACAGAGGACATGGGGAAGTAGGTTGAACGGTTTGGAAGTGGGATTTTTTTTTATCGACATTCGCAGCAGGCAGCTCCAGTGATGCTGGCTGGCTTCTGCACAAGGGAAAACTCTTTTAAACTCACCGATTTCCATCACGCTGTCGTCATCCAACGTCTCTGTAAAAGCAAAAACTCGGAGACACGGGAGCTGCAGACACTGCTGGACAATCAGTTTGGCCACCTGCTGAATCCCGTCCCCAGTGGGAAGGAGCAGTTCCTCCAGGTTCCTGAGAGAACCCAGAGCCTGTGCTGTGGGAGACACCACAAAGCCACCCTCAGTAGTTGTCCCCTCATGAGCAGCTGATGACCTGGACATTCTGCAGTCTAGAAGGCCCCACCTAGCAGAGGCCCTCCTGGTCACTGTCCTCTCCGAGGCAAAGAGAAGGGGTCAGCTCCCAGCCGCTGCTCCCTACTGCTCTCTGCAGCTGGCTCCTCCATCCTCCCGCAGCCGGCTCCTCACACAAGTCCGCGCGTCTCTCCATTCCCACTTCCGTTCCGCAGTCATGCTGACTGCACGAAGCCTCCACCCCCACCCTGTTTCACCATCCCACTTCCTGCCGTCACCCCGTGATTCCGTGTGAGGACCCTCACTGGCCACTAAAGCGTGTCCACCACTGTGGCAGCTTTCCTTCCCACGTTCTCTCTTCCTGACAGGACACTGTGCATCACATGATCACCAAGTCTACTTCCGAGGCCCCACAGAAACTACTTTGAAAACTTTCTGGCATGGACCAATGTTCTAGATTTATCTTTGACTTTCTCTGTTTCGGTTCTTGAATGAACCATGTTTTCATAGACTCTGATTCTTTTAGGAAAGGGTGTTTAGAAATCAGGTTCAGGATGAGGCCCGAGAGATGGCTTAGTGGTTAAGAGTTCTGGCTGTCCTTCCAGAAGTCCTGAGTTCAATTAGCAGCAGCCATATATGGTGGCTCACAACCATCTGTAATGAGATCTGGTGCCCTCTTCTGGCCTTCAGGTATACATGCAAACATTATAAATATAAATCAGAAAAAAAAAAAAAAAAGAAACCAAGTCCAGGGATTTGAGCTGTTCATACAGTCACTGTTTCTATAGCAGCAAAGCAAGAATTGTAGCCAGCAGCTCTCCTGAAACACTTAGGAAAACTCAGGGACTTTCTTGTTCTTGTCATATCTGCTTAAACTACTGACAGTGGTTATATTAGTATGTATGGGATAAGTTTCATTTAGTTGGGTTAAATGATTTATTTGGGGCTTTAAAAAGACAGTCTTACTCTATAGCTCAGGGTGGCCCGGAACTCTTAATCCCCCTGTCTCATACTCCTAGTACTGGGATGACAGGAATGTGCCACCACTCCGAGGTTCTAAGTGATCTTTCTCAAATGGGTTACTTAAGACATCTACTCACTGAATGAAGTTATCCTAGCTCTGTGTACAGAAAACAGAACTGTTTAACATAGAAAAGAAGTGTGATGGGGAAGTCCTGTGTATATGGAAATAAAGCACTGTTGGCCAATAGGCAGGCAAGATAGGTGGGACTAGGAGTCCAGGAGGATTCTGGGAAATGTAGTGGAGGGAGTCATTGCCATGTGATTCCCAAGAAGGGACGCAAGTCTGTATTCTCGGTAAGATAAGATCTTATAAAAATATATGTTAGCAATTATGGGTCAATAATTAAGTCAGAGCTAGCCAATGAGAAACAATAGCAAATGGTCAACAGCTTCATTAGTAATATAGTCTCCTGTGTGTTCATTTGGGACTGGTGTGTCTCTGGAAGCAGGCTGGCGGGAAGACTACACGTTATAGAAGTGAACAGCTGAGTGCTGGTGTCTATTACTGGTAGAATGCATTCTGGTCTCTCATGTGACTGGTGACTGTCCCAAGAGCTACTTGTGTATAGAAACCTAGATTTCTATATATGCATTTATGTATGTTTATGGGCTAACAAACCAAATCTGCATCAATATTTCCAATTTGTGATTCTTTCTTCCTGACATTTAAAAACAACTTGAATTATATCTGTATGTACTTATTGTATGTGTACATGTTGGTTGACATATGTGTGACATGGTGTGGGTTTAGGGATTTAGAGGCAGAGGACAGCTTGCAGAGGTGGGCTCTCCCTCCTCCCATCATATAGGTCCCAAGGATCCAACTCAGGTTGTCAACCTTGGTGCCAGGCTTCTTACTTCCTGAGCCACCTCCCAAGCCTTTTTCTTGAAAATTCTGTAAGTCTGACAGACATCTGTGAGGAAAATCCTCAATATGTACTCATTTTAAAAAAGGAAAAATAAGCCGGGCGTTGGTGTCGCACGCCTTCGAGGCCAGCCTGGTCTACAAAGTGAGTTCCAGGACAGCCTCCAAAGCCACAGAGAAACCCTGTCTCGAAAAACAAAAAACAAAAAACAAAAAACAAAAAAAAAGAAAAATAATTCACTTCATTAAGGCCTCATTCCAAGCTGGGCACAGGAATCCAAATACTTGCTTCCTTATGTCTGGGGATCACCAGCTCCCTGTTTCATTCTTGTAATTTTCCTTTCCAGCAGTAGAGAGATTTGACTCTTATTCTAGTCAGTATGCATTTTACATAGTTAACCTGAGACATGTGACAGTGACCTGATGTTGTCTCTGCTGCTTTACCCCACCCGACTACCAGCACCTCCAGAACCAAAGCAAACACACAGCAGATGCCTCCACAGAAGGGAGGGGGCTCTTACGCACACTGAAATCTGGGAAGCACTGTGAAGACAGAGCTCTGTACCCCATAGCAGCTTTGTCTCCCCACTTTCTTTTTTTATTTTTATTTTTTGTTTTACGAGACAGGGTTTCTCTGTATTGTTTTGGAGGCTGTCGGTCCAGCCTGGCCTGGAACTCACAGAGATCCGCCTGCCTCTGCCTCCCGAGTGCTGGGATTAAAGGCGTGCGCCACCAACGCCCGGCGTTGTCTCCCCACTTTCTGCTTAGCCTACTAGTGACTGCCAGGTAAGCACAATACTTCTCTAAACTTTTTCCTTTTAACTCAAAACAGTATATAAACTCTCTACACCTAGCATTTTGTTCAATATGGTTATCACAATTTAGTTTTCTTAAAATAAATAGAAGTTTTAATATGTATTCTGAAACCATTGAAACGAAAAGGACAAAGCATATTTGGAGTGGACGCCAGACAATGAGTTACACAATGCTATCGTGGCCAAATTCTCTCCTAAGAAGTCGGTGAGCCTGACAACATTGCATCTAATGAGGTCAAGTGTGGGCACGTGTGGGACCAACAGTGATGGCATCTGGGGATGACACCGAGCATCATCACTAAGGTGTCCTCCTAAGGACCAGCACAGCTGGTACAGCTGACTCTGTATCAGCACTTTCCACCAGCTACAGGTTCAACTTCTAAAAATCCTGTCTGTGCCAAACACATACAGACATTTCCCCCTCATTACTCCCAGAACAACACAGTCACATTGCAGTAGGCATTGTAAACAATTGAGAGATGGTTTAAAGTATATGGAGGATATGTGGGGTCATGGGCAAACACTGCACCATTTTATATCATGGAGAGGAGGATCTTCTAGTGTTTACATCAGCAGAGGTCCTGGACCCAGCTGCCATGGATGCCAAGGGACAGCTGTGCACTGCCTGCTTTGCGGTGGGTTCACTGAAGGACAATGTGGAGAAAGGGGAGGAGAAAGAGCATATTAAGAAACACTGTTTTATAAACTCACCAAACTTTTCTGATGTTTCTTTATCTGGAAATTTTTGGTGTCTGAGATTCAATATCTTCAGTGAAACAAAATTTGGCAAAATAGCCACTAGGAAAGGGAAAATAAATTTAGTTAGTTCAGATACATTTCCTGTGACACAGAGGAATATCATCTCAAAGTGATGTAAGGTGATGTACTATGCAGATTGAATCACTATGACTAGGCAGAGGAAACAACTCTGAAAGGGAAATGTTCACACTGTAGACACAGGTACATGTCATTGCCGTGAAAGACTCACTGAAGTCAGGTGCCGTCACAGTTCCTGTGACATCAGTTGCATTTCACTCTAGAGTATTTAATGACTTTGTGCACAGGGGCATCTGGAGTCAAAGTTACACAGTTCTTACCAAATGGCCTGGTTTCAAAGCATTGTCCAGAAAACTCAATCTCTCTGAGTTTCTTGCAGGAAGCAAGCACAGCCATGAGAGACTCAAAATCCGAAAAGAAATCACATTTCAGGTGGAAAACATGAAGATCGGGAGAGTTCTGAATCAATTTAACTGGAAAAGAGGAAGGATTTTCAGAAATTAGAGAAGGCTGCAAGTTCCCTTCTGACCTGGCCTCTCAATCCGTGCTCTCCAGCCACACCGATTAAACAGGCAGTGATGCAGTGATCCAGTGCTCAGGCCACATTGGGCGTGTGCTCAGCTTCTGCAACTGACTAGGGAGCAGATGAGATGGGGCAAGTTCCTGACCCTCTCTGGGTCAGTTTTCTCTTCTCCATATTTCACCTTCAGCGACAGCGGCCTGATATCTCTGTGTTTGCATACTGCCCTGACACATTGGGAACTCTGTACAGAGTAATATAAAAGACAGGTCAACTCTGAGGCACAACTTAAAAATGTTTTTAATTAAATAACTGTGTGTGTGTGTGTGTGTGTGTGTGTGTGTGTGTGTGACACATAATCCACACGTGGTCAGAAGACAATTTTTGAGAAAATCTGTTCTATTCTTTTGCCATGGGATCCCACAGACCTAAGGTGTTACTGGGCTTGGCAGCAAGCACCCACTGACCCATCTTTCGGGACAGAAATTTTGTTTTTTTGTTTGGTTTTATTTCTGTAGATCATGTTAGCCTGGAAATCACCACATAGATAGGTTGGCTTTGAAGTTGTGATAGTCCTGAGGCAGACTCCCAAGTGCTGTGATTATAAGCATGAGCAACCAAGCCCCACTCTGGTCCCCTCTTTTCCATTTCTTTAGTCCGCAGTGTTCAGGGTTTTCCAAATTAAGGGTCTGGTGGTGCTTGAGTCATTTTGCTAAATTACATGTTCTAGAAAGATGTCTGTACAGCTGTCCATCAACAAGAGGCTGGGATAGGGAGAAATGGAGAGAACATCCAGGTTGCCCCCAGTCAGATTTCTTTCTCCCTCGGCAGGCAGATCGCCGAGTGCCACTAAAACAACAGCGAAAGAAATAGACTCCACAAAATGCCTTGGAGAGGAAGTGTGTTGGGAGTTCAACACTCAGGCCATGGGCTCAAACCTTCTCTTTTGAAGATACATTTTCTTAGCTAGATAAACCTGAGCAATTGCTGACTCAGTTTCCCCAGTTAAAAGTCAGCCTTCTCTCACACAGTGGTATGAAGAGTGAGTTAGTATCTGTGAAGAGTTCAGAACAGTTCCAGTCATGTTAAGGACTCAGGGTTACAAATACATGTCTGCCCCCTTACTGTTCCCACACCTTCCCATGGACACAGTTCACACTGTCAGACACACAGAAGTTTTAACTAATGATCTAATGATTCTAATGATTGTTAGCCAAGTAGCTTTTCCAGCTGAACCATGACCTGAGAGATCCAGGCACCATCCTTACCCAGTTTGGAGAGGTCAGACTCTGTGGAAGTTTGGATGGATAGCTTCTCCATGTGGTGGAGGTTTGGGAGGTCTCCAGGGAAGACAGACAGCACATCGGGTATGCCATCTAGTCTCACAGACAGTTCTCGCAGGTTTGGGAACTTGTCCAAGTTAGCGAAGAGTTGATCTGGAAAGCAGCACACAGTATCCATCACTCAAGAGACCCATGTGGGGGGAGTGTGCTGTCATTCTTAGATATTTTCATAAGGAAACTTCTCAGAGATGCTAGCATCTGTTTAGGAGGCACATCCAAGAAGATCCCACCATCTGCATCATGTCCTGGTCACAGAGCACTCCCATTTAAGACATCTTGTTGGGGGCATAGCATGCAGGTGCTTGCTCCCACAGATCTCCAGAGAAACCAGGAATGTTAAACATACAGAACCGTCTTTCCAACTGGAAAGATGAAAAATCTGTTCTTCCATCCAGGAAGCTGGGAATTGGAAGTGATTAACTGCCTGGGGATCTGTGTCATCTGTTGGGCCAGGCCAACAACCAAGACTGGAGGTGACTAGTAATCTAAATGACCCAAAAGCCAGAGGTCCTACCACAACCAGGGCCAGAGGTGGCTAATAGTCCTAATGACTGCTATGCTATCTGTATGACCAAGATCAGGCCAGACCCTTAGGCCCTTAAGCTAGTACAGGTAGCCTATCTCCAGAACCCATCTTTTTGGAAGAGATAACATGTACCTCAACTTGAGTTTCAAAGTAATTACACTTCCTTGTGCAATGGGTATTGTATTACATCATGAAACTTTTGTCCAGATTGTACTGGGCTTAAAAACCCTGGAACAAACAGCCTGTTATTAGACTCCCTGAAGTCTGATCCAGGTTGTTGGGTTTTCATTCCGGTCTCTTCTCATGGCCAGCTGTATGTCACCTGCAGGGATCCCTCAGCATCTCCCCAACCAACAGTGTGGGAACAATTTTTTCCAAGATTGATTTACTTATCATGTATACAGTGTTCTGCTTGCATATATACCTACACAAGAGAAGAAGGCAACAGATTTCATTATGGATGGTTGTGAGCCACCATGTGGTTGTTGGGAATTGAACTCAGGACCTCTGGAAGAGCAGTCAAGGCTGTTAACCCCTGAGCCATCTCTCCAGCTCGGGAACAAATGGTTTTGCACAAGCAAAAGGATGTTTCCAACTCATAAAATATAACTTGAAGTTAATTAATGACACATATAAGAACTAAAACCAATGCCTGGGGCAGGTAGGAGAGCTAGCTGGCTTTGTAGTCCTAAAAGCAGAAGAGCCTACCCTATTAGCACAGATGTGGGTGAGCCAGCCCTGCTGTAAACATGGGAGAACTGTCCCCATTTCTCATCTGGTGGACTAAGCCTACAGCTTCCCAGCCCCAGCCCCTGGGGTATAACTTGATCTGCCCTAAAATACACTCATTTATGAACTGCTGGAGCATGTGAAGGAACTGACCGGAAGACCCAAAGCTGCAAGATCTCCATGATTCGGGCAACAACAGGATACCTAGGAAGAGTCCTAATGAGGACCCAGCATTGACAGTGTAGTAGAAGCAAGAGGTCTTGAACCAGACTGCTTAGTAACAATCTTGTATTGCTCTCATTGTTAAGAAAAAAAATCTCATTGGTTGATAGCTAGACAGAATTTTCTGAGCGGAGAGATTTTGGAGAAAAGGGCAGAGTTAGAGGAGCTGCCAGTCAGGCACAGAGGGAGCAGGCCCTATACAAAGTGAGGTATCGAGCAATGAAACATGTGGCAGCATGCGACTGATTGAAATGGGTTAAGCTGTAAGACCTAGCTAGCAGCAGGCCTAAGCTGTCAGCCGAGCATTTGCAATTAGTAGCAGGCTCTGAGTGGCTATTTGGGAGCAGCTGCTGAGACACAGAGAAACTCTGCCTACACTCAATCCATGAGTCTCTGCAACGAACAAGTAAAAATAATGGACAAAGGGGTCTATGGTGTGACTCACTGTGTCACACTGCAGCTTCCACGATGAGGTTTCTAATTTCCCCCCTTTCTCTCTTAAATGTTGTATTTGTGTACAGGTTGCAGGGGTAGAGGGAAGAGGCAAAGGGACAGGGAAATGAATGGGATCAAGATACATGTTGTAAAAGACACATAGAATAAATTATACATACATACATACATATATACATACATACTAGAAGGAAACAGGAAATGTAGGGTAAAAGAGGAGCCAAAGAAACACACCCTGGCTCTGAACACAGAATCTAAGAAACACATCCTGAGCCTGAAATCAGAGCCAAAGAAATACACTTTGGCCTTAGAATCAGAGATAGTAAAAGAAATACTCCTTGGACCTCAAACTAGAGCCAAAAAGCTAAAAGGGGCCAGTAAAAGAGGCACAGTTTGGCTCTGAAACCAGAGCCAACTCTGCCCCTTAACCAACTAAACCAACCAATCCTTGAGCAGGAAACTAACCAATCCCTGGGCAGAAAAGTCTTCTCCCTGAAAAAACTCTGCCCCTGAGAAGCCCTGTGTAAGTCCTGTGCCTGCTCAGTTTCTGGCTGCCCTTTTCCATCCCGGCAGAGGAACTCACCCTACTGGACTCCTTCCCAAATAAATCACTTTCTTATATTTTTGGTTGTGAGCCTAGCCTTTGACAGCTTGAGACATCTCTCCAGCCCAATAAATTTCTTTCTTAAAAGAGTTTTGGCTGAAGACCTTCTTTTGCAAGCACAGAGCTTAAGAACCTTTGCTGAGACATTCCTTTGGGGTGCTAAACAGAAAAACTAACAACTTGGAGTAGAACCTTTGCTGAGACTTCCCTTTGGTTGCTGCTGAATAGAAAAAGTTAACAACTTGTCCCTGGAGCCAGAGGAGATTGCTACATTTCTGCAGGGGTTTCCCTTTTAGCAGAGTGATGCAGACATACCATCTTGGGACAGAGCTGAGAGAAAATGGATACCTCTGCTGGGAAGTTCTCTTTAAGGGGTGGGCATAGAAGAGCTCAGTTGTACTGGCCTTCCATGGGAGGGGAGCAGGATTGCTATGTCCTTCGGGGAGACCATTCTCCACTGCATGCCAGCTTCAGGTACAGCCTGACTTCCTGCCAAGTCAGGGTACCTTTCTCTCCAGAGCTGTCCCTTCATAGCTTCAGGTAAGCCTGACTTCTCAAGTCTGTCTCTCCAGGGCTGTAACACTCACAGGTAATCATCACAACATTGAATCCTTAAAAACACTATAAAAATGGTAGCAAGAAAAAAAAAGATAAATTAAACTTCATCAAAATTAACAATTGTTGAGCCGGGCGGTGGTGGCGCACACCTTTAATCCCAGCACTCGGGAGGCAGAGGCAGGCGGATCTCTGTGAGTTCGAGGCCAGGCTGGACCGATAGCCTCCGAAACAATACAGATAAACCCTGTCTCGTAAAAACCAAAAAAAAAAAAAAAACAACAACAACAAAAACAATTGTTCATGCATCAGAGGACATTAAAGAGGTGAAATGGCAATCTACAGAATGGGAGAAAACAGTTTTCAAACCGTGTGTCTGATAAGGGTTTTGAGAGATTTATTTTTGTCATTCTAGGGATGGAAGGAATCCAGAGCCTTGAACTTGGTGGGCAAGTGCTCTCCCAGTGAGATTCTTCCTTTGTAACGTGAGAGTTCAATATTTACAATACACAAAGAACTCCTACAACAGAATAATTTTGTTTTGTTTGAGAAAGGGTCTTGCTCTATTGCCCAGGTTGATCATGAACTCACTGTGTAGAGCTGGCTCAGACTTAGGGCAGCCCTCCTACCTCAGCCCTTAGAGTGTCAATATTAAAAGAATGACCCAGTTACTTTTAGGAAAATCTTTTAAATTAAAAATAATTTGGATAGACATCTATAAAAATAAGGAAACTACGAGCAGTTGAGAATATACTCAGTCTCATTCAGTTATACGAGAATATGTTCGTGATGCAGCAAAGCAAAGTAAAAACGAGGCCAAGGAAGGCGTGGAGAAGCTGGAGACTCTTTGCGGATGGGAGGGAAATGAGGCAGGGAACACAGCTGGGAATGTCCTCAAAGGGGTACACAGGAAATGTGGTGGCCGATGGGTGAGGGAGGAAGGTTACCATGAGATTAAGGCCAGCCTGTGCTACATCGTGAGTACCAAGGATAGCCTAGGCTGTAGAGTGAGACCCTGTCTGAAACCACTAGAATTGCCATATGAGAAGGCAAGTCTACTCCTAGAAATATTCCCAAAACAACTGACAGCAGGGATCAAACAGATGCTTTTAACACAAATGAGCATGATCATGACAGCATTCCTATAATACATAGAAAATGGAAACAACCAGTGCTCATCAATGGATGTAGGGACAAGCAAAACAGAACACTCACGCACACACACACACACACACACACACACACACGATGCATACATACATAAACACACATAATGATACACACACATTGATACACACATACATACATACACACACAATGATATATACATATCCACACAATCACACACACACACACACGCACACACACGCACACACACTCACGCACACACACAATCACACACACACACGATGCATACATACATAAACACACATAATGATACACACACATTGATACACATACATATATACACACACAATGATATATACATATCCACACAATCACACACACATACACACACACACACACACACGATGCATACATACATAAACACACATAATGACACACACATTGATACACACATACATACATACACACACAATGATATATACATATCCACACAATCACACACACACACACACACACACACGATGCATACATACATAAACACACATAATGATACACACACATTGATACACACATACATACATATACACACAATCATATATACATATCCACACAATCACACACACACACGATGCATACATACATAAACACATATAATGACACACACATTGATACACACATACATACATACACACTCAATGATATGTACATATCCACACAATCACACACACACACACACACGATGCATACATACATAAACACACATAATGATACACACACATTGATACACACATACATACATATACACACAATGATATATACATATCCACACAATCACACACACACACACTTGATGCATACATACATAAACACACATAATGATACACACACATTGATACACATACATATATACACACACAATGATATATACATATCCACACAATCACACACACACACGCACACACACACACGATGCATACATACATAAACACACATAATGATACACACACATTGATACACACATACATACATATACACACAATCATATATACATATCCACACAATCACACACACCACGATGCATACATACATAAACACACATAACGACACACACATTGATACACACATACATACATACACACTCAATGATATGTACATATCCACACAATCACACACACACACACACACGATGCATACATACATAAACACACATAATGATACACACACATTGATACACACATACATACATATACACACAATGATATATACATATCCACACAATCACACACACACACACATGATGCATACATACATAAACACACATAATGATACACACACATTGATACACATACATATATACACACACAATGATATATACATATCCACACAATCACACACACACACGCACACACACACACGATGCATACATACATAAACACACATAATGATACACACACATTGATACACACATACATACATACACACACAATGATATATACATATCCACACAATCACACACACACACACACACACGATGCATACATACATAAACACACATAATGATACACACACATTGATACACACATACATACATATACACACAATGATATATACATATCCACACAATCACACACACATACACACACACACACGATGCATACATACATAAACACACATAATGATACACACACATTGATACACACATACATACATACACACACAATGATATATACATATCCACACAATCACACACACACACACATGATGCATACATACATAAACACACATAATGATACACACACATTGATACACATACATACATACACACACAATGATATATACATATCCACACAATCACACACACACACACACACACACGATGCATACATACATAAACACACATAATGATACACACACATTGATACACATACATACATATACACACAATGATATATACACATCCACACAATCACACACACACACACATGATGCATACATACATAAACACACATAATGATACACACACATTGATACACACATACATACATACACACACAATGATATATACATATCCACACAATCACACACACATACACACACACACACACGATGCATACATACATAAACACACATAATGATACACACACATTGATACACATACATACATATACACACAATCATATATACATATCCACACAATCACACACACACACACACACACACGATGCATACATACATAAACACACATAATGATACACACACATTGATACACACATACATACATACACACACAATGATATATACATATCCACACAATCACACACACACACACACACGCACACACACACTCACACACACACACGATGCATACATACATAAACACACATAATGATACACACACATTGATACACACATACATACATATACACACAATCATATATACATATCCACACAATCACACACACACATGATGCATACATACATAAACACACATAATGATACACACACATTGATACACATACATATATACACACACAATGATATATACATATCCACACAATCACACACACACACACACACGCACACGATGCATACATACATAAACACACATAATGATACACACACATTGATACACACATACATACATATACACACAATCATATATACATATCCACACAATCACACACACACATGATGCATACATACATAAACACACATAACGACACACACATTGATACACACATACATACATACACACACAATGATATGTACATATCCACACAATCACACACACACACAATGGAATATTACTGACTACAGAAGTCCTGACCCTCTTATCTTCCTGAGTGCTCACACTGCACACATGTATCACCATACCCAGTTCATGCAGTGCCAGGGATTGAACACAGGACTCTGTGCATTATAGGGAAGAGCCCTACTGTCAAGTAGCATGCCAGCCCTGCTGCATCTCTATTTTACACGAGACAAGCAACTTTTTTTTAAGTCTGTGAGATGACATTTCTTTTCTTTTGTTTTTTTATAGTTCTTTTCTTTTTTTTTTTTTTTTTTTTTTTGGTTTTTTCAAGACAGGGTTTCTCTGTGGCTTTGGAGGCTGTCCTGGAACTCGCTTGGTAGTCCAGGCTGGTCTCGAACTCACAGAGATCCGCCTGCCTCTGCCTCCCGAGTGCTGGGATTAAAGGTGTGTGCCACCAACGCCCGGCGACTATAGTTATTTTCAAAGTCAAAAATATTTTTATTTTCTCTGAGGCTAGATATTGGAGCATGCCTGTATCTGACATTTAGGATATGTCAACAAAATGCAGTTCAAGGTAATGGTCAAGGACATAATGAGTTCAAAGCCAGGCTAGGCTAACAAGAGCCTTTCATACACAAGAGGGGTGTATGGCACAGAAATATGGCTCCACAAGAAAAAGCCCTTGTCCCAAGCCTGCCAACTTCACTTCAGTCCCTAAAATCTGTATGGAAGAAGGAAGAATGGCAATCCTGAGGTTGTCCCTTTGCCTCCACACACATGCTGTAGCATGGTCACATGCTGATGGACATATTTGCAAATACACACACACACCTTGCACCATTAAAAGATGCAATACACAAAGATATAGACAAGCAAAGCATTACTAACAGATAGCTAAAGACAAAAGCTTAGACTAGTAATAAAAAATTTAAAAACCAAGCATTACAGTGCTATCAAAACTCATAAGTACCTATAAACAAATTTAATGAAAGTCAGGTACAGTCTGTACTGAAAACTATCAAATATTTCTTAAAGGAAGACACAACTGGGAGCAGATATTTTACCTGGTTGATTTCTGTCAACTTGAAACAGGCTAGGGTTATCTGAGACCCAATCAGGTTGCATGAAGGCAAGCCTGTAAGGTATTGTCTTGAATAAAGACGTTTAAGGGAGGGCCCAGCTCGGAGCAGACGGTACCCTTGGGCAGGTGGTCCAGAGCTGAATAAGAAGTCAGCTGTATAAGCAACCATGGAAAGGAAACCAGTAAGCAACACACCTCCCTAGTATCTTTTCCAGTTTCTGCCTCCAGGTTCCTGCCTGAGTTCTGGCCACGACATCCTTCAGTGATGGACTATGTGACACGGGAGTGGTAAGGTGAGAAAAACCCTTTCTGCCCCAATATGCTTCTGGTCAGAATATTTAATTACAGTAATAGAAACCTAAGTAAGACTTTATGGTTCCCACTTTTCAATTCGTTTTCTGGAGAAGCTAAACTCCCTCCTCTTTCAGGCAGTCAGGGTGCAGAAGACTCTCCAGCATCATCTTACACACAGGCCATCATTTACCAATAACAAGCGATTGACCCTCCCTTACTAACGACCTTGAGAGATGAAATACTGATGGTAACGTTTTCCTAGCTTTCCTGAGTTACTTCAAAGCCATCCTATGATTCAGGGCCTTTCACTGATGTATCCACTGCCCAGACAGTGAACGTGTTCAGATCTCTTCTATCAGGACACATTTATGACCTTGTCCCTGAGACGCTTCATTCATCTAAAACTAAGAACGAGAAAACAGTGTCAACCAGAATGGCTGTGTGACACTCAGGGATACCTGGCAACTGCTTTGTCCCTGAGACCTCAAGAGACCGCAAGGCAGGCAGGGTGAGAAGCAGCTGCTGTTCTGCTGCACTGAGCCTCAGTCTGCACAGGGAGCACTTGGTGACAGAGGTTTTATGCAGCTCCAGAGCAGGACGGATGCTTTCAAGAAAGTCACTGCTGTGTGTCAAACGGAGTTCGATATCCTGCGATGCCGAGAAGATTTCCATTAGGACCTGGAGCAGTGCTTGGTCTGCTGGACCCATGTTGGCCACTCCAACTTCCAGCCTAGGGATCTTGTACTGCTTGGGTGACAGTTTCCAGTACCCAGCACTGATGTCTGGTGGTGCCTGGCGTAGGATAGCCACATAGTTCTTTATGATATCCTCTTTTTCAGCTAAATTTTTTTCACATTCATTAATAGATTGAAAGGCAGATGCATAATCCTCATCTATTGTTGGTGGCTGGACTTTCTCAAAACCTTTTTCCATGTATGAAAAATCTATTCTCTGTTCGCTGTTATTTCCAGTTATGGAGACCTTAATACTCTTCAATAATAGCAGGCTTTCTGGGTGGTCCCCAAAGTACTGTAAATTCAATACATTCAAAGCCAGTGTTCTTCCTCGAAGGAATTGCAAGATAAATGGAGAACAGGAAGTAACTGCATTGCTTTCATAAGCAAACTTTAGAGCAGCATTCAATAAATTTTCTGAAGCGAATAACAAGAAAGCTTCGGGAAAAATCTGCCACAACCCCCAAACAAACTGCATCCTCTGGGAACTTTCTGGATGGAGTTTCCCATAATCCTCATTTTCAGACAAGTTCTCCAGTGACTCTTTATCACTCACCAACTGAAGCAAGTGAGACACAATTTTTGGCCCTGCCTTTGGTGAAGGGTGGCTGGAGATATACTTCAAAAAATTGTTGTAGACACTCACAGCCTTCAAGGGTGAGTTAACTTGTCTCAAATAATCAAGCCCCAGGCCTTGGTCTTCCTCTCTTTCTGAACCCAGGAGTTCAGTCAGCCTCATGGCAGCAAGAAATTCTTGGAACAGAGGACTCAAGAAGCGATAGACTGGGCTCAGTCTCTGGGCGGTGAATTTGCTCATGAAGCAGGTGGTCAGATCTTCACCTTCATCAACTCCTGCTTCTGTGAGATCCTCACTACTGAACTCAAAGCAAGATGAGAAAAGCCCTGTCAAGGCCAGCTGGCCACATGAGGACACAGTGGCCTTGAGACGCTCAGCTGCAGCCTCGTGCTTTAAGGAAAGATATTTCATATAGGACTTGAAAACGGCCACATCATGAAAGGACTGGTCGGAAGGATTTTGAATCCAGTCTGTACAGACTGCTGCCATAAAGAGGGGGGTTTTGTGAATTCCCTGTAAATCTTCATTCTTTCCAAAGTAGTTTATAAACTTATGCACACGGATTATATTGTGTGAGAATATCTTCCGCAATACAGAGATAGTGTTGTAGAAGGGAAACTCTCTGATCTCTAGAATCGTGTCTAGGTATGGGCGGATGGCCCTGGCCCTGTTGGTATGGACAGCGATCAACAAGCAGGTCTGTGACAAGTAGTTCTTTGTAATCAGGGTTTCTATGGCTTGGGGCAGTGACTCCATCCCACTGTAGTCGTCCACCAGGAAGAGCACCTGGTGCTTCAACTGCCGGATGCTGTCACTCAGACACACCTCACTAACTCTCGCTCCTGTCTCGAGGAGCTGGGCACCGATGATGCTGGCCAGGCCCTGGTCTGGTCTGCTGGAACGCAGGGAGATGTAGAAGACCAGCTGGAACCTGTTCAGCAGGGGGCAGCATCCCGATGCCCAGAGAAAGGCTGTTTTCTTCAGGAAGGTGGTCTTCCCACTGCCAGTTTCCCCCTCCACACACAGGACAGAGTTGAGGTTGGTGAAGATCTCAGGAAGCGTCAAGGCCTCTTGCACTGGCCTGCTGATGTGCTTTGAGACGATGGACAGATCACAGCCAAGCAAGTGGTCAGTGCCTAGGCTGGAACACACCTCTGGCAAATTTATGTGGCGGAAAGCGGCTTTGGTGTAGGCTGCTCTCAGCTGCTCACTCAGACTCTTGGCCTCTTGAAGCCACTGGGCCTCACGCTGATCCAGCTCTGTGGAGAGGACGCAGGCACCTCTGGGTGGACGTTCACATCCCTGGGCTTCACTTGGAGCAACATCTGTGGGGAAAAGAAGGAAATGCAGCAAACCTCTCAATGCCAAGGCTGTGGTGGGTTTGTTACACTGTTCTGCCTGTCTGCTATGGATGAATCAGGACTTTCCTCTAATGCCCATGTTCTCCCTTGAGATCCTCTCAGACCTTTTCATAGAATCAGAACGTGGGATCATGTGTCCACGTCTCAGATTTGACCTGGGATTCAGACATAATGTGTGCTTCTTAAGAGTACTCTGGCACCCCAATTTCCCATTAAGATCTCAGGAGACGAGCTTGCTGCATGATGCTTTTAATACTGGCGGGTTTGGATCTGACACCAGGACTGCTGTCATTAGTCCCGCATTCATTCTCAAGATGTCACAGGAATGCTGACACTCTGTTGTCCACAGAACCCTCCATGCCAGTGCTCTCCTCTCTAGGAGCTCCTTGGACAACTATAAACACTCTTTCCTTTCAAGGAGCTACGTAAAAATACACATAATCCCATGCTGCTTTCAAGTTCTCACCAGCCACGGTGGAGAGAAATGCCCCTGCATCCTCACGACTGCTTCCCCCTGTGCTGTCCTGTGAAAGAGAAACCCGTCATTAAATCAAAACTCTGCCTTAAATCCAACATCTTCTAAACACAGTCTACACTCAGTGCTGGTTGAAGGAGGGAGTGCTCTAGATAGAAAAGAAAGAATTTCACACATCTGCAAGAGTGTGTTCCTAGATGGTATAATGTGGCACATAATCCTCTCTACAGGTGATGATGCTATGTGGGTAATAGCATCAAAATAATAAGGTGTAGAACAAGAATGGTCCTGCTAAAATCATTAAGTATTCCCTCCATCCTTGGTTATTGGTAACTATGTGTTTCATATCATAGGCCAGGATGCAGAGCGGCTATCACACACACACACTTTTGTGGGTTTTTGTTTCCTTTTTAGGGAGTCTTGTGTAGCATAGGCTGGTCTGGAATTCCCTATATAGTCAAGGGTAGCAATGAACTCCTCATCCCCCTTTCTCAAACTTCCAAAATCTGGCACTATAGACATGGTATCTCCACACACCCCAGGCCTCATTGTTACTTTTTTCTCTTCTGGAACCCCAACCACTTATCATTTGAAAATTTCCAAATATAAGAGCTTTATCACATGAAACTGAAATTGCTTTGCTGTTTTGTTTTCCTTCACTTTTTCCCTTTATTTTATTGGTGTTTGTTTTTTGTTTATTTGTTTGTTTTGTTTTTTGAGGTAATATCTTATACTATCATCTAGGCTAATGCTGAATGCCTGATAATTCTCCCACTCAGCTACCAGAGTGCTGTTTTCCAGACATGAGCCACCATAGCCAGCTTTGTTCTCTTCTCTGTGGGATGAGAAGCAGCAGACACATTACTACAATGTGAGGTCGTTTGTGTCAGCAAGAACTGATAGTACGGCTGTGTTAGAGAGAAACATGTAGGGGTCAGTCCATCATCTGACTTCATGATTTTGCTGGGCATTTGCCTTTGCCAAAGAAACATGCCTGGCACAGAATGGGAAAAATATTCACTAACCCCACATCTGACAGAGGGCTGATCTCCAAAATTTACAAAGAACTCAAGAAGCAAGTTTCCCAAACACCAAAGGAAAATAGAGAATTTTCAGTAGAGGAGTCTAAAATGGCTGAGAGGCACTTGAGAAAGTGCTCAACATCCTTAGCCATCCGGGAAATGCAAATCAAAACAACTCTGAGATACCATCTCACTCCTGTCAGAATGGCTAAAATCAAAAACACCAACAACAATTTATGCTGGAGAGGATGTGGTGAAAGGGGAACACTCCTCCATTGCTGGTGGGAGTGCCAACTGGTTCAGCCACTTTGGAAATCAGTATGGAGATTCCTCAGAAAAATCAGAATAAACCTACCACAAGACCCAGCAACTCCACTCTTAGGCATATATCCAAAAGATGCCCATTCATACAACAAGGATGTCTGTTCCACTATTTTCATAGCAGCATTATTTGTAATAGCCAGAACTTGGAAGCAACCTAGATGTCCCTCAACTGAAGAATGGATGCAGAAAATGTGGTACATTTACACATTGGAGTACTATTCAGCAGAAAAAAAATGGAATCCTGAAATTTGCAGGCAAATGGATGGCACTAGAAGAAACCATTCTGAGTGAGGTAACCCAGTCGCAAAAAGATAAACATGGCATGTACTCTCTCATATATGGATTTTAGACATAGACCTGGGGAGTGCCAGTCTGCAATCCCATGGCCAGAGAGTCTGGAAAACAGAACCTTCATTCAGTGGCTGATGGAAGTAGAGGCAGACTCCCACGGCTAAGCACTGAGCTGAACTCAAGAAATCCAGTGACAGAGATGAAGGACTGATGACCAAAGGGATTAAGACTGGGCTGGTTTAACGCCCAGAAACAGCTGACCTAACAAGGGTTATCTCTTGAATCCCAGACTGATGCCTGGGAATCCAGCATGGGACTGATCAAGACCCCCTGAATATGGGTGTCAGTGAGGAGGCCTAGGTAATCTATTGAACCTTGGGTAGTAGATCAGTATTTATCCTGGGTATACAAATGGACTTTGGACTCCCATCCAACAATGAGAGATGCACTCTCACCCTGAACTCTTGGGGGAGGGTCTAGGCCCTGCCCTGGATAAAGTGACAGACTATGGACACCTCCATGGAGGGCCTCACCCTCCCTGGGGTAATGAGGGGATAATGGGGGGGTTGGTGGGAGGGCATGGGAGGAGAGTAGGGAAACAGAGAGGGACCTGGAATTGACATGTGAAGCAACCTTGTTTCTAATTTAAATTTAAATCTAAAAATTATATATATATATATATATATATATATATATATAGAGAGAGAGAGAGAGAGAGAGAGAGAAAGAAACATGCCTGGAGGCTGGGGTTACAGCTCAGACATAAATTCCTTGCCTAGCATGCATACGATCTTGGGTTTGATCTCTTGAATTGCAAAAATCAAATGGAAATGGCATCACACTCCTGTGATCCCAGCATTTGGAAGGTTGAGTCAGAAGGATCACAAATTCCTAGCTAGTCTGAATTTGAATGTAGCAAGTTCAAAGTCAGCCTAGGCTACATAATGAGAACATGTCCCAAACATAATTCTAATCAAACAAATAGAACTTGCCTTGTGCAACCCAAAAGAAGCAAGAAGACACGCCTACTAGCCTCCAAAGATCACAGACAGGTTCAGTTAGTCTGGATGTTTATCAGGAGTAAGGCTAAAAGAATTTCAACAGCAGACTTCTCATAGGAGGAGGATTTGACTGTGCATTTCATGAAGCTAACAAGTGTGTCTCCCCTGTCCACTGTCAAGTTCCTATCTATACCTATATCTTGCTAGTGCTTACTAGATGCTTGTATAGATAACTGTAGAATTTATTTTATTGTGATACATTTACAATTGACAATTGCTGAACAAAACAGTGTTCAATCACAGGACCATTCACTGCCTAGCAGAGAAGGGGCGGTGTCCATTACCATGGCTTCTGGAAGTGCACAGTGGCTCTGAAGGGCTGGAGTCACTTCTGCAGAGGACTTCAGGGTTTGAAGAAAGACACAGCTAAGCAGAGGAGATAAAAAAGTCACAAAATGGTTCCATGCAATTAAGCACTTGCATTGTTTTTAAAGAAACATGAAGATTTGGGACCAAGAATGAAGTAGAAAGCTAACAATTTCAGTGATCCTGTCAGTGTTGTGTCATGTATGACACTCGGACTGTGACTTTCAATAACATAATGAAAGTGGTTTGTAAAATAATGGTACAGATATCCAGGGAATGCGTTGGAATGAGTACATAGTTGGTACCTGTCCATGAAACCAGATAAAATGAGCTTAAAGAGTAAAAAACAGTAACCTAGCACTGTGGGGGGAGGGGCAAGAGGATCACTGGGGCTGGCTGGATGTTAGCTTAGCTCAGGTTCAGTGAGAGACCCTGTCTCCTCAAGGGAACAAGACGGGGACCTAAAGGAGGAGATACTCACTGGGGGTGGAGGGGGTGGAGGGGGATAGCACACACCTTTAATCCCTGCACTCTGGAGGCAGAGACAATCAGGAATCTGAGTTCAAGGCCAGCCTGGTCTACAGAGTGAGCTTCAGAACAGCCAGGGCTACACAGAGTACCCTATCTCAAAAAAAAAATGGGGCCATGTCTCCCTTTGACCTGCATGTAGTACACACAATACAATGCACATACTTTCACATACTCACAAATACATTAACAGGATAAACAAAGTAAAAATAAACTGTTTAAAGAGTAAATGCTGAGAAAACTCTATAGATTCATAAAAAGGACAACAAATGGCAGAAAATTATCTAAACAAAATGTACCGAAATTTAGAATTTAGTTAACAATAATTTATAACCCTATCATCTATTGTCAGTCAACCTATCAAAAACAAACTCAAAAATCTAACTGTACCAACGACATGAAATTCATGAAAAGTAAAAAAAAATAGATACCACATAATTAAATTCATTTACCATCCAGGGCTTGGAGATAGCACAATGTTTGCTGGAGAAACATGAGGACAGATGTCCAACAGCTATGTAAGAAGCTAGGCAGTATGGAGAATGCTTTAATCTTAGTGTTGGCGATGGAGGGACAGAAAGACCTCAGGGTTGCTAGCCAGTTTCTAATTGGCTAGGTTCAGATTTAGTGAAAGACCCTTTCTCACCAAATAAGTTGGACAGAATTAGATGCCTAGTACTCATTGCTGAATACACAGTAGACTTTGCTTTCAGGATAGAGGGACATCAAATTGGAATGGATTTAAAGTCTCCTCCCTTCATAGTACCAGAAGAGGCGTGGCAGTCTGATGGGGGAGAAAGGCCACCCATGGTATTACCTGTTGGCAAACTCTGCACGCTGCAATATCATCATGCCAGGGAAGATGTGTCCTGTGGTGAATGTGGCATGAAGGTTTGGGGCGGGGGAGTAACTAAAGCATTTGGTTTCCTTCACAGGAGAGTGCATGCTGGCACTCTCAACCTGGCCAAGCCGGGTGTGGTGGTGCACCTGTGATCTCTGCACTTGGGAGGCAGAGAAAGGCAGATCTCTGTGAGTTAGAGGCCAGACTGATCTACATAGCAAAAAGATAAGACAAAGAAAACAGAAACCTAAACCAAACCTGGTCAAAAGTACATGGTCCAGGAAGTCATTAAAATCTTAGTAGGGAAGGGATGAGATGGGGTCTACCAATGGTGTGTTGCTAAACGGACACGCTATCAAATTGCCTTCTAAATGTTTATGTTCACATACTTATATTGGTACAGCCTTAAGCTTTGGCTAGATAGGCTTTTCTATGTGGTGCAGAGATTAATTGATTATTGAGTGTTCATCTCTAAATGAGACATCTATACCAACCGCACACTAAGGCTCTGGGAGCATCTGGGGAAGAGGGATGGAGTGTTGTGAAGCTGTGGTTACCTGCACAAGATCTAACAAGATCGAGACCCTCCCTTCACAGCTGTCCCCCAGCAGCTCCAGGTATCACCTGACTTCCCAGCCAGTAAGGATACTTTCCCTTCAGAGCTTCAACACTCGAAAAAAACAAAACTCTGTTGAAAGAGTCTAGAACAAGTTCTAAATACAATGAGATTGCCTCCCAATTTACCAACCCAGGGATTAAGATGAGGGTCCCTGAGTTCCCAACCATTTACTGCATTCTACATTGAAATAGAAAGGAAAAAGAGTGGGGGCTGGAAAAACCGGTCCAATGGAAGAACACTTACCGTTCCTGCAGAGGACCCAGGTTTGTTTCACAACACCCATATCAGATAGCTCACAACCTTCTGTAACTCTACTTCTAGGGGATCCAATGCCCTTTTCTGACTTCTGTGGATACCAGGCATAACACCCATGCACATAAAATCAAATATTTAAAAAAGGAAAAGAAAAAGGAAAAAGTGACCACTGCTGTGAAGCATCTTCTAACTTCAAAATAGATGGAAATATTCCAGTCATTCATTCATTTATTTAAGTTGAGGATAGGTCTTGCTACATAGCCCTGGGCTGGTCCCAAACATGTGATTTTGGAAGGAAGGGGACTAAGGGGAGCTAGAGGGAGATAAGAGAGAGTAATGGGAGTGATACATATATGTACGTGTGCATGTTTGTGTGCATGCGTGTGTGAGTGTGTGTGTGTGTAAAGGTTGTAATGTATATATATATGAAAATGTCATTACTACATATAATTAATGTACACTAATAGCAAAATATTTTAAAGAATTTGGGATATTGTTACTATTCTATATCAAGACCAAATAATTATTTAAAACTTTACATTTAAGACCGGTGGATGGTGGTGCACACCTTTAGTCCCAGAGCTTGGGAGGCAGAGGCATGCAGATCTCTGTGCATTTGAGGATAACCTGGTCTACAGAGTGAGTTCCAGGACAGCCCAGGCTACGCAGATAAATCCTGTCTTAAAAAAAAAAACAAACCCCAAAACAAAACAACAACAAAAACTTTACATTAAAAAAATAATTAGACTTAAATTTTTCTTATGCCAAAATAATTTGGTGCAGTTTTAGGTATGCATTGGATGCACACAGAGCATCACGGTGGAGCCGAACAAAGACCACAGGAACCGGAACGATTGCAGATTTTCATGCTTTCACAGGGAAGTCACAGCAAGAGACTTTATTTCTCAGTTACAAGTGCTGGATCTTTAAAACAGATTGGTTTTAGATAATCCATGTTGAAGCATTTAATGGGAAACAAAGCTATATTTTCCTTCCTTCAGCTTTCTGAGAGTTAGGATTCCATGTGTCCACCACTGTACCCAGAAATACTCACTCTTCCATTGTATTTATTGATATTTATCTCTGAAAACTCCAATTACTAAGTAAAAACAAGAAATTCATTTTGCAATTCAACATTTCTGGAGTTTTTTATGTGTAGAAAAGAAATAAAAATAAACTTGAAGATTGACAGAAAGGGAGGTTAGAGTAGTTCAATAGTAAAGGGATTGCCTGCCTTGCCCAAATCATTGGTTCTATCCCCAACACTGGAAAAAGAAAGCCACTTAGAAAATCTTAGACAACAGCGATACAAAACCCTAAAGGATTCTAGAGGGAGGCGGACAGGGAAACTAGCCTGGAAACAAAAGACTCAGAAAGGCATGGAATTGTCAGACGTGGTGGTTACCTCTGTAGTGCCAGCACTTGAGAGGCTGAGGCAGGAGGATCACGGGTTCAAGTCCCACCGCGTTAGATAGCATTTCTATGCTAGTCTGGGCTGTAGAGAAAGATCTTGCCTTTAAATATGTGTATATGGACACAACCAAAATCAAGATCTAACTATGATTAGAAAAAATCTAGACAGGGAGGGCATCATGGGAGGAATGAGATGAAGACAGAAGGATGTATCATTCACAACGGGAAGCAAAGGAGTGTCCAGAAACTATCCACAGGTAAAACATGGGCAGTGAGGGAATAACTGTTGGAGTACATTCAAAGTCAAGAGAATTCATCTTGCTTACTTGGGAAAAAACTTGGAGTGATCTTTTAATGGGTCGTCACCTTCCTCCCAATTGCACATACATCCTCCACAGGAAAAACACTGGACAGTGTCACTTTTGCCTAGAATTAGAGAATATGGTCAGTTCAACAGCACATACAGCTGTCAACTCACAAGCAGATAGGAACTCCAGACTTCACCAGTGAAATCCTGCTTGCATCTGCAATTGGATTGTGTGGCAAAGTCATGACCAGGGGGCAACAGCTCACACAGGACTCTTGGTCCTTCAGTGGGGTGGTTGACAATAGTCATTAAATGTTCCTGTGCCTTGATGAACACTCTTCTTCCAAACCCATCATTCTGAAAGATTTGCCATCAGAATGTGGAGCAGAGCTCTGTGAGAGCAGAGATTTCTGTCTGATTTGGACACCAGTGGCTTTCACAGACACAGGTAATCAACAAGCATTTGCGTAATGAATAAGTCAGAAAGAATATACTTGTAGCTGAGGGTGAGATAGAAGAACAAATTTAGGCGCCTTGATGCGAGCTAGATTATGAAGAATCACTTGTCTCTTCTCACACCATTGCCAGCTGTGTTTCACTAGAAATAGGAGCATGTCTTCCGGGAGACTTGAGGAAGGCTGGTAAGAGACGACGAAGGGTTAAGACCACATGGAGAGATCATTTGTGCCAGTGGAATATGTCTGCTAGCTGGAGCAACTGCAGCACCCACAAGTTCAGAGGCTGAGCTATGGGAAACTGCAGGTCGTGGACTCCCAAAGAGATCAATGACAAATGGAGTATAGAGAGAGATTCAAGACCAGGGTTAGAGTATGTGGTACACAAAACGCTGACTGAGGGGCTAGAGAGATGCTCAGCATTAAAGACATTTGTTGTTCTTACAAAGGAGTCGGGTTTGGTTCCAGCAGCCTCACGATGACTCACAGCTACTTATAACTCCAGTTCCAGAGGATCCAGCACCCTGTCTGGCCTCTTTAATCCCAGCACTGGGGAGGCAGAGGCAGTCGGAGGCCAGCCTGGCCTACAGAGGGAGTGACAGGACAGGCTCCAAAAGCTACGGAGAAACCCTGTCTCGAAAAACAAACAACAAGACAGAAAATACAAAGCTGACTCACCTGTGTAGAACAGGCCCGCTCTGACCATAGCTTTAGCGGCATCAGGTGCTTTATGGGGCCAGTCCTTAAAAGTGTCCAGCCTTAGTTCTTCATTAGCGAAGACGCTGTCATTGCAGTAAGCTTGGGAAAACAGATGTAGGTGAGATCAGCAGGCTTTAATCACCAAGTTCAAGTTAGCTGTGTGTAGGTGGAATGATCTGATGGTCGGTGCTTGTGTGTAGGTGGAATGATCTGATGGTCGGTGCTTGTGTGTAGGTGGAATGATCTGATGGTCCGTGCTTGTGTAAAAATAATGGAGGGTGGTTAGAAAAGCATGAAGGAATCAAAGACACAAGAGCATCCGTGTTAGAGCTGATGGAGCACAGTGGCAAAGGCTGGGGTACTCCATTCGTTCTATCGTGTGTGTGTGTGTGTGTGTGTGTGTGTGTGTGTGAGAGAGAGAGAGAGAGAGAGAGAGAGAGAGAGAGAGAGAGAGAGACCAATGTGTTAAGATTTAACTTAAGACTATCTCTTGATGCTAGGTGATCAGGACCCAACAAAAGCGAGAGGGGATTCTGTTCCTAGACTCAGTGTCAAGATTTGAGAAAGGCAGTTTCCCCTGTGGCTCCCATAAAAAGTCCTGCACAAGCTCGCTCTTTGAGATGATCACGCTGGGGGTCTCCACTAGACTTCCCCCTTTCCTTTGTGTTTGTCATTTCAGCAAATTCCTGGAAAATGGTGGGTCCGGCCAGGGGATGGTGTGTGTGTGTGTGTGTCTGTGTCTGTGTCTGTGTGTTTGTGTGTGTGTGTTTGCACACATGCATGTGTTTCATGTATGTTATGTATGTATGTATGTATGTATGTTGTATGTTGTATGTATGCGTACCACTTGTGACTGGGGCCCCAGGTGACCCAAAGAGGATGTCAGATCCCCTGGAGATAGAGTTATAGACTCTATCATGTAGATGCTTTGAACTGAACCCAAGTCCTCTGCAAGAGCAGCAAATTCTCTCTCTCTCTCTCTCCAGCAAATACTCTTAACATCTGAGACATCCCTTCATCTCCATGTTTATTGGGGGAGTACAGTGTTTAGCTATGTGGCCTAAGCTAAATTATCCTTTAACTTGTGCTATTTCTGCCTCAGCTTTCATAGTGCTCGGATTACAGACATGGACCTTCATACTAGGCACTAACCTTGGAATCTTTTCCCTCTTAGTCTTGTTTTTTGAACCAGGATTTCATGTGCCTGTACTGGCCTCTGATCTGATACCATAGTCAAGCCTGGCCTTAAACTCCTCCTTCCACTTTCCAAGAGCAGGGATTACAGGACCGAGTAACCATACTCAGTTGACATTATGGAATTATGAGAGCTTTCATCCTGTCCACTGCCCCTTGTCTTCATGTCCCTGAATTCCTACTTGCTAGAGAGATGCTCCACAACTGACCTAAATCCCTAACACTAAGGTTTTGTTTTCCTTTCTGTGCTGGGATGGAACCCCAGGGCCTTACCCATGGCAGGGAAGTGAGTAATATCCACAGACCTGTCACCTCATTTTAACAGGAATATTCCTTAGTGTCTTAACAGTGTACCGAAAACCATTGAAGAATGCTTTGGGAGACCGGGGATAGAACTTGGTTGGTAGAACGCTCTTAGCATTCAGGAAGCCCCATCCCTAGCAAATGGGAAACTTTCTATCAGCACTCAGTGGGAGAACCAAAAGTTCAAGGTTCATTCGCATTCGAGGTCAGCCTGGGATAGGAAACACCCTAAAAATGCTTCCAAAACATTTTATCCAAGATTTTAGTTGTTTTAAGGGAAGCATCAGCAATGGCACCAACCCTATTATAGTTAGCTACGATCACCTACACTAAAAACTAAGCCACTTTGATGGCTCTGTGGTATAGATGTTTGCTGCTATACCTGGCAACCTTTTGGTAGCCCTCGTGGTAGGAGAGAACCAACTCCTGTAAGTTGTCCTTTGACTTTTATACCTTCACACATGGGACCCATGCATGCACACATATAGTAATAGTAAATAACTGAGTGTACATTTAAAACATTTTTCCTTGTAAAGATTCACTTATTTTTATTTTGATGTAGGTGCTTTGTCTACATGTTTGACCGTAGCTCATGTGTGCAGTGCCCATGGAGGTCAGAGGAGGGCACTCGATCCTCTGCAACTGGACTTGCAGAGTTTCCAGCTGCCTTGTGGGTTCTGGGAACCTAAGCCAAGTCCTCTGCAAGAGCAGCCAGTGAGCTTGAGCACTGAGCATCTCCCCTGCACGTCATTCCATAACAGGGAAATCACTTATGAAAGCAATTTTTAAAGCAAGTTGACAAGGGCTGGAGAGAAGACTCAGTGGTTAAGAGCACTGACTGCTCTTCCTGAGGCCCCGGATCAATTCTCAGCACCCACATCAGGTAGTTCACAAATGCCTGAAACTCCACCTCCAGGGGATCTGACACACTCATTTGGTTTCCAAAATCCCCTATATACATGTGGCACACACACCGGGAGACGTGGGTGGAGGGGTGACATAAAAAGGGAAGGAAGGAAGGAGCAGGGCCTTTGGGACATGCCTGAGGTTTTACCTGACACCATAGGTAATTCTCTTCTGACCCAGGAATTCACAAAATGTTCTCCCTGAGGGAAAGAAACCCAGGTTACTGATTCATTTATAAAATATACTCCTATGTGTGACCTGCAGCTGAAGGACTTTCCCCACCCCAAAGTGAGGTCTCATTAGAGCAGCAGAATTGATGGCAAAGCACTCCTCCACGTTGATTTCTATTGATTTGGGGGATTTTTACGCAGTACAAAACATGCGCGAATGTTTACATGTGGCAAATGGGAAATTTCTCAGGGTCGTTCTTACCAGACATGCACAGCTCAGCAAGAGAACTGCAGTCACACACACACACGAGCCTTTGACTCGTGGGGAACTGAGACCTGACCTCAGAAGGACCTTCCCAACTGAGCAACTCTCCCTCTGAGTCATCAGACATTAATTACATCCTCCTGTGGCTTCTTCTGGACTGTTCCCGACTGCTTGCCATAGGAAGTCCTTACTAGTTTGAGGCCTACAAAACCAGGGGCAGGAGCCAGCTCTGAGCGCCCTGCTGTCACCAGGTACCAGGGCAGAAGACTGAGTCCGGGTGTCCAGACGGGGGCAGCAGAAGGAAGCCAGGGTAGAGGACTCAGAGGGAAGGGGGCAGCAGAAGCCACTGAAGGCAGCCTGGAAACCATGTCTACATGCTTCCAGCTTTGCAGACGACAACATTTTTGTGTTTCTGTTCTACAGATGAGACGCAGGAGAATGAATTCATGAGAAAATAAAAATCCTCACCCTGAGGATTCAGATATTACTAGGTAATGAAGGTACTTTATTGGGTAGAGTTTGCTGTTGTGAATTACCGTTACATGGACAAATCCCTCGTAGCTTTTAATATAGTGGGCAATTTCCTCCGAGGATTTCTTACTTTGAAGAAATTCACACCTATAATTAAAAACATAATTAAATTTTATCCCAACACTGTGACAAAGATTATTTATATTACATAAGTATTTGCTAAAAACCCATCAAATTGTTGAATTTGATGCTTTAATAAAACTGCCAAACATTTCTTGAAACCTCACTCATGAAGATTAACACCATACTGTTTGAAATTTTTAAATTACCAATGCTACAGAGAGAAACCCTGTCTTGAAAAACCAAAATATTATATTAATGATAAAATATTATCATGTAAGATCAAACCTTGTGCCTGCTAGTTTTTTTTTTTTATCAACTTGACACATGCTAGAGTCACCTGGGAAGAGAGAGCCACAGCTGAGAAAATGCCTCCAGCAGATTCGCCTGTAAACGAGTCTGTGGGGCATTTTTTGATTACGGATTGATGTGGGAGGGCCCAGTCCACTGTGGGTAGTGCCACCGCTGGGCAAGTGGTCCTGGGTGGCATAAGAAAGGTAGCTGGGCACAAGCCTGGGAGCAAGGCAGTAATCAGCTCTCTTTCATGGCTTCTGTGTGCTCCTGCTGATGTCCTTGCCCTGACTTCCCTCAGTGGTGGACTGTAAGCTAAACACATAAGCTGAATAAACCCTTTCTTCTCAGTTGATTTGGTCATGGTGCAGCAGAAAGCAAACTATGACAAACCTTCACATTATTGTAATTATTATTTCAAGACAGGGTCTCCCTGTGTTGCGGCGGTGATGGCATACTCTTGACCTCAAGTAATCCCATAACTTCAGCCTCTAGAGACTCCTGGACTACAGGCACACACTACTGTAGCCTGCTGTTCTTTTCTTGAAACAAATACACAGTAGAATCAAAGATAGTGATTCACAGTAAGTAGAGTGTGGAGTACACACACACACACATACACACACACGAAATCAAGGTTAAAAAAAATCCCAAGAGGTGGAGGGAGAAGGCCTTTGAATACTGGCTAGGTTTTTTAATGCTCATCTTTTTAGGAAACATAATGATACAGTGGTTCTTTTTCTTATTTTAAATCATGATTTAAAGTTGTATGCTAAGAGAATAGCAGATGGAACAGTGTGTTAGCTGGAATTTGCTTCGACATAACCCGATTGTTACTATTCTGAGCTGATGGCAGGAAACAGCCAGGTGAAATATGAGTTTGGCAGGTGTGGAGAGGTGCTCACCATAATTTCTCTACTCTGTGAGATTTCCATAATGAAAGTTTGAAAACTAATTAAAGGAATGAATGTGTGTACAGCAGAAGCAAAAACAATAGACACACAAAAACCTCACTAAACACATTATTAAAAATAATTAAAATACAATGCCTCCCCTAAGCAGAGTGAAAGACTACTGCAATAGCGAAACTTGGAGTCTTTGAAATGAAATACATTTGTTTTCCTTCCTGTGGCACCGCTTGAGCTCCTGATCCTACTGCCCCGGCCCTCCTCGCACTGGTTTACAGGTGTGTGCCGCCGCACCCAGTAAGCATTTTCATTTTGTGCACATTTCCAAGCAGGTGAAACCACTTGTAATCTTTTTAACACCACTGTCTTTTTCACTTACACACAATCTCCATCCTGTGCAGATGCCTCATTTGATAGTTAAGGTAAAACATGAAACTGCTACTTGACAAGATATTTTGTTGAATTGGAGATTTAAAAAAAAAAACATTTAACAGGGTGGTGGTGGTGGTGCTCATCTTTAAATCCCAGCATTTGAGAGCCAGAGAGAGGCAGGCAGATCTCTGTGAGTTCGAGGCCAGACTGGTCTACAGAATGAGTTTCAGGACAGTCAGGACTACACAGAGAAATCCTGTCTTGGGAAAAGAAAAACAAAACAGCATTCAATAATGGTTGAGAGGGGCTGGAGAGCCTGCACTTAATGCACTTGCAGAACCCACCACCCACTTGCACAGCCACCTGCAGCTGCAGCTCTAAGGAAACCTGACGCGTCTGGCCTCCATGGGCACCTGCCCTGACTTGCATGCACACACCCCAATAACGAAGAACAAAACTGAAAAGTTGGACCTGGGGAGACGCCTCAGTACGTAAAATACCTCAGCATAACTGTGAGGGCCTGAGTTTGAGTCTGTGTTGCCCACGTAAAAGCTGGGCCCAGCCCACCATGTTTCTGACCCTAACCCTGAAGCAATGGAGACAGATGGATCCCAGAAGGCCTATCTCAAAGTATAAGATGGAGAATGATGGGGGGACCTATGTCAACATGTGAATTCCACAAGCATACACAGGTGCACATACATACACTACATACTAACAGAGCACACACATAAACACACTATACATTCACTAACACACTACATAGAAAATATAAAAATGAAAAAATAATAAAGCAAAAATCACATGAAATAGAAAAAGATCTTCAATGCCTAAAGAATTCTGGAGCGATCCCATACTGGATGAGAGAATATCAGAACTCATGTGGTACTTCAACATTCTTGGTCTTTTGTCTCTAGTTTCATCTTGCTAAAAACCAAACAAACTAAAAGCAAAAATTTTGTCTCCAGTTTCATCTTGCTAAAAAACCAAACAAACCAAAAGCAAAAATAAAAACTGAAAATAAGAATAAAGCATCTGTCTGCTTACTTGGGGAACCACTTGGCATGCTCCTTCCAAGGGTCATCTCCGTCTTCCCAGTTTCCCAGGCATCCACCACAGGAGAAACACTGCACGGTGTCCCTTTTACCTGCAGATGCAGTGAAGCGTTCTGACTGGCCAGCAATGGCACCAGGTGTGACCTTGGAGATGATCATACTGTACCAGAACAAGACAGACTCTCCAGCATGCCTGTTCTTCCATGACCTCCCTGGCTGAATCCCTGTCCACAGTCCTACTGCCCCAAATGACCCCCTTGTGAGCGCTGGACCCAGCCATGGCCTTCCTGCATACACACTGCCCTAACTGAGGCCTCCTGAGCTCTGGACCTCCATGCCCAGCCATGGCCTTATGCATACAGTCCTCACAAACTGGCTTCTCACAGGCAGATTCTGCTCTTTAGCTTTTGGGAACAAAGTGATGGAGAAGCAGGCAAATACTAGGACTCGCTGGAGTGACGCCGTTAGAAGGACAAGAGTTAGCTTTGACATGGTTTTTCTGTGGAAACAGAGGCACATTTCTCTAATTCTTTGAATTTCAGTGAAGTCACCTATGAAATGTGGGGGAAGGGCCAACTGGTCGAATTAGAATTAGTGCTCAATCCATGCCTAACTAAGTGGCTACTCAACACACCACCACAGATGTGGCTGTAATTGTCACTCACATCTGTCCTAACCCCTGTGTACGACTAAGGCATTCCAAAGTACAGTGTTCTCGAAGGCAATTTGCCTTGTGAATGGGGGTTAAACAAGGAAAAACATAATTCTTCCAAAGCTATAGAAACTAAATGAATCAAGGAATACATGAATAGTGATGTTCATGAAACTAGAGGAAAGTGGCATCGAGCAATCTCATGATCCATTTTCAGCACCTTAGGAACTGAACTAGTTCAGTTCCGGAGCCGTTATGACTTTGTTTTCCAGCGCTGGCACTAAGGCAATGGCTAAGTTAGCCTCTAGCAATGAGCTACACCTCAACCTCCAGTTAATAACTTCTAAGGTCCACATTTTACAGAAAAGAAGCTTTTATTTTACACATATTTGGCAAGCTAATAGTGCAACACTAAAAGTAAATTAAAGTGGAAGTAAAATTATTAAAGTCGATATTTAATGAATCAGATTTCCTATAATACAATTAACAAATAAGGAGTGATTAGCAAGAGGTGGAGGGGGGGAAGAAGGAGGAGGAGGAGGAGGAGGGAAAGGAGGATGAGGAGGAGAAGGAGAAGGAGGAAAAGGAGAAGGAGAAGAAGAAGAGGAGGAGAGGAGGCTGGAAAGGTGGCTCAGTGGGTGAGAGGGCCCTTGCAGGGGTCTGGAGTTTGGTTCCCAGCACCCACTTTAGACCGTTCACAACCTCTTGAATCCATGTTCCGGAGGGTCTGATCTTCTTTTCTGGACTCTGCACATCTGGGCTCACAAGTGCAAATACCTCCACCCCCATACACAAATACATATTAAAAAAATGGAAACTAAACTTTACATTTCACACAAGCTCCTCCCAAGATGTAACCCGGTTACCTGTGAAGACAAAGCCAGCTGCTGAGAGCACACGTGGCGGTGTCCCATGGGCGTAAAACGGCCAGCTCTCAAAGGACTCCAGTCTGGCCTCCTCCTCTTGGTACCTTGCTTTGCCACCTCTCAGCTTCTCTGGACTCTTCACCCTTACCTCATACTTGCCAATGTTACCAACGTCTTTGCCCAACAGGAACTCACATTCAGGACGCAATCTCTTGTGGCTTTCTATGGGAAGATTCCTGAGTCTGGTGCAGAAGAGGATTAGGCTACAGCAGAAGCACTGAACCCCAAGTTTCACCCCGGTAAAGTAAAACCCAGCGGCTGCCAGCTCCTGTGGCGTCCATGATCTGAATGTGTCACAGGTCAGAAAGGTCTGTAATCGTTTGGCTTCACTGCGCATCTGTGAGTTAAAACCTTTCTTCATCTTCATTCGTTCTTTGTGGTCTTCTTCTTGTTGTCTCTTTAAGACCTGAAGGGCATCCACACCGAGAAGAGCAGAGAACTCAGAGGCCAAATCATCATCAAATTCGGAAATCATCTCCTCAAAGTCTTCTCCCTGGGTGGCCATTTTCTATCAGAGAAAGGAAAGCAGATGATTGGTGACTGTAATAGGTTTATTATAAAGGATTGTGTCTCAGGGCCAGAGAGATAACTCAGTGGGTAAAGGGACTGGCCACTATCCCGATGACTTCAGTTTGTTCCCCAGGATTCACATGGTAGGTAGGAGACAGGCAACTCTTATAAGTTAATCTTTGACTTCCACTTGTGAAAGACAGAAAGAAGTTGCTTGAGAAACTATGAAATATCAAGATTCAGCCACATTACCAACAATTATTTGCTAAGCACCTATCTGTGTGTCAAGCAATGGGCTAGGCCTTGAGGACTGAAAATGAACCAGGAAGGGACCTTACTCCATTCATGAAGACTTGCAAACATCCTTTAGCTTGATCACTTTCTGAGACAGAACCTCGCATGTAGCCCATTCTAGCCTAGAACTTAAGGTTGAAGCAGGCAACCATGGTAGAGAACTTAGTCTGGACCTGTTTGGTTTTGTAATAATGTCCTTGCATCCTAATTTCTTCATCTGTGAATACCCTTCACACAGACCTCCTTCAGAATCCAGCCTTCACTGGGCTACTTGTGGCCTCCTCTCTGAACACTCCCACAGGTTTCCTACCCCTAGTAACAATCATGTTTAGACTGTCCTGTCTAATCAAATACTCCTGATGTATTGGCATAGGATGATTGGGAAGGCTGATGTGGCCTGAACTGGCTTGGGGTACATATACAGAAGGCTAAATTGTGTCTTTAAGCCAATGTTTGAGGAGAATCCCCTGTTCCCCATTTTGGGCATGTGTATGATTAAAATCACATGCATTCTGGGAAGTGACATGCACAGTGACCAAGGACTTGCATAATTCAAGCTTGTCAGCCAAAAGAGTACCCTTGCCTGGTGACCAACCTTTCCCTCTCCTGAGCCCTATAAATGAAATCTCCAAATAATAATTAGACCCACAATAATTAGACCTACTCTTGCTCATGTGGTTCACTGCCTATCTTGAAGGGGGTCTGTGCCATTGTTTTGTTCCAGACAAGGTTATCTTGTTCTTGTGTCAATCTGTATAAGTCTTTGTTTCCAATTCTTTGTGCAGAAAGGCATGAACTTGGAACAATTCAACCCAGGATCTCAACCTCTTGGATGCTGGGATGTTTACCTCAAAGTGTGAATTACGGAGACAATATAGAAAATGGGCATATGCTTACCATGCATGTTAAAGAAAAAAAATATATAATTGCATAGCCTGATAGTGGCAATTGGATAATATCATTCAGTTAAAAATTATTCTTAATGATTTTATTTTTAAGTATGTGTAAACCTATGTATGTTCCAGAAAAGGTCTTGGGTCCCCAGGAACTTCAGTTACAGGCAGTTGTGAGTGGCCGGGCCTGGAGGCGATGAGCCAAAGTTGGTAGCTCTGCAAGGGTAGTACCCACTCAACGGCAAAGCCCTCTCTCTGGTCCCTTGAAACCATTGTTTCCGTTGTGTTCTCTTCCTAGGGTGAGTGCTCTGCATGTGAACTCCAGGTGCCCCTGTTTCAGGCACTGGTCTGAGGGTGCAGGTCACGCTGAGGTTCTCGGGTTCTTGTACCTCTTTACAATGGGTTTTATAGAGCTCGTGGGTATTACAGGGTGGAGACCTGGACTATGACCTGGCTCAGAGGGAGGAAGTGATTCTGCCAGACACTTTATATGACACCGTGCCCCACGCCTCCCTCTGTGTTCTTACAGAGCTAGCTCCTCATGAGCAAGCTCCCTCGGTTGAATGAAGCCCAGGTGGGGAGGGGCTTCCCGTCTTCCTCCTTTCATGTTAGTCTCTGGAAGCTCTGCCTTCAACAGCTCCCTAGTCTTCCCACTCAGGAATGTAATTATTGTAATGGCTGCTGCAGAATATAGGAATCACTTTTCTTTTGGCCAGCATGACCATGCCTACTGTCTCTGCAGTTGCTTCCAGGAAGTCCTGCCCACTGTTGTGAAATGGGAACTAAAAGTGCAACTCTTTCTCTGCTCTCTACGTCTTTTTCACATGAGCATGCTTTTCTTGACACTCTGGAGTCTGCCACCTCCTCTCCTGTGGCCCTGACGCCCCACTCTCCATGCAGATGTGCAGACCTGCATTGCTAAGCCTGCCTGTAGCCTTGGTTTCATTCTCCATAGCATGGTCTTCTCACCCTCTTTCCTCTTGGCAGCTGCCAGCATTTACAGCTTGCCTGCCCTGGTGGTTGTGACTCAGACTCTAATAAAATGGTGCTGAGTCCTTTAAAATATTTTGTTATAAGACTGAGAGCCCTAGTAAGGAATTTGTATTTCCCTGGCAACACTTCACGTATGAGTGCATGTGTGCACGAGTGTGTGTGAGTGTATGTGAAGTGTTAGTGTGTGCGTGCGTGCGTGCGTGGGTGCATGGGTGCATGGGTGCATGTGTGTGTGTGTGTGTGTGTGTGTGTGTGTGTGTGGTGTAGGTGCAGGTGCACAATACCACAGAGCTCGTGGGGGAGATCAGAGGACTTTTAGAGGTCGGTTCTCTTCCTTCCAGCATCCCTCCTTGTGGGATACGAGGGTCAGGTCATCAGGCTCTGAAGACAGGCACTTTTGCCTACTGAGCCACCTTGCCCCATCTCTTCTATCTTGAAAGTTTGGTCATACTTCTTAATGGCTTAATTACTGCCCTAATGGAGAAGATTCAAGCTATTGCTGTTATTTTCTTTATAAACAAAGATGAACCCAATTGTTCTATATTCTTGATATAAATCACTCCCACATTTTTCCCATTTTCTCAGAATAAATTCCTGAAATAAGCATTGCTGAGTCAGCTGTATGCTAGGAGAGGGATCTCGAAAGATCTTTAGTAGAACACATGATATGAAGAAGGGAAAATGGGGGGGGACTTTAACTGGCAAGAGAGAGGAGAATGCAGAGGGAATCAGAGGGATGAGGGATAAATAACACAAAGGATTTTTGAAAAAGCCATAAGAAATATTATTTTATGTTTTAAAAATGCATATATATGTACAGCCACTTTGGAAATCAGTAAGGTGGTTTCTCAGGAAAGTGGGAATCAGTCTACTACAAGATCCAGCAATTCCACTCTTAGGCATATACCCAAAAGATGCCCATTCACACAACAAGGACATCTGTTCAACTATGTTCATAGCAGCATTATTTGTAATAGCCAGAACCTGGAAGCAACCTAGATGCCCCTCAACTGAAGAATGGATGCAGAAAATGTGGTACATTTACACAATGGAGTACTACTCAGTGGAAAAAAAAACAATGGAATCTTGAAATTCGTGGGCAAATGAATGGAACTAGAAGAAACCATCCTGAGTGAGGTAACCCAGTCACAAAAAGACAAATATGATATGTACTCACTCATATATGAATTTTAGACATAGAGCAAAGGATTACCAGCCTATAATCCACACTGCCAGAGAAGCTAGGGAACAAGGATGACCCTAAGAGGAGACATACATGGTCCCCCAGAGAAGGGGAAAGGGACAAGATCTCCTGAGCTAATTGGGAGCATGAGGGGGTAGGGAGAGGAGAGGGAGTTAGGAGAAAGAGAAGGGGAGAAGAGGAGGGGAGAGGAGGACATGAGGGAGTAGGAAGATTGGGTCAGGGGAAGAATAGAGGAGAGCAAGAAAAGAGATACTATAATAGAGGAAGCCATTATAGGTTTAAAGAGAAATCTGGCACTAGGGAAATGTTCAGAGATCTACAAGGTTGACCCCAACTAACAATCAATAGTCAAGAGGCTACCTTAAATTACCTTTCCTGATAATGAGATTGATGACTACCTTAAATGCCATCCTAGAGCCTTCATCCAGTAGCTGATGGAAGCAGAAGCAGACACCCACAGCTAAACACTGGGCTGAACTCTGGAATCCAGTTGTAGAGAGGGAGGAGTAATGAGCAAAGGGGTCAAGACCAGGCTGGAGAAATGTACAAAACAGCCAACCTGAACAAGGGAGAGCTCATGAACCCCAAACTGTCATAATACATGAGGTGATGATGTTCCCAAGAATCATAAACAATTCTACCAAAACCCTAGCGCCAGACATGGATAATCTCCCATGAGTTGTCAGTCAGGCCATTTCACAAGACTCCCAAAATGATAGAGATTATTGCCTTTGCCCTTGGTTTCTTCCAAGACCTTGAAGGCAAGACCCTCTTGCTCTAGACATTACACACTAGGCAAGTAGCCCTTGCAGGGATCAAGCTTAAACAGATCTGGAGGCCTCGCTCTGAGCATTAGCTCTCATGGTATCCAAAGGTACTAAGCTCGATACCAAGGGAGGAAAGCAGTCAGCATCCCTACCCCACAGAAAAGCCTCTGACCCTCTGCGATGACTGACTCAGTGAGGTGTATTTACTTACATGACAGGGAAGCTGCACCTGTGAAGTATCAACAGTATGGTCGCTTAAACAAGCCCTGCGGAATGATACCAGTTTGACATAACAGTGTGGATGGGGGAAATGTCACAAGACCCCACCTCTATGAAGAGAAATGTAATTGATGAGGAGTTGCCGAGAGACGGAGAATTACTCTTCATCAGGGACAAGCCCCTCATATGTTGTCCAATCCCAAGTGCACAGCCGTAACCACATATGAGCAACACTAAATGGATTCAGTAAGGGGAGTGTGTGTGTGTGTGTGTGTGTGTGTGTGTGTGTGTGTGTATGTGTGTTAGCTAAAGAAGGGGCCATGAAGTTGAGAGTGACTTTGGTAGGATGAGAGAGGGAGGGTAGAAATGATATAAATATAGTACTCAGACATGAAGTAGCCAAAAAGTTTTAAATAAGACAAAGTTAGAAATACCTTTGTATAAGCTTATGACTAGTCCACACACTTCAGTACTCCCAAAATAATATCAAATGAACATTTGGGTAGAATTAGACATGGCCCGTTCACAAGATGCTTTATTGACTCCATTCATTTTGGAATTAGCCTTCCTACCTACATTTTGGCAAAAACTGCAGCAAACTGGAGGGTTTCATTTGTTTTTGTTTTGTTTGGGGACAGGGTTTTGCTCTATGGCCCCTGTTAGCCTCCAAATAGACATCCTGCCTCAACCTTGAGTGTTTGGATTACAAGCATGTACCACCATTCCTGGCCACGTTGAATCTTTTAGGACCAGACTCTCTCATTGGACAACATCTAGGAGGAGTTTCCCTAGTGTAGTAGATACCACATTTGACTATTCTTAATAAGATAAAAAGAACCCTTTGTCACTGGCATGTAAAATGTCTTACTGGAGCTCTGTCAATCCCCAGGCTACTCAACTCCGAGAAGTTATGTTTACTGTTGTCTCTTGATACCACCCCACCCCTTACAGTCTCCTTAGTGATCATGACACAAAGGCCATGCTCTTATCCATAGACACAATTGCCCAACTCTAGTATCCTGTTCCTTCCCATTACAGAAGGCACTGGCCAGGACTTGGCAGCCTAAGGCTATTTAGTTGCTTTCATTTTCATGAGCACAACCTGTAGTTACTGGTTCTGTTGCTGGAATATATAATACCCTGACAAAAGCAGCTCACAGAAAATAAGATTTATTCTGGCTTACAGTTTGAAGATCTAAATTCCACCGTGGTACAGGAGACTTGGTGTCAGGGGCAGGAAGCCAGCTGGTCACAGCACAACAGCCAGCAGCAAGGAAGCAGAGAAAATGAACAGGAAGCCACACCGTGCTATAAAGTCTCAAAGCCTGTTCCAGTGACCCACTTCCTCTACCAGGCTCTGCCTCTTAAAGGCTCCAACTCTCACCAATAGCACTGTAGCTGGAAAGCAAATGCTCAGACACATGAGCTGCTTGTAGGAGACTTTTCACATTCAGACCACAGCATAAGCCAGATGCAGTGTCGTCCACTAACATCTGTGTGAGTACCCCCACAGCTCCTTGTCATCCTCTTTCTTTGTAACTTTCTAAAATTATTTTATTTATCATATGTCTGCACACATGAACTGGTTTTGATCAGTCCTAGGAAGCCACTAGTATCCAATGGGATCTTCACCTTAATGACTTTATTCTAATCACCTTTGATCCTACATCAAATGAAGTTCCCACTCCTTACGTCTTACAACAGGTATTCCATTTCAACACAGGACCCTTGACAGAACACTTAAACCATAGTGGGATGGCTAATCTTGGTTGTCAACTTGAGTATATCTGGGGTCAAATAAAATGCAGCTCTCGATGCTCATGTGAAGGATTTTCTTGATTAGGCTATTTGAAGCAGGAGGAGGGCTCATTCCAAAGGTGGGGAGTACTCTCTGGTGGCTGCCCAAGGTAATGGAAGAAGAAACTGTTCTTTTTTTGGTCCCTCACTATCACTGGCAAGTTCATGTATCCTGTTGCCACTGTGTCATTCCTTCACTGGTCTTAGAACCAACTTCTTCATGATGAAAATGTAGATGAAGACCAGCAGCTCTCCAGAAATCCTCCAGGACTCCAGTGCCAGACGGGGGCTGCTGGGATGTCCAGCCTTGTAGACTGAATGCCTACCAGATTTTCAATCTCACAATGTAAGACAGCATTTTTGGACTACCCAGATTACATCCTGTAAGCCTATTGCATAAATCCCATGCATTTGGATATATGGATATACACCCATATCTATGTATCTACCTATAGCTCTACCTATATTTATATATTCTGTTCGTTCTATTCCTTCAGAGAACCCTGCCTAAAACAGAAGGGAGAACTCAGGAAAAGGAAATAACAGCCACAATGACCCCTGAGCAAGACTATGTTTGGAAATTTTTTGATGCAGGTCATAAACAATCAATCTCAAACTGACTAGGCAACCTTCTCCTTGCCAGATAGCTTTTATACTGCCAGAAGATTATGTGTAGGCTGCAGGGAGTTTCAGGGAGGACATCGATGATCTTACCCAGGACTGGTCCCTGCATGTTACTTCACTACTCCTCAAGGCTAACAACCTCATTCTGTATTTAAAGCCACTCTATTGGAGTGAATTTCTTGCCTGGTTTGTAATTCTCATTCAAAGTTAGTGGCTGGGGAGGTCATAGACCATAGGGTAGACACCACTATATTGTTCTTTTGCTGACTGGCCCTGTTTTTGAAGTCTTCTAAATATTTATGCTTATACCTGTTGACCTGGGCTGCTCTTTTTGTAGCCAGTAGCAGTCGATGTTGAGATGCATAACTTATCAGATTTGAGCTGAGAGTAAGTTTATTAGTCAGAACTAATAGAATACATACACATATGTGTACATATACACATGGATAGGCCACTGTTGAGTTTACAGCATTAACTCTGAGTGAGGAGACACTGGAGAATAGTGAGACAGGGGTAGATTATGATCTGACTTTAGAAAGAGCCTTCTGAATACATGGTGGAAATACATCACAGGTTCCTAGGAGGGAATCAGGCTAACTATGTATGATATGCTGGACTGTTCAAGTGGAACCACCAGGATTTGCCAGTAGGTAACATATAAAATAGAAAAGAGATAAACTAATGGCAACTCCAAGGGTTTCATTAAGCAACTAGAAGCATAAAGTGGAGTACCCAGAGGTAACCATGTGCATAAAGAGCCTGTTTTGGTCACTGTTCTACTGCTGTGAAGAGGCACCGTGACCAAGGCACCCCTTATAGAAGGAAGCATTCAACAGGGGCTTGTTTACAGCTTTAGAGGGGGTTCATCCATGATCATCATGATGGGAAGCAGACAGGCATGACACTGGGGCAGTAGCTGAGAGCTTCACATTTTGAGCTGAAGGCAATAGGCAGACAGAGACTCTGAGACTGGCATGGACTTTTGAAACCTCAAGACCCACCTCAGTGACACACCTATTCCAAAAAGGCCACACCCACTCCAATAAGACTACGTCTTCAAATCCTTCCCAGACAGTTCCACTAACATTGGATCAAACATTCAAACGTATGAGCCTATAGAAGCCATTCTTATTCAAATCTCCAGAGCCTTTTAAAAAATGATGTCTTTTATTAATTTTAAATTACATGTATGGGTGTGTGTGTCCATAAGTGGGTATGTGCATGTGAGTGCAGGTGTTTATGGAGGCCAGAGATGGATGGAGGATGGTAAACCACTCAAACCTGTGTCCTGAGGACCCATCACGGAACCTCTTCAAGGGAAGTTCATGCTCCTTCACTTCTACATTAGTTCCTATCCTGGTGCTGTGATAAAACGCCACGATCAAGGCAACTTATAGAATTAGGGTTTACTTGAGCATAAGCTACAGAAGGACGAGAGTCCACCATGGAGTCAGGACATGGCAGAAAGCAGAAGGCACGGCTGGAGGAGGATGCTAGAGGGTTCATATCTTGAACCACACACTTGAAGCAGAGAGAGCAAATCAGGAATAGGGGTAGGCCTTCAGTTCTCAAAGTCCTTCCTCAGTGGCGCACTTCCTCCAGCAAGGCCATACCTCCCAAGCCCCCACAAACAGCACTGACAACTGGGGAGAAGTCTTTAATGCATGAGCTTATGGGAGATATTCTTATTCAAGCCACCAGAACCAATGAGCCTCCTTACCAGCCCCCAGGAATGCTTTTGTGGAGGAGGAAATAACAAGCAAGATTTTGGGGATGTGAAAATGGAACTGCCCATTAGGATGAGTTGGATATGAATGGGGCTCAGGGGCTGTCTTAGTTACAGTTGGAAATGGGGAGGAGAAGACTGAGGACTTAAAGCCATCAGCTGGATGGGGTGTTCCAGGGAGTGCACTTACCAGTCAGCAGAACTCAGATCCCCCACTGGATAGAAGAGAAACAGCTGCAGCTCCCTGAGGAGGAGACCAGCAGTGATGCCCTAAGGGCAGATGAAGCAGGTGTTTCCTAGAGGCCTGTGATGAGCCTATCAGTAGTCAGATGCTGGTAACAGAACAAGACGAAAGCGTCAACGCAGTCACTGAATGTACCAGTGTGGGGGTCGCTGGTGATGCTAAAACAGCCGTTCTTGTGGGGTGGAGGGGGCAAAAGCTTGGGGGAGAGGATGTAAGCACGAAAGGAAGAACACTTAGCAGTGTGTGTGAAGAACTCTTTCAATAAAATCTGTTTTCTGGTTTTCTCATATGTTTTCCTTTAGTAATGTTAACATAGATGCTGGAGAACCGTATGTTTTCCTTTAGTAATGTTAACATAGATGCTGGAGAACCGTATGTTTTCCTTTAGTAATGTTAACATAGATGCTGGAGTTGTAAATCACTGCTGCCATTGCATTGCTTGTGCATCTTATTTATTTCTTGGCTGGTTTTTATTTTACTGGCTTCTTAAAAATCCTTTAATTCTCAACTTTTATCGATTCTCTGTGGATATAGCATCATGTATCCTGATCACCCCCCAAAAAATTTTTTAAAGAAAAACCAAAAACCAAACAAAAAAAAGAGGGGAGAAGAATCTCATCATGGAAGCTGTAGTGTGGAACTCTATTGAGTTAAATTTGAAACCCCAAAGCCCACCCCTAGTAACACACTTCCTCTAACAAGGCCACACCTCCTAGTAGTGTCACACCCTAATGACCAAACATTCAACCATATGACCCTATGGGGGCCATTCCTATTCAAACCACCACATGAAAATTTCTAGAAGTCCTCACTAGATAGGATTATATATACAGAGTACCGAGGACTCCTAGGAAAATCGTGAGACTATAACATCACATGCAAAGCTCTCAAAAGTCTCTGGAACGAAAGCACTTTTCTCTAAGCCCAATGTCTTCCTTACTTTGGCAATGGATACGGGTTGGTGAAAGCAAGCATGGCCATGCCAAGGCTGGTGAATGCACAAAAGCCCTGGAAAGAGTCATCTGCATCCTGTGGCAAAGTCAACTCCTGCTTCATCGTGGGTGGGATTGATTCATCCTTAAACTGACCATTTCCTACCTCCATCAAACATGCCTTCCATGTAATGGATTTTACACAGATCAAAGTTCCTTTCCCTGCCCCTTGCTGTTGACGTTGGCAATGGAAGATTCTAGATGTGACCATGACTATCTTTAGACAGGAGGACCTGCCAAGGACTGCTTGTCATAGCTCATAAGTTCAGTGATGGCCATGCAAGACTTTTAAAAAATTATCAGCCTTGGGCTGGAGAGATGGCTCAGGATTAAGAGAACTTGTTGCTTTCATAAGACAAAGGTACAGTTCCTGGCACCCAAATAGAGACTTCAACCACCTAAACCTCCAGACTCCAGGGGATTCAACACAGTTTTCTGATCTCTGCAGACATCAGACACCAATGTAGTGCACAGACATAAATGCAGGCAAAACACCCACCCATACAAAATTAAAACAAAAGAAAAAATTACCAATATTCCATGGTTAATAAATAGTCTTGCATATGCAATTATTAGAAAAACTTTTTGGGTTTGGGGTAGGTTTGGAGGCATAGTTTTACTATATGCTCCAAGCTGGTATCTCCTGCCTCAATATCCTAAATTCTGAGATTGTGTGACACCCTTGTAGACCAAAATGTGTTGGAAAATTGAGGTTCTAGAACTGTCAATGGCCTTCAGCTGCTGCATCTGTTACTTCTGAAAGACAGGAGAGAAGGGCACCATCCATTTCCAGGAGACCATCAAGCGTTTGGACTGAGGGTGCCTTGCCTTCACAGCATTAATCACTTTCATGTCCTCTTCATCCAGGAGCCAACTGAGAATCTCAAGCCTGGTGAGGCTGGGCAGTCGGGACACACACTGACTCAGAGCCTTGACAGTGGTGGCCTGAACTTGGATACGTTCTGGGATACTCCTGCACATGTTGAGAACTTGCAAGTTTGGCAGGTTGTCCAGGGCTTGAAAGAAATTTCTGTACCCTTCCTCTGTGATCTTGTGATTCGTTGAAAGATCTAAGGTCTCGAGTTTCTGGAAACTTCTACTGGTTGCTCTTGTGGCTAGAAAAAAAAACATTTATGAAAACAAAATCCTAAGGACTTCAATAATGGTGACAAGTTATTGATACTACTCCCACACCCAACGCAACAAAAGCTCTACATGATGTTATAGAGACCATTCCTGGAAAGCACCAAACTACTGCTTGGTTGATAGGGAACCACCCAGCCAAGCTCCAAGCACTTTGGAGGAAGCAGAAGCCAGGAAGTTAGCACAGACAGCTTTGGCTCTCAGGGCAATGTGAATTTCTCTTCTGGTCTCACAGGAGGACTCATGTCAAGACAGGGCATGGCTGTGCGACATGTTACAGTACAAGGGACTGAAAAACTGTGGCAGATGGCAAGCTCTACTATAGAGCTATAGTAATGAAAACAGCTTGGTTTTGGCACAAAAACAGCAGGCAGACAAATGGAATCGAATAGAAAACTCTGATATTAATCCACACACCTATAAACACCTGATTTTGACAAAGAAGCAAAAATTATACAATAGAAAAAAATAAGCATCTTCAACAAATGGTGCTGGCATAACTGGATGCTAACATGTAGAAGACTGCAGATAGATTCATGTCTATCGCTATGTACAAAACTTAAGTCCAAATGGATCAAAGACCTCAACAAAAATCCAGCCACACTGAACCTCTTAGGAGAGAAAGTGGGAGGTATCCTCAAACAAATAGGAACAGGAGACTGCTTCCCGAACATAATGCCAGCAGCACAGACACTGAGATCAACAATTAATAAATGGGACCTCCTGAAACTGAGAAGCTTCTGTAAGGCAAAGGACACAGTCAACAAGACAAAACAGCAGCCCACAGAATGGGAAAAGATCTTCACCAACTCCATATCTGACAGAGGGCTGATCTCCAAAATATACAAAGAACTCAAGAAGCTAGTCACCAAAACACCAAATAATCCAATTAAAAAGTGGGGTATAGCCGGGCGGTGGTGGCACACGCCTTTAATCCCAGCACTCGGGAGGCAGAGGCAGGCGGATCTCTGTGAGTTCGAGGCTGGGCTGGACCGACAGCCTCCAAAACAATACAGAGAAACCCTGTCTCGTAAAAACCAAAAAAAAAGTGGGGTATAGAACTAAATACAGAATTTGCAATAGAGGAATCTAAAATGGCTGAAAGACACTTAAGAAATTGCTCAACATGCTTAGCCATCAGGAAAATATAAATCAAAATAACTCTGAGATACCATCTTACACCTGTCAGAATTACTAAAATCAAAAACACCAATGACAGCTTATACTGGAAAGGATGTGGAGAAAGGGGAACACTCCTCCATTGATTGTGGGAGTGCAAACTCGTACAGCCACTTTGGAAATCAGTATGGCTGTTCCTCAGGAAAATTGGAATCAGTCTACCTTAATATGCAACAATTCTACTATTAGGCATATATACAAAGGATGCACATTCATACAATAAGGACATCTGTTCAACTATGTTCATAGCAGCATTATTTGTAATAGCCAGAACCTGGAAGCAACCTAGATGCCCCTCAACTGAAGAATGGATGCAGAAAATGTGGTACATTTACACAATGGAATAATACTCAGTAAAAAAAAACAATGTAATCTTGAAAGTCACAGGCAAATGGATGGAACTAGACGAAACCATCTTGAGTGAGGTAACCCAGTCACAGAAAGACAAACATGGTATGTACTTTCTCATATATGGATTTTAGACATAGAGCAAAGGACTACCAGCCTACAATCCACACTGCCATAGAAGCTAGGAAACAAGGAGGACCCTAAGAGAGACATACATGGTCCTTCGAAGAAGGGGAAAGGGACAAGAGCTCCAGAGAAAACTGGGAGCATGGTGGGTGGGGAGATAGGAGAAAGAGGAGTAGAAAAGAGTGGGGGAGAACATGAGGAATCAGGAAGATTGAGTCAGGGGAAGAATAGAGGAGAGCAAGAAAAGAGATACCTTAATAGAGACAGTCATCATAGTTTTAAAGAGAAATCTGGAACTAGGGAACTATCCGGAGATCCACAAGGATGACCCTAATTAAGAATCTAATCAATAGTGGAGAGGCAACCTTACATGCCCTTCTCCAATAACAAGATTGATGACTACCTTATATGCCATCATAGAGCCTCCATTCATTAGCTGATGGAAGCCAAAGCAGAGACCCACAGCTAAGCACTGAGTCAAACTCCTGGAATCCAGTCGTAGAGAGGGAAGAAGTGATGAGCAAAGGGGTCAAGACTATGCTGGGAGAACCCACAGAAACAGCTGACCTGAGCAAGTGGGAGCTCACAGACCCCAGTCTGACAGCTTGGAAACCAGCATAGCACAGAACCAGGTCCCCTGGATGTGGGTGACAGTTAGGAAGCTTGGGTAGTCTATGGGGCCTCTGGCAGTGGAACTAGTGTTTATCCCTAGTGCACTAATGGACTTTGGGAGCCTGTTCCCTACTGAAGGATACTTTCTCAGTCTAGATACATGGGGGAGGGCCTAGGCTCTGCCATGAAAGATGTGACAGACTTTGATGATCTCCAATGCAAGGCCTCACCCTCCCTGGGAAGTGGATGGGGGATGGGATGGGGGAATCAGTGAGAGGCATGGGAGGGAGAGGGAACTGGGATTGATATGTAAATAACATTGTTTCTAATTTAAATAAACATTTATAAAAAATACTCAGAGAGTTATATGAGTATACAGTACTCTAATATTGACCCTAATGCTGAGTCAATTGCATAGATGCTATTATGTGTTTATTAAACTATATATTAGATACCAGTCAGAACAGGTGAATTGATTATGTATTCAGAGTTGTCAGTCAGTCTGAGAAGCAAAGTGGGACTAAACAAGTCAACCACAGAAGAACCATGCACTATGCTTCCGCTTATCAGAGCACCACAAACAGGCAAGCAACACCACAGCACAGACAACTGCATGGTTCCCAACGGAAGAAGTGCAGCATCCTGCCAAGTGTCTTCCATTTGGCCTCTCTTGCCCCCACGTCACCCAGACCCAGGAATCTGACGGAGACCTCAGCCACAACCTGTGTGTTTGTTTCCCTCTTATCAAGTTGAGCATTCAAGTCGCCCTCAGTTTGGGGTAGCACTGGGACTGTCTTGATCTTGTGAATGCCTTGTATAGATGATCTCAGCACCAGTGAGTTCATGAATTCCATAAGACACTGTTTTCCAACAAACCCCCTCAACTTCTGGCTCTTTAATCCTTTCGTCCCCTCTTCTACAGTGTTTCCTAAGCCTTAGTGGGGAGGGAGGGTGATATAAATGTCCATTTGGGGCTGAGAACTCCATGTCATTTTTTCTCCTTACTGGAAAGTCATGGGTCTCTTGTAAGTACTGATAGGAGTAACAGAGCTTTCTACGTCACTGTCTAGGATGTTTTCCTTATTCTCTGAGAGTTCCATATATGTATACCATATTTTTCGTTCATATCTACTTCATCCCCCCAATTCTTCTCAGAACCTACGCAACTTCGTGTCCTCTTTTTAATTAACTGTGTTCAGTCAACTGTTTAATCAACTGTGTCGTCATATATGCACAGGCTTAGGGGTAACTTACCAGAGCCCACCTTCCGAAAGGAACTTGATTCTCCTTCCCTCGGCCACCATGAACTGCCACCAGCTCCTCAAGTAGGGCGGGGCTTTGAATGAACTGGACTTAAGTAAGGTCTTGTGTAAGCATCTGCAGCTGCTACGAATTCATGCCTCCAAGGGCCCTGGCATGTCCAGAAGACATAATTTCCTCAATGCCTGGTTCTCACAGTCTTCCTATTCCTTCATCCTGACATTTCCTCAGTCTGGGGATGGGTATGATGCGCATGTCTAATTTAAGGCTGAGTATTCCATAGTCACTCATTTTCTTCAGTAGGAGTAGTTGTGAGCTTCAAGATTCTTCCCTCCTTAGTGTCTGGGTTTAAGTTCTTCCATCTCCCCATTAGCAATGGAAAGTGCAGGGGTGTCCTGTAAGTTACTTTCAAGGTACCATGAGATGCCTGGCAGACAGACTATTGATATTGCCAGTCATCACTTTGCATCTTGCTATGGTCTGTCTAAACAACTTCGAGGACACTTTCAAAACTCAAACAAACAAACAGTGGAAAACTGAATCTGTTGGAGCATGTCATGATCCAGGTCTTGGGAGGTGGAGGCAAGAGGATCATGTCTGTCAGGCAATCATCCCTGTGCCCTGAGTCTGAGCTCAGTAGGGATGATTGAGACACCCAGCCAGTCACTCAAACATCCACACACACACCTTGCCCTGCTGCTGCCCAAAAAAGGAAAAGGAAAAAAGAACAGGTAAACTGGGCAGAGTCATGCTTGTCTGTTATCTTAGCACCCAACAAACTGGAGACAGAAGGGTCATGAGTTCATAGTGAGAGCCTGTCTCAAAACTCAGGGCTGAAGATGTAGCTCAATAGTAGAAGCATTTCCCTCCCACAGGGGTTCATCCAAAGGACCTGGGGGTCGGGAGAATGGCAAAGGTAGGTTTTATAGTATAGTAGCCCAGTACTTAAGTATATACTTAGCATGCACAACACCCTTGACTCATTACACACACACACACACACACACTCTCTCTCTCTTTCTCTCTCTCTCTCTCTCTCTCTCTCTCTCTCTCTCTCTCTCTCTCTCTCTCTCTCTCTCACACACACACACACACACATACACGAAAAAGAACCAAAACAGAACACAGTCCAGAGAAACAATAATCAAAGAGTAAGAGAGCTAAACACGTTCGTGGGTAAGCTATACGCTGTGGGTAAAAATCACACCGAGAAGCAAAAGAACAAGGAACTGAGAATCAACGCCCTGGTCAGCCTTCCTGTTGGCTGTGATGAAAAACCAAAAGCAACTTGAGGAGGAGAGAGGGAAGCCAGGGAGGAGCTCATGGCAGCTACATGGATGACCTTGAGGCAAGAACTGAAGCAGAGACCACGGAGCAGTGCTGCTCACTGGCTTGCTCCCCACTACTCGCTCAGCTAAGTTTCTTATACAGCCCAGACCCCCCTGCCCAGGTATGGTACCACCCACAGTGGGCTGGATCTACCCCTCGCACACCAATTAGCAATTTAGAAAATGCCACACAGACAGGGCCACGGGCATATCTGATCTGGGCAATCTTTCAGTTAAGGGTCCCTCTTGCCAGATAACTCTAGGCTTGTGCCAAGGTAACAGATGGAGCTGGCTGTGACAATCAATATGATGTTTGCCTCTGGCTGGGAAGGGCAACTCAGACTTGGGACCGGCATGCGGGACTTCTGAGGCATTGGGAGGGTTTGATTTCTTGACTTTAGTATTACGTCCACATGGCCTTTATTATTACTATTGCCTTAAATGTAGATCTGTCTGTAATTAAAAGCAACAACAACCAAGAGGTAGCCGACTAGAAGGCCACATAACAGGAGTTGATAGAGTCTAGGACAAGTTTCAAATAAAAGTGGCTTCCACCCTAATTCGTCATCCTAAGAGTAAGAAGCCCTTGTGTTATTCCCTACTACATAAAATTACAAGAAAAAAATTAAGTAAAAGTGACCTACCATTGTTGCCAAGTATTTTCTAACCTCAAAATTAGGGGAAAGTATTCTTTATGGGTGGTGGTTTTGAGACGGAGTTTCTCTGTGTATCTTTGAACCTGTCCTAGAAGCTGCTCTGTACCAGGCTAGTCTTTAACTCACAAAGATCTGCCTGCCTCTGCCTCCCGAGAGCTGGGATTAAAGGTGTGCATCATCTCTGCCTGGTGCAAATGTTATTACATATTTAAGCTTATAGCAGCCCTGTAGTGGTATCTAGCCTTTCTAGTAGTGTATTTGTGCTAGTGGCCACACCCTTTTGGGCGTGGCTTCAGGTGTGAATGGAACTGGAAGACCAGGAAGCGTGGGGCTGGCTCTCCCTCACTCTCTCTTGGGTCTTGGAGCAGATCTGAAGGGCTGAGACTGCATCTTCTGGAGCAGAAATGTTGAAGTGGTTCTTTATTATTATTTGTGTAAAATGTTCCCCAATAAAACACCCATTTACCATTCCCCTTGGGTCTAGTGAACGTATTACTACCAAGCCTTCAATTGGCCCCCAATGTGGGGCAGGAACCCACGACCCTAAGATTAAGAGTCTCACTAACACAAACACACTGGCAAGGCCAGATGCCACTACATAGCCCTGCTATTTTTAGACACAAGACTCTAAGAGGCACGAGGGGGCAGTGGAATGGCATTACTGAACTACACTGTATACGTGTATAAAAAAAAAAACGCCATAAAGCAAAGGATGACCAGGCTACAACCTGCAACCCAGAGAACCTAAGTAAAAAGGAGAATCCTAAGAGGGACACACACGGAGGGCCCCAGGAAGGGGAAATAGTTAAGATCTCCTGGGAAAAATGGGAGTGAGGGGATGGGGGATGGGAACATGAGGGATTGAGATGGCCAAGTTTTGGGAGGGACAGAGAAGAAGAGCAATGAAAGAGATAGCTTGATAGAGGGGGCCATTATGGGATTAGGGAGAAACCTGGTACTAGGGAAATTCCCAAGAATCCATAGGGATGACCCCAGCTAAGACTCCTAGCAATAGTGGAGAGGGTGCCTGAACTTCTCCTGTAATCGGATTGGTGACTGCCCTAATTATCATCATAGAACTTCATCCAGTAACTGTTGGAAGCAGATGCAGAGAGCCACACCTAAGCACTGGGCTGAGCTCCTGGAGTTCAGTTGGAGAGAGTGAGGAAGGATTATATGGGGGGGCGGGGCGGGGTCAAGATCATGGTAGGAAAACCACAGAGACAGCTGAACTGAGCTAGCGGGAGCTCACAGACTCTGGACTGACAGCTTGGAACATGCATGGGACCAAACTAGACCCTCTGAATGTGGGTGACAGTTATGTGGCTTGATCTGTTGGGGAAACCACTGGCAACGGGACCAGGACTCATGCTAGGTGCATGAACTAGCTTTTTTGGAGTCCATTTCCTTTACTGGGATACCTTGCTCAGTCTTGATACAGGGGGAAGGGGTTTGGTTCTGCCTCAACTTGGCATGTCAGACTTAGTATGCTTCCCAAGGGAGGCCTTATACCCTGTGAGGAGTGGATGGGGGGGTGGGATAGGGAGGAGGTGGGGGCAGGAGAAGGTGAAGGAGGGGGAATTGAGGTTTGTGTGTAAAATGAAAAAATTTAAATAAAAAAGAAATTATAAAAGAAACCCATCATTACAAATTACTCATATCTTCTATAAAACATTTTTAAAATATTTGGGGACTAGCAAAATGGGTAGGTGGGTAAAGTCCTAGCTGCCAGGTCTCTGGGATATGCAGTGTGAAGGACTGAACCCTCTCTGACAACATGTCCACATGTGCTCCACAAGCATGCCCCCTCCACTTATCTAAACACAAAGGTAAAGAACACTTTTAAAGATTTGCCATTTTGTCACCATTCTGTCTCAAGATCAGACGATTATTTATAACGTTAGATTACTTTAAAGTTAGACAAATTAGGCTTAAGCTCTTCTAAAGCCAAAATAATTTGATATACTATTAGGTATACATTGGATGCACATAGTGTTAGCATTTCAGGCATCTGTACTGACCTGCCCTTGGGGTTCTGACAGGATACATCCTCAGCTGCAGGCACTAAGGGTAGCTCCTGTCTACAATCACTATGTTCTCTTTTAAAAGGGCCCTGCTCACTTCTCATCCTTCTCTCTCTTTCTCCCCCTCTCTCTGGCTGCTCCTCTCTTCCTCTCTCTTTCTCCTCTCTTCATCCCTTTGACTCTCACCCTCTGCCTCTCTCTCCTCTCTCTTCTCTCCTGCTGCTCCTGTCTCCAGAGGCCAGTCTCCCCCATCCCCTTTCCCCATTTTTTTATGATCCCTTTCCCCTAATAAAATACCCCTCTGTCTGAACTCTATTGCATGGTATCTTTCTCTGTCATGCTGCTTTCCATAAATTACAACACATAGGATAGAGCTGTGCAAACAAACAAGACTCAAAAAATTTCAATACAGAGGCAGTTTCTCAAGCCTTCAAAGGAAGGTCGGACTAAAAGGCATCTTTAATTGTGCTTTTCTTTCTTACTTATAACTGCTGTGTTTTAAAACATATTCATTTAAAACTCAATCTTATTAAATACATACATCACATACATTCAGTCACAACACGATCCACATAAAATAAATGCAAAAATCTGAAAAATTAAAACAAAACATTCCACAGTTTAAAGAAAAAACAAAGTCTTCTTGCCTCAGCCTCCCAAAAACTGGGATTATAGGTGTGCATGACTGTGCCCAGCCGAAATATTCACTGCTCATTCTGCCCATACTGATATTTACAGCTGAAATTTTATTACTAATTACTTAATAAAAACAAAAATATTTTCCTTTCAATTGAACATTTCTAGAGATTTAATGGGCAGAAACCTAATTAAAAGGAGTTGGAAAGCTCACAGAAAAGAGGATGAGAGTATCACTCAATGAGAAAGAACTTCACTACCATCCCCAGGCTATGGATTCAATACCTAGCACTGGAAAAAGAAAACCACAAAAGAGAAATCTCTTGTCTAATTTTAAACAACAGAAGCAGAAAACACTGAAGGATTCTAGATGAAGAAGAGGAGGAGGAAGAAAAATAGTTTGCAAAGAAAAGGAATCCAAAAGGCCTGAAATTGCTGGCATAATCGTGGACAACTCTAGACCCAGCATTTGGTGGCTAGGGCAGGAAGTCCAGGAGTCAAGTATAGCTCGAGCTACTTAGCTACATAGAGAGTCTGGGCTATATAGGGAGATCCTGACTTTAAAAGTGTGTGTATTGACCCAGACAAAACCAAGATCTAATGATGATGAGAGAAAAGCTAGACAGGTAGGGTGTCCTAGGAGGAATGAGATGAAGATAGAAGGATGTATCATTCACAATGGGAAGCACAGGAGTGCCCAGAGACTATCTACAGGTAAAACGTGGGCAGTGAGGGAATAACTGTTGGAGTACATTAAAAGTCAAGAGAATCCGTCCTGCTTACTTGGGGAAAAACTTGGTGTGTTCTTCTGGTGGGTCGTCACCTTCCTCCCAATTGCACATACATCCTCCACAGGAAAAACACTGGACAGTGTCACTTTTGCCTAGAATTAGAGAATATGGTCAGTTCAACAGCACATACAGCTGTCAACTCACAAGCAGATAATAACTCCAGACTTCACCAGTGAAATCCTGCTTGCATCTGCAATTGGATTGTGTGGCAAAGTCACGCACCAGGGGGCAACAGTTCACACAGGACTCTTGGTCCTTCAGTGGGGTGGTTGACAACAGTCATTAAATGTTCCTGTGCCTTGATGAACACTCTTCTTCCAAACCCATCATCCTGAAAGATTTGCCATCAGAATGTGGAACAGAGCTCTGTGAGAGCAGAGATTTTTGTCTGATCTGGGCATGAATGACATACTGGACATTCACAGATGTAGGCAACCAATAAGAAATTGCTTAATGACTAAACCAGAAAGAAAATATTTGAAGATTGTGTGAGAAACACAGAAGCATACAGGAGCCTTTGCGTTGGTGAAATAATAAAGAATTACTTGTCTCTTATTATTGCCAGGTGTACTCCGCTGGAAATGGAAGCATGCCGCTTATAAGACTGTATTCAGTGGAAAGTATTCTAATTTGCCTGAGTCAAAGGATCAAGCTGGAAATGCAGGATCCAGCATCTTCCACTCATGGACCAAGAAAGCACTGTACAGTTCAACTGGACTGTCTGGCCACGGCTACTAGGGCCTGGAGCTTGCAGGTCGTATGGAATGTGGAGAAGAGGTCTAGAGGGAGCTATCTCCCCAGTCCCTGGGACCCCAACTCTTCAACTGGGCATATTGCTTCCCGAGGGAAATAATTCAGATTGCTCAGCAATCCTTAAAGGTAAGTATGGCCATGTAAGTTCTGGTTGCAGAGATATTAGGGAGCTGGGGAGAAGGCTCCCTGGGTAAGAGCATGGAGGACTTGAAAATTAAATTGCCCTCACCTTGGTTCTCACAGGTTCCTCAACATGAAAGCTTGCCTGTGTTCACACTTATCCTAGGATTGAGGTTTTGTTGTTGTGGTTTTTGCTGATTTACATATTTCTTTGGGGGAGAGTGCATCACCCTTTGATTTAATTAAGAAGGCTTTTACAGTTTAGGGATCTTTTATTTTACTTTTGACTTCTGTTAAGATGTTGTTTAGTAGGGCATAGGCTCGGGCCACTTGGACTTTCCTTAGTGCTCTCACAATGTGCTTCTCTGGGAGGAGCAGGCCAGAACTACTGTTTCTCTTTGCCATCACTCTGTCTGATCATTTCCTTTACCTACCTGCAGGGCTTACAGTTCTCTCTGTGTGTATTCATATGTGAGCAGGTACCTGTGGGCACATGCGCATGGAGGCAAACACTTTACAGATAGCAATATCCCCCCCCCGCCCACACTTACAGCGTTTAATATGCTCAATGCATATATTAATTCTCTTGGCAAAAATCTTGCCCTTAACTTGCTGACTTATAGCAGTGCCAAAAGCATGCTGGGTAACACTGTAGACACTTCCATGGTGACATTCTTCCTAAACTCTGCAATATTGCCTTTTTGTAGTCTCATTATTATAGCCAAAAAACAACCACATGCTTTCTGATAGGCCTGTGAACAAACACTGGACATTTCTTTGTCTCCTTTCTGCTTGTCATTTTTAGAAAATTATTCAAGCCCAAAGGAAGTTCTGGTCTGGTTTATTTTTTGAGACAGCATTTTGCTATGGAGCCCAAGTTGACCTTGAGCTTGCGATCATTCTGCTTCAAAACTTCTGAGTAGTGGGATTACAGCCATGGCCCACCACACCTGGCACCAACCTCAGGGTACATTTTGCATTTTCTCTTTGTTTTGTTTTTAAAACAGGATCTCATGTAATTTCGGGTGGCCTCTAACTCGGTATCATAATCTAGGCTGCCCTTGAATTCCTGTCCCCATCTCTCAAGTGCTGAGATTATAGGTATGGTCTACCACAGTCAGTGGACTTCAGGATTCTTGGCATGCCATTGTTGTCATCACCCTGCTCAGTATTCTCTGTGCTCTATGTCCCACCCTGATGGCTGAACTCAGGGCTGAGCATACCTGTAGTCAGATGTTCTACCACTGAGCTAAATTGGTAATGTAAGGGTTAAAATTCAAAAATTCAAGCAAACCTCAGCAGCCTTGGCTGAGTCAGATACACCAAGGACAAACTTACCCACCTGTGTCTGCCTCCTGAGTGCTGGGATTAAAGGCATGAACCACCACTGCTCAGCCAGTGTTGACATCTTGAAGCCTGCCTTAGGGGAAGGCAGCTTATATGCACAAATAAAAAAGCTTGCTTTAATTCATTGCTTGCTTTAATTTAACCATAATGATTTGGGTCCATGGTCTTTCTCTTCCCATATTTGGAATTAACAAGTAAAGTCTGACATGATGTTTTACAGTCCTCTAGTTTTTATATATATATATCCTCTATTTTAAAATGTTCCTTTAAGTCGGGTGGTGGTGGTGCACGCCTTTAATCCCAGCACTTGGGAGGCAGAGGCAGGCGGATCTCTGTGAGTTCGAGGCCGGGCTGGACCGATAGCCTCCAAAACAATACAGAGAAACCCTGTCTTGTAAAAACCAAAAAAAAAAAAAAAAGTTCCTTTAAATGCAAAAATGTTTCTATATAGCTTTAAAAAATTATATGGGACATTTTGTAATAAAAGTAAATAGTCATTAAGATATAAATTAACATTTTACTTTTGAAAATTTTGTAAAGCTTCAAGGATAATAATTCTTATAAATCTGCAAAGATCTTAAAAGAATAAATGTGACCTCCAAAACAATACAGAGGAAACCCTGTCTCGTAAAAAAAAAAAAAAGAATAAATGTGACCTGAAACCTGGGGTTGGATAGCAGGGATTGCTTGTAAATGAAGAAAAAACAAGTAACGCCTTTGGAACAGGCCTGAGGTTTTACCTGACACCATAGGTAATTCTCTTCTGACCCAGGAATTCACAAAATGTTCTTCCTGAGGGAAAGAAATTCAGGTTACTTATTCATTTATAAAATATACACCTATGTGTGACCTGAAATTGAAGATGGAATTCTATTAGAGCAGCAGAGTTGTTTGGTGAGACAGGTCTTTAATTTGGGCTAGATTTCTATTGCTTTGGAAATGTTTTTATTGGTGAGGGATGTCCTTCTGTATACTGTGACTATATGTTTCTCTTATTGATTGATGAATAAAACTGTTTCAGCCAATGGACAGGCAGAATTACCTAGGCAGGAATCCCAAACAAAGAAGCAGGGAGAAGGAAGACAAGGAAAGACACCATGTAGCCACTGGGGAGTCAAGATGTCAGGACATCACTGGTAAGCCAAGGCTATGTGATAATACACAGATTAACAGAAATGGGTTAATAAGTAAGAGAGAGCTAGCCAATAAGAAGCCTAAGCCAATGGCCAAACAATTATAAATATATGTTAAGTCTGTGAGTTGTTATTTCATAGTGGTTCTGAGGATGTAGTTGGGCAGAGAGTAGACCCAGTGGGACCGAGACTAGACTGAGAAAAGTCTCCCCATACATTTTATTCAGCACAAAGCAACAGTGAGTGTTTACCTGTAGCCAAATGGAAACCACAGGGTCTTACACAGCAGCACCCGGCTCAAAAGAACTAGGTTACATACCACAGACACCCTGCAATTGATGCACTCGGGCAGCCTTTGCATTTGAACAACACACTGTCTAGGGAGATTGCACCATGCTTTTTTTTTTTTTTTCGAGACAGGGTTTCTCTGTATTGCTTTGGAGGCTGTCCTGGAACCCGCTCTGTAGACCAGGCTGGCCTCGAACTCACAGAGATCCACCTGCTTTTGCCTCCCAAGTGCTGGGATTAAAGGTGTCCACCACCAACGCCCGGCCCATGCTTTTTTTTTTTCCTGAGGAAGCCTCCTCCCCACTGATTTTCAGTCCAAGTTCGGGACAGAATCAGAGCCAACCCAAAGCCAGCCCTGGAAAAGCAAACTGTGTTTCCAGCTTAGTAAGACAATGTATTCCTCGCCCCCAACCACACCCCCTGGGTGAGATGCAGGGGATGGAAGGAGAAAAGCACCTCACCCTAGTGATTCAGGTATTAGTAATAGAAAGATTTTGTGAAAAGTTGGTTGTTGTGAATTACTGTTACATGGAAAAATCCCTTGTAGCTTTGAATATACTGGGCAATTTTCTCTGAGGACTTCTTACTTTGAAGAAATTCACACCTATAATTAAAAATGTAGTTGAACATTTCCCCAATACTGTAATAAGTATGTCCCGTATGACAATAATTTGTTTCTTTAATGTGTTGATGATTTTTGAGCAAATTTATTTTTAAAAAATTAATTTTATTTTATGGTAGTTAGAATGTACTGTGCCACCATAAACATATAGGGGAATGATGGCACTATTAGGAGATGTGGCCTTGTTAGAGGAAGTGTGTTACTGTGGGAGTAGCCTTTGAGATCTCCTGTGTTCAAGCTATGTCCAGTTCAGGCCACTTCCTGTTGTCTGTAGGTCAAGATGTAAGGACTCTCAGATCATTTTCCAGCACCATGTCCAACTGCATGCACCATGTCACACCATGATGATCATAGGCTGCACCCAAGTAAGTGTTTTCCTTTGTAAGAGTTGCTGTGGCCATGGTGTCAATTCACAGCAATACAAACCCTAAGACATACAGGATGTATTTTAATTATATTTTCCCTCACTACTCCCCCACCCCCAACTTCAGGCCCCAGGTTCTCTTTCCGATTGTCAAAAGCAGAGAGGAAGAAAAGCACATTCAGAGCCTTGGGTTTGTGGGGAATCTGAATTTGGGGACCAGACGCCTCCAACTGGCCAACCATACTACTGACTGCATCCCTGGAAAGGTTCCCAGAAATCCCTGCTCTGCAGGGTCTAGGGGTAGGATAGACTGTAGACGTGGTCTGCTCTTTACTGTTTTCAACAAATGCCATTTCTAGACCAGTGGTTCTAGAAATCAAAACGTAACCGAGTTCAGCTCCCTTGGGGTTCAAATCCCAAAGAGGAGGGGTGGAACAGGTAAGGGGAGGAGTCTAACACAAACTGAGGGTGAATCGGGGTGGCTGCCCACGTATTGAAAACAGGCTACACTTACATATACTGTATAATTGCATCATAGTTTAACCATATTGGAAGCAGAAAGTGGTCATCAATGTCATTACAGCATTTTTCTTGAAGCAAAAGCAACACATTTAACAAGAATCTAAATGCTTATTGTTCTCCAAGGTTCAGCAACCCTGCCATGTGTTCTGTTACAATTCCCTCCCTCATGGTCTCAGCCCTTGTGGTTAGGAGGTGTCGGACATTGAGTCCTGAGAAACAAACCCATAAGACCAATGTTCATTCTTCAAGGGACATACTGCAGCATTTGTACCATAAGCACAAGAAGCACTGCATTCCTTTGTACCTTGGTCTTATAATACAGATCTGTTCCCCTCAAATGCTCCCAGAGGGACGGTCGTGACATCTTACTCCTTTTCCATTCTACCATACAATTCTGATTCCTTCAGTGTACATTCCTGTATATAGAGAGGGGGATCAAACCAGTCTAACTTCTATGAACATAGTGGAACAGACATCCTTGTTGTGTGAATGTGCATCTTTTGGGTATATGCCTAAGAGTGGAATTGCTGGGTCTTGTGGTAGACTCAGACCCATTTTCCTGAGGAATCTCCTTACTGATTTCCATAGTGGCTGTACTAGTTGGCACTCCCATCAGCAGTGGAGGAGTGTTCCCCTTTCTCCACATCCTCTCCAGCACAAACTGTCATTGGTGTTTTTGATTTTAGCCATTCTGACAGGAGTAAGATGATATCTCAGAGTTGTTTTGATTTGCATTTCCCTAATGGCTAATGATGTTGAGCACTTTCTCAAGTGTCTCTCAGCCATTTTATACTTCTCAATTGAGAATTCTCTATTTAGCTCTGTACCCCACCTTTTAATTGGATCCTTTGGTGTTTTGGAGACTTGCTTCTTGGGTTCTTTGTAAATTTTGGAAATAAGTCCTCTGTCAGATGTGGGGTTAGTGAATATCTTTTCCCAATAAACACTGAACTGAACTCCTGAAACCTAGTGACAGAGATGGAGGATTGATGAGCAAAGGGGTCAAGACCATGATGATGAAACCCACAAAGACAGCTGACTGGATAAGGGGGAGCTCTTGAATCCCAGACTGATGGCTGAGAGGCCAACAGGGGACTGACCCAGACTCAATGAATGTAGTACCAGGGAGGAGGCCACAGATATCTCTGGGGCCTTGGGTAGTAGATTAGTGTTTACCATGGTTTATGAATGAGCTTTGGGAGACCATTCCAAATAGAGGGATGCTCTCTCAGCCTGGACACATGGGTAAGGGCCTAGGTCCTGCCCAGGATGAAATGACAGACTTTAGAGATGCCCCCCCCCAAGGAGGGCCTCACCCTCCCTGGGGAATGATGTGGGGATTGGGTGGGGGGCTGCGGGGACTGGTGGAGGGACAAGGGGGAGGGGTGGGAGAGGGAGCTGGGACTGACATGTGAAACATCCACATTTATAATTTAAATAAAAACATATATTGAGGGGAAAAACCAGTCTAACTTCCTAACAATCTGCTCCCCGTGGGGCAGACCACATCTTGCCATACATCCAGTAAGCCATTAATCGTGGGCACTATTCTATACTGTATTATTAACTGAACTCTTGTTCTTAATGGCCTCAGGCTCTGGATTTGGGCCCACTGTTTCTCTCAATTGTGTTTTTCATCCCTGGGACCAGGTATACCCAGTTAGCAAATCCTTAACTTTTCTATTCTTGGTGTAATATGCAGAGGGACACAATGGGGAGTCCTGTGTGTGGAGTAGGCAGAGTTATCATGCTACATAGTTCTAGAGCAGTGGGGAATTTTTTCCAAAGAATCATTTTGTTTAAAGAGACTGCCGTTGTATACATTTTCATCTCTCACCACATCACCACAGCCCACACAGATTTCCCCGTGGAAGAGGCATAAGGGAACTCCCACAGCACAGAGGGAGAACCACTAAACCCAAACGCAAAAAGGTGCTGGAGAGTTGTGGTCCCCGAAGCTGGACTGCGGAACTCTGTCGAGCCGCAGTCATTGCCATGCAGTCCACGCCACAAAGGGGTCAAACGGCCCTGAGTCGCCTGAGGCCAGTGCAAAACACAGATGTTTACACCACAATTCACAACAATGACAAAATTACAGTTATGAAGTAGCCACTAAAGAATTTTATGGTTGGGAGTCACCACAACATGAGAAACTGTATTAAAGGGTAGCAACATTAAAGGAAGGAAGAAAAGTCTGGAGTGTGTGTGTGTGTGTGTGTGTGTATGTGTGTGTGTGTAGTGAGGGTCATGCAGAAAAGAGTATTGTGCTACTATGTTAATAAAACGAAATGATTAAAGCTGAAAAAGATAAGGTGAAGAGGGATGGGGTAAGCACCTTAGGTCAAGCCATGGCTTCCTAAGCCCACCCATGTGCACACACATATACTATACACATAAACACACACCACATGCATCACACACACAGCATCTATATAAGATGCTAACAAAAGCGGCCCCCTCCCTCTGCGCTGCTTAAGTCCAAGTGATTCAAACTTTTCACAAGATGACAAAGCCTTTCTTGTTTGAAGAATGCTAGAGTTATCCTAATTTGGATAAGAGAAAGCTAGGGAACTCAGAGAGAACTCCAATAATGTATTTTCTTTGTCTTTATTTTTATTTTGCTTTTTAAAAACCTGAAACTTGGGTCTGGAGAGATGGCTCAGCAGTTAAGAGTACCGGCTGCTCTCCCAGAGGACCAGGGTTCAATTCCCAGCACCCACCTGGCAGCTCACACCTATCTGTAACTCCAGTTCCAGGGGATCTGACACCTTCATGCAGCCAAAACACCAATGGACATAAAATATATAAACAAGCAAACAAAAAACCTGAAACTAGCTGAAGTAGGGCTGGAGAGATGACTCAGTGCTTAAGATCAATTGCTACTGATCCAGAGGCCTGATTTGGGTTCCCAGAACCCATGTGACAGGTCATAACCATTTCTAACTCCATTTCCAGGAGTTCTATGCTCTCTTCTGGCCTCCATGGGCACAAGTCACCCCATGGTACACACACACACACACACACACACACACACATATGGATTGATGTATGCACATGTGTATGTATACATATATATGTGGGTATATACATAAAAAAGGAATAAATCCTTTAAAGAATTTATTAAAACTGAAAAAAAATAGCCGGGCGGTGGTGTCGCACGCCTTTAATCCCAGCACTCGGGAGGCAGAGGCAGGCGGATCTCTGTGAGTTCGAGGCCAGCCTGAACCTACAGCCTCCAAAACAATACAGAGAAACCCTGTCTCGTAAAACCAAAAAAAAAAAAACTGAAAAAAATTAAGAATAAAGTGTTCGTCTGCTTACTTGGGGAACCACTTGGCATGCTCCCTCCAAGGGTCATCTCCGTCTTCCCAGTTTCCCAGGCATCCACCACAGGAGAAACACTGCATGGTGTCCCTTTTACCTGCAGATGCAGTGAAGCGTTCTGACTGGCCAGCAATGGCACCAGGTGTGGAGATGATCATACTGTACCAGAACAAGACAGACTCTAGCATGCCTGTTCTTCCATGACCTCTCTGGCTGAATCCCTGTCCACAGTCCTACTGCCCCAAATGACCCCCTTGTGAGCACTGGAGCTTGGACCCCCCCATGGCCTTACATACAGACAGCCCAGGCCTTGTGTGGGTTATGCGAGTGCTCGAGCAGGAAGCTCTTTCCTCAGACTCTGAAGGTCTATATGAAAAGAAAAGTAACATTTTATTTTATATGTACACACACATATGTGTGCATGTCTATATACATACACGGCAAACTAATATTGCTACACTAAATGTATATTAAAGCAGAAGCATATTTGTTATACTTGAAAGTCAATGAAATACACTCTGTGTCTAATATAACACAGCTGACCACTGATGGTTGATTAACAAAATATGGAGCCTACATTTTAAAGTCCACAGAAACACCTCCCAAGATGTAACCCAGTTACCTGTGAAGACAAAGCCAGCTGCTGAGAGCACACGTGGCGGTGTCCCATGGGCGTAAAACGGCCAGCTCTCAAAGGACTCCAGTCTGGCCTCCTCCTCTTGGTACCTTGCTTTGCCACCTCTCAGCTTCTCTGGACTCTTCACCCTTACCTCATACTTGCCAATGTTACCAACGTCTTTGCCCAACAGGAACTCACATTCAGGACGCAATCTCTTGTGGTTTTCTATGGGAAGATTCCTGAGTCTGGTGCAGAAGAGGATTAGGCTACAGCAGAAGCACTGAACCCCAAGTTTCACCCCGGTAAAGTAAAACCCAGCGGCTGCCAGCTCCTGTGGCGTCCATGATCTGAATGTGTCATAGGTCAGAAAGGTCTGTAATCGTTTGGCTTCACTGCGCATCTGTGAGTTAAAACCTTTCTTCATCTTCATTCGTTCTTTGTGGTCTTCTTCTTCTTGTCTCTTGATGATCTGACCAGCATCCACACCGAGAAGAGCAGAGAGCTAACCCTAACCCTAACCCTAACCCTAACCCTAACCCTAACCCTAACCCCTCAACTGGCTTCCTCTCTGATGACTATAGTCTTGTGTTAAGCTGATGTAAAAGTAGGCAGTACACATGCTAGGGCATAGGTGAAGGCTAAAGGACAGCTGTGGGAACTGGTTGTTTCCTTCCACCATGTGGGTCCCAGGGGTCAAACTCAGGTCACTCTGTTGGTGACAGGTACCGTGATGCACCAAGACATCTCCTTGGCCCAGTCTCTTCTTTATTTCTTGTTTGTTTATTTGTTTTGTTTTGCTTTCAGACACCAGATATCGTGGTAGACTTTTAATCTTCTCTCTCTCTCCTTTTTTTTTCGTTTTTTTTGTTTTTGTTTTGTTTTGTTTTGTTTTTTGAGACAGGGTTTCTCTGTATTGTTTTGGAGCCTGTCCTGGAACTTGCTTGTAGACCAGGATGGTCTCGAACTCACAAAGTGCTGGAATTAAAGGCATCTGCCAACAACACCAGACGGTGGTAGGCCTTTAATAGGAACAATAAGAAAATATTTGTGGAACTAAAAGTCAAATTGCAGTCAAGGAAGCCACCAGATAATTCTTAAGATGTTGTATTAGCAGGGTTAGTCAGGACCTTGGGGAATAACAAACCCTATCAAGTCCTGGGAAGTATTTTACTTAAATACTTTAGGATGTAGGTAACATTGTGTGCTACTCTAAGTCTTTCAGTCGATGCTGGTAGTTTCCCCAACTCTCTCTGGTATCTCCATCTTCTAGATTGGATAGTTTTAAGGTTCTACTAATTTCTGGATTTCTTTCCTACACTTTCATTGTGTGTGTGTGTGTGTGATTTTATTCTTTAAATATTTAAATAAGATTGAACCCAGGATCTTGTGTATGCTAGACAAGTACTCCTCCCCTGAGAAACATCTCCCAGGCTTGTTATTTGTTTCTAGATGGTTACTCAGGCTGGCTTTGAAATTGCCTTGCACCCCAAGAAGACCTTGAAATTGCTAGCCTTCAGGCTCAGCTTTCTAAATAGCTGACCTTATAGTATGTACCATCACACTTAGTTTCTGACTGTATATATTTGTTGTTTGCTTCCCAGGCAGTGTTTCACCCTGTCCCATCCCCTGCACTACAGAGAAAAAAATCAGGGGCCTAGAGATTTAGCTCAGTTGGTAGACTGACTGACTAGCATGAACAAACATCGAAATTTAATTCCCAACACTACCGAAAACCAGATGAGAAGGCACCCCCCCAGCACTCAGGAGGCAGAGCCAAAAGGATCAGAAGTTCAAGATTATTTTTGACTAACACAGTGAGCTTCAAGACAGCCTCAAGGACACGTGAGACCCTTTTTCAAAAATCATGAAATGTGAAGGTTGAAAAGGGCAAACTAAACAGAAAGACTTTACTTCTAATAATTCACACTGGGAAGAAATGTATAAATGTGACAAAGCCTTAAGTTCCCATTCAGCTTTATTATTCATACTAGAGAGAAACTATATAAATATAAAAGTTATTTTTAAAAAGCCTTCAGAACAAACCCAGTCCACCCTTCCCTCTAGTTCTTGTGTTGTGAGTAAAACTGCAAGATAACCTTCCTCTTAGACTTAGTAAGTACCTGAATACTGTGTTTGACAACAAACCACATCCAAGAGACAGACAGTCATAGACACCACCAGTGCTCCCTCCGAGCACCAACCAACGAGAACAGGCTACCTGCAAGCAACAGACAAAGCCATAGAAACCAGCAATGCTCCCATCTGTAGCCAACCAATCAAAAATGCTAGCAATCCAGTTGCCCTGATCCTGAGAAATACCCCTAATTGTTCCCCAAATGTCAACCAAACAGGATCTGATCCATTCCCCTCCCCCTAACTACTAACGTATTTCTGTGATTTTTGCCTTCAAATATTCCTGCAATAGACTGGTTGGGCACTCTCTTTGGAGACTGCTGCATCAGCTTGCTAGATGGAGTCCCTGTCATGGTTGGATGAAACAATAAACCTTGCTTTTGCAGTTTGGTGGGTCGGTCTCCCTGGTAGTCTTTGGGGATCCTTGAGACTTGGGCATGACAAAGGTAAACAAATGGCACTAGAAACAATCACACCTTTTGAGTATCCCACACTCAAAAGAGCAAAGATTGTGTCTTTTCTTATATGTGGATTTAGCTTTTAAGCTTTAGATATGTGTACTTCAATCCAAGTAATCACAGAGGTTAGGTGGCTAGTAAGTGACCAGGGGAGAGGTGGGGCTCTTCCAAGGAAGGGGAAATAGAATACAGGTTATAAAGGGATAAAGGGGGAAACTAGAATAGGGAGATTAAATGGGAAAGGAGATGAGAAGGTGGGTGAAGGAGAGGATATAAGGAGGGAGAACCAACTCGAAAAGCCTTGTGAAACCTACTACTGTAAATGCTTTCTGTGATGGTTTGAATAATAATGATCCCTAAAGGCTCATATCTTTGAATGTCTAGTCACGAGGGAGTGATACTATTTGAGAAGTATTAGATGTGGCCTTGTTGGAGTAGGTGTGGCCTTTAGAGAAAGTATGTCACTGAGGGTAGGCTCTGAGGTTTCAAAAGCCCATGCCAGGTCCAGTCTGTGTGTCTGTGTGTCTCTCCCCACCTCATCTCTTCCTCTCCCCCTCCCTCTCTCTGCCTAAGGATCAGGATATAGCACTCAACTACGTCTCCAGCACCATGTCTGCCTGCATGCCCACATGCTCCCTGCTGTGATGATAATGGACTAAACCTCTGATACTGTAAGCAAGCCCCCAATTAAATGTTTTGTTTTGTGAGAGTTGCCTTGGCCGTGGTTTCTCTTCACAGTAATAGAACACTGGCTATGATACTTCCTCAAGTGTACACATATATGAAAGGAATTTAAATGACATCACCATACAATGGGGGATACAATGCCCCAACTAGATATCATATGCCAAGAAGTAAAACTATGGCCAGGAATGTGTTGCAGCTGTTGATTCCTTGGCCAAAGGGGTCACCACAAGCAATTGTCAAAACCATTAGTTATTCTCTACAACCTAACGGATGGCTCTATTGCTGAAGACAACACTTAACTACGTCATTGAACAAGGAGAAGTCTACCAGGTACCTAACCTAAAAGCTTCACTCCTACTGACTAGTATTCATGGTGCTGGAATGTACTCTGCATGAGAGTGGAGGAGGAAAGTGATTGCAAATACCACCCAGCTACAAACCTTGCTACCTACAACAGTGACCTTTCCAAAAGACATACTGGTGAAATAGTGGCACAAATATTATGGAAGTAACCACTCCATGAGATGGAACCCATACCTGACACAGCTAAAGTGACCAGGAACTTGAGAGCAGATATATCATGGGTTTGGGCAGCACTTCTCAACCTGTGTGGGGGTCATGACTCTTTGAGGGTCAGAGGGTCCTTTCACACGGGTCACATGGGAAATTCATAACAATAGAAAAAGGACAGTTATGAAGTAGCAATGAGAATAATTTTATGGTTGGTGGGCACCCCAGCATGAGGAACCAAATTAAAGGGTCACAGAATTAAAGGGTCACAGAATTAAAGGGTCACAGAATTAAAGGGTCACAGAATTAAAGGGTCACAGAATTAGGAAGGTTGAGAGCCACTGGTCTAGGGGAAAACCTAATTCTATTATTATACTAAATGATCATAGCAATAAAATGACTGCTAATGATTGTGGGAACACCAGACCTTGAGCAGAGACCCACTTCCCCTTCTGCCTGGGAGTAGGCAGCTGTAAGACAATGTTTAGTAAAAACATGTTTACTAAAAACGATACAATAAGTTCCTGAAAAAGGCCTTCCCACGGAAACCGCCCTGACCTCGACCTTGTCCAAAGACTAACCGCACCTTCAAAAACCCACACACATCCACCTCTGGTGTCAGAGCAGAACCAGCCAGGGGAGAGGAGAGAGGAGAAGCTTCTCTGGTGGGAGCTTTTCTTAGGAGGTTTTCTTGAACCTTTTTGGAGCCTGTTAAAAGTTTTCTTTATATCGTTGAACGAGTCTCTGTGTTGTCAATCCCCGACACCCTCCGCACGTTCTCGGACACAGGCTGCGCAGCAGACGTGACAATTGGAGGTCCCACTGAGATTGTGAAAGCGAGGTAAGTGGACGGGGTTAAGAAACTATGGGGAATAGTTCCGGGAAGCTAGAATCATTACAGTATCAACTAAAAAAGTTACTTAAAGAACATGGGACTGCAGTCAAGTCTAAAACCCTAGAAGGCTTTCTAAAATCCATCGAACGAGCCAGTCCATGGTTCATTACTGGGGGAAGCTTAAATATTCCAGATTGGGAGGAGGTTCACCGTGATCTTCATAGACTTTTACGAAAAGAGGGTTCTGAGTCCTTGCCCCCTACGACATTCTCCTTATGGAGATTAGTGAGGGGAGCACTTTTGACAGATAAGGTTCATCACCACCAGGTAGTTCAGGACACAAAAGAGGCTTTTTAGAGTTACAAGAGACTGAGACTCAAGCCTCCTTGAGTTCAGGGAAGAGAGTGAGGAAGAGACCGTGACTGAAACTAGAGGCTCCATTGTTAGTGAGGATGAGGGGGAGTCTCTTAGTAACAACATAAAAATGGATAGAGATCTCCGGGCATGACCCAAACAGAAGAACTCCGGTCAGAATCGGTTATATCCTTCTCTATCAGACCTAGAAAATGGAAGTAGCTCAGACTCAGACTCGTCACAGTCTGAAAAGGAACGGTTACTTGCTGAGATCGCGGCCCTTAAAAAGAACTAAAAAGATTCGAATTAAGGAAAGGCAGGACAGGGAGAGAAACCCTTCCCCATACTCTAAAAAAAGGGACTTCTCCTATGAGATAACCCAGTCCTTCTCGGACCTGGAGGGAAGACCCAGAGGAGGGGTCCAATGCTGCCCGGTGGTGGCCCCAGTAATGGAAGTTCCAGATCTGAACAATTCTGGACAGGTCATTTGGCGTCATAACCCTTTAAAATTTAAGGATATAAAACAACTTAAAGAGGCAACTTTAAATTATGGAGCACAGGCTCCCTTTACACTTTCCTTAATGGAATCTTTTGTGTCTCTTAATTTGACACCTGGCGATTGGCAGCAGCTTTGCAGAGCAGCTCTGTTGGGGGGGAGATTATTTGATTTGGAGAGGTGAGTTTCAGGAAAGATGCAGCCAGACAGCCCAAAGAAATGCACAGGCTGGACAGCCCCAGAGAAATGTGGAGATGCTTACCGGGAGTGGTCAATACGCCACCATTCAGCAACAAATGCAATATGACATAGCAGTCTATGCCCAAGTGGCAGCAGCGGCCCAAGGGGCTTGGAAAGCATTGCCTTCCAAGGAAGGAGGGGATCATCTGTCCAAAGTCCTTCAAGGACCTTCCGAACCTTTTCAAGACTTCGTAGACCATCTCAGTCAGGTAGCAGAAAGAATATTTGGGGGCATTGGGCCTGCGATGCCAGTCATCAAGCAGATGGCATTTGAAAACGCAAATAAGTATTGTAAGGAAGCTCTTCACCCCTATCGCAATAAAAGTCTAAATGACTATATCCGGATCTGTAGGGACATTGATGGGAACTTCATCCAGGGCCAAGTGTTAGCTGCTGCTATTCGGCCCCAAGTGGGGAAAGAAAGACCTACTCTGGGAGGGAGAAAAACATGTTTTAGCTGCGGTAGGGAGGGACACTTCCGTAGAGAGTGCCCTCAAAATAGTACTATGGGTCTCAAGAGACCTGGTTTATGCCCCCCGTTGTCAAAGGGGATATCATTGGGCCAATAACTGCTACTCTAAAACTGACAGGGAGGGAAATTTCCTTCCTGCTAATAATAATCAGGGAAACGGGAGGAGGGCCCCGCCCCAGGGCCCCAAAACCAATGTGTACGGGGCAATGACCCCTGCTCTGGGCAGTGGCAGGACTCATTTTCTCCCCCAGAGCAACCCCTTCATATCTCAGACCTCCTTAGAGCCACTTCGGGGAGTGCAGGATTGGACCTCGCTCCCTCTGCCCGGGCAATCCTAACACCGGAAATGGGGATCCAGGCCCTCCCTATTGGGGTGCATGGGCCATTGCCCCCAGGCACGGTCGGACTACTCTTGGGACGGTCCAGTACTATTCTTCGAGGCATCCAGGTACACCCCGGTGTTATAGACCAGGATAGTGAGGGGGAGATTAAAATAATGACATCAGTGGGCAGTGGGGTTGTTGCCATCCCTGCAGGAGAACAGATTCCTCAGATACTCCTTCTCCCTACAGCTCCTTGTGAGGCTAGAAAAATTAAAGAGAAAAGGGGCAACCAAGTTTTTGGAAGTACCGGCCCAGCAGCATTTTGGGTAGCCACTATGGAGAACCGCCCCCAGCTTACATTAAAGATAGAAGGCAAGTCCTTTAGGGGCGTCTTAGATTCTGGGGCAGATTTTTCTGTCCTCTCTGATAAATTCTGGCCCCCCCCCACCTGGCCGAAAGAGGAAGGGACAGTGACCCTCCAGGGAATAGGACAGGCTGTGCCCCAAAAAAGCCTCAGAATCCTAAAGTGGCAAGACTCTGAGGGCCACACAGGGCTTTTCCAGCCATATGTTTTGCCTGGCCTCCCTATTAACCTCTGGGGACGGGACCTCATGCAAGAAATGGGAGTGGTCCTCACCACCCAGGCACCCAAGTCCAAAAGCAGGGGCCCCCAGATGACACAAGGGAGGGGCTGGAGCCTGGGGAGGGAACTAGGTAAACTAGAACAGGGAGAGGTTTGCCCTGTGACATCCCTCCCTTTGGAGACCCGGGCCCCAGGGGATAGGAAGTGTTTTGGCCATTTTTGATGAGGGTCACTGTTGCGCCGCCAGCCCCCATACCCATCACATGGCTATCAGATGATCCGGTATGGGTGGAACAGTGGCCCTTACCAGTGGAGAAACTAAGGGCGGCTCACCAGCTAGTTCAAGAACAATTGGAGGCAGGTCATTTGGTTCCTTCCATGTCCCCTTGGAATACCCCTATATTTGTACTAAAAAAATCTTCAGGGAAATGGAGGTTTCTACAAGACTTGAGGGCCGTGAATGCGACCATGCAGCCTATGGGGGCTCTGCAGCCTGGCTTGCCTGTGCCTGTGGCCATTCCTAAAGACTGGCATTTGATTGTTATTGACTTGAAGGATTGCTTCTTTTCTATTCCCTTGCATTCTCAAGATAGTCCTCGGTTTGCATTTAGCCTTCCTGCGATTAACTTTAGGGAGCCTGCCCTTCGCTTCCAATGGGTGGTGCTCCCCCAAGGGATGGCTAATAGTCCAACTATATGCCAGATTTATGTAGCTGCCTGTTTAGATCCCCTCAGACGTAAGTTCCCTGACCTTTACATTATCCACTACATGGATGATATTCTTTTGGCCGCGGCCGAAGAAAGACAATGTTACATAGCCTTTGCAGAGCTACAGGAGCTTCTGGAGGCCCGAGGATTTATTTTGGCTCCTGAAAAGATCCAAAAGAGACCCCCTTATACTTATTTGGGTCATCAAATTCAACAAACTGGCCTCCGGCCCCAAAGACTCCAAATTGATTGTTCAAATTTAAAAACACTTCATGATTGGCAGAGATTTTTGGGAGAGGTGCAATGGTTTCACCCTTCTCTTTCTATTAAAACTGGGGCTCTTAACGCGCTTTATGATATTCTTCCTGGGGACCCTGCTCCAACGTCCCCTAGACAGATTACCCCAGAGGCCAGGGAAGCCCTACAATTGTTGTTAAGAAGTATAGAGCAAGCCCACCTTCAGCGTATAGATTATGGGCAGCCCCTTGTTCTGGTTGTACTTTCATCTAGCTTTTCGCCCACTGCCGTGTTTTGGCAGACTGGTCCTATTTATTGGATACATTTGTCAGCCTCCCCTAAGAAGGTAGTGATCCCTTACTATGATCTCATTTTACAATTGTTGTGGAAGGCACACAAGTTTAGCATTCAAACCTTTGGAAAGAGTCCTGATAAAATTATCCTTCCTTATGGTAAGGAGGAGGTGGAACATCTACAGATCTTCCATGATGGGTGGACCCTGTTTATTACATCTACAGGCGCACAGTTTGATAACCATTATCCCAATAGCCCCTTGATGTCTTTTTTTAAACAACACCCTGTGATCTTTCCCAAGATTTTAAAGGAGAACCCTCTAGTTGGAGCCTGCTCAGTCTTTACAGACGGCTCCTCCAAGGGTTTTGCGGTGGTAGTTTCTTCTCAGGTGCAAAAGAGGGTACCCATAGGACAGATGTCAGCAC